CTTGTTTGTAATTGATGTAGCAGCGAAGATAGGCTTCCATCGTTTGGTTTAATCGTTCCGTTTGGCCATCTGTTTGTGGGTGAAAGGCTGTCGAGAGCTTTCTCTTGATTCCAAGCAGTGCCATAAGGGTAGACCAAAATTTCGATGTGAATAGCTTGTCCCTATCTGAGATGATTTCATCTGGTATATCGTGTATGCTAACTATATTCCGCATGAATATATAAGCAAGGTCATCTGCCGTCCAAGTTTCACAGAATGGTATCATATGAGCAAACTTGGTTAGTGTTGGTACGAGAAGGATACGGAAGACGTAGCACCCACGGATTACGTAGGTCCTGTATGTCTAATTGTATTCTGTCTAAAGAGCTGGCTACATATTGAAAGTAGTAAGTCTTATATAGACTTACTAAAAGAGCTAGTCTCTTTCGCGTTCGCTTAGTTCTTTATTACAGTAGTAATTGAATTGAAGTCATTCACTTCGTTCACACAGTTAGTCTGTCCGTCACCACCAAGATGGAGTCGTACTCCTTCCGGGTGACTGGGTCTTTGGATAATGGTAGTTTTACTACAAAATCCCAAGCAATGGACTTCCATGGTTGAGTAGGTAGTTCGGGGGTCTTGAGCTGGCCATAAGGTGCATGCCGGGCGGCTTTATTTCTTATGCAGGTGTCGCAGTTCCCAACTACGTTCTCAACTATAGTCCTCATCTTTGGAAAGTAGACTTCTCTCCTTATTCTGGCGAAGGTTCTTGCAATACCTTGATGCCCGTGAGCTGGAAGCTCATGTTGTTCCGTGACGTAATCCTTAGCTAGACTGGAGGGTATATAAAGCTTGCCGTGAAAATGAATGAATCCATCTTCGATGGTGAATCCTCTTTCTGGGTTGTCGGGTATAGCTAGGATTCTCTTGGCTGTAGCATCCGTTGAGTATTCTGTCTTTATGATATCTTTGATAGTATCATAATTTACTCCTGAAGTGGCGGCAAGTTGTGGTTTGTTGTGAACTAAAGCATCGCCATCCTGTTTTAGTATTGCGCGTGATTCGTGAGTTTTGTTTTGCAAATATTCTGGTTTTCGGCTGAGAGCATCTGCTCTAGCATTTTCGTTTCCTTTGACATATGAAATTCTGAAGTTGTAGGCGGCCATGGTTTCCGACCATCGGACCTGCCGTCTGTTTAATTCCTTCGTTGTGGTGAAGTAAACCAAGTTCTTGTGATCTGTATACACCTGCACCGTGTATTTTGATCCTTCCAAGTACACTCTCCATTCCCTAAAAGCATCTACTATCGCTAGTAATTCCTTGTCGTATATCTCATAGTTTAGTTCGGCTGGCGATAGTTTGCGTGAATGGTAAGCGACTGGTTGCTATTTCTCATTCGAGCCGGGTTGGCTCAACACTGCTCCTATTGCGTAGTCTGAGGAGTCTGTTTCCACGATTATTGGTAATTCTGGGTCAAATGCTCTGAGGACTGGTTCTCCTGCGAATGCTTCCTTGAGGCGTTCGAATGCTTCTTGTGCTGTTTCTGTCCATCGGAATTCCCCTTGACTCTTCTTGGTGATCTCGGTCATTGGAGCGGCTATCTTTGAATAATTCTTGATGAATCGTCGGTAAAAGTTGGCGAACCCCAGGAAGGACTGTACTTCCTTCACGCTGGTCGGGGGTTCCCATTCCATAACTGCTTTTACCTTGTTAGGACTCATCTTGAGACCTCCGGAGAATATGGTATAGCCTAGGAATTCTGTTTCTGTGACGTGAAATTCACACTTGCTAGGTTTGCATTGAAGGTCTGCCTCCTCCAGTTGCTGCAGAACCTTATGAACGTCTTTAATGTGTCGTTCTTCCGTTTCCGAGAATACCAAAATGTCATCTAGATAGCATATACAGCATATATCTAGGTACTTCCTTAATACATTGTTGACCAAGCGCATACATGTTGCTGGTACGTTTGTCAATCCGAATGGCATAACCTGATACTCGTATAATCCGTATCGAGTTCTGAATGCTGTTTTCCATTCTTCACCTTCCTTCATTCTGATGAGGTGAAATCCGTTTCGTAGGTCAAACTTGGAGAAAATTTTAGCTTTTCCCAATCGATCCCTTAATTCCGTAGCTAATGGAAGTGGGTACCGATCTTTGATCGTTATATCATTGAGCTTGCGATAGTCTACGCACAGTCTCCTCGTACCATCCTTCTTTGGTACAAATAGCACAGGGCTAGCTGCCTGTGAGGTGGATTCTCTGATCCATCCTTTTTCTAATGCGTCAGCAATGTAATCCCTAAGCGTCCTTAGGTCAGAGGCTGACATTGGATAGATTGGTCCAAATGGAGGCGTCTTGCCTTCCTCCAATACTATCTCGTGATCCCATGGCTTGTGTTCTGGTAAAGCTTCATGGCCTTTTCTTTCTTCGAATAGTTTCTTGTACTTCTGGTACTGTACCGGTATTGGCGTCTCGTCCTGTTTCTCTACAGGGGTGGTTTCAAGCAACTTCTTCTGCTTATTCTTCATTTGTATGGGAGGTTCACCTTCCTTCGCCGTTAATGGAGGACCCTGGACTGGGCGTCCTACGTCAGTGGTGCTGTTCGCCTTCAGTTCTCCACCGCGTGTGTTCAGCCTCGCAGGCTCTAGCACATCTCGTTGATCGCTTCTCCTCGGAAATGATATGGTTTCCGATGACCAGTCAATCTGGGGGTTGTGTGCTTTCAACCATGGCATCCCCAGAATGATCTGTTGATTCCCTAGTGGAACAACATCGAACTGGATAACCCCCTTGTGCTGGGCTATACTCATCTGCAAAGGGCGAGTCTCCTGCGAAATCTTTCCGTCCAATCCGGCTAATTGTCCATCAACTAGCTGCAATTGATATGGGGTTCGTTTCGCCTGGAGCTGTACTCCCAAATGCTTCACAGTTCCTGGTGCAATAAAATTTCCCGTGGCCCCTGAGTCAATCATGGCCCGGATTACTCGTCCATTTATCTTCGCATTGCAGTAAATCTGTCCTGCCTGACCTGCGATATTTAATTGCCCTTGGCCCAAAACCTTGTTGTGGTCAATTTGGTCAATTTGGTCGATTTGGTCAATTTGGTCAATTTGGTCAATTTGGTCAATTTGGTCGATTTGGTCAATTTGGTCAATTTGGTCAATTTTGTGTAACTGACCATTTAAATGATCATGTGACGATAATTTTTCCGACCTTCCCTTCTTGTAGGGTCTTTTTGCTTTTCTTTGGGGAAACCATCCTGTGGCTTCCTTATCTGATAGGTGAATTCTACAAGATTCATCGTAGCAAGCTATCCAGCTCATCGTCGCGTGTTCTACCGACGGTATTTCTTTCGGATCTTCTTTGATAAGGGGAGGTGAAGGGGTTCGTAGACGCTCCAACTCATATCGGTCTATGGCGTTCAACCCTTCCTGGTCTCGTGGCATTGCGTCAATTTCCTTTTGACGTTCTTCACGTTCGTAACTATCGTCTTCGATTGGATATGAAGCGCATAGTTGGGGTACAAAGGTAGCATTGAGTTGACCTTTGCCGAACTTCTTGTGATAACCTCCTCCTGATGATCTCTTGCTTCGACAATCCCTGGCCCGATGGCCTGGTTTGCCACATTCGAAGCATAGCTTGTCCTTGCGTCTTCGTTCTACCTCTTCCTTAGGTAGTTTGTTCTTAAACGTTGCATCCAATTGCATTGGTTCTCCGTAAGATTGTCTGTTTTCTCGAGGTCTTCCTTCATTCTTGTGGTACTTACCACGATCTCGGTTTCCATGGACGTTGGAAGATCGGCGTTCCTTCTGATACTCGTAGAGCATCTCATCCGCCTTAATAGATTCCTCGATTAACTCGTTTAGGTCTTCCCAAGTGCTATTGCGATCCAGTTCTAGCCTGACCTCAGGCTTGAGCCCTTTCCGGTAATGGCTCATCGTGGCGTTCTCTTCCCATCCAGTGGTACCTATATACCTCCTGAATTCCACAGCGTACTTGACTGCTGACCCTGTTTGCTTGAGGCCATAGATCTTGGACTCAGCGTCACGTAATTCATTGATGTTCCCGAATACTCGTCGTATCTCTCTCTTAAACCCTTCGAATCTCCCAAAGATGGCTTGAGTTGGGTACATTCGCTTCTTAGGCTCGCCCAAGTTGGTGAAGTAATCCTTGAGGTAAGGTTGAATCCACTTTGCGGCTTCTCCTCTGAGGTAGGAGGCAGCCCAGACGCTTTTGTCGGCGTCATGGTTGAACTTATCCTGATTGAATTGGAAGTAGATCTCAAGTTGGAGTAAGAAGGTTTCTAGCTCATTGTCGATTGCCTGTGAATCGGTCTGGTAGGGCGACTTTGAGAGTCTCAGTGACGGTAATCTCCTTGGGGTCTTCGATACCTCCCATGGCGATGTCTCCGTCCTTGTCGGTACTTTCGGGAGTGGCCTGGCTGGTCGTAGCGGGGTTGCTAGGCTGTGGTGTCGTGGAAGACATGATGTCGTTACTTATCGAGTCGGTACTTGAAGCAGTAATGGTGCTCAAAGTGTTACGAGGTTTGCCGTCTAGATCACGTGGAAGTGCTCTAGGCTCTCGAAGTAGGTTTATAACTAGGCGTCAAGCAGGGACTTAAAGTAATGACAATAATGATATGCAATTCGTAACTAATAGTAGAGTATACTAAATGATTGATCTTGAGCACGAAGCTCTATACAAAGGAAATCCATCTTGATTATATAGACCTTCATGCCTATGGCTAGTCAGGACCGCTGCGCGGTCCTGGACAGCCAGCGTTCCTGGACAGCCAGCGTTCCTCAGCGGTCCATAACGTGACTTTAATCACGTTACCTTGGTTTAGTCATGTGACGCGGCATAGAAGATAGCCGTTGTAACAACAAGTAGTATCACCGGAGTGATACTAATAATACATTATCTTTTTACAGTTAATTTTTGATATAAAAAACTGATTTAAAAAGAGATGGTTTAAAAGTGGAGCAATAGACTTATATAAAGATATTATTATTTTACTAACTCTATTTACTTTTAGAAATCTCGTTACTAATCTCAGTTTTTATACGAGTTATTGTCCCAACTCCTCCGTATACCCTTTTGAACAAGTTAGTATAATTCCATAGAAGCGCTATGCTCCGAATTCAATCATATAAAGGGATCATGAAGTCGAAATGATAGAGAACACTTACAATGCCGTGTAAACCTGTGCTACATTTGCGCCTGCATTCAAGATCTCCAGAGCTTGCTTTCCATTCGTGATGCCACCAGTAGCAAAAATCACTTTCTGATTATTACCCTTCGACTCTTTATTTCCTGTGAGGGATTTTGCCTTTTCAGCGATAGTGGAGACAAGACCGCTGTCACTTGATTGAGCAATATTATCTTGTGGTGGTCCTTGGTCAAGTAAAGCTCGATATCTCTTTACCAAAGATAATGTTCGAGAGAACATTGGTGGTCCAGAAAATCCTCCTTGTTCTTCGAGAACTCTGCGTTCTCTGGCAGAAATTTTGATATCATCGGGGATGAGCTTGTCCCTTCGGTTTGTAGTATTGCCCACGATCACACCATCCACGCCACTTCGCCATATAGCTTCGACGATGCCCTCAAGCTGTTCATCTTGATCCTCGTCAGGTGATACTTTCACCATGACCCTAGGCTTCGTTTTCCTGTCTACAGATTTGGCAGCTCCAACCACACCTTCTAAGATTCGGGATAATGGCTCAACCTTCTGTAATGTCCTCAATCCAGGCGTATTCGGGCTGCTGACATTAACTACCAAGATGTCGGCATATGGAGCCAATCTTTCCACACAGTAAACATAGTCTCTCTTAACAGCCTCGATATCATCGCCATTCGTATCCTTATTTTTGGCGACCTGAACCGCCAATAACTTCCCATCCAATAAACTTCCCGGAGGAACACCAGCTTCTCCATTAAGAACCATCTTCTCGGCATCTTCACCCACACCTAGCCCATTCTGATATGCATATAACCGAACCCGTTCCCTCAATCGCATAGCCATATCATCTGCACCCTTCGAATTGAGGCCATATCGATTGATCAACGCATTTTGACTAGGTATACGGAAGACTCTTGGTTTTGGATTTCCATCTTGAGCAAGTGGTGTACATCCGCCAACCTCAACGATCGCAGGACCCATAGCGAACAAAGCATCTGGAATCTCTGCCAATTTGTCAAGTCCCGCAGATGTACCAATTGGGTTTTGTAATTTATGCTCCCATACTTCTACGCTCAAATCCGCCTTATCTGTATTACCATTTCTGAAACTGCGATCGCGAGGGTGAAAACCGAACGAGTAGAGACTTTTGAGAGCTTTGGTGCCCATATGGTGAGCTTCTTCGGCATCGGAATATATGGCACGTAATGCGGGGACAACAAGCCATTGATGGATGCTAGCTCGGGTATCGGTGATGTATAAGTAGCCAAATCCAAGGGTGAGAGCTATCGAGGTTCCAAAGAGGATATTCCTCGATCGGGTGAGGATTGTGGGTGTTTCGTTAGTAGTTGAGGCGAAGCGTTTGGTAGATATGCGGGATATAGAAGAGGAGAGGGATGGCCGTGATATGCGCAGAGTGCGCAACAAAAGGTTTGACATAACGAATGTCTGGTCAAATTAAAAAGTCTCGGAATGAAAGTTGAGGAACTGACGCGAGCCAAACCGGGATGTTCAAAAATGTTGTTACATGCGTGTACACTGCAATAATTAATTCGATATCGGATGTAGTTTTTCCGTTCCGTCAGAAGCAATTCCACGACATGATATGACTTTAATGTCTCATTCACAGCTTGTATCAAGTATTATTCTTGAAATATAATTTAATCTATATATAATAACTAGAACTAGATTATCAAATAAAGATTTTCTGATTATAAATACAAGAAATTTGATTACTTAAATTACAAAAAGCATGTACAGGTAAAACAATACATGATGGTCTTTCATTATAGAAATGAAGAGGATATCATTGCATTACAAACTGTGCAAAAGATCGACTGCAGTCATGACACAGTGTGGAAAAACCACAAAAGAAGTGACAGCAAATAACAAACAGCATACTTGTTTCGAACACTGTATTATAAAACCAAACGTTTTTAAAACTTACGAGTGAATGTCTCCTTGACTGAGGATAAATCCCAAGTCCCAAAGTCAACTCTGTGAAGGATGAAATGAAGAAGATTCATCTAACTTGGTAAACTCCCACATCGCCGCTAGTCCTTCCGCTCATCTTCCTCTACTTGTAGCTCTCTTTTCATCATCGATTCGGGTAGTAAAAATTAAACGCTCGTCATCTGTAACTGCTCAAACTAGAAGCACTAAATCTTTGATTCTCTATCAAAACACAACATTTATCTCCAGTCGCTTTCGTAGCCACCTTTCATAAATTCCCAAAATAAACAATTCCTCCATTTTGTTCCTGCACTCCTAATCTTCCTCTGGTTCTTCCTCATCATCTTTCGTCTCTAGTGAGCCCTCCTCGACGGCTTCAGCGTCAGGATCAGGCCCATCTCCATTAATCTTCTCATGTCCATCCCCATTAACATCAATAAGGTTCTCACCGGCTTCCTGCTCCAACCTCAAATATTCTTCCCATTCAGGGAAAAGCTCTTCATCTTCACCGGGCACGCCAACGGTCTTAGCTACCCTTCCCTTCTTATCGTTTTCCAACTGATCTTTCCATGCGTGCACAGTTTTGACCGTAACACTAGGCTTATATGTTTGTGAAAACAGCACTGCTTCAGCCGCTCTACCAGTCTTGATCAATAACTCAATACATCCATCAACGTCTCCCAACTGCCAAAGACATGTAAACGCAACATTGTGAGCGCCTGCATCGCTCGCCTGTAGACTTAATGCTTTGAGTCCCTCTCTATCGCCAGTACTTGAGTGAAGTAATAAAAGTGAACCAAGATCCCTGGCATTTTTGAAGCACTCCGCGGCAAGTGCAACATCCCAACCAGCAAGTGCTGCATCACCGACTGTCTTCCATTTATGCTCGACATCTGCTTCACGGGCAAGTTCGAGGGCTATCGGAAGATGGCCTAATGCGAGAGCCAGCTCAAACTTATGTTCTTTATCAGTGGCAACCTCCAGCGCCAATTCCTTATGTCCTTGACCTTCGAGGAAACGGGCGATTTTATTAAGCTGGTCGCCGGGGATCGTGCAAAGTACTTCTGCGGCAGTGTCCATATCATCTCTCAAAACCAATGTCTGATACTCTACAACTGCGAGAGAGAGGGCAAAAGAAGTGACGTTGACATCTTTGTCGGCGAGGTAAATGCGAGAGTCGCGCTGAATGTATCCAAGCAAGTACATGGGTTGATCAAAGTGAGAGATGGTATAGGTTTGATCACCGACCAAGTAGTTCAGTCTGTTCGTGCTGTTGGTATAGATGAAGCAGTCACCTACCCATTCACCTGTTCGTACACTAAATTACGTTAGTATTGCGGGCTTGTGTGAAGTTAGTTGGACATACGTTTCATTGATATCCGTAACAACTTCAAATGCAGCCTCGACTCCATCGTCATCAACTTCTCCAGCATTCAGAGCCGCAACGTAATTCTCTCGCGAGAATCTGAGGACGTAGAAAGTATCTTCGCATGCAATAGCAACCAACTCTCCATTTTCAGACCAGTATACCTATATCAATCAGCGCTGATTCGAATTTCACGGCACGCATACGTACTTCCGTTGGCTCAACTTCAATTCTCCTGACCAGTCCACCGCTTTGCCAGTCGTAGAAACCAATACCGCCTTGGCCCTTAACACCGAGTAGAACGCCGCCAGTCAAACCTTCAGCCTGGAAACCAACATCAAGACCACCACTTTTCTCCACAAAATTCTTGAAGATCTTCACGCTTGTACCTGATTCCCGTATCGCGTAATCATTACTGTTGTCTTTCGAACCCCAAACAAAATCCAAAGCCGAGCCGAAAGCCTTATTCCTCCATGCAAGAGCAGTATAAATAATGAATTCGCCGTCCCCGCACACAGAAACGAATCGACCATTTGGAGAGTGAAGAAGGGTTTGTGGATATACTTCGCAAGTGCCGAGATCTTTCGTAGGTAGAGAAATTGGTTCATTGTCTTTCACTGAAGCGTCTACACACGATTTAGTAATAACCTCATAAGCATAAGGATAAACTTACCTCCGCCCTTGATGATAGATGAGACAACTTCACTATGTCTAGCCCAAATCAACTTTCCAGAATTGTCCATAGATACTGCAGGCTCCTCCCGACCCATCTTTACAACCACCGCACCTTCATCGAAACCCACGGCAACTCCCTGCTTCCCTCTTTGGTAACTAACACACCAAGCTCTCTCCAATCCATAACTCAAAGACTGCTCTAATCTGTATGTATTTGCATGCCATATTTTGACGGTGCCATCCTCAGAACCGGAGATAATTACGGGTAATTCTGGATGGTAGCATGCGAACGAGACATTGCTGGTGTGGCCCTCTAACGTTGCAATTAAAGATTTCGTGGTATAATCCCAAATTTTGACTGTCCTGTCGTCTGAAGTAGTGAGAAGATATGGTTTGTCGGATTGAGGATAGTAATCAACATGGTTGACACCTTTCGTTTCGTGGGCCTCCAGTGTAAAGTTTGCTGTGGATGATCCCAAACTCCAAATCTTTACGGTCCTGTCCAAACATGCGGACGCAAATGTATTCGTATCCTTTGGATTGATAGCCAGACCCATAACATAATGGCTGTGTCCCTCAAACACCTGCACACATTTCCAACCCTTGTCCCAATCCCACAGCTTGATTGTCATATCATCAGAGGCGGTCAAAACAAAAGGCTGCGTAGGATGAACAACAATGGCACGAATATAATCTGGATGGGCTTCGAAGGTGGTGATCTTTTCTGAAGTATTGTAATTGTAAACTCGTAATTGAAAGTCATCGGAACCGCAAACAATCCAATTCTTTCGAGCAATGAATCTACCAGCTCGGACAGGGACATCCGTCAACTCGAATGTCTTGACAATGGCCTAGAAATGATCAGCACAGGAGGGGATTTAGAGATGGATGCTACCAACTTGAGTTTCGTAAGACCAAATATAAACATGACCTGAAAAGTATCAATACTCCATTCCTAGACTTCATGCGCCCGTGAACATACCGCTGTAAAGTGTAGTTAAAATCCATGGCTCGACTGGATGGAAATCAATTCCCTTCACCCTTTCCGATCGTGCAAATAACTGCCTCTGACATTTGTAAACCGAATTAGTACTTGATGCCATATTTCCAACCAATACCGTCTCCCTCAGTTTGAGGTTGTTGATACTATCCTGATTCGCAGATATAACTAAAGTCATAGCATTTGACAGCTATGCCAATGTTGCAGATTGCTGGCAGGAAATGAATGATCCTCACCTTTACGTCCAATCTCATCTTGAATTATGTGTGGGAAGGGGGGGTAGAAAAAAGTAATACTGTGGCTTTCAGCGCATGTAGTGGGTGGTTTGACAGATGGTTCCTCCACGATTGAGTTTGGTGTATGATTAATCGCAGAAGTCAGGCGACTTGAGATCTTTCGCTTCAACGACGTAGAATCAACAATTAAGGGAAAAATTTGGGTTGGCGAAGAAATAAATGAAATTCGAAGTGGTCAGGATATATTTCAATGTTCCTTTGGAGTTCGAGATGTGGCAGCTTGGATTGATGCTGACTAATACTAATTTGGCTTAGTGCAGTAACCTTATTTCATTATCCCCAGAAATATTGAGAATGGGAATCACTGGTGTGAAAGATAATTCGAGCACAGAGATAAGGGATCGATAGGTACTTAATATCTTCGTTGGTAGGTATTTAATTTGTTCTCAACCGTTGAAAAAGGAAAAGGAAAAGAAAAGAAGAATATTTATTGTTCTATGTGAACTCCCATGTAGGCTGACCAGCTCTCCTCACCAACTCCACATTAGAATGAATATATCAGCATGGTGCAATTGAGCCATGTTCGAATTCTTAGATGGTCACCCTCACATCCATTCTCTAGAGTCTCTAGCCAGTTTAACTTCGCCCAATCAGAATATCCAAGGAACATACAGTCTGTCCCAATCTTCAGTGGTTCATCTATCTACATCAAAGTACAGAGTCACAAATGGTTTTAATATTTCATACTCATTTGCTTTATGGTAAAGGGTCTCACTTCAAGTTCATTTCCGAACAACTTCCAAGCTAGAGGCACAACCAAGTGGTAAACACTCATTATATTTACTATTTCATTCAAGTCATTCAGCTATCATCTATAGATAACTATACCACTTCCAATCAAAAGCGAACGGCGTATCCATAACACGCCGGGAGTATCGCTCAATATCCATATCATACCCATTCGCCATCCTAGAATCCTTGAGAAAACAAAAAGAAAAGCCCACCACCGCTCTACTCGTCGGCCTGAACCTTCTTCACAACCGCTACTACGTGAGGGAACAAGGGGTGATCGGACTGTAACCCGCAGACCTTCTCCACAACTTGTTCGGCAGAGTTTTCAGACATGATCTTGGCCAACTCCTTGGACTCCTCATCACCTTCAACGTTTTGGAAACGGAAGGCCATCTCAGCAGCATCTAATAGTGCAGTGAAGTCCTTTCCTTCCTCTGCAAGTTCAGCTGCCGGTGCAATGAATCGTTCTTTTCTGCTCAATTTGCGCAGGGGTGCACGGCCAACTCTTTCTACTGCATCTTCCAGATGTGGGTTTCCTATTCTGGTGATGATCTTGTCGACATAGTCTTTTTGCTCTTGGGCTTCGATACCGTGCTTGCCAACGATTAATCTGCTCGTCTCCTCTAGCGCAGCATGAACTTCCTTGAGAATATTAGGATCTTGTAGGGCGTCATAGACTGTGGCCTTCTGGTGGTAGTACCCGTGGTATGCAGCAGCTGCGTGTCCGGTGTTGACGGTGAAGAGTTTACGCTCAATGTAAGGTATTAAGTCATCTACCCACTTGATACCTTGAATGGCTGGCGGTTCATGGTCACTGAAAGGTGTGCGATCAACAACCCATTCGTAAAATTTCTCGAGCTTCACATCAAGACCTGCATCAGGATCTTGGGCGGGAACGATACGGTCGATGGCAGAGTTAGCGTATCGTGCGCGCTGGTGATGATCATCTAAACGTTCCTGAGGGGTATGGTCGCCTTTGATGTGGTTGGCGAGAGTATCAGTTGCACCTATCGCGTTCTCGCAAGCAATGACTGCGATTGGGGTAGCGTCATTGGAGCGGCCATCAATACCCTTGGCGATAACTGGAGCAATGAACTTGAGAATATTCGGACCAACGGAGCAAGTTACTACATCCGCTGTACGAATCTCCTCAATAACATCGGCTTCATGTGTTTTCGAGTTTATGGCGCGATAATTGGTAATGGTATCTTCGCTTGTTCCCTCTGCTCCAACTTGAATAACTTTGTATGAAGGGGTGGTTTGCAATTTCTGGATAATGCTGTCCATGACATCACAGAAGACGACTTCATAACCGGATTTGTGAAGCTAATAGTGATATGGTTAGCGAGGGTTCCAGCTTATGGTAAATCGGATACTGAAGTTTAAAAGAGGGAGGAGGATCAATGGAGTAAGGTGCATAGGCTTGATGAAATGGAGAGACGGAGATGGAAGGAGACTCACAAATTCAGCAACAAAACCTCTACCGATATTGCCGGCGCCGAAATGAACTGCTTTCAAACCCATAATGATAGATGATGATTAATAATTGGGAATATTCGAGTATGAAGTTGAATGTAAGTGATTTGGATATAGTTGTGTTTCCGAAGGTGGATGGAGGATTAAGTTTATGTATGGCGGGGTATGAGGGGATATGAGTCGAATTGATGGATGACTGTGTTGAAGAGAAGTATAAAGATAAATGGCGAAGTGATCGATACACGATACACGATACACGATACACGATACTCTTGAAAGATAAATTAAAAAGTGATGATGAGATTATAATTAAGAGTGAGAAAATCGGGAAAGAGTTGAAGTTTATATATTTGAGAAGCTGGATTTTATCATGTTGGTAATAAATTGTCGCAGGGGGGGATGGGGAAGGCTACTGCTGCTGTATGGTTAGAGGAAACGACGCCGAAAAGCAAGGTCACACCACTGTCTTGGCTTGTGCTGGGTATGAAAGCATCTCGGATTGGAGAGAGAAGGAAAATGAAAACAGCGCTAATCCATCATGAGCCATTTGCGGGGAAGGAATGCTATTGGTTGTGTTTAAAGCCATCAGCCAATGAGATCAGTGTTCACAGAAGAGAGACAAAGGAAAGATGACAAATGCTGTACACCGTCCAAACAAAATGAAACTATTCGGAAGTACGAATGAGAGAGAGTCGGTGCCATTGATTGATTCATCAGATCCATCAGATCCATAGACCATGCATTTACTAACGACAGGCTTCACTCCAGCCTTGAATGTTTTTATGGAGGATTGGGGTGGAGTTTCAGCCATTGAATCATTGGCAAGTGGTTCCGATTTCAATACGAAACTATGACGCAGTGCACTTTTGGCTTTTTCGGAATAAGCTGGGGATTTGATGGTGGAGAAGAGGAAAAGAAGGGGTGGGCCGGGGGATAAGAGGTTAAGAGGGGTTTCGCAATAGAGTGTACTGGTGTGTATTGATCCGTGTTGTTTAATCATTTAGGAAAAGATCAACCAGGTTTGGGTACGTGCATAGATAGATAGATAGATAGATAGATAGGTAGGTAGGTAGGCTAGGTACTAGGTACTAGGTACTAGGGACAAGGTACTAGACATACTTACTACTCTGTACTCTGTCCTCTGTTCTCTGTTCTCTTGTATTCCATGCTGTGGGCTGTGTACTCCCGCTACTTTAGTCCAGACCGTTCAATCGGGCAGTGTGAGCTTGGTTATAGAATGCCTACACTGTGCACACTGAACAATAGTATATGAGGAGAACAGAGCATGGCCGAGAGAAGTTTGGTAAATGAATATGTATGTGTACAGAGTATTTGCTGTAAATGGCCATATACTACGTACTCGGTACGACAATCATGTAATCATTTCACTCACCTACTCATCAAATAATTAGACTTTCTTTGTTTTCATTGCATGTTGCATATTCCGTACTCCGCCGTCTCTCTCGTATCTTCCTTCATGTGATTTCTGATAGGATATCCTCACAGCCTTTACTAAATCCGATCCACTTTTTGGTTTGACTTGAACCATTGTGATGATAACAGCGACCCACCAAATCTCACGACATCTTCCATTTTCCCACAACACAGATCTCGATTCAAAGTGCGATGCATGTTATTCGGAACACAGGTCATAACACTTCAATTTCTAGGAAGTAAAGAGTAGAGATGCTCTTTTATTCAAATCAATTGATTCAAAGCTCCTGTCGTTTCGGTCCTATTGTTACTATCACGTTCTACTTGTACTCGAAGAAATAAGATATAATTAACGATAGAAAAGATACAACAGAGTATGTATACTAGGTATATGTTTATATTTTTACATCTACATCCCGGAATCCCCTTTGTTCACCAGGAAAGTATTCAAATCAGCTCATATTGCATGTTCCGACCACTTACTACCATTCTCCCAGTCCCCATCGAATCCGGTAATCAATTTGCTGAATGCGACTGCTATTATCATCGCCATTGCTCGCTATCCCCCTTAACCTTACCAAACAAGTTGCAAAACAAAACATTCAACCAATTTCATACATGTAAACGCTATAGCCGCCAACCAACCGATGTACCGCTCATGTGTTCATTGTCACATTTTACCTAACCTTGGCTCACATGGTAGGCGTCATACAGCAGAATGTTGAATGTAACATCGTACCTTACCTTTTCTCCTATGCACAGCATCACATCGGACCTTTCAACATAGCCTGTGTTCGTCCCTTCAATGCCTTGCGCCATTCCTAGCCATCTGGTGCTGCTGAGGTGACCACGCGCTAATTCTCGTTTCATCCTTCTGTCCATACATACCTTGTACCTCCTTCACAAATCCTTCCAACGACATGTCTAGTGTGGTCTTCCAAATCTGCATGTTTGCCTTTTCTTGCTTCTTCTCCTTTTTGCCTCCCAGACTCATGCACCTATTTCATTTTCCTTACAATATTTATCTTGCACATGTGCATTCGATAGGGATCAACGGCCCGTTGCTGAGGTGCCAGAATATGCCTCATGAACAACCCCTGAGGCACAATTCTCAAGTGAGATTTCTTCCAATGAGGTTACCGTACACGATTGAGATTTCGCGATACCCAATTCTCTCTTCCGTACCTTAGTTCCAACACCAAGAGGTAAAGCGGACCGAGGGACCCCATTCTTGCCCATGGGGTTGAGGTTTAGTGCGAGGACGCCTACCTATCAATGTCATTGATTCTTTTGATTATGGGCTCCGACTTATTCCGAATGATTCTTATCTATACCTAACACGTGTCAAATTCTGTCGTTTCAACTCATGTTCAAATGCGAAATCTTTGGGAGGTGAGCACTGGCTTCACGACCTTTGATTTTGCTTGGTTGCCATGCACATGACTCGATCTGCTTCCTCATTACCACATGCGGACACATGATTATTAAAGTCGTCAGGAGGTTGAGATTTATCTTAGATTCGGTGTCCATTAGTACTCTTCTGCGGCCTAATTGAATTCGGTCAAAAATCTCTTTCAACACCAGACGGCGACCACAATTTTAAGATTGTCTCATCCATTCATTTCTAGAGGGGTTTCAATGTTGTATGATAGTATTAATTTCCAACAAAATTTGATATGAGCCCTTTGATAAAGCGTGGCCACTACTACCAGTCTTTGATGTAGTTCAACTGCCAGAATTCAAAATTCTTGCCACATTCCATGTGCTCTACACATGTGCATTCAGCGCCAAAGTTTGAGACCAGGGCAGAACCTCCCTCTCGTGTTCATGCTAGAATTCCAATGGTTGTCAACATTGATGAAGTTCCCGAATGTTCTTTCATGAAAGAATTTCTCCTTCCCCTGAACAATCGACATCCCCTCTCCCATTTCCTTTCCGCTCCTCAAATGTCCACCGAAGTCCACAGCCTGATTCTCGAAAGGTTTGCCACTCTTCAGTCTTCAGCTCTCAAGTCTGTGTCATTTTCGAGCCTCATTTCTTCCACTCTAAATGACGCTTGACCTGGACAAGTTTCCCGCGATGAGTTTTTGTTGTGGGATTCGCTAAAAGAAGGGGAAGACATCAGAACCCTTGATTGTGCAAGGTACTTCCTCAAACTCTTAAGCCCAGACGCGTAACTTCTACAGCAACCAAATAAATCGGAAGGAATCCCATTATATGGTTGAGAAATTTCATCTCTGCTTCCTAACGCTATATAACTATTTGCGCAGTATCTATATTAGGTACATCTAGATGGCGAATTGAAGCATGGGGTAAGTTCTGGGACTCGTACGCGAAATCTAGTCTCCTATAAACTCTCCACTCCACTCTTCAGAATTAATTAAAGAAAAGTATGCTCGCTTTCAACGAAGGAAATGATGATAATCTTTCCGAGGTTAGCGTGTCGTACACCACAGGGCATCGACGGAGTGGATAACTATCTCACTGCCACCGACGTTTATGTCAGTAACAGAAAATCTTAAATAGTCGGAGGCGCAGAACCCTACTACACACCGGTAACATGAGACAAGCAGAATGAATAAAAATGATTCATTAACTAGGTTATACGAATTGTACGTCACCTCGCTTTAAAATGACAACATGGATATGGTTTTACGGCCACGGCTGAAGACGATATGCTTATAGATGCGTTTATATCCTGCATTTCTATCAGTGTTAGCGGACGATGAATACCTTCCCAATTTTCCGTTCATCATGGTTATTGATATTTCTTTGTACGAATGGCGCATCAGGATCACTGTTTCCCATTTACTTGGGCAATTAGTTTTCGTAAAGTCTTACTTTGAATGATTGGAAAGAGCAGCCCAGAGTCATCGAGACTTGTTTTCCGTTTACCCTTTGTCACTCACAAACAACGAAAGTCTATGGTTACGGATTTTTGTCACTTTCATTTTATGCTGGCGGACAATAGAATTAGCAATTTCTCTATAGACATTTGTCCTCCCTCAATAATTCGTTGATAATCAACCACAAACTTGCATACCTATCAACATGACAGAAACACTGCGTCGCCGCCTCCTCCTCGACATCGCAGAACTACAAGCCAAACCATATCCAAACATATTCTTACATGTCGATGATGAGAATCTTAATCGCGCTTGCCTCGTCCTCACCGTGGAAGAATACGGGCCTCTACATATGAGACTTGATTTTCCTTCCGACTATCCGATTCAGCCCCCGATTATCAAAATTGACTCTAATATCTCTCATCCAAACATCATCAGGGGGCAAATTTGCGCCTCCATCCTAAATACTCCAGAAGGTTGGACGCCGGCCTATACCTTGAAGGGTTTTGCAATTCAGTTGCTCAGCTTCTTTGCAAGTGATGCAATCGAACAAGTGAATGGAAAGGGACGTGTATACTTGCGTGACTATCGAGCGAGGTCTAAGGCTGCCGATGGAAGGATGGGTTTCTGTTGCAGTAAGTGCAGCTTTGCTATGAATGTTTCTAAGAATGATGAAATTCTAATTCGTGATGGGTTCTCGACGATGGACCTTAACACGTTAGACCCGCAGGGTACATTTTCCAGAAGTTCAAATAGTCCTCTCAGAGAAAGCATACAAATATCTGCACTTCCAAATGAAGTTCTCTTTTTGATTTGTGATAAGTTGGATACGGAAGACCTTTTGCTACTTGCGACGGCCTGGGATAGAGTAGACCACATGGTCACGCGGTGAGTCCATCTCAACAATAACCACTGCAAGACGTTGGTAAAATGCTCACAATTCGTTGCAAGTTATGACCTAATCCGCAAGCGGGAACTGCAATGCTTTGTCTCCAAGCAAGGTTACAAAACGGCCAGCTTGGGAGTTGGGGTGTGGGTGACTCGGGAAGGCATACACAAAGGGACGCTTTCTTCAGAGTTTGATTTAATATCCCACGAGGCGTTTTGGACACATCAAATTCGCCGTTCAGTACAAGGCATCAAGTTTCGATATTGGCTTCCTTTACCAATTTCCGAAGGACATTGGGAGAGGATACAACCGTTGACCGACTGGAACCTGAGATTGATCAAAACAGCAGGGGGATTTGGTAATATTCCGCCCTTCAAGCTGATTTTTCATTTCATGAATGATGTGATGGTGAAGTTCAACAAGGATACTTTAGTAAACACAAACAATTCCTCTGATATAAACACAAAGACCATCCAAAGTACCTTGACGCATGCTTCGGAGAAAGCGATCGAGTCTTATTTCCACCTATTCCATCTACTCATTTGTCTTGCGATCGATGATCCCTCTGTTGTAGGATATGCGAATGATTTGATTGATAAATTCGTCAATGGCGGAACCTCCAAGTCATCATGTCCAAATCTTAATCATATTCTAATAGCGTCCCTGATCAGTGATGTTGAAGTATCATATAAAACTATGGAGACGATGATCAAGGAAGCCATTACACGGAACGTTGTGTGGATGCTTGGTGAACAGCCTGGACTAAGTTACATTGAGCCTTCCGAGGTTTCACAGTATCGCCTAGAGAAGACATTCGAGGCTAGCAAGACATCTTACAGGATCCTGATGTTCTTGAAAATATTTAAAACAACAGCAATTGGAAAACCGAAGAAACCTTTATCCCAGCTTGCGAATGAAGCTTTCAAACGCCATGGTGCCCCACCAAGGGGATCAGCTAGATACCTTGCAGATTGGACAAAGCGTATTCATCTCATTGCTTCATTTCCTGACTTCTTCCGTGTCATGGGCATGGGTGTTCGTCAGGATAGTTGGTTCACTAATTTTCTTAGAGAGTGTATAAATGATAGTATCGAGAAAGGATATTCCAAGATGCCAATCACTCAATCGCAAGCCTTGTATCTCCGTCAACTGGATGAGCGAGATGTGGATGTGGTAGATGATCTTCAGCCGATATGTACTGACATGTCCACGGCCATGTCTCTTTTTCATGAAATCGCAAACAATTCAAATGGTAATGGACATGGTCGAGGAGGTACGGTGGTTAGACGGTAGATGTCGCGGAGATAGATATTTACAATTGCAAGTTTTCCTTCAAAGTCGAGTAGAAGATAATTTTGCACAAGATAATTTTGCAAAAGAGGGTTTTGGGGGAGAAGGGAAGGTGGGGTCGAATATAGCATGAATCCCTCAAAGTGGACGCTCCGTCCATGTATAATAGCATATGTATGCCCTTATCCACATTGTCCAGGCTTGAGCATGGGTGGCCGAGAAAGTGGTTCATCGCGAGCTCTTATCAAGTGGATCCCTCAACATCATATCAATAGCCATCCTGCCAAATCTCCTTCCTATACCCTTCGGTCAAACGTGAATCTTCACCATATACCTCTTGCCACCCAACGAAGCCCCTGTCTAGCACATAGACCTTTTGTTCTTTTTTATCGGAACCATCTTCAACATCCTCCCATTCCTCGTCATCAACTTTCTTCTCCGTTTGCTCTTTGTTCTTCTTCATAGCTGCTCCCACGACTCCGGCGCCCACGCCCATAATCCTCTCCCTTTCGCGTATATATCTCAAGGCGGCACTGGGACCTCGCTGCTGGCTCAAGGCACAATGAAACACAACCGTATCTTTATCTTTGAGCTTTCGAACTAGTTCCGGGATCTTGTAGTCAAGGGTGGAGGATGGGACGTGGGTAGAATGTTTGATGTGACCGCCAATGTGATCTAAGAGAATTGGTTGAAATCAGTGAGATGCAAGATTGAAAGGTGTCAAAGTATGCACAAAGCATGACAGAAAACAGTAGTGAAGGGGGGTTACCATCATCGCGCACATCAATAATAGCTAGATTCTGCGGTGTAGAAAGTGCATCGAGGTTTGAAGAAGCGTGAGAAAGAATGATATCTGAAAGAGCTTTTGAGGATAATCGGGGAAGGGTTGCAACAGTTATAGTAGACATTCTGCGCATGTGCTGGTGCGTTGAGTGTCAGAGTTGTGTATTAATGATCAATTGGAAAGCAATTATTCGCTCTAGAGATTCAGCTCGAAGAACTCGGGGTGCACATAAAGCGAAATAAGTGAAATGGTAGAGTTTTGAATGTTGATGATGTGGTGATGTGGTGATGTGGTAGCGCAATATAAAATCGACATGTTTGAGAGTTGAGGCGTGGATTGAGTGAGTGGAATGGAGGGGTGAGGCTTATTTAAGGGATGAGGAGCGGGTGCGGGGTGTCGCGATAGTAAGATCTCACATGTTATAAAATCTAACATCAAATTTATATATTATAGAAATATCAAAAATCTTATATCAAATATTCTACATTATATTAAATAATTCTATACGATTTCACTTATTCATATATTGATTATTCCAAGGTCGAAGTAATCCAAAATGATGTAGATAATTTTCATTTGCTTATTAAATTTCTTAGATTCATTCCTTAATATTCCTATACTCTACTCTAATGGCATTTGCGCTACAGTATCACTAATATTAACCTTTAAAGACGGGAACCCCGCATTAGCTCATTGGCTTCCTCTTGAACACTGTCCGGCTCAACCCTCTACACCGTCTTCAAATGAAAAACCTCAATTATTAATGCTCTGGCTACTCGAAAGCTTTACATCAAGGATTGAGTATTGGTATCTTAGCTTGACATTGGTCGATTAGCACTGTTCGTCCCTAGATATTTCATGCCTTCAAATTGGTTTCTAGACAAAGCTCACAAAAACGCAAATGTTGCCAAATGGTCAACCATTCGTTGCAAACACTACCCCCAACCCTCGACCGCCTGAGATGGAAAGAATGAAATCGTCGAAATATTATTAACATTAACTATCTATGCTTCTAGTTTTGACGGACAATTTAAGGTTCCATACAAAATCTCCCCCACTACTTCTTAAACTGGGCAACGTCTCCCGTTCGTATTCCAACTATTAGGAAGAGAATCAACCGTCTGAATTTCCCAATCCACCGAACCAATAGCGGTGAGGGCAAAGAACACGCCCGTAGGGTCATATTTTTGCTTCATCGCATACAGCTCATCATAATTGGTACCGTAGAAAGCGACCGTTTGATTAGGTTCAATAAGATCACCTTCTGACATATAGGCGCCCGAGTCGGGAGCAATGGAACGAAAAACATCCATGAAATCTGTAACGGCATAGGTGACGGTTTCGATTTCAGCCCAGGTGCTTGTAGTCTCAAATTCACCTCCAACGATGGTATGCATGATGGCATCACGCCAAGCAGGCAGAACAGAAGAATCTGTTGGTGGCTCGACTGCAATACCGGTTCCCGAAACGTGGAAGCCTGCGATGAAGAAGCCTTGTTCGATGGCTGATTTGTGAGCGGCGAAAGTTTGATTGCGAAGATCATCGTCTGCAAAGACAGAGCGAGGCATAAGGCGAGATGCGGTTTTGACAATGTCAGTGCCGACATATTCTTCGGGGAAAGAAGGGACCCATGCATCATGGCTATAGATGGGTGTTAGTATCTTCAGATTGTTATGGTAGACAAGAAAAAGATGTTTCGTTATGACTTACAAGTTATCGGCGTGGTTGTACCAAGGAGTATAAGTAATGTTCAAGCTATCTAGGACGTCAAACCATGGTTTGAGAAGTGCTTGAGTCTGAGCAATGGTCATGTTTGGTGCAACGAAAGATTCCATACGGAAATAGTAGGCATCACTACCACCAACATCGGTTCCAATTTCGACGGCGCTAGCCCCAAGGTAATAATATCCATAAGTACCGGCATCAACAAAGGCTTCAGCATTGTCGATGTAAGCTTGAACACCCCCCCAGAAAGAGTCATTGCCAGGGGTGTCTGCAACAGTGAAGTTGAAAGTAACGGTAGTGGTTTCGAGTTGGGGGAGTAACTTGACAGTAAGAGATGTTACGACACCAATGGTACTACCCCCGCCACCGCGCAGCATCCAAAAGACATCGGAGTTGGTTTTAGAATCGCAGCTGATAAATTTGCCATTGGCAAGAACAACCTCCATAGCCAAGACTTGATCGGATCCCATACCGTACATACTGCTCAAAGGTGAGTGTCCCCCACCAGCAATATAACCACCACCCATTCCTACAGTGGCAGCTTCACCGCCAACTACACTTCCTCCCAAGGTCTTGGCATATTCATATGCCTCGCGTACCAGAATGCCAGAACCAACCTTGATAGCAGGTCCAGTGTAACCATTGGCAGCTACAAAGTTGGGGTAATAAGCTTTGTGTTTGAGATGATGAGTCCATATGGTGAGTGCACCCTTGCCAGATGCTTTACCGTTGAAGTCGTGACCGGTATTCTTGATCACAAGGGAGAGATCAAGATTTCTTGCGAAATTGACAGCGAGTTGAATTTGTGCTACATTTGTGACGTTGACGACATACGTCGGATAACCACCTTGTTCACAGATGTTTGTGTAATTCAACCCAGGAGGCATACAACTACGGCCCTGGTAGATGGGTAATTGAATTGAGGTTGGATCGGCCTCACTGTGTCAAAGTTAGCACTTGTTGAGAGTTGAAAATGGCTTGAGCTACTTACTGGAGTTCCGAAGTTAACCAACCAGCTGTGACTGATGCACATTTGGTTGCATCATATTCTGGCCAATCTGGGTAACAGACTGCAGCCAAAGGAGTACTTTTGATCAAAGCTCCACCAAGAAGGACGTCGAAAATATCCCAAATTAAATTAATAGGCCACAATGCATCGCCAGGGAGGAGCTTGCAAACTTTTGTTTTTCGTTTCGAGAGGGTGGAATTAGTGTCGAAAGCAAAAAGATTTGAGATTGATTCATTGGCAATGGCAGAAGCAACGGTGTCGAGGACACCATCAGTCAACTGAACCACTTCATTGGGGAAGAGAGATGGTGTAGAAGTGGAAACCACCGTGGTTGTAGCAGGGCTCAAGACTGTGCTTTGTGCTGAAACGACCCCCAAGACAGCGGCGGCTACCGCTAGAGATGACGAGTTCTTCATGCCTACAATTTATCAGCGACAATGGCGAAACACGGCAAGCAGATATTAAGGTTCTTAGAGAGACTTACCTGTTATGCAAGACTAACTTTCTTTTTTTAGATGAGAGAGAGAGTATGTGGACTTTTCAGGACTTGGAATGTGAAATGCGGCGTGCTCTTGAATAGAGGGAATGGGGGCCAACTATTTAACGGAAAATTCTTCCATAGAGAAGTCTAGGACTCTAGGACTCTAGGTATATTGAGATTCATCTTAGATTGAAATCTTGCCATCTTCAGACTTCGGACAGTACGGCATCGAACACATCATAAAATTTGGACAGAATATAAATTTGCCGCGGATGGCCATTGGTACTTTCGGCGCAGACACCTGAAAAGATATCGAATCCACCCCGAGCCCTGATCGACCGGTCGTTGCATCTGAGGACTAGAACCAAACTGAGATTGGGGATATGGGTCGTGTGGAGTGATAAAGACGGCTAAGCATTATTAATACGGGTACTTTCAAGGTACACTGGTACAGGAAGAACTGTGCAACCCAGCACCAATTCCAACACTCATCAAGCGAGGTATAATTTTTGTGCTGTGCAGCTGTGGTTGAGGTTTTATTAGATGCATTCCCCACTCAGTCGAGCAGAATCAGCAGAGAGTGGGCCGAATATTCGGAGTACATGATCGTACTCCATAGCGTTGCAGACATCGCTCCGCATCCATAGCGCAAATGAATTTTGAGCGTGGATTTGTTTGGTGTTAACCACGTTTTTAAGCCATGTCTACCAGGTATCTCGCGTGTAGATAACCAGCATCACTACTTTTGTACAAGGTACGACGATAACTTTAGTCGCTACTCGTGCCACTCTATCTTCGCTCCGTTAAAGGTTCAAGTGCACACGCAACATTCGATTCCTTTCGGGCATTAGTTTGCTAATTCTAGAACTTATAAATTGCTGAAATTGATCCTCTGCTGGCTTCATCTAATGTACGAAGCACGGCTCCCAAGTATCCACTGCCGTATAAGCTTTATCCAATGGCCAGTGGTTTGCGGACGTACACCACGGTCTTCAATGCGTTGCATGGAAAAGCCTATCGTATTGTTGAAACTGGACGAATTGGGGTAGGCTATCACAAATATGGAACAGAATTCCGTAGGATGAGTCGGATGGAGTATGATTTAAACAAAATTGGGGCACAATGTTCTAGTTTTGTTTTCACGTCGGCCCCTTCCGGAGGTTTTACACTTTTTGATTGAATATTTCAAGTGAACTCTTTCAAATGTTTTATTAATTATATCCCAAGCAACGCATGACTAATTTTCGTCAAGATATACTCTGTATAATAATCTTTCAATAATTACATTCATTTGATTACGAAATATATCAAGTAAATATACTTTTGCTATTCAAGAAAAAAAATTATAGAATCTTTTTTGTTCATCAAAACTTCGGATGTATTCAAATAATAAGAGATATTATTTGTTGAGTATATAAAAATGAAAGTTTTTGAAAATTCTCTTTCACAAGTTCTGACTCTTTCCCGCCACTAGCTTTGTCATGTAGCGGGAAGCCCCATCATAAACTAAGCTAATTGATAACTCGTGCGTCCAGAAGGTATAAAACCCGCACGGCTAGAGGAGTACTTGTTATTATTGGTCAAATTGTCCCATTTTCAAGGGTTCCTTTCTGTCTTCATACCGATGTAGGGCTCAACAAACTGCAGCACGAGTATTTTATCAAAGAAATGCATATTTTTTCTAATGGATTCGGGACGCCACTGAACCAAATTGGTGACTTGTTGCGTAAACCCTTGACACATTATTAAAGATTAATATGCAGTCTACGCTAAGACCCTTTGACTCCTAGGAGTGTTTCCACTGTCGAATCGTCGAACGGTTAACTAGATCCGCCAAATATAACTATTTTAGATATAACACATTGATATCAAATATATAACTGCTGACATCCATGTGTACAGACACAAGAAGACAAAATCCCGCCCTCACCTGCGCCGTTGAGCTCATTTGGTGGACTTTTTTTCTCCTAGTCTAGCACCGGTAATTAAGGTGACACCTTCCCATGTGGACGCCATCTCTATGTAGTGCATGTTTACAGCGTCGTAGTCGGCAGATACCTAGTATATATTATATAGGTATAAAAGTCTTCGAGACAAAAAGGGGTTGCAAAAACTTCTATTTAACCCATGTGCAACAACACCCCTGCATGTCCCCATTGCCCACTTTTGGCATTTGTTACACAAACCAGAGCTTCAAAATTTAAATCGCGATGCAAAGAAGAAGCACAGTACTCCACAACTTACAAGGCCTTGATGAGTGACCCTGGTCTTACGGTGCGGGAATTACCTTTCCGCACCCGAACTCCTGGGTACAGAACAAATTTGACCTCGGAGTAGCATCGTACGATAAAGGAGATCAGCTAGATCCATATTGTTGCTCTTGCATATACAATCTCTCTCTTCCATGGAGAAAGGTAACATTCATACCATAGCCATATTCGAATTAGGTAAATCGGACGACCTCATTCAGACTTAGACGGACAACCATATCAATCATTATTCCCAACTAGCTGCATCGTTGACTGTCAAAATCCCTGAATTTCAAGGCTCCGTTTCAAGTGTCGCTCTCAATCAACATTTCAATATCGATATTTTGACTGGGTTGTTTTCGCAAGCTATTAAGACTTTTCAAATCCTTGTAATGCCATGTGCTAATGGACCCTTTCTTGTTTCCATCTGCCTCTGCTAATTGTATTTACCACATAAATGGTATGTTCATCGCCGGCGTGTATGGTCCCATATTTTGATGTTCATTCTTGTTTCTCTTTTCATTCGTGTCAGTGAGGGTGGCCCGTCGTCTTCTCCATCCACTTTCTTTACCTGAACCCCAGAGGAAGGTTGTGGCTGGTTCACCGACAAAGTATGGCTACGAGTGCTGTTGATGTTGCGGATCTTCCCCACGATAGCCGTCAGAGCCAGGCATTCGCTTTAACTTTCGTATTTCCTATTATCGCTACGATTGCGCTCGCTTTGAGGTTGTATAGTAGATCTTTGACCAGATCCTTTGCTGCAGGTTAGTAAGGGATACAAGACATTCTCACTCATGGTGATAATCAATACTTGAATAAAACACTGCTAACATTGCGCAGATGACTGGGTCATTTGCTTTGCGATGGTAAGTCTTACAGTTTTTAGTCATGAAAGAGCATCCAACAATGGATTATCTTGAACACCCGTCGATACGCCTTTGGACTTGCCATTGCCTTTCGAGTACGGCATGCTTTGATCTCTTGGTAGCGGCTTCTAGCAAATCTTTCACTGAACTTCATTCTAGATTCTGTACTGGGCAGAGACATATACTTCATACAAAGGTAAAGTCAACCCTTGACAGCCTTCGTAACGCACGAAGTAGCTTTCTAACAAGCCGTAGTGGTAATATACAATTGTATCGGGATTCACATCTGGGACGTTCCAAAGGATTGGACCTCCGTGCCTGGCGCAAAGTATGGCTATGCAGTTAGTCTCTGACACAAATTCTTAACCATTTCCTTTGCTAATATCTCTAGACGGAACTTCTCTATAATCCCATTTTGGCCCTCGTAAAGACCTCCATCCTCCTCTTCCTCCTTCGCCTCACCGGACAAAAGACTGATGTCAGACTATCGATCATTGGTCTCTTGATATTCAATGGTATCATGATGGTTGTGACGTTTCTGCTCACGACTTTTCACTGCGTCCCCATTGCAGCAAATTGGTATCCTGAGCTGTACCCTGATGCTGTCTGCATGAATTTCGCGAACTTTGTTACCGGCACAGCCAGTGTCAGCGTTTTGACCGATGTGTTGGCTTTGTGGATGCCAACCTGGATTGTCTATAATTTGCAGATTCCGCGAAGTCAAAAGATAATGCTTGTTGCTATCTTGTCATTTGGTCTGGTGTAAGTTTTGTTCAAATTTTACCATCCCTTGGGCAAATCCGATTGTATCTGACATAATACTTTAGGACTGTCATAATTGGCATAATCCGCATTGTCCTTCTCGATACGTTCGATCGAAATCCACCTGCGGATCTCACGTACTCCATTTTATTCTGTGTTTCAACCATCGAAGTCGGCTTATCATTCGTTTGCGCTTGCGCACCAGCACTTAAACCTATCATCGTGCGCATTATCCCTAAAATATTTGGAGAAAGTAGTCGTTCACGTAGCGCCAAAAGATCTACTGAAGGGAATGGACAGGGACGGACAGGTCGGCGCCCGGAAGGTTACGAAATGAGCAGGAGGACGGCGCATACAGAGATTGAGGTCGGTGATATAGGGGGAGATTATGATAAGATGAGCGATATCACTGATGCGGAGAGTGGCAAGGGAAAGGTAGACGGGACACACAAAGGTCAGATGAATATTGCAGTAAGGACAGAAACTGAGGTGAGGTGGCATGATAACGTATCTGTAAGCAACGGGAAGCCAGTTAGAAAAAGCGGTAGTAGCACCGAAAGTCTCGTATGAATAATTAATGGATCACGGCTAGATTTAAACCTGTAATAGAAAATCTCTATCATTTTTAAGGGGTTTCGGTCATCAACTCTAATTCCGTCTATTCTCCACGATCAAAATCACCTACCAGTACAAAGTTTTCTCTTGATCTCAGACGTGCGCTATACATCTAGCCATGCCATCCATACTTAAATTTCCCTTCAAAGCTCATTCAATTGGTATCTCGACGTCTCTCAAAATGCATAGCTCTCATTTGTCCAACACGATAAATCCCAATATGATCAATCACTTTGCACGCTTTATGATGTAATAATATTTTGAGAATTTTAGAATTTACTTACCACACACCATTCGAATTCGAAACAAAATCCCTGCAAAAAGTATTCTTTCTTTATACAGAATTCAATATCAAACACATTTTCTAATAATTATGTAATATGATATTTTGTTAAAATTTCCTTAAATACAATAAACAATTTATCAACCTTTTTGATCTCTTTAATTTTGAATAGGTATAACTTCAAATTAAGATTGAAATTTTTTTTATTTAATTTTGATTAAATTTGAACTAATCAAATCTTTTGCATAAATAAATAAAAAATCTAAAAAGGTAAAAAGAATTATTAACTTTGAGATGATATTGTTCAGTATCTAAAAAATAGATTTCAGAACTCTTTTTCTTTGTACCTTGCCCTGCTTCTCAAGATAAACCCACACCTATCCCAGAGAGAAACCGATCGCGAACGCCCAGTGTGGAATAATTTATCTTGGACCGACACCAATCATAGATAATTTAACATAGACATGGTGAATGTCACACTCAAGAATACTGGGTAAAGTATCTTGTATTAGAAAATACTAAGCTAAGGAGAAAAGAAGAAGGAAAACAAGAGTAGAGATTGATTGATTGATTGTGTTTATCGTCATAGGCCGTAGGCTCACGCGCCTTGGCGCGTGATAACCTTAGCCATCTATTCCAGTTTTGGACAAATGACGCTCAGAGGAGAAGCCTCTGAGTGGTTTACTAGCTAGCTAGGGGGAGTATTTTTATACAATTTAAAGGGGGCTAGGGCAGGGTTTACATGATTGCCTTCGCAGGGGGGGTTTGGGCCGGTAGGCCTTTTGGGGTTGTAATTGTGGTCATCCTCGTCCACTAGATCACTACCTCTTGATCTCTCTCCCTGTCTCCTCGTACTTGTTTTGGTTGTTCGTATGCATACTTGTTTTTTTTTTTTTTTTAATGAAAGAAAAGGGAAAGATGAAAGAGAGGAAAGAAGAGGAAGGAAAAGCACCCTTAGAGACCTATTAACTCCGTTTGAATCCAATGAAAGAAAGAAAGGTTTTTTTTTTTTTTTTTTTTTTTTTTTTTTTTTTTTTATCTTGCACCTGTGTGCCACGGGCAGATTTTTGTGTAGAACTTGGTGTATTCTAGCCATTCGGCTAGTTTGGCTATACCGGTGGAATTTCTTAGAAGCCAGGGGATAGCTTCGGAGGGGGGGCTCTTTGTGAGCGCTTTGAAGGCTTTTCCTTTTTTGCAAAAGAAAAAGTGTAATGGAGTTTTCCTTTTACCGCACGAGCAATGGACGTAGGCTGTAGTGTGATTGAAGCGTTCATGGTATGCTGCGAAGTCGCCATGCTGTGATCTGATAGCGAGAATATGGTGGAGTGTGGCTCTCTTCAGAGAGAGGGTGTCTGTATTAGAAGTGTGGTTGAGTTGGAGATCTTTGTAGTATTGTGGGCTGACTGTATTCCATAATTGTTCGTCTGCTTTGTTGGCCCTTGTTCTGATCATTCTTTTTAGGGATGCTAGCGTACAGATCGGGTTGAGGGGAAAGGGGAGTTTTGTTCCTTCCTTAGCGGCTTTGTCAGCTATTTCGTTGCCAGGGATATCCAGGTGCCCTGGGACCCATCGGACGCGGATTTTCCCGGGGGAGGTGTGTGGGAGCCTTGGTCTAACAGCCCAAGCTTGTGTGAGCTTCAGAAAGTCTTCAAAGACTCTCTGTGAGGAACCATTGAAGTGGGATCCTAATCGGAGAGCAGCCTCGTGGTTGTCTAAGAAGATCCAGAGATCTGTGGCCAGTTTGGTTGATGCTAGAGTGAGGGCTTTTGCTGCCCCTGCTACTGCGGCTGTGGCTTCTGCATCGAACACTTCTGCATTTGTGCCTAATGAGAAAGAATGGTGTGCTATCTGAATATCGAATTGTGAGATTACGAATCCGCCCCCAGTTGCGCCATCCTTGCTTTCACTTTTTGAGCCATCCGAGAAGATTTGTATATCGCTTCTTGGGATCTTGGCGTGGAAGGCTTTGAAGTCTTCGGCTGCTTGTGCCTTCGTTCTGCCCATCGGACCATTGATGCGGGCCTCGGCCTCTGCCCAACAAGAGTAGAGAGTTTTCCTGTGATTAAATACAAACGGGGCATGCCACGTGACCCGGAGGTGTGAGGCGTCACAGTGAAGATTGAGTGAACAGTAGGCATTGATTCCTTATTCAGAGGAGGAGGAAAGTATATGTCGTCTCAAACATGATTACTAGTTCCAGCCCCTTTACGTGTAGCGGTATTCGCTTGGACATGTGCTACCTTGCCACTTTATCAACTAGCAGCAATACACTAGCATATTTCACAAGCGCGATGTACATACTACGAGTATTTAGACAATAGACCGGATTACTTTGTATACACACCCACCCCTCGCAAAGCAAGTAGCTGTCAAAAATTGTTCGTTTTATTTACCATGGTATCTATTCAGTTTCATTCTCTCAGTCTTCTCCACCGACACACTAACTAGACCAAGCTTTACCCTCCCTTTTCAATTTTCACAACTGACTATAAGAATCATCATAACCAACAAACACAGGCTATCTCATCTAGAAGTTACAAAGGATATCAATCATCTATCTTCAGCGCTTTCCATCCACGAGCTCTGCATCCTTGTATCAGCACGTGACAATGCTCTATTTGACGTAGACATACGCTTCTCTGTCCACAGACGGAGAAATGTAAATCGATTGACTTCCCTTTTTCTTCACCTAGTATCATAAGAACACAAACAAGTTCACCCCAACTCCAAGCTTCAATGCCAAAATTATGCCCACGGATGCCATTCATGGCAATGAGATATTGTCAGAAATTTCCCTGCTCTCATTTTCATTTCCAATTTCCCCTTTTTGTCTCCGTACCGACAAGTCATCCATCGCGGCTACTCGCTCATCGCAATCCTCCCAACCCAATCCTCCTTCTCAACTCCATGATCCTCTGTCTTCCCACTGGATCATCCCTATATGCAGCGGCACTCAAATCTGCCAAAAGTTGACCAATCACGTCTTTCTGCACCTCCCCTCCAAAAACCCTTTTGTTATGTCTCAGACAGTCCTCATACCATTGTTCCGCAACATAAACAATGTGATTTGCAAGAACTATCCTATTGGGCCCCACGAACGGATTGACTTCATTGTAGAACATCCCTTCCAAAATATTGATGATTGTGTCAGGATCGAACGACACGCTGAGGAACAAATCTGGAACCCAGTTCAAGGGACCTGGGTGTTCATGTTCAGCTGCGTATGTTTCGACGAGGGGAATGAGGATACTTGGAGAGAAGACAATCTCGTATCCAGAGAGCTTTTGCGACATCTCCCGAATAATGTTGACAATAGCTTCATATGGGCGTTCGTTTTGTGCCTGTGGGTCTTCCTCTACACGAGCTTGTATGGATTGTAGAAGTTGTTCCCACATAGTCTTGATATCAGCCTGATTGTGGTGATTGGCTGCAGCAAAAATCTGAAGACAGATGTCGTAGTATTGGCCTTGGTCAGCGTATTCATTGAAAAGCTGTAAGAAGTTAGCAGTTATAAGCAAAATGTCAAGGTAAGGTGAACATACGACAGAGAGTGGTTGAATGGCACCATCCAGGTCTGCCACTACATTATCTTTTCGTGCTTGAGGAATCCTAGTATCGGCTCTCAAACGTTGCAATAATTCATGTTGAATATTAGCAACGTCAAGTAACTCGCCAGCCTCATGTAACATAATTTGTCGTGCTTGTCTATGAACTGCACCCCCTTGTGTTTGAGCGTTTGCTTTGGCTCTGCTCAAGTATTCGATTCTTCTTTGCAAGGTGATTGGAAGTTCACTCTTAGCCAAAGTAAGTTGTACACCGGCAGCGGCAGAGTAGTCCTCTCGATGAACGTAGTATCTCCACAGTAAATCGGAATTCTCCATACTTTCGCTAGCAGTCCGCTCAAGATATTTGACGATGAAGGGAGAATCAGTGGCAATGATTCTATCCATCCAGCCCTGTTCAAGGTACCAATCAAATAGATCATATTGGAAGACCTCATCATCTGAGTCATCAACCACTTGATGCGCTTCTTCGCGCATTCTAGCTGGAGTGGATTGTCTACCATCGACCATTTCTGGTGCGTTCCCAGTGTCGTTGTCGACAGCAGTCAGGATTTCCTTCACAATATCGTAACAATCCTTGCGAAAATGGAAGAAGCTTGCTCGAGGATCGTCGGCAGGTCTGCCATCATTAAGCCACGACAAAGCTTTGTTTCCACGATCGGATTCGTGGGCAACAAGTAACGCCAGGCTGATGGCACCAGCATAGAATTTGTTGGCGGCAAATTGCGAGCAAGCGCTATACAAATTGTCATGGGATAGAACACCCGCGACCTCCTGAAACAATCGAACACTCTCGTTGAGGAGTGCTCTCCCGTGATCAGTCGAAGGGCCGACACTGGTTGCTCGTTGCAATTGCTCCTGAGCCCTGAAAATAATGACATCGTCAGGACTACAGAAAGTGCCACAGCGTCTTCTAAGAGCTTCCGCGACCGTGTCAACATTTGACCCTTGAGCGATGTTGCGGTTTACGATCTCCTTCACCAGCAACTTTGCCAAATTTTTTCCATTATCAGTGGAGAAGAGTAGCTCGAATGTTAGTTCTCGAAGCTGTTTTCTCGCTGTATCATCCAATGCAGCCCATATATCATCAACTCGTTCCTCGAAGAACATTTGCACGAAAGATATTCCTTCCACAATGCTAGTGTTAAGGATTTGTAGGGAATGCAATGCTTGATGTTCGCCTTGCAGAGCAATGTCCTCTTGCTGACTTGTGACGCGGTTGAGACCCTCAGGCCCAGACAGCCCTTCAATGAATGTTTTGTTGTCCTCTAAGAATTTTGACAATTTCATAAGTTCATCCTGAACCGCGGCTAGCTTCTTTTTGCTAATTCTTGGCTTTATGGCAACCACCTGATTGCTTGTCTCCAATTTTATAACGGGAGATTTCCAAAGGCTACGGACCAATCTCGCCATATATAGGGCGAGTCCGTCGTGTCTCGAGGAAGGTCGTACATTTTCAATTGCTTGGGTAGGTCCTTCGACAACCATGTTCTGGTCCATAGATGCACGTCCACCATGTTCGACGAATGCTCTTCTTGCAGCTTCAATCGTGTCTGGGTCGACTATCCTCCTCTCTCCAACTATTGAGGCATCACCACCCTGTCCACAGGCAACGGCCAAAGCGGTCGCAGTTGTCTCTCCTCTACCATATTGCCGAATGAACTTCTTAATTTCCGTTTCTCCGTCATCGAATCCACTTCGAATTGCAGAGGCAAATATATCCACAAGACGTCGACGTCGAACGATATGAATTCCAGAGTTTGTCATAATAGCGACTTCCGGAGTAGGCAAGTCATATTGAGTTGCGAGCTCATTTCCAAAGCCTAGGGGTTGCTCTGAAGCAGCGAATGGTTTCGTCACAAGACCAATGGCCTCAGCACGGCTACCCATCTCGAGCCAGAATGCCGATTCGCAATATCGCAATCCTTGTTGAACGGCCATATCTCTCGCTTGCGCCGCTATGCGACCCGTATCTGGAGCTGACAGAAAAAGAGCGTCGCTCCCATCACGGGTCTCTTTGGAAACAAAGCAAAAGAAGAAACCTGGAGGATATCTTAGACCTTTCCGTGTATGAGCTAAAGCTTCGGAGCTGGTCTCAATTGCTGGTTCAAGTCCCGGATAAGATCTGTTTCCAGCTCGATCAAGCCTGGGCGGAAATCTGATGTGTTGAACCTGCATACTCTGCGGAGCACCCTGACCGCTTTGGAAACCATAAGCGTAACCACGAGTTGCACTGAGAAATATCCTACATCCAGATGTGGTAGTGGCCATAAGATGAAGCTTTATTCCTTCCCTTGCAGATATGGGACTGATTGAGACGATTCGCATATGAGAAGACAAAAGAGGCGTGGGAGAAATCATGTGAGAGATATCTCTCAAGACGTCTTGTCGCTTCTTCTCAATGACTTGTGTTAAAGTAGTAGCGCTATCCATGTGGAATGTTCGAATGGTGGATTCGGAGGAAAGGGTGTATAACAGGCGACGGGAATCATCGATAACCATATCCACTACAACCTCGGTCGTCGTCCGACCCCAAGGTATGGGAACCAAGGACGTGTATCCAGGACTCGTGTGATTGAGCTTTCCCGTTCTATTCGAGAACCATTTATCTTCATTTTGATATGTAAGTTCATAGACTTGGTTAGCTCCTCCAGCAAAAAATATGCGCCCCGTATCTGCTGATCCTTCAATTACTGTGACATCTAGTCCTCTAATAGATAGCGTCATGCCCGTTCTGTAAAGCTCCAAGGTTCTATTTCCATGCTCATCGACTGCATTTGCGACACCCAACAAGATAATGTCTTGAGTGGTTGCGACCACCACGATGTGCGTAATAGCACTAATGAAAACTCCTCTGCGCGGTACAACCAGTTTCACAGCTCTAATACCGTTTGGCTGATCTTCGAATCCTCGTAATGTTGGGTTTGGACTTGTATAGTCCCATAGATATAGCGCATTGTCGATAGCAGCCCAGGCATGGTTTAACTCGGCGAAAAGACCCATTGAAGTCCCAAAAGCAGCATTATTGTATTGGTCGTAAATCGTGTCGGGAATATCGTACATTCTTATCTTTTGGAAAGGAACCCAGGCAGGATCAGAGGTAGGAGATGGAAGTTCATAGTCGGAAGAAATGCCCTCTGCGAAACCGTTAGTTGTATTTCATGTAAAGAATGTAATGTACACCCACGCTTGACATAACTGTCGAGGTCGGGAAAGCTCGATTCTCTTTGTAGGACTTCATTGATGGTTTTTGCAGCTCGCGACATAGGTGATAAGGGTTGCGGTATGATTTGAGCTTGAATTGGAGGAGGTATTGGACCATCTCGAGGTGGAGTTGGCTCACGACCAGAATGCGGTTGCGGTGGTCGAAATAGAGGAGGTTGCGGTGAAGGAGGTTGATTGAATCTCGGAGGAGCAGGTGTCATGAAATATGCACCTGGTAAAGGCCTTTGTGGTGTCCCCGGAAGAGCCATCTTTGTTTTATTTTGCTGGCTGACAATTAACCAATCTCCAGATAAATGCTGTCGCGAGAAGGAATTCTGCAGAAGATAGAATTAAAGATTAAAAAAACTTCATGAAGAAAAGAGCGATTGAGTCGTGATGATATGATAATCTTCGGAAGTTGTGCGATGAAGGCAAAATGGCTGTGAAATTCGAGGTTGATCGAGGCCAAGGTCCTTGTTGTATACTGCAGCTGTTATTTTTTTCTGTTTAGAGCTGCAACTCTCTAGATGAGCCTCGCGACGCGGTCGAAGCTTCCAGGGTAACTCTTTATTTAGAGTCACGTGACATACAAAGCAAAAAAAAATTATAAGATTTCGATCGAGTTTTCCAGGATTGTTTGGAATATACTAAAAAAAAAAGTAACAATGGATGCAAGGGGAATCAAGGTGAAGATGACAGATGGCAGAGGGAGATGTGGGATATATGTCTACAATTTTGTTAGTGACCCTTTTACTTTCGAGTAAGAAAGGTTTCCTCCAATTCACTTTACAAGCAATCGATAGAGTAATAATAAGTAAGTGGCCGCGAATAATTATCATGTGGAGCCATGCCTTTCTTCTGATTATTGTATTCCGTATCCAGCCTGCAACAGCATAACTGCGTAATCCATGATGGACATCCATTGTTTTTGGCTTCTCGCTCCAGAGTAATCAGATCAGATATATAACTCAATGGTCCTCGTGGGTCCCTCCTCATCATCATAATCCTTCTTCCATCTACCACCAGATACCTAGCATATGCAGCGCGTATATAGCAATTTGATAGCTCATTCCTTACCGCGTCTGCAACGCTCCACTGCATCATGACTCCTCATCCAGTAAACAAGGGATTGTTTATCGAACTCAGGCCTTCTTGGCATCCCTTTCAGCCTTTTTCAAGGCTCTGGCCCTGATACTCTGATGCATAACCTTATTTTGGTTGACCACAAAAGATCCTCCAACACCCAACGTATTCTCCAACCACCACTGCATTAACGCATGGCCCCAGAATGGTGTACTTGTATAAGCAATCTTCTGAGCACCTCCACTTCTACCAACCTTGGCCAAAGTAGTCTTGACAAATGTTCTTGGGTTTGGTATAAACAGGCTGGTACGTCGAATCTTGCTCATTGCGGTTGTAACGAGGTAGCTCAATACCAACTCTACGTCGACCCCTGTACCCTCAAGTTCACCTCCGAGAGATGTCGACCATTGTTGTAAGAATGCCTTGCTTCCAGAGTAGGTGGCCAGTAGAGGAGTAGGCAACCATCCACCAAATGAACCCATAGTTAAAATCAATCCTCGTTTGCGTTGAACCATTCCAGGTGCTACAATTTGAGTAACCCGGAGTGTACCTATGCAGTTGATGGTAATAATGTCCCTCATCTCTTCCTTTGGAGTTTGAATGAATGGAACTGGAATGCTGTGGCTCTGTCCAACATTATTGACTAAGATTCCTACGTCAAGTCCATCAACAAGAGCTTTCAATTTTGCATAATCCTCGTCCCTGTTCGCAGCGAAATCCATTGCAAGAATCTTTGTTTGAATATTTGAACCAGCATATTTGGTTTGGATCTCGGAGGCAAGGGTTTGAAGTTTTGATTCGGTACGGGAGATGAGAACGATATTGAAGCCTTTCTGGGCAAGTTGAATTGCATATTCTTTGCCAAGACCATCGGAGGCTCCAGTTACTACTGCCCAAGTTCCTTTCTTTCCATAGGTACGAAGCTGTTATTGTTTTCATTAGCCAACCATTCAAGATCAATCCCAACTCAAACAGTTAGTTGGCTTATGAACTTTTCAAGGATCCTTACATTCTTTCCAGATAGGACGAATAGACTTAATAAAAGCCGTATATAGCTGATGACTTTGCCAGCGACAATGAAAGCTCCAATACCAGCAAGCCCGGTGAGGACAACTTTTGGCACATGTGACAGGATAGTATCGAGAATCATTTTGTCAATTGAGAATGAATGGAAAGGTATTGGTATGAATTGGCGGAGGTTGGGGGGGGGGAGAGGAACTTTCTTGTTGTGAAGAAAGAGAGAGGAGATATAAGAGGTGAGGAGAGTGGAGAGAGGGGAAATATTGAGATTAGATTAGCTGCTAGCTAGCTAGCTACCTAGATACCTCCGTAGTACTATTGGCAGGAGCAAGATAACTTTACCAAAATAAGTAAATTTATTTATTGGTCGATAACACGGGACGGGGACCAGTTCCGAGCCCTTGTACAAGGCTGAACTTTTTATTTTTTGTTTATCTTCACTTCATCCGCGCTTCATACTTCGTACTTCACACTTCATGTAAAATGTTCGAGCTCTGATTGATAACATTACATTTACTAATCACCACCTCATATACATCATTCCGTCAGAAATCATTTTCTCAAATATCCCCAGCCAATATGAGTTTGCTCACTACTCTCACCAGCTATCTGCCTCAACATGAAGGTGTACTTCCTCAATGGCTTCTCTTCGTGAGTATCACCCACTGTTCTTGTACATAACTTCAGGACTAACCCCGTTACATCCCTAGATCTCCATAACCTCCCTCTTCAATACAGTTCAATGCTACTTCACTCTCCACTTTAACTCCCAGATCTACAACGCAATTCCTACATCCAACACCACTCCCAGCAAAAGCACCGCTCAATCCTACCCTCCAACCACCTCCGCGACACCTCTCTCTTCTCGTACATTCGGAACATGGACTCTTATCACTGCGATTGTGCGTCTTCAAGCTGCATACTACATCAGTAATCCACAAATATATCAATTGGGGTATGCGACGTTTATTGTTGCCTGGTTACATTTTATGGGTGAGTGGTTAGTGTTTGGTACTGCGAAGATGGGGAAGGGATTGGCAGGGCCAGCGGCGGTATCCACCGCGACGTTGATCTGGATGTGGATGCAGTGGGGATTCTATGTTAAATAAGTGAAGGGGATGGGAGATGTCCATATTATCATGGCCTGACAAAGTTGTCTTTGGTCCTCTTGGTGAAGCGTCCTATATTCTTGCGATTTGGTGCAGGGTTGATTGAAGGAAGAAGGATCTCTGAGTATATAAAATATGAATATAGATGGAACATGTGTGAAGAGTCAACGCGATGTTTGATTCGAGTTCAGGACATCGGGTCTTTGGTTTAGCTTCACAAGATTCCAGGCATCACTCATATCTGCATCTAATTTTGATGTCGAAATTTATCTTTCTTACAAAAAATGAGATGAGTATCTGTGTTTACCATTGAACTTACTGGATGTTTGGTTTCACTGAGTGACAGGAAGCTTGCGGAGGTCATAAGGTAGTCTAATCTGACTGAGAGCTGGGCTTTACAGTCTCTAATTAGACGATACAGCTTGACACTGAAAACCTTCATATTATAGTATATCAATATTCAACTCATTCTACGAGTAAAACGTCTCGTTTCCAAATATACCTTCCATATTACTATTGTTTTCCATGCACATCTGGCTATTCCTATTTCATATCTGAGTCTATGACTTTTCGCGTACTTCAGTCGCGGGACTCTTCATCGTATCTTCCTCACACTTTTCTTAACTTTGCTAGCCACATTTGTACTTCTTCGCGCACTGCTCTCGGAGCCCTAATAGCTGCCCATTTTTCAAAATCCCTCGCTCCAGTTTAATTTTCTTCTACACCGAATCATTACTACAAAATGGCATAGGACACTCAGATGAATTCTTCTTCTTAACTACTCAGCTATGTTTTATCTTCGCTACGATTCATGAGCGAAAATGATAATTATGGTGGGTGAAAATCACAAGATAAACATGGTTAAAATAGAATACATGTGCCCTGTTCCTGCTCGGTTAAAATCGTTGTCGAAACAGTCTCCCGTCGTGAAGCAGGACAACATAATTGGAATATTGTGGGAATGAGTTGTGAATGGTCAGCGTCCCATACTATTATCGCATTACCCCCTTGGAAACTCTCTAGAGTTTCTATCGTTTCACAGGAAATAGAAACATTGCACCGAAGTCAAAATCGCGAAAAGGATAGATGGTGCAGTGAGCAATAATCACCTTACAAAGCCAAAACACAAGTATTGGCGAATACCAATCGAGTCTCTACCATTTGTCAATACATCGTGTTTTCGTGCGGGAGTGAGTTTTATTTTCTTAGTAAGATATTGTTAAACTAGTACAAGTCTGCAGCAAAGCAGACCGAGCCGGACAGACGCTGCTCCGAGATTCGTTGTGTAAAAAATAAAGTAACAACGAACTAGACGAACTTCGTCTCAACGATCGACTGACTGTAGATGCAATCTCAAATTCGATACGCATAAAAAGAAAACACGAACTGAACCATCAGTGAGTGCGAGTAGCCCAGAGAACGCACATTGATGGTGAGGTGATCTTTCATGTTCAAAGGGGGCGATATTATGGATTCCAGACACCAATTTTTCTCCGTTGCCTAATGATCCGTCGATGCGATACTGAGTGACTGATATTCGCAGGCAGTTCTCTGGCACGGGAAAGGTTTTCAAAGTTATTGCAGTTGGTATTGTGTTATCGTTCCTCATAATGCCTTGCGCCTTTTCCTCCCTCCATTTTTTGTATTTCGTGGTATTGAGAAGTGGAATGAAATACTCCTTCGCCACGTTTCCTTGGTCTGAAATGGTAGCTCCAGCTGGGGGGCATTTTCTTGAAATATCCCCAGGGTCAGATAGATGGTCAACATGTTCTCAAGTGATTTCATAGTTCAGTTACTGAGATGGATCCAAACGAATTCAAAGGCCTTAAGTTTGTGTTGAGCGACTTTTATTCGGCAGGTCTTCCTCTGAAATTTCGACATAGATTATTTTTCTCCTTTGCATTCGATAATACTCAAGCTGGAAAGCATTGTGAAAGATCTGTTGATTTGAATGTGGCTCGTATTTTTTCCTCGTCTCATTGTAGATCCAGATATCATCCAAGGTGGCACAAAAACTGTCATTGTCCCTTCTACTTTGTGGATTCCTTATCTTATGTATAACACCTGCTGTATCATATGAGATGAGACCCAGATGGTCAGGGAATCGTCGTGCACCCTCGATCGAAGCTCTATGTGCCGGAGGAAGCTCAGCCCTGGAATGGATCTCCTCACACCTTGTTATTCTAAATCTTGGCAATAGCTTGTAGTCCTTGGCAACCTCCTTGGGCGAACGATTTGCGAAGTATGCAGCCAACTGCTCGTCATCAGTAATGGCGGAATCTGCATGACCGGCAACATAAATGTTACTGTTTTGAGGCTTAAGATTTGGATGCTCCTAATGAATGTCAGTGGATGTACTCATGTTATGTAGCCAAGTGATGAACGAACATTCTTTAATTTCTCAATCATCTCCACGAGCTTCTTCCGAGAATCCATGGAAATAATCTCATGCTCCTTGCGACAGCCATCTAACTGGTCAAGAAGTTGATTTTTCGAGGCAGCTCTCAAAAAGTCAATCCACACAAGTTCAGTCATTTCTGGAAAATCATTCCTGAAGTTGTCCATGTTATCATCCTATAAGGGACAAATATTAGCGTTGATATTCATGGCATTATTTGAATAGTAACACTCACTAATAACTTACGATGTTTGTTAAGGACATCCTCTATAATGTCGTCAATTGCGGCGAGCTTTTTGAAATGTCTGTCAACGGTTTTGAAACATGCTTGTAACTCTAGATAACATTTTTCTGCCGGGCTTGATCTTGTAACTGTGGGTGGATCCATGGTGAGTGCCCTTTTAGGTAGATTGGAGTTACTAGTGTTTATTCCATCCTGTAGAGCATTAGTATAGCTTCTAGAGGATGTGGTGAGCTTATTTGTAGGACAGGGAAGATGGGGAATAAGGAAGATGCGCGCCGGTTTGGATATTTTTAGGCAGATTCCACATCCTTAATAAATTGATAATAGAACTTACTGCGGAATCTTGTGATCTTTTTCTCTTTGATATGGATTTTTGAGAACTTGTTTCCTCCGTTGAAACCTTTACTAAGCATTTTCGCTCAGATTGGCTCTCCATTTCCATGCTAGACGGCCAACAGAAGTCAAGAATTCCTTGGTTTAACTCTCAGACTGAAGGCAAATTAGAAGATTGAGTTGTTGTTAAAGGCAAATTGAGCTTGAAGACAGTTGTGTGTATTATGAGGGAAATGGGTTGTGCGATTTACAAAAGCAAAGTGCTTCTTTTAACAGGTTTGTTAATATGTTTGTTAACATAGCAGAGAGTGATTTACAGTACGAAACTTTGACAGATATGGTTTAATGATTATGGGTGGATACTAAATTGGATTATGATTTGATAGACACAAAAAACTAATGCTTGGATAATGATGTTAGTAAAGTTTATACTGTAGGGATAATAAGGTTACTTGTCTGGACAACGGCCAATGGACTTTAACACACTAACTTCCCTTATGCTACAAGATGTAACAGGAAAGTTTTCAGTATTAGACCGAACAGAGGTGATTGCTAAATGAGAAATGATTTGAATATAACAGAGTGACTTGAGTAGTTTAAATTGAAAATACCAGCCCATAAGGTTATCAAAGTTGAAAAAGGTATTGTGGGAAGTAAAAATGAAAATGAAAGAGTAGAAGCAAGGAAGTAGATGAGCTGAATTTCTATGTCAAAGAGTGAATATGTAGAATAGCAGGGAAGTATTGTGGGATGGAGGAAAGTGTAAAGCAAAGAATAGTAAGAGAGAATCAGAAGCTCTTTTTCTTCTTTCCTTGCAAAACTCTACTGTATTTCTTTCTGTACCTCTTTTCCCCTTCAAAAATTGACCAAAAAATGAGGCTCCCCAAATTCCTCATTCTTCTCCGTTTTCTTATCCCCACTCTTCGAGCAAAATCAACGTTGCGAGCGACCTCTTTGAGCTTTCCAGTCGAAGTAGTAGCACGAGAAGCACAATCACTCTTTTCTCCTCCACCCCACAAATACCTACCTTAAATCCATGGTATAATTTTAAAACTCGAAGTAAGATCATGCAATAAAATTTCTGTTGACTAGCAACTTTTAGCATTGAGGCAAAGTTAGCAAGGTGTTAAATTATATCGATCAACAACTAGGAGCAACGACCATCAGTCATACCTAGCTGTTAATGCTTTTCACTACTTACAGATAAATGATCTTGGAAATAAGTAAATAAAGAACTAATAATCGTGCTCATATACATATGATACTTGATGTAAGCTGTGAATGAGGGGGATATCAAGGTAGTCTTTTATTATTAATTTTGAAAAATCCTTAAATAATAATATTAATAGGAATTTATTATATAAACCACTAGTATTGATACTAGTATTTCAATATAAAAGATTATATATTATATGTTAAAATGAATAGTTCCTGCGTAGCACGTGCACAGGGCACTAGTCCTATTGGGACTAGATTGAGAAGCTCTCTGTAGGAGAGCTTCGTACTTCCGTAGAACTTAGATGAAGAGTGATTAATACACTAGACCAATATTACCTCAGTTCTGCCCTATCAGCTTCCCACTATTCCCTGTGTAAGTCATTCCGTGTTACATATCCTACATACAAAAGACTAATTATATAGTAATAATTTCAAATATATATAAGGAGTTACTTAAATCTTTGCAAGACAAGAAAGTTATTACCACCTCGAGAGCCTAGAGCACTTCCACATGATCTAGACAGCAAACCTCGTAATATTTTTATGATGAAACTACTTAATAATATAGTAGACAATATATCAAGAAGTCAAAATATAAAATCTTATAATATCCAAGAAGTTAAACAACAGCTAGCTATCTATATCCACATCCTCATTCTACTGGTTAGTATAATTATACAAATTCAAAGCAGTAAGCGAACTTCAAACAACACACCACACGATTATTAACCTTAACTCTAATCTACAATATGACTGCAAAACCATCACATCTAATCAAATCATCTCGAGTTCAAATTCGCTTACTAAAGAACCGCTGTAATTGAGTACGGAGTATTGATTTCCAACCTCGAGATAAACAAGGTTACATATCACATGCCAAATCCTACTCTTTCATAATGCTACCACACCTCCCAAGTCCAAAGCCCAGCCCCAACCCCAATCCCAACCCAATATCGCAAACCACACCCAAACCGTTCATCCGAGCAATCAATCCCTGTACATATCCATCTATTCCTCTCCTCTCCTACAACACCATCTCACATTCCCACCCGCCTTTCCCCCCTGCCCAGCTAACCTTTAGACAAAGATCTACAATATCTAGATCGACATAGTACTGCTTACATCTCTTCAACCTAAGAAACGTTCGCACAGAGGGAGAAAGAGAATAGCGCAAACAGCGGGAATATATATTATTTCTAAATAATTTATAAGGTTTATATAATCTTACTTCCGGATTAATACACACATACACATACCTACACATACATAATACTCCATACCTCTGTATTGAATGCCTCCTACATTATCCATCCATCCATCCAGCCATCCAACCACACACCATTAAACAAATAAACAAACAAAGACAAAATCACCAAACCTGCAGAAACTGCAGAAACTAATGCAAAAATCCAATACCGACAAATTGTACTACTGTACTACTTTTCCCGGAAGAAACAGAGCAAAGATCAAGAGCAAAATTACACTATTGGATGCAAATATACTAGAGTAGAAGTAGAGAAATATTACATTTAGTGACACACACATACATAGGTAAGCTTATATATAAAATCAATTCTTCAAATGGTGTGTGTGGGTGAGGTGTGGTAATCTTAGTTTAGTTTTATTTGAACTACTGTATGTACTTCCATCCCATCACTTACCTCCTAATCCATGGGCCATACATACCTTCTGATCAAAAGCCAAAGATCCAAGATCCGAGATCCGAGATCGCGATAGCGTGCAGCTAGCTATCTATACTATATGAAGAATTTTCTCGTTTCTTTTAGGGGTATCTAATATATACATATATAGTTCATACAAGAGCCTTATGAGTTAGTCCACTGTTAGAACTTAAAGCTTTAGATCCGATCGATCAGAAATTTTCCAGAAAGCGGGTAACCTACTGTACCTGAGCTGAAATGTAGGGCTAGTTTTCTGTTATGTACCTACTCTTAGTTATTGGTATTGTATTGAGAAGGAACAACAATCTAAGACTTATATTATATGATATGACATTACAATACGCAAATCACATTAATGCTACTATGGATGGATGTGCTTTAAAAGCTAAACCTACCTAGTAGCTTTCTTTGATTTATGAAGAAAACTAGTCTCTAATCTCTAATCTATCATCTATCATCCAACAGGACGGAAAAATATCATTTATCCGAAGACAGACAGACAGACAGTCAGTCAGTCAGTCAAAGACTAATAATAATACTATAATCAACCTTAATATAAGAACTTAATTTTTATAAGATAAGATAACAATACGAGAAGAATCACTGATTTAATTTTTGAATTAATTACCTATTTAACTGAATTTAATGGGATTTATATGTTCTTTACGGAGTACATGAAATGGATTGAAAGGGAATAAAATTAGAAACCTAGAAACTAAAACCAAATATTTTAATCTTAATACGAACGTGTATACATGAAGTGATGATGAGATGTAATCTTAAAACTGTAACGACTGTACACAATGACCTTCAATGACGCCCTTGCCGCCGGCCTTGCCATTTGGTACTTCATCCAATCCAATTCATAAGCCGTCATAATTCGTAACATTTCTTTCTCTCAGAAAGATTAACAATATGTACCTACCTACTTACAAACACCATTTTAATCATCCAAATTTTCCTCAAAATTACTCTTCCTCCTCGTATCAGCCACCTGTGCATTATGCATACTACCGGCACCGACACTATCCGGACCAAAATAATGGTGTCTACCCTCGCCCACTCCCTGCGGTGGCGTCAACGGGCTAACTATCCCAGGTCTCTCAAATGGCCCACGTTCAAATCCATGCTCATCATCATTCGGTCTCTCAACCTGTATATCTGGCATTGGGGGGTTTCCATAATCTCCATCTACACTCACGCTTGTATCACTAATTTGTCTCAAATGGCCCCTATCACTTTCTGCCACGCTACTAAGATCACTATGAATCCGGTCTCTCGACGTATCTCCCGCTTGTTCATTAAGTGTTAAACTATCTGCACGCGCGGGAGAGATAGGAGATGGTCTTAGACCCGAGGTTCGTGACACGGTACTGGCTTGAGAGCGATTGGAGCTAGCGGATGGGGAATGGGCGATGGGGGTTTGAACGCTGGAAATATTATTCCAGACGTTAGACTTGGGGGATGTAAATACAAAGCCCGTGTTGTGGAGTTCGGAGGGACGGGATGTATCTAAGTGAGGATAGATCAGAGATTTGGAATGAGGATTAAGAGGCGAGGGAATACATACCGTCCATTTCGTGAAATTGAGTATCACCAGGCATCTCAGCAAATACGCGTGTGTAATCAGTATCAGCTTCTGAGGATATCGCATTCAGCTCTGTTTCATCTGTGGTGACTGTAGGAGCTTTTGCATCTCTAGGTGTAGCATAAAGCCAGCGAAGAGTCCGTCGACGATTTTCAGTCATAGTTCCAGCTTCGCTTTGTCGTTCTGATCTTGAAAGTCCAAAAATCTTGCGACGCCGATATATTATGAAGGCTAAGATGAGAAGTGTGATGAAGAAAAGACCCAGAACTACACCTAAAACAGGTCCAAGATATGCAGGCGTTCCTGATTTAGCAGCAACCGCTGAAGGAAGCAGCGTTGTTCGGTTGTTGGTAGGAGTGGATGAAGCTGGTGTGTATGGGTACCAATTAGTGATCTTGGTTGTGTTGTAGGCAGTCCCTAGAAGTTCTGTCATACTTGAATTTGCGAATCCGCCTGAAGGTGCGGTTTGTGTAGCGCTACCAGTCCCGGAACCCCCAATAACGGAAACAACCTGGCTAGGTACAGTATAATTGCTCCAAACCAGAGGGTCATATGAATCCAGCCATTGAGGATCACTCAGATTGAATATTTGGATCATACCACCTTCAAGGCATTTTGGTATGTAGCCACTCAGCGAAGTGTAGCCACCTACAACAACCATTTGATCTGGGTATGGCTTGGCACATTTATGTCCAGCCCGACCATGAGTACTGTTACCAGTGTAAACCTTTGTCCATATGAATGAGGGTATCGAAAGAACATATACATCATCCGAGAAGGGTTGTGTAATATGAATGCCGTCATAACCTCCATACCAATATATATTGTGACTTGAACCATCTTCGGCAGAGGCAACCACAGTGCATCCTTGGGTCAAAGCACCAGGAGAACTTCCAGTTGTTTCTTGTTCGTACCAAACTTTCTTGGAAATGTCGTAGATGGAAACCGTCCTCATGAAACCTGGACTGATTTGGCTCTATCGACAATCAATAACTATCTCCTATGGTGGTGAACTAACAACTTACACTTTGGGCATTAATAGATTGATTGTTTGCTTGGGTAATACTAGCATAGGTAGGATCAATGACTCCACCAACTGCGACTAGTATTCCCTGCTCCGAAACTGGAATCCAGGCAATCTCAGGATTAGCACGGCCCGGAACAGTCGACGGTAAAGACTCGTTATACCACTTTGACGAGGTTTGACTCGTCATATCAACACTGATCAAAGTTTGAGATGTCACGTTTGCTAGGTAGGATGCATTTTTTATGCCCGGATCATTATAAATATCCCCAAAGTCTGCGGCTCTGTATCCTGAAAAGTAGTATCCTAGATTTTCAGATGGAATACTGACGGCTCCTCCATAGGTAACATATCTTGTTAAGTTTGTTGGTAGTTTAATCTGCTCAAAGTTTTGGAAGAATTGCTTGCCGGGAGTACCATCCGTATAGACTTCGTATGATATAGCGGAATCTTCGTCTGGTGAAGAGAAGGCATCTGTGAAAACCAACATTCCGCCATATGTGTACCATTCAAAATCATTCGCAAACATTGCTCCATCAACATAATTTGGTCCCAGATTGCTGGCGGATCCCCCATTCGGCGCCTTGGATATAGTACTAAAGATAGTACTAACATTGTCGGATATATGAAAGGAAGTGTTAAAGTTGAGAAGATATACGAGTCCAAGAGGATTTCCTTGCAGATAATGAGTACAGTAAGAGAATCTAGCATTAGTACTTACCATCAGCAACAGGAGTAGCGTATGACCCATCACTCAAGCCAGGCTCCCAAAATAGTTGTCCTCCATCTAGATAAAATGTATCTCGCACCACAGCAGCTAGTATTGTCAGTTGCTATTTCAACGCAAATATTTCAAACAATAGAACTTCTTGCAAAGACATACCTCGAGGAGATGTCCAGTAACACATCGTTGCATTTACCTGATCCAGAATCCATCCCGCTTCTTGACCCCAGCATAGTGGGACGAAGGCTCCAATCCAGTAGATTAGACGCGCCTGAATCATTATGAATTATCAATTATGAAGGTTTCAAACCCTTCTTTCCGTGGTGGCCTTAAGAATGAAGAGTGAAGAGGCTCGGCGCATCGCAAACCAACTTCTTGAATCGTGAATGTACCGTACCTGCACGAAACTTTTCTCTTCCCACTAGGACGTCCGTTGACAAGGTTCACCAATGAAGGCCGATAAAAAATACTTGCCACTTCCGCCACCGAAATCGGGGATGCTGTGACTTTAATGCCTGACTTTCATTGAGAACGAGCAAGAACTCGGTGTCCAAAGATGTCAATTCTTCTGACTGCAGCATCAATCAATGTACACGCACGGAAAAGCAAATGCGACCCTCCCATCGGCTTCAGTGACCTCTCATGAAAATGCCCGCTTTGGGTAGATTAACGCAGCTCGACTGAAGACTGGTGGGCTGAATGCTTGTACTTGCATACTGCAACAGCAGGGAGCTTAACGAACGATTTGACAAGGTATAGAATATTGATCCAGATTGGGACTTAGCCTTAATCGTCCCCTGCAGACCATCAGCCTTGTGTGTCTAGAAAAAGATTCAGCTGATGCCAACGCAAACCCATCCGACGTCTATCGTACCCAACGAAAAGTACCTACCTAGGTAGGTTCAAGAAGATATAAATATGACCTGCATGTCTTCACGTCCAATACGAACGGGGCGTTCAATGTGTCAGAACATTAGACAGCAGAAGGTAGTTAGTTTTTGAGTTGGTTTTAGGAGGAAAACACATTTTTGTGTCTCATGGGTAGTTGCTGGATCATAGGGTTCAAAAAAAGCCGAGAATGATAGCGGCAATTTGCCTACTCGGTCTCCGTAGTGTAACGATGCATTGAAGTGGGAAAAAATGTTGATGCTGGCCAGAATCATATGGTTCGGCACAAAATTCCCTCTGAAGTTAAGATTGCGAAAGTAGGAAGGGAACGTAACAATCTTCCTCGTTGCTTACTGCGTCTTTCTTTAGTATCCTCTCTTTGCCTGACGTGGGTTGTCAAGCTACTAGTGGATAAGAAATTCGCCTGATAAGATAAATGGGTTAAACCTAATAAGGTAATCATCTGGCTAGACCATCATTCCACCTCACTAATACATAAATTTCATGTAAGTTAATAATTAGCTAGTTCAATTCTATCTGAATTGAATTCAGACTTCGGATTTTATTTACTGTATTTATACTAGACATATTCTCACGTTTTGACTCGTACAGTTTCCAATTGCAATTCACTGCTGTCTCTTTACTTTGATATATGATGTATACATCTCTGCTAGCCCAGTTTCTCTACCTTCAGCTAATCACAACGCTAAAGCCCTATACGCAACCCTTAGCTCTGAACTCTAAAAGCCTCAAGACTGCTTGGTATCATTGGGATGAACCTGAATGACTTCTAGAATAGCTCAAAATATACTTACTGATCTTGCAGGGGCAGCGTCGAGGTATCCCATTTCAGGTGACAACCTGCATAAAGTTGATGACAGAGGATATATATAATATTACCCGTTGATCGAGTCTAATTTTTTAAATCCCCTCAAGTTTTATGTGTATTTCTAATCTCGAGCTCAAACGTCAATGAACCATTCCCCTGTCTAAGCCTTTACAAATTCTTTCTGTACAATTCTCCGCCACAATCTCTTAGTTTAGCAGCAGCCTGCTCTGGGGTGATATCTCTTTGTGGTTCGGCCATCAACTCATAGCCAACTAAGAATTTTCTGACCGTTGCACTTCTGAGAAGAGGAGGATAGAAATGCATATGCAAGTAGGAGGCATTGATCTCTGCTTCGGTACCCTCTAATGGAGCTTGGTGGATACCGGAACCTGTTTGTTTGTTAGCCCAAGATATTCTACGCGTGAGGAAAGGAAACTTTGATGAATTTACAGCAAGAAAGGGATAACTTACTGTAAGGAAAGCTCGTCTCGAACAAATTGTCATATCTCCTTGTGACCTCTGCAATGGCCTCGGCAAATCCTAACTTCTCCTCGTCGTTCAAATCAACGAGACCTCTCTTGTGAGTCTTGCTGATGATCATAACCTCAAATGGCCATGTAGCCCACCATGGACACACTACCAAGAAGCTCTCATTTTGAAACACGATTCTTTCTTCTTTCTCCATTTCAAGCTTCACGTAATCTTCCAGTAAATGACGACCAGAGTTTTCCTGGCGGTATTTAAGAAGATTCACGAGTTCAGAAGCAGGCTCTTCCGGTAATCCGGTAGTAGTCCAAATTTGTCCATGAGGATGTGGATTTGAACAACCCATTGCGGCACCCTTATTTTCAAAGATTTGCATCCATTTGTATTGTTGATTTGGCGCTCCAACATCGTGGCCTGATGGTGCAAGAGTGGTAGGTTGGGCAACGCTCGCAAGAGGTGAGGAGGGAGATAGATGTGCGGCGTAAATCTCTGTCCATGTTTGAATGACCGGAAGAATCTGAGCAGGAGTGAGGTCTGCGAGAGTGAGGTTGTGCGAGGGGGAGAAGGTTAAGACGTAGCATTTTCCTGTTACGGGTTCGGCCCGTAGAAGGATGTTTGAAAGGTCTAGAATATTGACGCAATTTGTCAGATCTCGTCTTAGTTTGTTAAAAGAGGGACAACTCTCCAAGGAAGGGGAAGGGAAGAGGCCTGAAATGATAGAATGGCAAGACAAAACGGACCTTTTGACTCCCCATCTTGCGCATATTCAGCTTGAACCTCCTTGACCGCGCTATAATCATTTACGAAAACAAAAGTATCTTTGTACTGCGGGTTTGAATCTCCTTGTGCTCGTTTATTTCCTGGACACAAGTAACACTTTGAGATAAATCAGTCTTCGGTATCAAATTCGGAAATTTCGGCATACCGCGGGATCATATTCAGGGAGGGTAATCTTCGAAGCGGCTTCTTGTTGTCCTCTTTTATGTATGTTAGCAATTCGTACGGCATGAATGCTTTTGTATTTTGAGGAAAGACTTTGGAACTTACTGCCATGGTCTCTTGGTTCGATGAGGGGAAACCAGAAGCCAAGTACCCCGCAATGGGTTGAATCTTCTATGAGAGATATCATCAAGGATCTTTTCTGGCATATTTCTTTTTTGGAATTAAGGTAACGCCAAAAATATGTACAGAAGTTGATGCTGCAGAAGGAAAATGGTTTTTTTTTTTTTTTTCTTTCCAATAAAAAATAAATATCAAGTAATCTTACCTATGTGTTCTTCCAAGGTTTGTTTTTTTTATTAATTAATAAGTTCCTTCCACTTCTGGTTGCTCGTGAGGTGATTGATTGCTTACTCCGCAAAAATGAGTAAATGGCGGGGATTTGACCCGTTCAGTGGTTTGTCCGTGAAGTGGGGTAATACATTACTAGTACCTACTTAGGTAATGTTGGAAGAACTAAGGTTACAGAACAATAAGACTTAATGTTACTTATGGGCAAGCAAGCACAACAATCTGAGTATATCATGAGGCTCTCTCGATTTTGAGTGTACCTAGGTAGTAAGATCTTATATATTGTAATAATTAAGAATAAAAATCTTATAATATCAAGCAATTGATCGATTTACTTAGTACTGTGATGTACGAGTAAGCATTTGGAAAGATAAGCTGTGATGTATCGAAAAAGGAATGGATCACTGTTGTAGGTAATCATTTTCTACTGGGGAGTATGCAAAGATGGTGAAATGTGTGGTGAAAGAGTGGTAGAAGGATACGAGGATATTGATGAAAAGGTTGTGTTTGCGAATCAACAAATCAACGAATGATGAGGTTGGAATAGAATTGAAGATGATTTGCCCATGGAGCTGCTTTACTGAATGAATCCTACGGAAAAGGTGCTGCTTAAGCGGGGCTATCCATATTTTATCTCATCCTCCAATGATAACGATAGTAATTCCCCATTGACCAATCACGTCAATCATATCTTTTGCACTAAAAGCCACTTCTCCACTCACTGCATCTCTCACCAACCACCTCTTCCTTTTCTCGAACTCATACGACCCTCCATACAACCCTCCATACGACCCTTCATACGACTGACCTTCCTACGATTCCCTCTCGGCTTCTTTCTTCCATTTCTACCCAGATATCTCTTCGTATGTCATCAAATCACCTGCATACCCGCTCGCATTTTGAGCAACCATGAGGAAGAATGCAAGTATATGTGGAAGAGTGGATAAATAAGTAGACTATTGCAGCCTCAAGATCAGCTTTTCTGTTGATGTACTCACCACCACCTACCTGGCTACCAGATAAGCAATCTTCCACCAAAGGAACAAAAACATATTCCCCACCGCCACTCAGCCTCTTATCACTGTTCGTCACCTGTCAATTTTTAATTCAACCGTCTTGCAGGATCTTTTGACAGCAGACAAAAATGTCTCCATGGTTCACTTGATTAGCCATAGCCAAACTACCCAGCTACACGGGATGGCCCCCGAAACGGACCTACCTGCAGTAATCTGGCAAGGAGGGTGCCCGGGATCTTTTACTTTCCAACAGTAAAAAAACTTTTTTATTCCCCATCTGCTTACGCCTCTTTCATCTAGCATTTCCTCTTCCTCGCTTCTGCAGAGAAAGTGGACAATCCGTCGTACGGAAGATTTTCCCGAAGGGAAAGGACATGAACGGCACGCTTTTCTTGCTCCGATATCATGTAGTGACATGCAATCTCTATCCTCGCTATTCTTGTCATCCAAAGAGTTGATACTATGTAGATCAGCTTGCCAAGATGCATGTCATTTTGGTTGGATGACAGCAATGCAGGGATCGCCTATCGCATGCTTGATGTTCAGTCAAGGGTATGTACAACAGGTACAGTAAAAATGTGTTGTCCTATTGAGGCTCACGTCTTTTGGAGTAAGACAGAAGATGATCTTCCATGTCTATTTCTCAAATTACCACAAGACCCCGGAGCTTGTCCATGCACTATCCTTCCATTTTATTCTCTCCCTTGGCCCTGCGTGTTTCTCATATCACGAATTTTTAATATCCAAAGTGGATTGGCAAGGTAAAGTGGTGTTTTCGTAGATCCTCATGTCTAGGGTCCCCTAGCTCTTTTCCGTTTCGAGAATTTTCTCCATCACAACAATATCTATCATTTAGACCTTCCTCTCGTTTTACTTGTCTCTCTTGCTCGTGGCCTATCTGCACGGCTTCGGAAATCTCCCAAGGTTACATTGCCAAATATCTGGCCGTGAGACTTCTGAATTGCCTTCTTGATTGGCTATAAATCGCTTCGATTGGAGTTTTCGGAACTTCAGCCTTAGAGCTGATGCACTTTGGTCGTATATTATAGTCAGGCACATCAACTACTATACAGATACCTGCAGTCAATCGTTCCCCAAACCAGAAGCAGTAACTGTCGTCTTCTTTTTTCGCTCGTTGAAACGATTTCAGCATAATTGCTGTCATCTACACCATCGTTATCTCGAATCTACAGGACGGCATTTCACAATGGTCTCCAAAACTCGAATCGGAGTACTAATAGCAGGGTTAATCGGAGTGGCACAAGGAGAATATTGGAATACAACCACGGCGATCGTGACTCCAGTAACATCAGATGGAAACGGGCTTCCTTCAACGTGCGAACCAAAGACTGTTACTGTCACATCACCAAGTGATGGGTATGGATCTTATCCCACAGAAACTGTTACGTCAACTTCAGTTTCTGTGTCGACGGCTACGTATTGGGAAACTACTACGATTGAGTGAGTTTCTGCCGGCAATAGCACAGTTAAGAAATACTAATATGATTTAGCAAACCAACTACAGTCGTCTCAATCTCTACATCAACAGTCTATCAAAATCAAAACGTGAGCAATTTTACGCAAACCTAAAAACTATCATTAACCAGAAATCAGACTACACAGACAATTACTACAACTATTGGGGGTGGCTATGGGCCTGGTACTACAGTGAGTTTCCGCACAATGCTAAGCATGGAAAGTGGCACTCGATTGACTATGGAAAGGTTACTGAGACGGTCACTATCACCGCGAGCACCATCCCGAGTGGCGGATATTCTTATGGAGTAACGACAGTGAGTGTGGCTTTTTTAGGACTTTGAGGGTCGATTTGTTAATGGACTTTAGATCACGGAGAGGGTCACTCAAGATCAGACTGTAAGTTCCGGTTTGCATCCCATTCACCATGGCTCAGTTCCTGACGCGCTGCTAGATAACTAAAACCGTCGGTGGTTATAAAAATGCTAACCAAACTGTACGTCCCCCATCATCGTGAAGAAGTATAGCAGCTAACATGCAATAGATCACGGAGAAGACTACAGAGACAGAGTCCTTCACAACAACGTGAGTAAACCAAGCTTCACATATTCAGTCCTTAATTCCTTGGCACAATTATGCCAATTTCGGTATTAGCTAAGGTTTATGATATCATTCCTTCTTCTATAAGGCGTGGCAATTGTCCGTTGCTGGGCTCGACGGTCTAAGGTCAATGGTCATGTAGAAGGAGAAGCAAAGAATCATAATGATAAGCTACTTTCAACTCTTCTCAAAAATAGTTATCTAGAAGATTTGCTAATATCTCGGCATTAGTGTTCCCAGTGTAATCTCCGTGACTACGACCCTGACGGACGTTTTTACTGTCGTAAGTATTTTAGGCCATAGTCAAACCTTCCTAGAGCTGATATTAGAATTACAAATAGACCGACACCTCTGCAGCTAACTTTACCGAAACAGCTCTCGTTACTACGGTATTTAACTCTTCAGAAAGTCCTCAAGTTTGTCGTACTAACTGTCATACTAGACTAAAAACTACAATTTCACTGCGACCGAGGTGGATCTAACAACTCTAACTAACACTATTACTGACGAGGAGACTACCACGAGCTTCATTTGGCAGACTACCATATTGACTAATGTTATTACGACTTCAATCCCGTATACAACAACTCTAATAAACAGCTATGGATACCCAATTACAATAACAAAGTACATTACCCTGACAACTACTGAGCGACACACCTCTAGTTTCACTACTACAACTACTCAGGACCACACAAAAACAAAATTTAAAACCATTACAACCACATGCACGGAGTTTTATCCCGTTTTGATAACCAAGACTATTAGTGGGTCTGTCACGACAATTACATCTTATTCCTCAACAACTTTCACCTCTCTCATCACTAGCAGCACAACGGATTACGCGACTGCCACAGTAACATCAAGTACAACTGATTACTTACCAACAACGGTATATCAACCTACGACATACACAACTACCCAAGATGTGATAGTCACCTCATCTTATCCCGTGACTGTCATAAACAACTACACGTTATGGGAAACCACTACGAAGACCGATGTATCAATATATGAGACCACCAGCACGGTGACTTCAATCAGCTCGGTACCTTTACCCACAACAGTGGATGTTTTTATAACCACTACCGTGGACCATTTCTTGACATCTGTCTCAACATATATTTTGAGTACCAGCTATCCAGTAACGGTGATTTCAAACTACTCTACGACTTACACTCAATACACCACCGAGTACTATACTAGTCGCGAAACAAGTACATTCTTGACGACAGCCACAGATAGAGAAACAGATTATGTCACTAAAACCTCATATGTACCTACCACGACCGTTTCAACATCGTTAATAACTACGAGTATACCTTATACTGTTATCTCTTCAACGACATCGTATATATATAGCACTCAGACCTCTTTAATCACAATTACAACATTGGTACCTACCACTGTCACAGATTTTTCTACTTCAATCTCGACTTCCGTGTCAGTTTCAGATGTATACGTCTACACAACGATCATAGAGACCTATAGCACCACAGACACTTCTTATATCACAACTTCTTATCCATATACCGTGAGTGAGACGCTCATAAGTGATATAACTCACAGCGTCACAGATTATACCACTACTACAGTATTAGAGATTTTGGTCTTTTTCAGTCTATCCACTCTCACCACAAGTATTATAAAGCCAACTACTACCACGCAAATTTCACTGATCCCAACTACCATCACCGACTCATACTTTTCCACAGCCACGCAAATTTCACTAATCCCAACTACTATCACCGACTCGTACTTTTCCACAGCCACGCAAATTTTAATAATCCCAACTACTATCACCGACTCATACTTTTCCACAGCCACGCTTACACAAACGACCTCATATCCATATACTGTGGTATCCTCAACAACAGAATACAGTTATAGCACTCACACAACGGTCTCAACATATACTATGACGAGCATCAAAACTACTTCTATTCCATACACAACAACGACGGAAATATGGGTTCCAACTACGACGACAAGTACTTCATTTGTTCCAACTACGACGACAAGTACTTCATTTGTTCCAACTACGACGACAAGTACTTCCCTCGTTCCAACTACAGTAGTCTCATCATATTTCTCCACTTCCGTTATGACGCTTTCCACATCTTATCCGTATACTGTATATGAAACTATTATCAGCTCGACCACTTACTACTCTACCTCGTATCTAAGTACTACCTACACGACAACTCAGGAATTAACCTCTGTGTCAACGTTTACTACTCTCGTTTGTCCCCATCTTCAAGGCTCGTTGGATCGACGGCTAACACCTTCCTAGGTACCCACGACAACCACCGAGACTAGTGTGATTACTAGTAGTACTTTGGTACGCGTCCCTTGCATGTGAATGCTTTGCATTAGTTAATGGGGAGTCCAGGTTCCTATTACCACGACTGAAATTAGTGTATCTACGAGTATCTCGATTTCTGATATCTACTCGACATATAGTACCACCTTGATAGAATCGACCACGATCAGCACCGTCTTGACAGAGATTCATCTTTCCACACTAACCATTTCTACCTCATATCCATATACTATTTACACCACAGTTGTCAGCGATCATACGAGCACGTCAACCCAATATATCCCAACGACGTACTCTCAGGTTATATCCACGACGCAATATATCCCAACAACTTATACATCATTGATCACGAGGTCTGAAAGTAAGTACTACTTTCAAGGTAGGTAGACACTCAGCTGATTTGGAACTAGCTACGACGGCCACAGCAACAGTGACCAATAGTGAAAGTAAGTAATTTATCGACTTTGAGTTTAAGATCGAATGATTAATATGAAACAAAGCGACTACAGCTAGCTACACCACCACTGATTTTGAGAGTGAGTCCTTATCACATATATCTTTGACAAAAAAATGGCTAATTTCCTCAGCTGCTACAACAACCATGACGTCTGGTAAGTTTTTAAGGTTATGAAATCTTTAAAAGGTGCTAATTGTACAGTCACAACGCTTACTTCGCTCGATATAATCACTGTTCCTCCCGTAACGGTCACTACTATGATCTCAGGGACTCCCATCACCATCACGGAACCTGCGTCAACGATAGTTGTTATCCAAACGATCACCTCAGATATATATGCAACATCGATAATTACCCTTCCTGCTAGCACTGTGACCTCGGATATCTTCATTACTACATCAGGTAATAAAAGATCATTGATTGCTAGATCCTATTCTGACAACTAATTAGTTCCCGGCCCAACCATCACGACTTCAATATCAGGATCTTTGACTACCATCACCTTGCCTGGAACTACCTCAATCTTGACAGTTCCAGGTCCAACGGTAACTTCGAATATATACGTAACTACTTCACGTGAGTCTTCAATTGTGTATAAATATATATATTGATTACATACTGATGTTATAAAGTTCCTGGGCAAACTATCACTACATCTATATCAGGATCTTTGACGACCATTTCCCTACCTGGCAGTACAGCAACATTGACGGTTCCAGGCCCAACAGTAACGTCCAACATATACGTGACTACCTCGCGTAAGTCTCAAAGTACTTTTGTACATATTGCATGCTAATGTTTGAAGTTCCTGGACAAACTATCACTACATCTATATCAGGGTCTTTGACGACCATTTCTCTGCCTGGAAGCACAGCAACGTTGACAGTTTCTGGCCCAACAATCACATCCAACATTTACGTCACTACCTCACGTAAGTACAATGACTATTTCGTAATTCAGATGAATATTGTGCTGATATAATCAAGTTCCTGGTCAAACTATCACCACTTCGATATCGGGATCCTTGACAACGATTTCATTGCCTGGTAGCACGTCGATTTTGACCGTTTCCGGACCCACAATCTCGTTACCTGGATCTTTGACAACAGTTACTCTACCTGCAAGTACGTCAGTGCGAACAATTTCCGGGCCTACGGTTACTTTATCGATATCAGGATCCTTGACTACTATAACACAGCCAGCAATTACATCAATTGTGACTCTTCCTGCTTCAACCCTGACTCTACCTGGATCTTTGACGACAGTTACACTGCCTGGAAGTACCTCGGTTCAAACGGTTCCCGGGCATACAATTACATCGTTGATATCAGGCTCTTTGACAACAATAACACAACCAGCAATTACATCAATTTTGACTCTCCCTGCTTCAACCTTGACACTACCTGGATCTTTGACGACAGTTACACTGCCTGGAAGTACCTCGGTTCAAACGGTCTCCGGGCCTACGATCACGTCGCTGATACCAGGATCTTTGACAACGATAACACAGTCAGCAATTATCTCGACTGTTACGATTTCTGGACAGACAATTACATTGTCAGGCTCCACGGTTACTCTCTCAGGGACCACATCAGTTCAGACAATCCCTGGTCCTACAGTCACATCGCTGGTACCAGGATCTCTGACAACGATAACACAGCCAGCAATAACATCGATTGTAACGATCCCCGGAGAGACAATTACATTGTCAGGGTCAACAATTACACTTCCAGGGACTACATCAATCCAGACAATCGCCGGTCCTACAGTGACGAAATCGATATCAGGATCCTTAACCACTATCACACAACCAGGAAGTACATTGATTGTTACCCTTCCTGGGTCGACCTTGACTCTACCAGGAACGACAATTCCCGGCCAGACAATCACACTACCAGGCTCGATAGTCACCCTTCCTGCATCCACATCAATTCAGACGATCCCTGGTCCTACAATTACAACGTCGATATTAGGATCCTTGACCACTATAATACAACCAGGAACTACGTCGATTGTAACCCTTCCCGGCTCTGTCTTGACTTTGCCTGGGTCGACAATCCCTGGCCAGACCTTGACCTTACCAGGCTCAACTATTACTCTACCAGCATCGGTCACTACATTGCCAGGCTCGACAATTACCCTTCCGGGATCAATGACTACAATACTAGGCTCAACGGTCACTCTACCTGGTTCGTTCACTATACTGCCAGGACAAATAACTACTATTCAAGGGTCAACATTCACAGCTCCACTACAGACAATTACGCTCCCAGGGTCAATCACTACATTACCAGGCTCTACAGTCACTCTACCCGGATCCGTCATTACATTAACAGGCCAAACCATTACTGTTCAAGCATCAACTTTCACCGCTCCAGCGCAGACGGTCACCCTGGTCGGCTCCATTACAACACTCCCCGGGAAAATTACCACTATTCAAGGATCAACACTTACAGCTCCAGTAGAGACAATCACATTACCTGCGTCCGCGACTACCATATCTGGGTCAGTCACCACACTACCAGGGCAAACTACTACCATTCAAGGATCAACATTTACAGCTCCTGATCAAACGATCACGTTACCTGAATCTGTGGTTACACTCCCTGGATCCGTGACGACTCTTGCTGGTTCATTTTCGGTATCCACGGTAACTCAATCACTTGCTGGACCTACAGTTACAAACACACAAGCAGGATCAACTGTGATATCAACTATACCAGGCTCTATTAGCGTTTATCCAACGACTATTAGCCTTGGGGCAACCTTGAGAGGATCTACGGCATACATCACTGAACCTGGATCTACGGTAACTGTAACAGAACTGGTCACCTGCCCGTCCCCTACAAATTCCGGCCCAGTAATTCCTCAAGACTCTAGTTCGTCAGCAATCTTTGGATGTTCACCAGGATACGTCTGCAACCCGCCCAAGCCTGATCACTGTGCTCTTTGGACCGATCCACCAGCCGAAGATTATCTTTGCGAAGCCCAATACTGTATCCCTGCTCCCGAGACAACTGAAGTATACTGGCCACAAAACCAGACTGGTTATTACCCACCAACAGCTGGATATTTCAATCTGAACCCCAATGCATTTGGTCTCAGCTTTGGGATTTTCATCGAGAAGGTCATCACCGAATTTATCATTGGTAATGAAGGTACTGAATTAGTCAAAACAATCACTACTGGCGATTGGACATCCCAAACTGGTATCTCTCACTATCCAGCCGCAACTCATACCGGACTTTCTACTCTGTCACTTGCCACACCTTCTGCCCCGTCTCGCCGCAGTCTTCTTCCACGAATCTTTGGAAAGAAAAGCAACTCCATGCATCTTAACCTTCTCACCAAACGCGATGAAACTGTGGCCCCTGCAGTCTGCTACGCCACCTGCAACAATTGCTATATCGAAGTACTCAAAGTCGGTAAATCACCCGCTCTTTGCGCATCCAATTCCGCATTTGAATCAGATTATTCCTCATGTCAAGCATGTATCGAGGCAAATAGTGTCAATGTGAAACAAACGTTGCAAGCATACGTGGAGCCACAATTTGGACAGTTCTTGGAATTCTGTAGTGCACAGATACCGCAGAGTGAGGTTGCTGGTAGTACGCAAGTGATTACAAAAACGGCGACAGTTTTGCCTGTTGAGGCGAGCACTAGCACAATCAAATTGGAAACTACCACAAGTGCCTCGAGTGCTGTTTTGAGCTCTAGGACGAGTGCAAGCCCGAGCTCGAGCCATAGCCAGAGCCAGAGCCAAAGCCAGAGCCCGAGTGTTAGTGTTAGTGTCACGAGCCAAATCGCACCGGTTGGTGTTTCGACTACATCTTCAGTCCCAATCTCAACCGCAAGCACTTCTTCTCCTGTGATAATCAGTGTACCTACAGCTTCAGGTAGTGGAAGTGCTTCACCATCAACATCAGCCTCCAGTGTCCCCGGCATAGGCATTTCCAAATCATCCTCGAGCTCAGCATCGTCCTTAACATCAGCCTCAGCATCTAGCTCTGAATCTTCCCTTCAATCTCGAACCTCAACTCCAACTCCAACAACGAAATCAGCTACGAGTTCTTCATCCACTAGTTCCGGGTCTGCGAGCCCATCAGGCACTGGTGAACCTTCCCAGAATGCTGGTTCAAAGTTGAAGCCTTCCATGTTCTTTATATTGGTAGCGATGGTTGTCGGGATGATTGGCTGGTAACATGATTCTCATTTCGTTTATTTTTTCCTTCAAAATTTAGCGTCGGCATTTTTACATTCATCCTCATGACTGTACGACACGACGATTACATTTAACGTATTATGACATATTCATTATCAATTCTATATTTCATTTCCCATTCCTAATGTCTCTATCAGACATGAACAACAAGAAACTTGACACAAACGATCGTTGACTCATTATTTTAAACTCAACCTCAATAATGGATGGAATGACAAATCATGGTCTTTACGAAATTTTTGGCATACATGATATGCAATCACAGTCTTTCAGTATGATGTGAAATGAAGGGATGCATGGAAACGATGAAAGATACCCAACACACACTCATTCATGGTGTTATATTTGAATTTTAAAACGAAAGGAGAGGGAAGTAATGGCAGATAGTGGTCGGAACACTTGATGATTCTGCTAAGGAAAGGATAATGTTTGACTGTTGCTGAGAAATTGGATTTTGAGACAGAAGAAGTTAGTGAAAAGGCCAAAGATGGATTGACGAGAGAATGAAAGAAAGACGTGAGGGAGGAGAGAGAGGCAAATCTCTAATTCTTATGTATATATTTAACATCTTTTAACTTTTCAGTCCAATTTGGAAATTGGTGGTAGGAGCATCAGAGGAACGGAAGGAGGAAATAATCAGGATGGAAGATGAATGGGGAAATGGATGGCGAAAGATAGTGATAGCAATATATATGAATTTTTCTTTTCAAGATAATCATTAGAGGTTTACCTCCCCAAACTTCTTGCTGTATGTACCCATGAAGTGTCATGATTTAGTCAAGCTATGAGAGTATTGAATATTAAAAAAAATCATTAAAATCATTAAAATGAGTAGAATGAATAGAATGAATAGAATGAATAGAATGAATAGAATGAATAGAATGAATAGAATGAATTAATATATTCTTTTGATTCTTGTATATATTTCTAAACATTCTTCAACCAAATATTTGACAGAATAATTACATTTAAAGGTTTTGACTATGAAATATTGTAACTATAGTACCAAGATGGCACTAAGACAAACAAGCATCATTGTTCTCGAGAATATGCAATGTTTCTGCCTCTGCGTTTTGTTGTACATCTGAAAGCGCCGGACACGCGCTGTTCGGTTCGTCTTCGGAGCTTGTGAAGTCAATGACTAGCCCTTCTGTGAATCGTTGTTTATGAATAGATGCATGAGAGTTTGCCAGGACTTGCGGTGGTGTGGCTATGGAAACATTAAACTTGTCAGAACCGGTTATGCTGTTGGATGTGATGGTATTAATGTTTCTTTTGTCAAATGAAGTTGTGAGCGAGTGGAGAAGCTGAGGGTGAGGTGTTTGTGTCTGCATTTCTAGCAAGCTTCAAATATTGAGACTGAACATCTCCAAAAGCGGCACAGCCCACCTCAACTTTGATGCCTCTAGAAGCAACCTTGGTATTTTTAGCTTCGATTAACACCTGGAAGTTGCGCCAGTGTTTGGCGACGAGCGGAGAAGTGGGTGTGATAATTAAAACGCTCGGGGTGGCGGATGTATAGCTAACGAACTCCGTCTGCACTTCATTCGTCTCTGGATTTTCCGTTTTGAAATGGTGCCATCTCTGGTGATCATTGATCGCGTCAACATTACCAACACGCGTATTTTGTTTGCTAGTTAGATCGTCTTGCAATTGCCAGATAGCATTTAAAATTGCCACTGCAAGACCAAGAGACTTTCTGCAACCTATGAATCGATGTCTTCCAATGACGGTGTCAAGTTCTCCCCACAGGTTTTGCGTCTCAGATTCTAGTCTGGATTTTCTTGCATTTGGCAGATCGCGTTTATGATTGCGACTGCAAGGCCAAGGAACTTTCTGCAATCTTTAAAAATGTTAGTTCTTACTCAAGGAGCCTTTGAGATACCAGAAGACCTACCACCTAGTTCGTTGATCATGGGATCTCTGTTCAAACGGAGGGAGGACCCATGACTGCACTCAAAGCTTTCAACATAGGCACCTGAATTGGATTTGGCTTGCGAGCTTCGACGCCGTACTTGGCTGAGTAGGCTGCGCAACGAATACCCGTGAGGCGATTTATTGCTCCGGTGGATAATCCACGGATTCCGTTTCAAAGTGGATAATTATGGGATCCCAATAGGTAATCCGCGGAATGGATAAGTGGATTATTCGCAGGTAGTTTGCTGATACTCTGCAAAGAGTTTGTTGGTAATCTGCAGATTATCCACGGAGCGGACTATTTCTCCACAGCCTGGGCCTTGGACTTTTTGCAGGAGTTCTTTGACGCCGTCGTATCCGTAACCGGCTTCCCATGATGAATGGATGGTGATATTGCTACCTAGCGCCATACCAGCCTTTCCTAGTGGCTCATTAAGAAAAGCACCCAATGGTACGGTGAACTGGTGAGGTTGGCCGACCTTTATCCTTTTGGTTTGTTAGTTTAAAAATGTCTGACTTGCACGGATTCAACTTACATTCTCTTGTCAACTTCTCAGAGATTCTCCACCGTTGACCATAATCTAATGCAAGGCTTTCTAGCTGAGGGATTGTTCAATTGACGGTAGACGTGGTAGAAAGGAGGGAAAGAGGAGGTTGAAGGGTTGGAGAGTTGAAGAATCGAAGAATGGAGAAAGTGAGGAGAGCAATTCAGGAATTGAGCAGAGGGAGACAGGAATTGAGGAGAGGAAGACACGAATTGAAGAGTTGAGGAGAGGAAGAGAAAGGGAGGAAGAGAAAGGGAGGAAGAGAAAGGGAGGAAGAGAAAGGGAGGAAGAGAAAGGGAGGAAGAGTTGTAGATTGAGGAGTTGAACAATTGAAGATTGAAGAATTGAGGAATTGAAGGATTAAAGAATCAAAAAATTGTGGGTTTGGGGAATTGAGGAATTGAGGAAAGGAATCGAAGACGATCGTAGTCTTGACCATAAACTATGCCGAGTATGGATCGAGCGATGTTATCTTCTTGACTCGATGGGCACCTGTTGAATTGAGCAGTTGAGGAATTAAGAGTTGAAGAATTGATAAATGGAGGAGAGGAAGAAAGGAAGAGAGGAATTGAAGAGTTGAAGAGTTGAGGAGTTGAGGAGTTGAGGAGTTGAGGAGTTGAAAGAATCGAGGGAATTGAAGGATTAAAGAATCAAAAAATCGAGGGGGTTGAAGAATTGAGAAGTTCAGAAGTTGAAATCTGAGAAACTAAAAGATTAATAAGAAGAAATTGAAATTTTCGTTGTTGAGAAAATGTCTGCCTACCTACCTAGTGAGTAATCCAGGCGACGCGGCATATTCATCCTTTGTTTACTCACAATAGCGGGATCAAAATTTTCCTCAACGAAAATTTCAAAAGAAGAGCCGATTGATCTGAGAGCCGGCTTGTTACCAGCTCATCTTTAGTGGATAGGGTACCTAGATAGACTGCTGTGTTACTCCGCATCTGATGCATATGATGTTTTTTGATATTTGTGTGCGTACATTGCATCTTCTCTTACTTGGGTATACTGCAGTCAGTGCATCGCAGAGCAGATCAGTTCAGATAAGATCAGTTAGTCAAGCTTCCTACATACAAATATTTTTCACATCGATGTATAGGTTGGTTCTGCATGATATATTGGGAAAATGTATTATTTAGGCTTTAAAGTAGTTACAGGCCCCTCTCTGATCGTGACATAGAATGACCTGAGAAAGCACGTCAACACTAAAAAATCGCCTCATATCGCATTTTCCTATTCCCACTACTTCCGTCTTCAAGGTCCATTTATCCATCTGATGACGATTCTTCTCGTTGCCAATTCAAAGTTCTGTAGCATGTTTAAAGCAAGGCAGCCCCTCGTATGCGCAGTTTGTGGATCATCAAATTGTAAGACGCATTTTTGGGACCATGGTGCATGTAGGAAGCCCGGCTTCTTACTTCTATGGTCGACCAAATGCACATATTTAAGTTTACCAAACATCTCAAACAGCGATGTGATATCTTCCTTAGTGACAACAGGGTGAACACCTTCTACTTTCAAACACATCTCAGAGTCATTGTGTTCTTCGGATCCTCTGGGGACCACCGAAGTTCGTCCTTCGACATATAAATGTTAGTTGAGAGTTTGAGGGTCTTTGGACGGAGCGTATCTTACCAGCAAAGTCGGGAAGCCAAATTTTAACAGTGAGCACGTCTGCCTTGATCTTTACCGGTCTTTCCCCAGTGTCGAAGAGGTATCTCTGCTTGTCATTCATGAGGTCTGGATGACGAAATAGCAACACAGAAAAAACACCAAGCTTCACCTCACTTTGGACGGCACCAAATGCTCTTGAAAACACAAGACACTTCAAGCGCAAGAATATGTCGAGGAGGGCTTTGCTGATCGTACTTGTTGCATAATTTGGGATCGTGAATCTTCCGGTGGTAGTAATATTAACGTCATACATGCGCCTCGTGGCAGCTGAAGATGCTTCATGCGGTTGATGTAAATGTGTCGCAATTTTTGGATCATAAGAACCTCCTGATCGTGTTGAAGTTTGGGGGTTTTTGGATGCATGAACCGGTTAAAGAAGTGTCTGCTTTGCGATTTGAGATCAAAAACTCCATTCAAAAGTGCGTCAGGGCAGACTGGGCTGACGTGCTTCTTTGTGCAGTCTAATGGAATACAGTCATCGCCATCCTGAAACAATGTTAGCATTAATAGTATTTGGCATAATGGAGAGTTTATACCTTGCAAATTGACCACATTTGACAATTATGATTGGCCTTCGAATACTGATTATCTCCAAACAGTTCAAACGGACAGACAGACGTGTAAATTGCTTCCTCAAATTTCCAATAACGAGGACTGTTTGATTCAAGTGTCATCATTCTAGACATCTGTTCGTCAACTGGGTGTTCCATATCCTTCGACGTTTCCGGTGATGTACCATCGTTAACTTCTTCAGACGGCAGCGAGAAAAATGCCATGTCAAGCTCTGGTTGGAAATCCAGAAGGGACATTTCTTGGGAGAGTTTGCTTGGAATCCAGAAGGGACATTTCTTGCGAGATAGTTGGTGATGATTCCTCCACTTTTCGATCCGTAAAGTTGAGCCTGGGGTTACAGAAAGAATAATGGGAATCGAAATTTGGATTCGAAGATATAAAAATTGAAGGGAATTGAAAACTTGAGGGATTTTGGAGGTGAAAAAATGAGAAGTTGAAAAGCTGAGAGGGTAAGAGGAGTGAGAGGGAGTGAGAGGGAGTGAGAGGGAGTGAGAGGGAGTGAGAGGGAGTGAGAGGGTAATAGGGATGAGAGGGGGAGATGGTGAGATGGTGAGAGGAAGAGAGGGGAGACATTGAGAAGAAGAGAGGGGGAGACATTGAGAAGAGGAAAGAGAGAGAGAGAGAGAGAGAGAAAGAAGATTAAAAATCAAAAAGTTGAATTGGAAGGGAAAGTTGAATTAAGTAAAATGAAAAAGCACCTAGTAGTCCCGACGACGCGGCACATTCATCTTTGTTTACAAACTAGCGGCATCAAAATCTTCTCAACAAGTACTTCCGAGAAAGAAAAAACACCATCAAGGTCTCCTCAACAATATTATTCCCGAAAGAACGGCCGAAGCATTTCAAGATGCGTATTCGTATCTAAATTCCGGCCAATTACGTATACTGTATCTTATCTTATATTGTTTACAGAGCAGAGTAGTGAGTCAGTCAGACAATCAAGCAACACAATAGAAGCTGAATTCCCATTTGTCTTATTGAGTAGAGGTGAGGAGACATGTCCTTTCAAGCATAGCGAAGTTGGTGCAAATGATCATGTGAAAACTGAACCATGTGATGAGCCATAATGTGTCTTGATGCTGCATCTTCACGGCGGTCCAAGATCCGGCACCCTTCAACATGCTACTCATTTCGGCAGCAAACACTAGGATTCAGTACATTTCCATGTGGTTAGTGTTTCTACATGATTTAGAGGTCGCATAGCAAAGAGAACATATTCCTTCCCTGGGGAGATGAAGGCATACGCGGTGGTGGCATCTTGCCTTTTGAGTTTTCGTGCACATCTCATTCTCTGTTCTCCGTTCGGCTCGAGTATTATAGCAACGAGTGAATAGCAATTGAAACCCTAACTTTTAATGACTTTTTCAACATGAATGCTCTTTAAGATAAGAATAAAAAGTGAGCAGTCTGAGTCAGATGCCTTAGTTTCCCGTTACCCCTCATTCTGGCTACCTATCCTCTTACATCCAAAACATAGATGTTCATCTATTAATGATGATAGCCGCATCAAATTAAGATATTATGACACTCGACATGAAATTAAAACCCGTTGGTTAAGTGCAGATAAGATTCTTGAAGATTTGAACATTTCCCCAGCTGAAGCCAAGCCTCCAACATGTAATCAAGTGTAGCTCCCGTTCCTCGGTTATCAAAATATTCTCCAGCAACAGAGAGATTCAATGTGTCCGAAGCTTTAGCTGCTTTGACAGAGCATCTACCCCTGGTATCGCAGAAACTCACGTAAAATAGATGCCCAAGAGCAGTACATCAGGACAGGACAATGATACTGCTGGTGATAGAAATAATACTCCCATTTCGCTCATCACCAACCTGTATACAAAATATTCACAGATATCAAGTCGATCACCAGCATACTAATTGTTCCATTCCGGGTGCACGGATGTTGGTCGTGTCTTATAAAATCTATGCAGTACACTTATACATTATACGTCTACAGTTTGAATTCGGCTTCAGCTACTTTGATAGAGAATATATCCCTGGTACACTAATACATTATACGCTTAGAGTTTGAATTCGGCTTCGGCTCCGGCTCAAAGCGAATGTAGATTCAAGACTAGATGAGCATGACACTAACTAGTATTGCTGTAGGGTAGGGCTAAATTGAAAGCTAGCTTCAAAAATGGCTAAGAGAATAAGCGAAACTATTTTTAAGGAGCTGTAGCTTCTGGACTGCGTACATGTAGGATGAATATCAAGTTCCATAGTAAAGTCAGATGAGCTTATGTTACTTTAACCTTAAGCTTGATGATGACACTGCCTGGTAAGCTTACGTAACCACACCAGGTACCAGATTTGAATCTATTGGAGGTTACTGAACCTCTTTCTGCTCATGTTAATCCATCACTGACCTTGCATGATGGCTGTGACATACTCCGTAGAAAAGTCCTAGATATTGGTATACATTACACGTAGTCTTAAAATAGTTTGTAGTGCAGCTGTACGCTAATACAACTTATGAACGTGCGTGTAGATCATTGTTAGAGTAACCGCTAAGCCCATGTAACCCCTGCGGACTCATGGAAGTTTGCCGAGGCTTCGGCATCGTCCCCCACAAATTATGGAGACCTCTTCATTGACAACGCATCTTCCTCCGCAGCTTTACTAAAGTAAGCACAATGGAAATTGAACTTTATACTCCGACTGTACAAAAATATCATTGCACAATTTTCTTTTCTCTCTCTTGCTTCTGATCTTATCTACATCCTATTTTTTTCTGCACATCATCAACAATACCCCGCCATCTCAATTTCCACAATATGTCCACCGGCACGCCCCTCAAAAACACTCTGCTATCATTCCCAACAGCTTCTACTCTCCTCATAACTATCAACAGGCCGTCATCCCTCAACTGCCTCGATACATTCACGCACAATGAACTCGATCGCGTCTTTCGATGGTTTGACGCCGAGCCGGGTCTTCGATGTGCCATCTTAACAGGCGTCGGACGGAGTTTTTGTGCGGGCGCAGATCTAAAAGAATGGGATTCGAATAATTCGTTATCAACTTCCGCCTCCAGTCAAGCCCGCTCATTACCCACATCCGGTTTTGGAGGATTGAGTCGGAGAGGCGGAAAGAAACCTATAATATGTGCTGTGAATGGAATTTGTTTTGGAGGTGGTTGTGAGATGATTATAAATGCGGATATGGTGATTGCAGAATCTCATGCGGTGTTTGCGCTACCGGAAGTCAAAATTGGAGTCGTGGCTCTGGCCGGGGCTTTGACTAGGTTAGTGAGGACGGTAGGGAAACAAAGAGCAATGGAGATGGCATTGACGGGAAGGACGCTTGGAGCAGAAGAAGCCATGGAATGGGGATTGGTTAATAGGGTGGTGGGAACGGGGAAGAGTGTTGAGGAAGCTATCAAAATGGCGGAGCTGATAGCAGCAAATAGTCCGGATAGTGTTATTGTGAGTAGAGAAGGTATCAAGATGGGCTGGGAAGGAGTTGGTGCCGAAGAAGGAACGAGATTGATAGAACAGAATTGGTACAGTAGGATGGATAAGGGACCGAACATGAAGGAGGGAGTGAGGAGTTTTGTTGAGAAGAGGAAACCGAATTGGGTACCTAGTAAATTGTGAGTTTTGTATTTTTGTATTTAGCTAGTTTATATCCCCTCTTGTTTAGCAGTCATGAATGTATTCCATTGAACACTATATATTCTTGAGTCATTGAAAATGGATCGAGGGAGATTTATCTTCCCTTCATAATAAACTAGACCTCAATGCGCCATGAGTAACCTCAGTACATTCCACCTCTCCATGGCCTACCTAATTTATTCTCCTCCTTTCAACCAAAACAACCCAGAAAACTAATCCATCCATTCTCATTCCTCTTGACCCGCCTCCAGAGCCGTAGCATTAATAAACAAACATTCCATCTCTTCCTCTTCCCACTGCACAATCTTTCCATCGACACCCTTCCCCTCCTTGATACACATCTAAACCTCTCTTCCCCTCTCCCCTCTTCCACCATCCATCTCCCCATCAACCTCGGTAATCCCTAGCTCCTTTAAACATCACCTTCCTAATTCCCCCCTCACGAAAATAAAAATCCAACCCAGCTGCAAAAGGCCCCCCCACAAAACCACCAATCAAATCAATCAATTCACTTATCAAAACACTGATATTACTTTTTTTCATTTCATACCCTGTTCCTGCCTACCTGCGGCATCCCACTAGGATGGATTTAAAAAGCATGCAAGTCGTTTGCGGAATTAATTAGGGAGTTTACTTGAGTAATCGGATGTGTGTGTGGAAACTTGAAAAGTCTCGTTTGGTGATAGGTTAGGTGGTGCAGTTGTAGGTGCATTTGCATTTGCGGAGACGCAGGAGCAGGAGCAGGAGCAGGAGCAGGGTTGTTTTTTGCGGGGGGGGGGGAGAGTCATGAAGGAAGGAAGATTGTGAAGCGGATGTGTCTGTAGTGGCAGATCATGTTGATGGGATTTGAGTATACATACTAGGTAGGAATAGAATAGGAATATGGAGAGTAGATTTTTGAGTGAGGAATTGTTTGTAGATTTATATACGGTGGTGAATTACTTACACTTATTATATCCCGCAATAAATACACACCAGCAGTCATATATATATATCTCTACTTCCCACACTATCATTTATCATTAACCTCGTCAGAAGTGCGTAAAGACGAGCGAATTCAAAACTAGCAATACAGTAAGGTTACAGTCATACAGCTCAATTAACCACAAATAAACCGAACAGGAAATCAGCTGCTTTCGCGATGCGGGGTGTTTATCACACTCATGATGAGTGACAAGCATTTTACTGTACTCGGTGAACAGATAAGAATGCCATGACTAGTATACAGAGTATGACTGCATGAATATAAATGCATGAATATAAATGCAGCTGTTTTGCAGTATGCATGTCGATCATCACATCACATCACATTCGCGTCATTGTCGAAGATCTGGAGAGTGGGATGGATATCACCGTAGGGTTTTTGGTGGGAGTGATATGAAGTATGTATGTGCTTTCTTTCTATTTTGTACTGGGGAAGGAATAGACAAAATGATGGAATGGATGGGGATATAGAGGTAGAGGTGAATTTTTACTCTTTTTGGATCTCTCTTTCTCTGGAAAAAGGAAATGTATATAACCTTTTATACAGCATGCTATAAATGCCAAGAACTTTGTGGAGTATCACGACATGACATTCCTTATATCTATATCTGGCACCAGATTGTCCAAAAGTCTGGACTAGGGATCGAGACTAGATATAAGTTTTCAACATTTGGAAAACACTATTCATTAATTCAAATGGGTTGAGGAATTCAACTGAATCTACTATATATTGCAGAAAGGATAACTATCTCAACATGATTTGGATTTTCTTGATGATTTCAATGTTACAATGGGCTTCAATGGGTTTCAACAATCCAAAGTTTTCAATTGTTTATAGTAGTCCTGATTGTTGGAGCCCTGGCTTTTGTTTTTTCTAAGTTTCCTACCTCAAAAAGCAGACATGTCATTGAAGGGGAGGTTACAGTCAGTAAACAACCACTTCTCCTCATCGGAGTACGCATGCATTTCTCCGCAGCAACGGAAGCACGAAATACTTTATACACCACCAGCCTCATAGGCCAAAAAGTAATCGATATGCAAGTCCAAAGTTTTGAATAAATTACTTCTCGAAACTAATATCACAAGATCATACTGGAAGTTCTAGATACTGAAAACAAGCAGCTTGAGCTCGATAGTTCCTACTTCACGCTAGGAGGTTTGATAAGTTGATCTCTTATTTCAATTACTTTTTATATCTGTCTTAGTACTAAATTGCATATTGTATGGTGTATGTCCGCAAAGAGAAGAAACTTAAGGCTCCGTTTTAGATGCATGATGTGTACCCACTGATATCACTTCCTTTCGTACTGGTGTAAGGTTCTGAGTGGGCGATGTGTATCTATGGCAGCCAGGGCAATGTATGTAGTTGAAGGCATTTGTCGGCTCGGAGCAGGCTCGCAAGTTTGGGGAATCGATGTCGCGTACGTCGATGGCCTGTACATCACAACTGGCTCTCAGATTCGACGCGCAGCCGTATAACCTGATCGCTCCGCTATCTCCTTTATTACTTGCTACTTTTTGGTCTGTATGTCGCATCCAACTTTCCATCGAGATGTTGCGTACTGATCAAGTTCGCGTTTGATGCTAGTATACAAGCAGTTCACAACGCTGGTAAACACAACTTTTCAGACTCCAGATTCATGGCTTTTACAAAACTTAAAACGTTTGCTGCCAAAAAGTGTTTATTTCTGTTCGCCTAAACCTCAATTATTGTACACGTTGCGGATGCGAGCTTCTTTATTGTTATCATCTGCTTCATTTTAAATCTGTTAATCACAAGGTCTATTATAACCTGAAATAACGATTTATCAATCTCATCTTTTCTCGCATGGGATATCTCCGCAGACTTCTAGACCATTGCTGTACCTCGTTCGCTGTGTGTCGAGGCCAAGGGAATTTCAATTATACTCGACGAGGATCCACTGCCCCAGATAGGCTGTCCTTGCCTCGTGAATGTGTCATGGATATGTGCCGTAGCACAACAGTCCGCTCTGGATAGCCATAGAGCGGGAGTGTAACAGCACATTAGCGGCGGTCATGATGAGAAGCTACCACCCCACGACATGATTGAGGATCTATTCAGCCGCTTTGCGTCGATGGTAATCGTGGTAGACGATTCAATATACGAGCCTCAGGATTATATGTGGAGGGCCCGGTTAGCACTGGGTGCTGTATATATAGTGAGGATGAACCAGATGAAACACATTCAAACATGGGCTGTATCCGTGTTGCATGCTCGCCTTAGATCCTGAGCAGAGTGAACGTGCCCAGATCACTGCGCGCGCGAATCATAAACCAAATGGTATTGAGTCAATCCCTCTGTGGACGGTTGGGAGTGTAATTGAAAGTCGGAGAAATTCAGATCCGCGACGGTGACTTTCTTCTTCGTCAATGCCATGCCGTTTTAGCAACGTAATATTAACAATTGTTCTTCTTTTCGACCGAAGCCGCCGGTGTGATGTTCATTTGCGGAGTGCCAGTATTGAGTAAGAATTGCATAGTTCATCTAGAGTATCAATTCGTAGGTAGAATTGCACAGTTGCTCACTTGCGCGTCGCAAACAGTTGATGGAGTTTATCGACGTGTACAAATCATGGCCGGGTGAAAGACCCTCGAAGTTTCCATGTATAGCCACAGTCCTTTACCACGGTCATCACCTGAATATCTCTTTAACTGACGAAGACCAGCAGCCAAATCGCGCTTCTTAACATCTAGTGAGTGCCTCTCAAAGCATCGAGGAGTTCGTCTTGAGGCAACTCAATTTTTTCTAGGCTCATACCACCTTGCAGCCATTTATCCTTGTTGCTCAAATAATATTTTTTTCCATCTCGAATAAATCGATTTTTGTACTTGTCTATTTCGCGGGAGATACTGCATCTTCACACTCTTTGCGAATAGTTAGGCCTGTAGGAATATTGCTGGGTCGGACTCGACTAAAAGCAATGCATGATCTTGCATATTTATCCATTTCTGATGTTCGAAATGACTTTTTGATATGGTTAGGAGATTCGAGAGCGGGATTGCGAATAGCATTTGAGATAGGATTCACAATATGTGATGAGGCTGGGGGTGCGCCTGCACTGTATAGCGCTCACAAAACCATATTGATAGCGGCAGATATTTATTAGAGATAAATCAGAATTTAAAGATAATTTCATCAAAAGCTTGATTGATTTGGTGAGTTGTGATATGGTTGTAAAGAATTAGAGGTCTGAGTGGGTTCGTCGCCATGGAAAATTATTTTCTGTAGAAAGTAAATATTAGCCTGGTTACGAGAGGCACGTTCAATGAAGCCAATGATATTGCATATAGGATTTATTGATTCTATATGGATATTTGACTATGTACATATATTTTGTAAAAAACTACAATACTTTCAGGTCTACGTTGTCGTATACGTAAATGGCAGATAAATAATGGTATGCTATACTGCTTTTGCCTTTCCTTTCCAATCTAAATTAGAACTCTTTGTGCTGTCCTCACTATCACTAACCTCAATTGCAGGAACCGAGCTCTCGCCCTTTTCTTTCTTCGTACTATCAAGCTCAGCCTCTGATTCCTCTTCCTTCTCATCCTCTAAGCTATCTTCGATTAAAACAATGCGTGAAGCAAAAGAACTACGATCTTCACCAAGCATATCAATACGATTTGTAATCTTACTTGGAGGTTATGCATCTGCTACACTAGCACTTTCCTCTTCATCATACGACTCTACAGGAACTATAGCAAAATTATAGCAAGGGATGTGATTGAGATAAACCTTGCCATCACGCTCCTTTTTTATTTGTTGCAGCTGATCTGTCAGCGGAATAACCTTCAGCTTTTTAAACATTGCGCCTCTTCGTTTCTCGATATAGAAACCATCTCTTACTTTCCTCTATCTTATCTTCAATTGCTACTTCATCTGCACGAGAAAATGGCGATGGATAGTTGAGATCGTGATGTGAAGAGGAACGTACACGTTTTGACGAAGAAAGGGAGAAAAGAGCTTAAGAGGCAGTGCGAGCGGCTCCACTTTGAATTGTAGATGGTCCAGACACAATATGTGAAGATGAATTGAAAGAAGAACGAGCTGAAGACAGCGAGTAAGTTCGGCTAGTCGATACATTGTTTGGACGAGATGGAATATGAGCTGGCCAGGTCCGGTCGATTGTGACATCTCCATGCTTGACATCTCTAATCTTTGACCTGTGATCTTGTGAACCTCAGTTGGAAGGAACCCGATATGCTGCAAACGTTCGCGAATTCGATCTTTGTTTTCGCTCATAATCTCTCGATTTGTTCTAATATCCACTGTCAGTAGTGAAGTTGGCGATATTGTTTGGTGTACTGAGGATTGTGGAATAACTCCATATTCTCGACGTACCATTTCGATTCACGATTTCTCATACCATATCGAGCTCGACGAATATGAACAGGATCAGCTGGCTTCAAAAATCCAGTACAGACGCCTGGGATAATAGACTGAATGATGTTGTTTGTCTTCAATGCCTCAGTAAAGATGTTATTCTTTCCAAGGTGACCTGGAAAGCTGTCGATTACAGGAAAAGCTGGGCGATCAGGTGTGGTTCCAGGAGGGATGTTTCGTTGTGCAAAGACGTCGTTTAGCCATTCGGTGGCAATCTTGCGAGTAAAATACCCAGTCTCATTGAAAATGACATGGACAGCGGCTGGATATTGTAGCTTTTGTACCTCTAGCTCCTCGTCCGTCATATCGTCAGGTCGTTTGAATATGATGGTAGTCTTCACCCAAGAAATCCATCAGCAGATAAGCAGGTCACAAGGGAACAGCTTTCGGAATGGAGATAATTTCGTATGTAGTGGAATCAGTATATCCCGGGCGATGATAGCCAACTGAAGTAAGCATGGAGAGCATCAAAGGGCAGTAGTCCATATTGAATATCTCACACAACGTAAACAAGTATTTTTTGCAGAGCCTGCCGTTAACGTTATAATTGAGAAATTGCTGTACTTTATCGCGAAATTCCTCGAAAGACACTTTTAGCTCCTCTTCCATTTCCTCCTCACTCGTCTGATAAGGAGCCTTCTCCTTCTAATATTTGAAGATAACCTCATCGTTTATGCGTTAACTCCTCAAGGGGATTGGGCGAGGTCTGATGAGGAACCTTCACCTAAGATTTGAAGATTTCGTCTAGGATGACCAAGTAATAATCGTCACAGTGCAGGGTTGGTTGAACTTTAGGGAACGAATAATTTCAACTCAATGAGATTTTAAACATCAAAGAAAGAAGATTTAGGAAGAGAAAGCCTTTAAATAATCTTTCGCGTCACGTTAATTCACGACACGTGCACCACTGACAATGATTAGTTTTGATTCCGTCTAGGATGACAAAGTAATGAAATGGTCTTGCCGTTGACATAAGGAGCCCGTAGGATCTGAAGATTTCGTCTGAGACACCATGGAAGAGCTGTTGGGGTGTAGAGTCAATGACCCATATGGGAAGAGAAGAATATTGTGCGTTCTCAGGCATAATAATACACCAAAATCCAAGGTGAGGTCAATAGGTATTCTATTTGATACTGTTATCCTTGAAAGGAAAAGATGCTTTTTCCAAGAGGATCCATTGACAGCATGGTCTTGCGGCTTTCATAAAGAGTCTCTGAGATTTGAAGATTTCGGCTAGGATGATAAAATGATGGTATGGTTTTGCGGTTCCCATGTGACATTGATGAGGTTGGAGGAAGAAGTCCCAATTGTGAGATTTGGTAACCTATAATCGATGTTCTAATAGAACAGCCGAATACTTTTGACGACAAGCATTCATAATCTTCGGATCGCTGAGACAGAAGACAACTGATTGGATGAAGGGCATTTTGGAACGTTGATGAGGTTGGAGGAAGAAGTCCCAGTTGCGAGATTCGGTAACCCGTGGTCGACGTTCCAGCAGGAAAGGCTGATTTAGAATCAACACTTTCAGCATCCTTTAGATAGAATCGTATATAATGACGTTTTCCACAGACTACGACCGAGATTCTCAGGAGAGTGGCTTGGTCAAATCAGCCGGGTACTTTTGACGACATCCCTAATCTTCGGTAATCCTTGGTCTACCAAAATGTTGTCTTGCGGTTCCCGTAAAGAGCCTCTGGAACTTAAGCATTTCGTCCAGGATGACGAAATAATGGAAGAAATCAAAATGAAAAGTGTATGCTCCAAATTATGTAATTTGTAGAAGATGCTTCGGGTGTGGGTCGGTCTAGGTTCCTTGGAATAGGACGTAGTAGACGGTGAGAATTCTGTATGTGACTGGAGAACTATGCTGATGTGAAGAAGCCTTTCGCCGAGTCGCGTTGTTTGGGAATGCAAGCCAAAATGGTCTTGAGGTTCCCATGTCACATGAAAAATGCCTGGACAAATGGATGGATAGGACTTCGCGTCTGCATGTTGAGATTAGACGAGGGATAACACGCAATGCGGAAGCATATCACCAAATCGCCCAGGCAGAAGATAATTGTTGGAATGAAGGACAGTTTTTAATGCTTGGATCCAGAATAATGCCAACTTGCATTATCACTCGATGATCTACAGCCAGCACTGGTCTGGTTCCTGGTCAGGGTGTGGTGTTACCTGTCAAGATCATACTGATCTGCAACGTATGTTCTCTTGATGCGTGGGAAACAAGTAAGCATAGTATACAGATGGACCCCGAAGGCAACGTAATGTGAGCAGAGGATCGTATTGATCTTCAAGGTATGCTCTCGTGCGCATGAATAGCAGGTCTGTATAACACGTAAGTGGATATTAAACTAATCTATAGGGTATACTCTCTTACACATAGACAACAAGTCTGCATAGGATGAATTTAGACCTAGAGGGTAACGACGTAATGTGCGCAATGCGTGGATCAAACTCCGCAAAATGTTTCGAGATTACAATACTCTAAGCTCAATTTTCCACGGTCACGGAGATTCCACCTTTATGGACTGCCTAATGTAAAATTAATCGAAATTCATGGTAGTAGAAAACGTCTGAAGAATTAACTTAAAATACACCTCATCTCGAATCGAAGTGCTGCTATTTGTCTTGACCTAAGAACGGTTTCTGGGATCATAATCATCATCTGATAGCATCTCGACAGAATCAAATGATTCAGATCATTCCTTCTTCATCTTTACAAGCTTCTCTTTTGACCTGGGCATCAATTTTGAGAGCTGCCTATCAGGACGAGCGCAAATGCGAATAATCTTGGTAGGCGTTTCCTTGCTAATAACTACCTTGTTGCTCACTCCATTTACAATCTCAGCACTTATTACGGCTTTTCTCTTGGCGATCTTGGTGCTTGTTTTGCGCAATCATCATGGGGTTTCTCTAGGTAGTCTTCAAGCATACGAATCTATTCCTGATGCCTGGAGATGGCAGATGCGTTAGTGCTTTGAGGATAGGTTTCTGCTTATACTCGCGTCTAGGGCACTTACTATCCAACATATTGGCTCTGATTTCAAGGTATTAGTGGTATTACGAATTTGTAGAGAGATGTGTAGTTAACGAGAAGACTGTGAGTTGCACGTCATATGAATCGAAATCACATCAAAATTGGTGAATTCCCAGATCCTTGTTTATTTTATTTGTATGAAATGTTGAAATTACTTTATTATTATTATTTCCAATATAGTTTTCTGTCCCACGTATTATACAATTCAATTATAACCTTTAACGCTGTTATATTAAATTTAGCTGGTTTCAAAAATTAAAGAATCAACCCTGTCATACCCACACCGGAGGAATGGCCAGGACAGCATTGGAGGGCCCGAATATGTTCAGTAGTACTCATCCATCGTGGTCACCAGCCCTTCATACAGCTCAGAATCGTACCCGACACATTTGAGGTACTCATATTACAATGAAACCCCCGGAGGATCATCACGATCTTGCTACAAAGTCTATTAGCGAGCTGTTTCGTGTTGTTGGAGAAATACATACTCTTTCAAACGCTGCCATGATTGCTCCTTCCGTGATATCCTGAGCCTCTTCTTTGGTGATGGCCCTGGTTACAGCTTTAATTCCTGTACTTCCCAAGTCATCTTTATCCACATAGCTGTCATTTTCCGCATCCACCATCCGACTGGAACCCTTGGCCATATTTCTCTCAGAACATGAAGGACCAAAGGAGCATTTGAACAATTAGCGGAACCTGCCCCGAGCTTCCGTGCCCAATGACGTTTGACCTGCTCTGGGAGCTCAAGCATTTCATTGTGACCGAGACAATCAGATGGCATGATTTCATATGTTCCATAATATCGCAAATGTGAGGCCCTGATATCACGAATGAAAAGAGGGAAAGTTTGACCCATCTCGATCTCCGGTAAATATGGTGTAATATGAGCACCATGTGCACCAGGAAGACGAGGTAGAAGGGGGTCAAATTCGTGGCTCAACAAAGCGTAAGGACCAATATTATCGAAGATTCCGCTCGAATCAAATGACAGGTACCAATTGTCAGATCTCCCCCAAAAATGTTGCGTAAGAAATCATCGTGAAACTTTGTGTTTGGCTGAAGGGAAGTTGCAAATCTTGTATCACAGGAAATCTTCTCACGATAGTAGGCATTCGCATTCCATTGTGAACAAATAAAGGCACTAAGGTGTCCCTATTCGATATATTAATAAAAGTTAATACAGATATCAGTCACATTTGGTCGCGGATCCCCTTGAAAGTCCATCCCAAGCGGTGCAGGTGCTCGGCGGGAAGATCTGAGTGTTAGATGTCCTTCATGGTTGGCAGTATTTTGTCCTCGCCTGCCATCACTTACCACTTCTGGCGCGGGCGTGCTAAAGAAGCCAGTAGGTCAATCTTGTTTCCACAAGAGTAGTTGACTTACGCATCATAAAGGCCATCCGCGTCATATCGCTCACTTGATCCATGCTCCGATTTCACGGGAGATGATGCATCTTCATCAGTTAGGTCGATAACAGCTTTTCCCACATTTTTGGAATCGTGTGTGTTTGTTTCACTCTTGACACTTGCTTGATTTTCCAATTTCACCACTTGCTCTCGTAATCTGGATAATTCCGCAAGAACAAACTCTATTCCCGGAGGAGTATTGTTATCATGTTGAGAAACTTGACTGACACTTGTAGCATTTCTTCTAGGAGACTTTGCTCCTACTTTCCGTTTTTTCGTCCGGTTCAAAGTGATTTCGGGCATGTTTTGCATGCTGTTGTTTGAGCTGGAGAATGTCAGTTGAATCGAGCACCAAAGGATACCGAGTGGACAGTGAGTTTTGTATTAGTTGATCATGTTAGATTGAGTATGAGTAAAAGCGTCAAATATCAAAGTACTGTGAGGGTAAGACAAATATAAATATCCAATCAATATGAATACAAGTATTTGTAGACTTATTAAATTGATTGATATGAATAAAATAATAAAGTGGTTCCAAGTTATTCCTGGTATACTGCACTGCATAGCTTTAGCACAGACCACCTACACCTTGCTCCCACGTTCCATTCTACGGTACATCTCACACCTCAGAAATAAATATATATCTTCAAACCATGTCTTCTTTTCCCCCCCTCCATTTTTCTCCTCCCTAATCAATGAAATGCCCATCTGCATCGAATGTCGCTATCCGACCACACAGCTCTACACCGAGTATTCAGGCGGATCAACCGGTCATGGGGTACGATTAACCGTGTGTAAGAATTGCGGACGATTTTGCGATAAATATGTTGAACATGATTTTGTTGTATTATTTATTGATTTGGTTTTGATTAAACCACAGGTTTGTTTTCCCATTCAAATCTATTCTATCATAAGCGGGTTTAGCTGATTGTTCGGACGCGCGAAAGGTTTATAGACATTTATTGCATAATACTTTGATGAGAGAACATGATCAATTTGATGTATGATATTACTCCCTCTTCCTATTCCTATTACTATTATCATCTTAAAGATATAATGTATTGACATTCCCAAGCCGTCGATAATTCGTCTTGGTATTCTACTCCTCCTCTTCGATGTCTATCTCACATGGGCACGAATCGAAAAACAAACCACTGCTCCGGTCTCCGCGCCCATTGAAACGGATAATACGAATTTCCTTCGTCTAGCCAAGCAACCTATCGTCTTTCAATATATATTCTTTCTCCTCCTCTGCGCCCTCTCAACACTAAGTTTCCACCTCTCCATCCGGTTCCTTACTTCCTCGCCTTTTTCACCCCTAGTGTTCCTCGGACTTCTCCCAAAATACACACGTCCGAATTCGGTTTCAACGGCTCTACTCGTCTCTTCTTCTACGAAATTATTTCCTATTCTTATGGTTATATGGGAATATGATGTACCAGCTGCGGCGAGAAGTTTGGGATGGGCTGTTGTTGCGAATAATGTGGAGGCACTAAAGATATTACTGGATTGTGGGTATGGAACTGCGGCGATACTTGCGACAGTGGGTGCTATTAGTAGGTGGATGGTTGGAAGGGGAATACTCTGGGCGGTAGGTTTGGATGGGGTTGATACTGTAGGGGATTCAGGGGTAGCGGCGGATGGGAAAGCGCTGTGGGCGATAGTGGAATTAGGTAGGGAATGGGGTGGTAGGTTGGGATTAGGGTAATTGGAAAGTGTTAAGATACCAAGATGAAATGAAGATGAACGCCATATATCAATTATCATGGGTGGTTGAAGTTGGAAGGATTTGACGTAGAATCTCTCCGGAAGAATTGCATCACTACCAAGCACGTCCATTTGTCTTCCGAGAATTTCTTTTTGCTCGGAGCAAATGAAATGCCAGCCCTCAAGTTCATTGCACAAGTATAGGCCTCCACAAACACATTCATGCTCCGGCGACCATATCCTTATTGTAAGCCCAACCTCGAGCGCAGCGAGGACATGGGGGTTTGGGGGCTTGCACCCATGGAAAACAATTGAACAATCAATAAAAATGTCGCTCCGCTGGCTCTCCGGGGGCCACTGCCGTGGAGGCAGACTATTTGGAATCCAGATTCAGAGCCAGAGTGTTAAAAGCTTCCATTACCACAAAAACCCCTATAACTATACACGAGCCTTATTTCATTACTCTATTAGAGTCGAACCCATCCCAAAAACGCCAAATAATACACTTCATTCTTCTTCGTCCTCTCTCTACCATAATATCATCAAGTTTATCCATCCCTAATAACCACTCATATGTCTCGCATATTCCGGTCTCAAGTCTCCTCTTCGGGGCACAATAAGTGGATGCCATTGCGCCAAGAATGTAATCGCTATTATCATCATTAGTATCGATTTTTTACCCTTCCCTCCTATTTTCCAATCTGTGCAGTATGGTTTGATGCGATTGGAGTACGTACCCCACATGATGTAACAACTTGCGAAGGAGAGGATGAGTGAACTGCGCCAGATTCTATATACCAACAAATTAGTCACCGATACCTCGAGGTTTCGCCAGTTTGTATCTCGCCATCGCGAATTTGATATGACAGGATAGAGCGCTATAGATACGTACGTTTGAGTCTCGCCTTTAGGAGAAAGGAACCATGCTATAACAGAGGCGATCGCTGTGATGATGAGGCCGATGATGATGCTCCCGCTATTCAAACCATCGTGTTAGCCATGTTTTTCGCTCTCGCATTGATATGACTGGAATGATTGGAAGACTAGAAATAAGCATACCCGTTTGCCATGGTGATGGTTATGATGGTGAGGTTGTGAGGTCTGAGTTTGGAGATTTGGAAGTTGCTCAAGGCTGTTGTTTTAATTCGAGGTTGGTGATTATTGATGGAGCTTGGTTCAAGGTCACTTCGTGCTAAGGATTTATTAGCTTGGCGCATCAGCACTTTCTTTTCACTACTCTTACATTAATCTACAGAGTACAAAACATTTCATGCGATCAACATACATAACTATCAATTCTTGACCGACTATTTATTATTTATGAACCGGCAGAATTCAACCGTTGTATCCATTTATCTATTTACACTTTTAGTTTTATGATTTCCATGACTTTTTTTATTCCTCAACATCAATATTCCAGTCTAGTTCTCAAATTGAAGGCCAGCTTCCTGTCTAACAGCTCCATAAATGGCACCGATATCACCAGCTTCTCCCCTGTGATTCTTCACTTGCTCCAAATGAGCATCTGCGACTTCAACTACCTTCATTTGAGTACCAGCACTCTTCGCTAATGCCATTGCATGTCTTGCATCCTTTCTGGCCAAGTCAACTGCAAATAATGGTTCTTCCCGTTTATGATAATCGCCCGATAACATTCTGCTCGAATATGCAGAATATGGACCTGGGAATAATGCTTCGATAAATTGATGAAGGTTCTCTGTGCCCAAGCCAGTTTTCTCTGCAAGGACATGACCTTCGGAAAGAACCTCGACCATATTAAGAACAAAGGTATTTCCAATAACCTTCAACAGTGTTGCTTTTCCAACTGGTTGTCCACCGAAATCGATGATGGCTTTGCCCATAACTCCTTTAGTGTAAGGCTTGACCTTGTCTACACTTTCTTTTGGTCCAGCAAGTACGCAAATAAGTTGTCCACTTTCTGCCATGGCCGGAGCACCAAAAACTGGGCATGCAACAAAGCTTCCTCCAGCAACAATAATCTTTTTTGCTAATCCTTCCGTGGTATCTGGATGAACAGTCGAACAATCGACGAAGATTTTTCCAGCCGCACCATTCTTGATACCTGCATCGATTGTCTCATTAATGGCAGTATCGTCTCCTACGCATGTAAAGATGATATCGGATTTGGAAACTAGATCTGCAATAGATGAAGAGACGGTGGATTTGCCTGATGGAAGGGATTCACTGAGATCTTCTGCACGCTTTGTTGTTCGGTTGTAGAGTATGAGGGGTTTATCGAGTTGACCTTTCTCTACGAGGTTCTTGCACATGCCCTATGGGATTTGTTAATTGTGTTCCTTGTGTGCCTTGTGTTCCCATGTTCCTTATGTTGCTCATGTTCCTGCTGCGGGGTAAGTAGCTCAAGAGTGGTTGTGGGAGGCTTACTCTGCCCATGTTTCCAAGACCAATCCATGCTAATTGAAGACCCATCTTGTTCGATGTTTCGGAGATCTGGTGAATATGTTTATTTGAAGGTAGGAAGGTGTGTATTTCTTATTTCAATTATTATTTTGGACGATTGCAAGGTCATTTATGATCTCGACTTGGGACATATGATTACATATATGTCCGTGATATCGGAGTTACAAAATGCAAGTGGGAGTGGGACCTGCGGAATACATCCGATGAGTGGTTGAAGGCTCGAGGAAGGTACCTTCTTCTATTAAAGCCGACAGACATGCTTATTATTATATAGGTAGGTAGGTATTCACCTCATTGTTCAGCCATGCAGGTAACATTTTCTCAAGACTATTGCTACCAACTGTATGTGCTTACTATATACACCCACTCAATTCAAAGTATGGAAATGCTACTTACATATATATTACTTGAGTAGATGCTCGTGTTGACGAAAAAGATCATTTTATGACGTAAGGTCAACATCGAAGTACAGAGTACCTAGTAAGAGTCATTTCCATCTTTTCACGTGTGCACAAGCTTAACCTTATCGCATAGCGTTATCGGGTGAAAAGTGTGGAGTCAAATCTTTCGCACAAGCACATATTACATATTACTGTTAGTAGGTATGATCAATCAATATTCGTACTTTATATATTAAAAATGCCTCTCTCTCTTTGTTGCTACTTACATCAATTTATCTTCACTCGAAAAGCTATGCTTCTGATTCATTGCCCTTCACTTTACTCCCAAATGAATTACTGTGAATAATTTAAATCAACATGCAATATGTTATTGCAAAGTTTCGCCTTGAAAAAGGGCAAAGAAGTGGCTGCTCATAACGTGAGTCAATCCCCATTCTGTGGTGTAATATTGCTAAACTTCTACAAGATTCAATCTTTAACAAAACGTGGGAACTGTCTCACTCAAAACAATGATAAACGGCGCGCATATACTTCTAATCAATCTGCAGCGAGTCGAGTGAGGGAGGAATTGGCAAAGGAAACCTGCGAAAAGCTTTCAACCCAACATCAAGCCAAGAAGAAGGCTAAAGCTATTGATAGAGTAGGTTCATGCCATTGAACCATTCAATTGAGATGCTTACCAACTAGGACTTCTTTCTATCCGTCCTTGGATCCTCTGCAACCAAACGAGAAGCACGTTCTTACATTCAAAACTTCAAGCCACCGAATACTGCTCCTACAAAATCGAAAATTCAAGAATCTACCCAACAAAATTCAACTGAAAATGGGGCCAACTTGGGAAGTATTTATACAGCCACAAGAGCTGTGGCAGAGAGTCCAAAGTTTGTACAACAACCGGTGCTACCAAAACCCGCACCAGAGGGACCGCTATTACATGTTGCCTTGGTCAAAATTAGAGCTCCGCAGCTGCTAGATGATGAAACATTGAGTGGGATTGGGAAAACATTATCAAGATTAAGCAGGCTTGGATTAGTGAGTACTGTTGTGGTGGATGGTGATGATGGAAGCGATACTTTTTTGAGAATTTCCAACTGCGAATGGAGAAATATGGTTAAAGAGCAGGCAGCTCGTGTTGTGGCTGCCATTGATGCGTCGGGAACAGAAGCACGGCTCGTGGATAATGTGATAGGAATCGCAGAGGATGGATCTAATTTCGAACAACGGCCTTATTTGAAAGGTAGGGTACATGTGACACTCCGGGAGCTATTGATGACACCTTTGAGACGAGGAGTACTTCCCATTATCCCTTCAATAGGACATACGGATATCACTCAGACTGTAGTATCAGCTACAGCTAATGATGTTGTCTTGGCTCTCACTCGGGAATTTGCAGGAATATGGTCTTCTGAATCACCGGATGAACATCCTAATGTTGTCAAGGAACGACTACAAGCCCTACGAAGTGAGGTTTCGCTTGATCGTTTGATCTTGGTTGATCCTCTTGGCGGTATCCCGGCGTCTGATAGGAAAAATGGGTACCATGTTTTTTTGAACATGGAACAAGAATATGAATTGGCGAAGCAAGACCTTATAAACCGAGGAGGAATGCATAGTGTAGCGCCTCAGAAACCAACACTACCTGAAGCAAGCGCGAATTTCACCGTTGGCGATCCAATCCTCCTTTCCAGTTTTACCGAAAACAAACCTGGCGAGCTTGATGATTCGCCTCCGCCCCAAAATGGGTCACCTGCAAAGCATGATCCAAGAATGAAATTTCATTTAGAAAACTTGGAGTTAGTTCGGAGTACTCTATCCCTCCTACCGCCCAGTTCTTCCGCTTTGATAACTACACCTCATGAAGCGGCGAATTCGGAAAAACAACCAGAATTTAAGGCCGCGGGAGTTGGCACACGACGACAACGAAATCCACTGATTCACAACCTACTTACAGACAAACCAGCTTTTTCTTCATCACTTCCTGTTGGAAGATTAGGACCAATGGATAAGAACGAACCAATTTCCTCATCAACAAAATTTGCTCCAACCACTTTTGCGAAACATGGCATGCCAGTGACCATTTTTCCAGATCCAAAAACCACTCCTTGGCAACCACCTATCGCTGGTGTCCCTCAGATAAGCTTAACAGATCCTCAAATTGACCTTCCTCGTCTGGTACATTTAATTGAGGATTCTTTCAATAAAAAACTCGATGTCCAGCATTACCTACGACGTGTCAACAATCGTATAGCTGGAGTTATCATTGCTGGTGAATATGAAGGAGGGGCATTGCTCACATGGGAACTTCCACCTGGAGTTCCTGATGGAAGTGAAGAAAGTCGAAAACGGATGGTACCATACCTGGATAAATTTGCTGTTCTAAAGAAAAGCCAAGGATCCGGGGGTGTTGCGGATGTCGTTTTTAAGTCTATGGTTCGAGATTGTTTCCCCGGTGGTGTATGTTGGAGAAGTCGCAAGGTAGGACTTCATATTTTTTCATGTTGTTCATTTTGTATTGACTATATTATAGGATAATCCAGTGAACAAGTGGTATTTTGAGCGCAGTAGAGCTACCTTGAAGCTATCTGATACGAATTGGACAATGTTCTTCACGACACCTGAAGAGAATATGGATCATCAAACTTTTAAAGATTATGAAGCTGTGTGTAAGGTAATTGAACCTTCTTGGGCAGATAAAAAGGGGATTCAGGATTGAGCATGATATCTCAGTTTTGGAGGGCTCTTGGATACATGGAAGTTTGGTACTCAATGAATTATGAGGCCGCAATCGATCAGGTTTCCTCTCAAAGCCACATTTAAGCATCTCTCTTCGGCGGTCACCATAATCGGCAAAGTGTTTGTCTAACTACCATTGCGTTGTGCCAAGTGAAAATACAGGAGTCATTTTGGATATGCAAAGAGAATTCTAAGATGGTTGGCATCATACTTAAACACAATATCCTGTCGTTCTCAGATATTAGGGATGATGTCCTTTGCATACAGTCTTCAAAAACCATTGATACTATCAAGTCAAAGAATTTCAACTCCAGGAAGATTTTGTATTTAAAATGGGGGGAATAAGCACAAAACTTTCATGGCTAACAGGTTGGAAGTTTAGTTTTTTGGAAGAGAGAACGTTGGTGGGTATTATCAGCAGGGAAAGAGGTATATTTCACTGCTTACAAAAATCAATCCATTCGAGGCCACATAAGTTTTGAAAAGCAGTCATCATGTTATATAGTTGCATTTGGAGATACCCTCGAGTATAATTTTACTGTTTGATTGATAACTTGTTCATAGGTGTAGCTGGCCATGAGAATGACACTATAACTATGACTAAACCTTCTTGCCAATAGAAAACATTATGATTAATACGAGATCAAGGAATAGAGGAATTTATGTCCTCGATAGTGAATGATTATCATCGTCTTTTATCTCGCCGTCTTCTTATCAGTTCTCACGTTCTCACGTGAAGATGATTGTAACCTTAGGCAAAATCAAGCTAAGCTATCAATTCCATGTGAACAAGCAACATCAACATTAACATCAACCCCCTCTCTGTTTACCATATCAAAACAAATCCCCTCCGCCGGGTAATACAATTATCCAAAACCCAAGAAGCATCGCATATCTCGACACTATACCATACGATACAGAGATAAATACATGAATATGGATTTCTCCAAATTCCAAGCTTTTGGCAAGAATGTCTCGTAAGTAATTTCCCAAACCCCAACTTCAAGCTACAAATAAGACGGGGAAGGGGAGATGGCATCTTTCCCAATTATTGTAGAGAAACATAAATAACCACTTATAACCACAAAACTAACATGCATCCCCAACCCCAGAGCCACTTTTACTCCCTTCGCAGCGCGCACTCAGCAATATGTTAAAGAGCGTCTCGGCCAATCCGAAGATAAAACTCAGCTCCCGCCTGATTATATAGAGTTGGAGAAGAGGGTTGATGCTTTGAAGAAGGTGCATCAGAAGATGTTGGCTGTGACGGCGACTTTCAATCAGGAGGGGTATGATTATCCGCAGAATTTGAGTGAATCGGTAGGTTTGTTTTTGCTTTTTGGGGGAGGGCAGGGGAAGGTTTGATGCTCGTGGGGGAAATGGGGTAAGAATGAGGATGAGGATAAATAAATGACGCTCCGATGGCTCTCCAAGGGCCACTACCGTGGTGGCTGACTGTTTGGTGCCGGGGAAAGGTATTTTATGTGGGAAATATTTAAGCATAGGGAGTTTTGGGAGCTTGAGAGCTGCCTAGTGGTGGGGGAGCGCGGGGGGAAGCTTTTACATCAACGTTCGAAATCTTCGAGCGCAGCGAGCTATGGGGGTTTGGGGGCTTGCCCCCATTAATTCCTCGAAATTGAAGCCACTAGATACGATAAGTTTGCTAATATTCCATTAAACAATAGTTCAACGATCTTGGTCGCACTGTTTCTGAGAAAGTTCACCTCCTCTCCTCTGCTACATCCCCCGCCGAAGCTCAAGCTGCTCTTACAGCTCCTCCATCTGCAAAACCTCAACCAAAAACCTTTAACCATGCAATCGCTCGTGCATCTTTAGCATCTAGCCAGATCCTTCAACAACAAAATACTTCTGGAAATGAAGATCCTTTAGCTACCGCTCTTGAGAAATACGCTCTTGCAGAGGAACGAGTTGGAGAAGCAAGACTCGCACAAGATAGTCAAATTCAAAGTCGTTTCCTTGCAGGTTGGTCTACAACATTAAATACTAATTTAATGTTTGCGACTCGTGCTAGAAAGAGTGTTGAGAATTCAAGATTATTGCTTGATGCTGCAAAAGCAAAGGCTAAGAGTTCAAAATGGCATTTACCGGGTCAAGCTGCTCCTCAACATGATGGAAATGATGATGAGATGCTGAGTGAAGAAGCTAGAGTTGAGATTGAGCAAGCAGAGGATGAGTTTGTTGGACAAACTGAAGAAGCTGTTGGTGTTATGAAGAATGTATGTTTGGTCTCTGTCGTATATTTTAAGAACAAAACTAACTCACACATTTAGGTCCTCGATACCCCTGAACCCCTCCGAAACCTTGCCGATCTTATTGCTGCCCAACTTGAATTTCATAAGAAGGCATATGAAATTCTTAGTGAACTTGCCCCGGTCATTGATGGTCTTCAAGTTGAACAAGAAGTGAGACGCTCTGAGGCATTTTCCGCCTTATAATGTTATTCTTTCTTTCTTCCCTTTTACTCCTAGAATCCTAGAAGAGTTTTGCAGTTAGAATATGAAATATCACAGTTCAGTTAGCTGATAAAGTGTTTTCTATGTAGGCTAGCTATCGAAAGAATCGTGATGGTGGAAGTGCTTAGAGTCATCAATAAATTGAGATGTGGTGTGTTTGGAGGGAAGTTTCATGGTCGGAGACTAAGGTTTGGGATTGGAAGTGAGGTTGGGTGGTAAAGTGAACTTTATGGAGGTTAGGCTAGGTTCGGGGGTGGAGGAATAGTTTGAAGGATTGATTTTTGCTGCAGAGAGAATTGCGTGGTGGCTTGTTGTCTTGTACGAATTGTATCTTGGCGTGACTTTCGGGAGGAGGGCGTAAGTATTTCTTTTCTCTCTTCTTTGTTTTGAGCAAAAGATAGATACCTAGATAGGTATTTTAGTTAAGCAAGAATGAAGTTTTTATATTTTATGTTGTTTTTTATCGGATTGAATTGAAGGTTGAAGGTGTGAGATTAGAAATTAAGATTATAAAGTTGCAAATCTATGATTCTTAATTCTAGGGATATTCCTGTCGAGTATAGTATAATATAGTATAATATCGTTGCTAGTATGGAGAGCTATAGTGAGAAGGAGGGGTTTTTGTTCCTTGGAAGAAAGGGCCTGGTGTATATTTGAGGTTGATGGTTGATGGTTTGGTGGATGGGGAATTAATGGATTGATGATTTGGAGTTCGGATATTAAGATCTTCCTATCTTCTATCCTCAACTCCCCAAAGTCAAGAACAGAATGCACTAAAGAAATACATGAGAATAATAAGATATATCTGCAGCGCTACTAACGTCTAAGCTATCAAGAATCGGCAATCGGATAGTTTTCAAAAACTAATAGATGTCTCTTATCCACCATTTTTTCTTGGTCGTTGTTAGGCCTAGTATGGCAAGTACGATGATTGTGGGCCTACTATATAATCATGAATCGTAGCACCAATAATAAGATAACCCTCTTCACACCTACAAGAATAACACCTTCATCGTTCACATTAGTTCGGAGCAAATTCGAATTTCAAGGTGGACCGGGATAATTAGTGTACGTCATTGTAGATTGGGAATTTGGAATTCGTTACAATCAAATGGGGATTGATCAATCCACCAGTGGAGAAATAGTATCGTGTTTTGCTTTATCATAACGAACCTTCCTTTTACTTCCACTCAAATTTCATACATCAAATACTCAATATCTGCACAATTCAAAATTCTCATATCATTCATCAATACTTATAGAAGAAGTAAACCAGAATTTCTTACTACCAACGGAGATTCCGCAATATGCAAGTCATGTGCAAATCTAGACTTTCAAAAATCCACTTGGGATTTAACTAGTCAAATTAGTTTGTCCTCATATGCTTGTAACTGACATCATTGACTAAAAAATATTGGTCTTTTTCTAGTGGTTCTTGTTATTACCCCAGATCTACATAGATAGAAAGGATATGATATTCAAAGGTCAAAGAACCTGGGCTTTTTCATCCCTTTTCGTGAAAAATTGTTTCTGGGTGTTGAGGATTTTTATATAGTTCAATTAGTCGTCACATGTAAGGATCTTTCCATCGAATATTATCAAGAAATATACTAATGATACTTTAGTAAAAAGTACTCGACACAAAAGAGGGGGTTTAGTTCCAACTCTAAAGTAACCGAACTCGATATAAGCTTCGTGCTTTACCCCTTTTGGCTTTCATTAAGCGATCTTTATGGGGTAGCGTCAATTGGACTGTGATTTGTGATGCGCGGGGAAGAAATCCAAGGTATTATTTTTTTCTGGTGCTGGATAGTTTAAATGGTCAAAAGTATGTATGAGATGGTGGATTGATGGAAGGAAATATATAAGGAAGTCTTTGGTCCCGTGCTCTTGCACTTTTTTCATGTGTGATAATTTGACCGATCAATTGGAAATTCGAAATAATATCGAGAGTTTGAATGAATGGAGAGTTTACCATTGAATATTTCAAATAATCGCAATTGCACATACTTCGAATTCGGAGATATATCTTCCCTCTTTCATCGATAAAATGTATGTTCCATTACCGGAAAATACCAGTCCCTCGACCGGCCAGATCATCAATCATGTTGGAAATGAAGTCATAAGAATTATGAGCACTATTTTCCCACAAACAACACATCAATACTCAGAAACTAATCTCCATAGTCGCTCTGGGGAAATCACATCAGACGAAAAGATAAATGCTAGTAAAATGTGGTTAATAATCACACCAGTCATCATAATAGGAGTTGCAACTATCCTATCTTTTATTTGCACAATCCATCGGAAGAAAAGAACAGCCGAGGAAAAAATAAACGCCTCCTCATCTCCCCGAAGATCACTATCACTATCACGATCACGAACAAACGATACTAGAAATCCCCGACCATATTCTTCACATAAACCGAATTCGGGTCGACCAACTGGTGAGATGGGTGCAGCGAGAGCGGCATTAGGGGCGACGATTCATCCACCTACACCTCTACCTCTACCTCCACAGATGGAACAAGCACCTATAATACATGGACGACCAACGGGTCAAATGGGTGCCGCGAGAGCGGCACTGGGTGCTACGATCGAGCCTGGAGTTACCGGACTCGGGATTCAAAATGTTCCCATACAATGGGATTCAGGATGTGTGGTTACGCGGCCCGAAGCAGCAAGAATAAATACCGTAACTCAAGAACCCGGATCTGTGTATTCACTACGAGCTAGACCTGGTGAGAATACGACACAGATGATGCAAAGAGTCGATGAGGAATTAAGATTCCATCAAGCTGTTTCTCGGTATCCTATCTTTGCGGATTCTGTACCTAGTACTGCGTTGCCTGTTCTACGGGAATCTAGAAGAGAAACTCGGGAAAGGCGGGAAAATCGTCAGATGACTTTAGATGAGGAGGTAAATCGACAGGTAGCTTCCTTTCCTATTTTCCAGCAAAATTCAAGAAATGGATATCAGCATGTTATTCCTACGGGAAATAATGGAGAGGAATATAGAGAAGTGACAACAAATACAAATACAACAAGAGATGGTGATGATGACGAATTATGGAGAGAGGTAGCCACACTTCCTCTATTTCAAAATACACCTACTTATCGCTCGACGCCGACGAGGAGACCTGATCCGCTAACTCCGAGGTTTGTGACGCCGCCGCCGGCGTATGAGTATGCGCCTGCTTATGGGGAGGATGATGGGATTGGTGCTCGAGATGGGTATGCGTCAGGGTTAGGGTTAGGAAGTCAAGGTAGAAATGGAGGTTTTGGGGATAATGGTGGAGTTGGTCCTGCTGCTTTACCTCCGGCTTATGTTAGGTATGAGGGAAGGAGGTGAATTTTTGGAGTTTGGAGTTTGGAATTTGGAATTGGATTTTGGGTATTAGGGAGGTTTTGGTTTGGTTTTGGTTTAGGGGGGATTGGGAATCTGGTGGGGGTATTGGGATAGATGGGGACATTGGATAGATTAGAGTATTGGGCAGACAGATGTATTCAGGTACATAGGGATGTCTAGTAGAACATGGAATAAGAGTCTAGAGGAAACTCGTGCGGAGAATCGCAATAGATAAGGGATACTTGGATAGAGTGGATGTTGGGATGATGGAGATTGAGAACCTTGTTCTTCTAAGTGTAATGGAATTAATTTTACATACTCTTACACCACAATTTGAAAATTCCCTCAGTAAGCAAGTCATAGTGTCTAATATTCCGATCCGAATTACAATCAAGATCTCAAAGTTTTGAGATTTGATTGTAATTAATATGAAAATCTGGAGGGATTGACTTTTCCAAACAGTTTCAATTCTCTAGATGGTTTTATGTACTAACATAACATTTTCATAAAACCAACGATACCTCGTTAGACTGCAGTCGAGCTAGAAACCATCCGTAACACACACAATTATGGCATCTCCCTCCAAGCATATTGCATCATCTGCGCAACCGCTAACGCAGGTTGAATTCCCTTAACCAATGCCAACAAGTAAAGTGTAGCATCAATACCACAGCTAATACCTCCACTACTAATAACCCTAACTTTCTTATCCAAACTCAATTGTTCCTTCACATATCTAAAATTCAAAGACGCCGGATTCGGCACCACAGTTGTTGATTTGTGAGTTGAACTTCTCGCCGTATATGCATCGCAGATAATTTTGAGTTTCGGCAACGTGAGAAAATGAGTCGTTGCATTTAATCCTGAAAATATCCCCGCAGAACCAAGAAAGAGTGCACCCGTACAAATCGACATTATGATCCGCGGACCATGTAAACGAGGTGATGAACCAAGTTGTGAGAATTCTTCGATAATATTGAGCATGTCCGAGAAATGGCTATCTTTGTGTGGATATAGATGGGGAAAGATATCATCGGAGGAACCACCCGGTTGGATGAGGATATCGTAATTCTCGAGTGTTTCAAAGGCAGTGATGAAGGAGATGTGACGTTGGATTTTTGCTCCTTCGGCTGATATGGTGATGTCGTGTTGAGCTGCGATGGTGAGTTTGAATGGATCTTCGCTCAGTGCGACATTTCCTAGGACATCGAGAGGTCCATTAATATCTAGTGTATTGAAGGTATCATATGCGAGGAAAAGTACGGAAATTTGGGAAGAATCGGGAGTATTCTCCATTGAAGTATCGGGTTTAGTTGCCATTGAAAGTAAAGATGTCAAATTAGTCTTTTCCCAGTCTGTGGTAAATGAGAAATCCTTCCTTCGGATTTATGGAATGATTATTTAGATGAGCTGAAAGTCGCGTCTTGGTTGTAAGATCTTACGAGAAACAGCACATCTCAGATCATCTCAGCCATGGGAGAGACATTTGATTCAGCCTACTTGCTTTACCTATGAGTACTCTTGTAATGAGCGGTGTTATGGTTTTATTAACCTGTCATTGAGATTTCGAAATTTGCTTAATATATCTCTATGAAGGGGAGAAAGATATCCGAGATGAGATGTAAACACCAGAATTGCTAAGGCGCTAAGCTACCCCGCGCCCGGTGACCTTCGATTATACGAATTGACATCAAGAATATATCAACTTCTAACCACAGACTGGATTCAAATCTCAATTTTTAGAAAGTCATGAGTCTCTAAGAATAATTTGATCACTTTAATGGATTCATAATTTCAAACGAATTCAATATTTGAATTAATTAATTCTTTGCAGTCCGGGCTATTGGATACCCTGATCTTCTCTGCAAACTTTACTGTCTACAGGAAAAAGCCTCAATAGGTATATATACATGCAAAATCAAATACAATGAGTTTGAAAATCATTCCTGTTATAATAAAATTTCAGTCTATTTCTTTTTTTTTTTTTTTTTTTTTTTTTTTGGAGTTTTAAACAATATTTCTAATCAACTACTCTATATCCGCGAGCTGCTAACTCTTAAAGCCAACCTTGAGCCTATTAACTATTCTATGTAAATAAAACCCCGGCCACAGTTCTCTTTATATCGAAAACCTCTAACGAGGTACTGCTAGAAGGTATATGGCATGAACTACCGCTGTCATACAACACCTATCTATCTATAGACCGCCAAAAAATGGAATGACTTCCCTTGATCGTTCACAACCAATACAGGGATCTGATCTAATTTCCTCAAGCCGTCATTCCAAGTATCTTCATCATATACCTAGTATCACAGATTTACTCGAGACACAAATTCAGACCTCTTAGATCAAACCTCAGCCTCGTGGTAAAACATTATCATGAGCCGCCTTATCATCCGTTTACGAATAGTTTTCCATACGAAATGTTAAAAATCTACACTAGATATGAGCATTTCAGAGGTCAGCGGATTAATGCTCACTCAAGGCTTCATTATTATATGCATGGTATCCAAAAGTCCGGATTTTAGTCTAATAATGGGAGAGCTTTTGGATTCTTGGATCTAAGTGAACATCAAGATTATATAAGATATTAAATCATATTCAACCATTTATAAGATTTTAGCCGTAGATTTTAATTGGGATTTTGATTATTCATTGTATGCAAATATTTATAAAACTTTCAAACATTGAAAGATCATATCTAGGCTGCTAGTTGGGAGGACCCGAGTATTTGTTCCAATCTGGATTTAGATTTCATCTCCCCATGCAGTTTAAAGTAAGGAAATAGAGTTTGGTGTGCCATGTATTTGCAAGAGTAGAAGCTACTTAGACAACTAGAAACTATTCAACGCCGGACAGAAGAAAAGATCGACAGTTTTTGTCAATTTGTGTCGATGCATGAATGAAAGGAGTCGAAGACCGTGTTACCATCATTGAGATGTGTAAAATCTACACAAAAACGTGACTCAACGTTCCTCCAATATCATCACAACCAGAAAAGCTCCTAAAAGAAGCATATGAACAATTTGCAAACCACTCATCCGAGTGATACATCATAAAAATGGAATATTATTAACAAGCCACCTATCAAAAGTTCAACAGTTCCAGCTGTGCACTAAAACTCCTTCCATCTATTTTTTCGCAAATCGAAATGAACGGATCCAAAACACCACCTAGGAACATTTTACCAGTCTCACTATCATGCACTGCTACCGTGGTCGCGGGTAAAGTATTTCCATCGTCTTCCATCATTTTAACCACATTCCAACCCCATCCTTCTCCTTCTCCCATTGCGCCCAATTTCATGATCCTGAACACAGCACTTGGGATATTCGCATCAATTTTTTGGGAATTTTTGATTGCTTTGTGCAAAACAGGTACGGTGGCTGCGTAGATATCTCCATTTTTGTCAACATTTATATTGTTGATTGGGAATGGAACGTGGATTGTATCAACTTTTCGGAGACACTGCTCTGCTTCTAGGGAAAACACTTGGATCTGGCCTGATATTGATGATGGGACGTAGAGTAAATTGTCGTGGCCAAGGGCTATTCCATTGGGTACTTTCAAATTTACGGAAGATTTTGTGATTCCGCATTCTGTGGAAGGAGGCGTACAATAGCCGATGCTTCCGCCTCCTAGAACGAGGTCTGAATATCCTCTCTGAGTTCGATTGTTAACGTGAATTCACTGGTATTCTTCACTACTTCAACAACTTACCGAGCTACTTCTTGAACTGTGGGAATTGGTGAACATGAACAGATGCTCATCGACCCAAGCGACATGTCTTGGTGTTTCAATGTTGGTATTGGCGAAAGTTTGCTTGTGAGTCATGGTTTTGCTGCCCAATGTGGTTGTAAAGTACTCGATCGTACTGTTCGGTTCTGCCTGGGGCTTGTTGAAGGGGCCTGCTTTTCCCGTATCTTCAAAGGGACGATCGTTTACTAGAACGATGTGTAATTGCTTCTTATCTTTTGCATCTACTCGGATATCAAATCCATGAAGATTGAGAGTTCCATCATTTGACATCCCTTCAAAATTTTGCGTCTGGAGCCATGTCAATCGACTTTTAATGGTACCAGATCCACGAGTATCTAGAACCGCAATTCGATCGGAAAAACTCCGACCTGATGCATTCAAGTGATTGAGACTGATATAATTAGTTTACAGAAAATAAAGACTATGGATGAAGACGGGGCATACCTTGGAAACCACTCAGCTCGACCCTTAGTATCTGAACATGCCATATAAAGCAGCCCACTCTCCTGATGCAACCACATATCCGCACAACCAGCTAAACCTACATCATCAATTTTCTCGCATTCCACATCGAATTTGAGGAAATGTTCTAGGACGCGATTATACCCTAATTTGTCAAGAAAGAATGATTTATAAATATATTGATAGAAAATTGACCCGACGACTATACCGACCAGAGCTAGCCGGAACCCTATTCTTGCCATGAATCTCAGATTTAAAAGCATGAAGGAAAAGAAACAGGACGGATGATGTTGGGATGAAATTTCTCGTGATATGTAGTCATTTCGCTCAGACGCATCCCTGAAACCTCGAGGTGCTACGCTATGATTTTGTTTGGCTACGACTACAACTCCCAATTACTTTTATCTGAGCGCACAGCGTAGGTGATTTCCTCGTTTGTTCACATCTTCTTCATCAGCATATGGCCTTCACAGATTGTGATTTTTACTCGAAGTCACGGGACTTCATGTGACATGACTTGTTGACTGAGCGCCGACAGCAAACTATGGTGTAATGCGCCATAAGACATCACGGGCAGAGATAATGCGATATCTGTTAATTAAATCCAGCTAGTATGTGGTATAAATGGATTTGGGGTTCCGTGGCATGTTCTCAAATGTAGGTAGTTCGACTCGCCATTGAATGGTCTTGCCTCGCTAATAGATACTACTCGTAGAGCTCGATGATTTCAAAATTTCAACCTTAGGGCATCGACAAGCAAATCTAATTTAGGATGATTGACACGGCCAACGGTTGGATCTCACTACCACGTGACTGCGTGATGAGAGCTAGTCCTATTCCAATGTGCTGCGCCGCTGAATTGTCGTGGCGCACGCGTTTGTCTCGAAATCTCGTTCCTATATTGCGAATATCATCATATATAGTATCAACAATATGGACTTACCAATATGTATTAACGGTGTACATACGAGACATGAGGAACTCTGGTCCTTGATTCATAGCCTTAGAAACAAAAGGCTACAGCCAATCTTCCGCCGGCCAATGCGAGAACGAGAAAGACTTTACGTAGGTCTAATACGAGCGAATTGGCAAATATATCTACGCCACATACGATCCCTCAAGTCAAAGAATCTTAAAAAAATTGTTTCATTGAAGCGCTTTTCACAACTTCCTACTGAAATTCAGGATCTGATCTGGGAATTCTCATTACCTGGACCTCGAATTTTGTATCTCCCTCTAGATGCTCGAAACAGATTCGACATTGACGGACAATCTCTCCCTTCATCTTTTGATTTTGCCAAGTATTATAACCCTCCCAACCCACCTGCTTTAAGGACTTGTAGGGCTTCTCGAGCCGTGGCTCTGAAACGATATCAAATCATCCCCGGGCCACCTTCCAGATTAGTATATGCTGACTTTCCGGGTGGGGATATCATCTACCTTGATGGGAATAACTTCAAGTTATTCAATGGTTGGGAGTGGCGCCCCTCTGTCAGTCAAACCTCTATGAAAAAAGATATAGTGGAGAGGGTTGCCTTGTCTGCAGACGCCATCGACACCCATTATTTGGAAATTGATAAGTCTTTTCAAAAACTTGCCAACATCAAACAAATACTAGTTGATTATTCCAAAGAGGCGCTCAATAGCGACCGATGGTCGCATGGCCCGGGAATCATACGTGTTGAAGACTTATCTGAACATGATGAATCAGACGGATATCGCCGAAAAGTTGAGTGGATAAGGAGATGGATGTCAGGTGGAAGGAGCGAAAATGATTTTACCAAGAGACTTCGACAATCTAAACTGATATCTACCTCCATTATTCCCAATGTTTCAAAAGACGATTGGTTGGTAGATCTCGCAGAGTTTGATGTGAGTTCAATTTTAGTCACCATTTCCCAGCAGGATACTAACTTAGTGATAGGAAACTATTCCTTTACTCAAGAAATTTCGAGTGAAATTGCCAATAAGTGAGCCGTCGAGGGTAATTAATGAAACGAGAGCAGAACGATATGAACGAAGAGCCAATCAGAAAGATTCGTAGATGATGAATGCGTGACGAGATCGCAATACATGGTGGGATTTACAAGCAACAAGGGTCACAATCAGATAAACTGAGAGATCCTTCGCCGAGAACCTGATTCCCTAGAGGTGGAATCATGGTTTAATGGTGTTTTTCGGTGTTTCTTTTCAAGAATGTGTGATAGATACAGAGAGTAATGAGTTGATAACAAAGTTCGCATCATCTCCATGGTGTTAAATATCCAGTGGGAGTTTTAGGTTTCATCATTATCTATAATTTCAGTGGATACATACCTGGTCAAGTATTCAATACTTACAGTACTATCTTTCTTTCTCTGAAGAAGTTTTTGAATATTTAGAACTTCTATATTAGTATATTAGCAGTGTCTAGAAGGCGTCGACTGTTAAATTTACCCCTGGTCTTGTTTCCGTGGTGGAGAAGGACAAGAAAGGAGTGATAGGGGAAAATCAATAGGGGATTCAAGTATCATTACATCTAATTCACCAAACTATACACTGAGGATGTGATGTTTACTAGTGGATATGTCGCTCGTACAAATGCTGATGTGGACAATAAGGTCTTTGTCTTTCATGCAGGATATCTTTACCGAACTGAGAGATCCAGCAGCTCCTTTACTGTTATCCTGTTTTTATTTTACATTCTGATTTACAGCTCCCATGCTGAAAGATACCTATTTCATTGTAAGATCTTAAAATGCACTAGAATGATCTACCTTCGCTTCTTGTTGCTAGTTATTGTTCATCATCCAGTGCTACTAGAACACAACTTCTTGGTTTCGCGATATCACCAGAACCCAAGTATCAGCTTAGCTGACCCCAGATATCTCTCCGACGGAGGAATGATAAAACAGAGCATAAAACAAGTTCTCACCTAGAGTGTACTTAATAATTTGCCATCATGAAGCAATGGAGCGGGACTAAAGGCTTGAGAAAGTTGTCAATCACTAATGATATCAAGTTCTTTTGGGTATGATGAGTATTTACTTAAATAGCTCCTGCTTATAGAGTGATCAGGCTATCAATTCGATAAGGATTGAATCTGGCTTATTGAGGATCTTCAAGTAAGATGGTCTAATACCATACTTTAGACAAGCACAACAAATCGGTTTCGTTTGCCTACGCTTGCGGTGGTAATCACAATACATGATATCGCCAATGCTGATATGCTCCCCCTTCGAAGACAAAGGTTGTATTTTCTGATTACGGCGTAGTCATACAAAATCCAACTGCCTTCGATTTCATTTCATGAATCTGCACATTCAATATATCAATCGACCCCATATATAGTGTCAAAATCACATCAAATCCGTACCTGAATTAAGTAAAGTCAACACCAACGCTGCTTTACCATCTGCACCTGCGGGGAACCCCAGAACCATATCCACATAATATCCGACGCGCGAACTCTACCCCAGCTTTCCCATGTGAAAGTCACCAAATGAGAAGATCTTACTTTAATCGAGTAATCCTCTCGCTGCTTTAAATCCCTAGACTTTTCCTATCCCATACTTCATGAATACATTTGTATATATCCCCGGATAATACTGATCCCATAAATTGATGTGCATAGTATGAATTACGTGGAATTGTAGATCATGATATCAAATCTTGAGCATAATATGCACGTGAGAGGAATTTTTTCAATATCAGGAAGATAAACTCCTTTAATGCGGTGATCCAATAGGTGTATGACTTCGGGGGTAGATGAACAATCTAAGCCCTAAATACTAGGTACGTATGTCTAATACCTCGGTCGTGTGGTATAGTGACATAATCCTGCATATGGTGGGATGGATGTAAATAAATCTTATATTAAGGTTAGCATTAGACGATAAACTAAATAAAAATAAACTAAATCTCGGATCCAATCGTGAATAATTCCTTATTTTCTATTGATATGGAAATCGGGAGAATTAAAGCCTTTTCCCTCAATCGTTCATAATCGGATAACAATACATGAATATCTGCCTGTCATGCGACGCAGTCGTTCAAGCTTTGCTTGTTTATTCATTGTTGTAGCTGGTATACTTTGGTTATCGCATTCGACGATAAAAGAAGTATATAACACCACGCGATCTAATTGGGAGGAGAAGAATAGAGAAGATGAATTACTTCATACCATGGGCGATGGCTTCAAATCAACTTCCAATCCAATTCTTCCACCAGCTGAAGTACCGCCAGCGGAAATTCCGCTCAATGCCAATTTTCCGCCGCAATCTTTCCCGCCGCCTGCCCCTCCCATTCCCATTCCGATTCCCGATACTTCTCCACCGGAGAGTAACTCCGCATTCGATAATATAAGATACCCCTTCCAAGATGATCTTTCCCTCCCCCTCGCAACCCTCGATCTCAAAACCCTCGCGACAAAATGGCCTCACAACTATGATCCCGCCGCTCCAATCGGTTCAAGATACGCCTATGCAACCTTCATGAACACGCACAATCCCTCAATCCGCGACCCATACTTCATGGCCGTACAATCTCTCATCTATCGGGTTCTCTGGCGACCTTCTTCAAAAACCCACTCGTACCCTTTCATCGCCTTTGTCGCTTCCCACGTCACTCAGGAACAACGACTATTACTTGCCGGTGCGGGAGCTATCGTGCGAGAACTAGGTTCTTTGGATTGGAACCCTAGTACGAAAGATCTAGCAGACGGAGAAGCCAAGCCGATTTTTTCACGATGGAGAGATACTTTTTCGAAATTACATATGTGGGCACAAACTGATTTCGACCGAATGTTATTTTTAGACGCAGATGCATTTCCATTAGAAAATCTCGACGAGATGTTTAACTTAGTTCCTCCAAAGACTTGTAATGCTCTAAAACAAGAACCGAGTGATTATTTCCCCGACGGCGCAGCAAGCTGTAATGGCGAGGAATTTATCTTCTCGGGAGTTCCTCAGACTCCTGGAATTCCGCTCGTGATTAATGTCGGAGCAATGGTGTTTACACCAAGTCAATTGATGTATAAGAGATTTCTGCAAAATTATCAGAAATATAATATGTATAATACGAATATGGCAGATCAAGCATTTTTAGCGTGGCAATTTAACGAAGATGGTGCGTTTCCGGTAACACCGCTAGAGAGGAAATGGGGAGGATTTTTCCCGCGGGAAGATGATAAGGGAAAGTTGAAGGTGGTGCATGAGAAATTGTGGGCGGAGGAAGGATGGCTATTGCAGGAGTGGATGGACGGGTGGTCGGAAATGTTGGGTTGGTTTGATGGGGGTGGGTTTGAGGCGGAGAGGAATAGAGATGAATTTTTTAAACCGAAGTTGGGATTGCATTTTGGGAATGAGGAGATGGTTTAGTGTTGGTTGGGTAATCTTAGTTGGGTATTTGGGGGCTTGAAAGTCGATGCTCAATTAACCTAGTTGAGATTGATTGGGTGGATTCTTATATCTTTGTTTTATACCATTTTGATTCCTAGATTGTTTTAGGTGGGCTAGATTATTATTGCATATTTGCTTAGGTTTAGAACGCTATAGATCCATCATATTGAATGATGTTCATACTATCTACCGTATATCATTTCTAATGGCTATATTTGAACAACCAGCTTGATCAAGCAACGAGAACTGTAAAATCTTCCTAGGCATCGAGTTGATACAACTTTCAAAGTCAAGTATTAAACTGATTAAATAGTGGATGTAATAAGATCTTACATCATCGTAATGACCTTTCATACAATAAGATATTACAGAACGATAATTTTCCCTTTAAACTTCCATACCATAAGTTGAGGTTCAATCCCTCACAGGACATTCTTTGTACACTCACTCCAAATCGCGCTTCAACCTACGCTTTTCCACCTCCAGTGAAAAAGGCTTTCCCGAGCCTCATGTTATACCAACAAATTGCAATAAACTTACAATAAACCCAAGAATCCAACCAATGAACCTAACATCACCACCAAACATCATCCTCTTTGCGTTTCCGCGCCCCATCAACCCCCTCATACGCATCCACCGCCTCATCCACCTCAGGCTCCAAAGCGTCCACCCCATCCCCCTCCGCATCGCCATCATCACCCTCCCTATCCACACCCCCAAAACCCATTTGCGTATCACTTCCCGCCGGAATATTTACCGATTTCAAATTCCCCGCATACGGATCGACATCAGTATCATTCGACAAATCATTCCAGTCAATTTCGTCCACAGACCCAACACCATTAGAATCCTCTCCCCCCTCCACATAACCCTCATCATATTCCAGCTCCGTATCCATATTCATATCAGGATTTTGCAGCGCGGGCGTATCATCGTATCCCGAATCGGATGATGCAGGGGAATCAGATGATTCGATGTATTCTTCGTCTTTTTCTTCAACTGAGTGTTCTTCTTCTTCTTCCTCATCACTCTCCCATGTTATCTCGTCCTCGTAAACTTGATCAATATCTACATCTACATCGATATCAATACCCAGTTCTCCCGGTGTTAAATTACTTCCTCCTTCGCCCCTCTCAGCTAAATCCTCAATTCGAATTCCATCCGCTAATCCCGGATTCTTCTCTACTTCTTCCATTAATGCTACTTCTAGATCACTTGCAAGATTGGGTGGTACACCTAATCCCGTCCCATCTTCTGTTCCACTCGGTGTATCCTGATCTGAAAATGGTTGGCTGTGAGGTTGAGGGATCGTGGGTGATATGAATGGTGGAATTACACCCGGAGCTTCACTTTGCGTTAGGTTCGATGGACTAGAACTCATGTTTGTAGGGGAAAATAAGGTAGAATCGTGAGGTGGGTGAATGAATCCTTGGTGTGGATGGTGACGGTGTTGTTTGCTACCTTTAGCGGAAATAGGCTGCGGGAGGTTTCTAGAACGAGAATGGCTACGCTGAGAAGGATCGGTGGGAGTACTTGTTGGTACTTTAAGCTTCGGTATCTTGGAGAGACGGTCGGATGAGTTTTGGGCCATTTTGCGTTTGGATGAATTTGACCTGAGGTTTGGGTTGGTGTGAGATGACATTGTATTTTTATGCTTGTGGTGCGATCTTGAAGGTTGAGTAGATGAGTTGCGTAACTGAGGCTGTTGAGATTGTGTTTGTAATTTGAGATGCATGTGTACAAGTAGAAATATAATTTAACACGACACGGATTGGAGACTTTGTTATTGTAGTGGCGAGAAAATAAGAGTAAAAATGTAAAAGTCACCAATAAATAAGCAGAGTCATAAAGTCAAAAACGAAGATTAATTAACAAAGAGAGTAGTTGGTAAAGCCGAGCAACCCCTCTCAAAAGAAGGAATGGAAAAAATAAGGCATGGCAACTTTGCCTCGAGTATCCGAACGAAAAGAACATTCCATATCAACGGAATTGGAAGTTATAGCAAAGAGAATTTGGAAATAAGGATGGGCGGAAATAGATCTATGTAGTGCGCATAGATAGACAAAGGGGATCTTGTGTGTTAAGCGACTCTTTGTTCGAAACTGACTTGGATCAACTGCATTCATTCCGACATGTGATAGTGAGCGGCTGCGTGCCCAATTATTGAATACCATTGTAGAATATTATAAGCTATTAACTGATACCAGAAGAGCCCTCCCAGCTAACCAAAGCCATTAAAAAAAAACAGCGTACCTAAACCCATGCAATGCTCTATGCCTAGTCCCGAACCCATTTGCCCTAAAAAATTGTGAATAGAAGTAAGGAGAAATACAAGAAATTTCAATAATAACAGGCCAACCCTCTATTGTGCAATGCTCACCCCAATACTAGACAGGTAATTACATCTCTCCAACTGCTCATCTGGTATATTTTCCATCTTCACCCGAGGAGTTGCTGTTCCTGTAACATTCTGCGCTTGGAAGAGGATTCTTCGATAGTTTTTAACTGAAAGTTCTTTCCATTTCGGTGTACTCTTCAGCTTATACGTATTAGGATCCTTGCTTCTTATAAAGCTGGTCCAATATGCTTGGATAGATGGAATAAGTGCAGAATCTGGTGCTTTACTGGTTCCCCAAATAGAAGCTAGTTCAGCAGTATGCGTCACGCCAAGTCCATTGGCAGCATTTTCAGATGATAGAACATTCCAGTGATAATTCCAGTTGCCAATGGAAGGGGCAAAGACGTCGTTAGAGCCGGATAAGTAGATTCCGGGACAGTTGTAGCGCATCTCGCCATAAGCAAGAGCTGCTGCACTCCAGTAACTACCAGCATCTGGATATTGAGGCCCTTTGGGGTAGTATTGATGGATGTTGCTTATTTGATCATCAGTGAGCTTGACGAAATTGTTTTTCAGAAAGATCGACATATCAGCAGTGGAATTTATGTCTTTTGGCGTGAATACTGTGCCTTCGTTTGTGTCATCACTGAATGAAGGAAATTTTCCTGTTAGTTGTTTATCCAGAATGGGCAAGCAGGTGATAGAGGAGAGACATACCCGTATATTGCAGGGAGTTTAACATATTGTCCGGTAGTAAACAACTTGTAGGTATAATCCGGCGTAAAATCCCCGTCAACAACATTCGACCACATGAATACCGGACTCTCTCCTGCACCACCCGGAGTTGGAAGGTTGATGTTGTTCTCGGCAATGACACTGATATCCAATTCCCTCAAACAAGCTAGAGTATCATTTTGCCTAGCACAGCCAGTCCGTTCAACTAAGCCATCATATTGGTATTGTGACTCGCTAACCGTGAGTTGGGCACCAAAGGACTGACTCTCAGCCACGCTAGCATGAAATAGTCCATCATCGCGACCTCCATATGCAGAAAGTTGGAGATCTACAGAGGCACCACCAGCACTGGCCCCACCGATAGTTACATGGGATTTATCGCCTCCGAACTTTATTATGTTAATATCCACAGGCATGATGTGTAGATTATGTTCTGCCGTTGACAGCACTTACTTTTTCAATGTTCTCCTGGACCCATTCGAGTAGGAATCGTTGATCTTTCAATCCGACATTCGTATCTCCATCCTCTACTACTTCTTTGCTGGTTAAGAAACCCCAAGGTCCAACGCGATAATTGAATGTGACTACTACAATATCATAATCACCAGCTGCGATCAGACTAGTGCCATTTAAATTCGAGTTAGAAAGGCTATTAAAGCCCCCTCCTTGAAAGTAGATGAAGACAGGATGGAGCTTGCTTGCATCTGTGGGTGCATATACGTCAAGAAAAAGGCAGTCCTCGGTTGTATTGGGAGAAAGTGATGTTGAAGGTGAGGAGTGACATAATCCGCCGTGCTGTGAATGTTTGAATTAACATCAGGAGATAAAATTGGTTGAAACACATACCTGGTTTGCTACTTGTAAAGTATCATTCACAAGGGGACTTTGAGGAGCTCGAAAGCGCAAATTGCCTAGAGGAGGAGCGGCATATCGTATCCCAAGCCACTCAGTGATTCCATTACCATTATTTGTCCCTAAATATTTTGAGTATCCTAGGTCAACAGTTGTGTTGATAGATGATTTTTGTGTTGGAGCTGCAAATGCCGAGGCAGCAAGTGCCAGGAATGTTAGAGTATTGGGCATCTTCCAAGTCAATACACACATTCTTTTCTTTACTTGAATGTAATGAAGTTCCACTTGATGGGGGAGAGGAAGTCATTTGGGGAGGGATTTAACGCTTATATACACTGCGCCGAGACCATATGATTCACTGCCTGGAATAAGCCTGTTGAAAGCTCTTGACACAATTCACAGCATTTTCAAGCCGCAGTAGTCCCGTGGAAGAAGATACTGGAGCTACGGAAAATGTAACCTAGTACAACTGCCCTGAAATCCCACTTACGTCTTCTTATTCTAAGTTGACAAGACTTTTGACGGAAAATCACTACATTAACATCCCTGCTGCCGAGATCCGGAAGCATAAACAATGCTTGGTGATATAGAAAACAAAATGAAGGTGACATAAATCATTGTCATACCATAGACTTGTCATGTAAATATAATGTAATTGATCATCTGCATTTCTGTTGCAGATGTCTTGATGTCCGAGGTCATCGGAGGTGGTATTCGGAACCCGTGGGCTTATGCGATGGCCAATAATATCACGTAGAGAACAGGGAATGTTTCCAGCTTCGATATAAAGCTAGAGGTAGTTGCGCATTGGATTGAATATCGTTACCATTTAGATGAAGGGTTGAAATTGTGACACTTTTTCTGGGTCCAAAGTATTATACAATAATTGGTGCTAATAAAAGATAATAAAAATTATTAAAGAAACTTAAACGAATGGAAACATCATTCAATATACTTTGTACTTGAAGCTTAAATCAGATCCTGTCACTCGTCATTTCAGTCTCAATTGGCGTTAAAAATGTTTGAAGTTACACAAGCCAGTTGATGCAATCCGTTCGGCAATTTTGTGCCATGTATGTGAATCAGAAAGACAGCAGACCTATATAGCCTGAAATGCTCAATCCTCCTCAAGGTATTCCATTCTGTAGACAGTACGGGGAATGCGGGGAACGTGGTGAATATTGAAAAGGTAGCGTCAAGTGATATCGGACAATAAATTACGAAGGAAGTAAATCGCTACGAGGACATCTTGTATTTGTCAGTACGAGCCATTTTATTTTCACTCGTGATCTCCGAGGATAAGGCGAGATAAATTGAGCTTAGATTGGATGATATGCGATCCAACATTAAATAAGTTGAGAAGCGAGCCCCGGCCGGTAGTGTTGATCATCGATGTAACCCGATATGCACAAACGTCGCTTGTTGATTCCACGTGATAACATATTCCTTGAGGAACTCCAGTGGGGCTGGGAGCAGAAGATTTTGTAATCATAACCTTTTGCCATAGCCACAAAGCTTGTTACATCTAGCCCCTATAATTATAACTAGAGAGAGCACCCGAGTCATCAGTGGGCAGGGTGGCTGGCGCCCCTTATACAGCGAGTTCGTGGAGTTCAATTATTAGAGAGGTATTTAGCATGTCGAGAAACTAGTTAACTTCTCGACTTCAAGGTGGAAGCGACCTTGGCATTTCATTCATACCAACGCTAAACATCTCTCACGAGTGGACGTAAGAAATGGAATTGCTTCATCATCAAATCTAGAATTCTCAAAAAGGGTAAAGTGTATTATGCATCCTAGTCATTTCTTTAAAGACAGATTTTTTAGTCTATCGAGAGAAAGATGACAAGCTAAATACCCCTGATTGGATCAGAACTATGTATTTCCCCGGGAAACTTTAATTCTCCCTCTTCCACACTTCCCTTATAGCTGGGGTAAGTGGACGACGTAGGCGTCGTCCGTTCTCTGGAGAAGAATCGTGGGATCATGTGACACTTACAAGAAAAAATTGTAGCATCACCCAAACAACAAACATGAAAATTCTAACGATATACGAACAAGCCACACAGGAGAATTCTATCTGCCGGCTCTTAAACATATATATTTCTATATAACGAAAAACGATGAGATCGTTGTATGCACACAATTTGAAGTTTATACGAGACAAGTCTACTAAACTCGTCCGAACCAATCATAACTATCAGACTCCTTGTTCAGGAAATCCCTCGAATCCACGTATTCGAATAACTCGCATCCATCGATATATCCTTGCTATAACAAACAGAGGTTTGATAAACGCCATCGAAAGAACATGTCATTCCTAAAACAAGTAAAGCAGGATGGTAAGTAAATAAATCAACAAAGTTAATGGAGGTACAAATGGTGCGCTCTGCAAGTCGATTTTAGGTATCGGTACACTCGAGAGTCGTCCAAGGTGAAGAGAGGATTAATAATCCCAAGATCCTATTACGATTGCTTTACCTGAGTTTTCAACCTCCCTCGTCATTGATTCTTCGACATTGAGAAGAAGCTGTGTTGTTCTTATAACCAATTCTGAGAAAGAAAAAAACCATTAGTAATCTCATCTTCAACCCTTTCAGATTGGACATACCTTCATATTGAAGCTTATAAAAGGCAGGAGCTTCCTCACCACGACGAAGCAAAATTGGTGCGGGTGCCTCTTCCCGCTTAAGGACTTTTAACCTTAATCCAATATGCTTTCCTGAGTCTACCCACAAGAGCCGCTTTTCACATTCCTCTGGAGTATCAATTTGCCTCTCGTTCGCGTCAACTCGATCAGACAGCCAGTCTCTAAATACTCGTATAACTCCCTCACCAAGGTTAACACAGCTTAAGAACAATCCTCGTTTTGGGCCAACTTTGACAATATTGGTGATGGTACAAAGTTGTGAGAAAAGCTCATGCGATTCGAGATCGACGTTGTGGGAGACAAGCTCTTCCTCAGATTTTGGTAAAAGGCCTGGTCTTGCAGCGCCTGCTGGATTCCGTGTCCATACCATTCTGTCTTCCGGTTGAACTGGTCTGAAGTGCGAATATAGACTGGACATCTTGCCTAATCTACCAGTATCATTGACATCATTGTATAGTTCTCCCTCTCCGACCACGTCATCACTCAGTCCATCTGTGCCAAGATAATCGCAGAAGAGATATGGAGTAATGAGCTTCGTGGAAGGATGAAAGCATTCGAGGACCAATTTGTGATCCTTTAAAGATGCCGCTGCGATAAGGCGATGATGTACGATTCGGATTATGAGATCATGGAAACGATGGCAGGTACATGCGAGAGGAAGGAGTTGACGGGTAGAAAAGAGTGAGAGAGCATTGATGAGGAGCTTTGACATTGTCAGCAAATCCACCCAGTCAGATGAAAAGTAATACTGACCTCATTGGGTAATGAAGCGATTCCAGTGAAACTATCCACCATTTTGTCGACTTTTGATATCAAATAGTATATAGAAAAACAAATGTATGAACTTGACTGATACAAAATTCACTTTGGAACAAACCTCAAGTCTTATATTCTTTAGATTTCCCGAATATTTCCAGGATATAATTTTCTGTGGAACTTGAGGACAGGAAGGTCCCGAATGAACATGAGATTCGTGGGTAAGTCGGATGATATTGAATCAGGAGTAATGCAGGCGGATGAAAGTTGGTAACCACCAAAACGATCTAGACTTTCTATTCTTTCCTATAAACTGCCCTGCACAATGTAAACCTTGAATGTAATGATTCCGGATGATATGATGGTGGATAGTCCTTTGCTTCAGCCCATGAGATGGAACGAAGCGAGTAAGGTTACCGTACCGTACGATATCAAAACCAGCAGACTCGGGTCTTGTTTGCTGCCAGCGATAGGTAACAGTGACTGTTGGGAATAGTGGCACTGTGCTGCGCTGTTGGAGTGAATGTACGAGTTACATGCCGGATAACTTCTCCTTATTCTTTATGGTCAAGGTGACGATGAGAATGAGGATGAGGACGAAGATGAAGATGAAGATGATGGACGAATTGATGATGTGTGATGTGATGAGATGTCAATTGATTCCCCTGCAGAGCCCCGCCCATTTCCATAGATAAGCTGATTCCGACGATGAGAGGTGTATTCTGAGGTCACGTGCATAGGTCCGACCTTAGATCCGCTTGACCCTAGATCCGCTTGACTCCGAAGTCAACCTTTCTTCCCCTTCACTCCGGATCCACAGTCACATACACCTTTTCTTTGACCATATTATTAAAATATCATTGGTACAAAGAATTAACTTTGCTATTCAAGTAAAATGTGGATTGTATTCAATACATCCCTTCTAACAAAGACTTCTTTGTGACACATTCCCTTGTGGGAGTGGTAGCTGTCACTCATCACGATATCATCAAACTTCATTTTGCAGAGTAGGTGGTTTGAAACCCGCACTCTCATTCTTAAGGTTATTGGAAGTCTCAAGTATCAGAACAGAGCCAGCGTCACTCCTACTCATGTCGTTTGCCTTGCTACTTGAGTAAATCTTGTGGCTATTAGTACTCGAAGGCTGCAGCTTGACCTAAAGCAGTTGAAACAAATTTACCTTCAAGGTTTCGCTCGCTAAGTTAGATAGATCGACGACTGTGGCGTGTTACTCGATCGGACTGCTTTCTTATCATTCCCTCAACATTCTCTGCTTTATGCCATCCTCTGTTATTACTTTCACTGTATGCACATCTACCATCTGCTCTAATTAGTCTATCCCTTCCACAATGCTTAGCATCCGACCCAGGTTCCCCTGTGGACTGAAAGTACTTGATGTTACGATGGTAACAACTGACTAATTAGGAGAGCTTGGGCCTTGTGCAAAAGCGATCAGATTTCATCGAATTAATATGTGATCTGGGTCACTTTAGGGTCGTATGCGCACGCACCGTCAGAAAACACGTGACTTGGAGCTTTTGGAGCTTAGGATCCAAAAGGATCCAAGTGTTACACCTGTTGCGATAGAATGTCACATGTTTTATGGTCATGTGACATACTAATCGTTTTGGACGTAACAGATAGCTAAAAGTATTCGACCTTCTTGATTATTCGATTCCATAATATATTGTTGATAAATCGCGTATTGAAGTTGAAAGATATAAATTGAGGTAAAAGTGGCCCGCTCGGTGATAACCATGTTATTATTAACGTGGTTTATCACCGAGTGGATCATATCACCGAGTGGATCACTTTCACCTCAACTTACCACTTTAAACTCGTATCATTCAACAACAATTGAATCAATTGATTAAAGCTATTAAGAATCTAATAATCTAGGATCTATTACACTGTTTTGACAAGTTCTTGCATTACGTTCTGTTTTTCCACACTTACTACAGCATCGATTAGAAGATGCTTCCTTATTAGAATTCCCCCCTTTTTGATGCTCGTCGTGTTGAATCTGAATATCAACCTCTTGTTGAGATAATATATCTGCAGCCTCTTGTTCAGTAAGTACTCCTTCTTGACGCAATTGAGTTTTTTTTGTATGTCGACGTTTGTTTAATGCTATATTTGCCTTTCGAAATGTACAAATCTCTGCATTTAAAAGTGTATTCTTATGAGCTAATCTCTTTGTATCTTTAGCTAGAGCTAGTACAGTCTCAAATATAGGTGTAGGAGAGCTTGATTGATGACGAGTTATTCGAGATTTTACTAAAGTTGATTGTGAAAGAGCTTCAGTTGGATTGTGAGAGGTTTGAGAGATCCATATATCTGGATCGAAAGGAGGAGGGGTAGGTGTATGAATTCGAATATCTACTTTCGAAAGTATAGCTTCAGGATTAAATGGTATTAGATCTGTTCCTTGGAATCCTGATTTCATATTCTGAGCTGTGATTGATTCTTGATATACAGCTTTGAAAGCTGCAAAGAATTCAACCTTCGATATATGGTTGATATGTGCCTTGATAAATTCATCAATTTGATCACTATATGTGTGAACGAAGTGAATGACTTCAATTCAATTACTACTGTAATAAAGAACTAAGCGAACGCGAAAGAGACTAGCTCTTTTAGTAAGTCTATATAAGACTTACCACTTTCAATATGTAGCTAGCTTTTTAGACAGAATACAATTAGACATACAGGACCTACATAATCCGTGGGTGCTACGTCTTCCGTATCCTTCTCGTACCAACAGTTATATTGGGTTTCTTGAGACCAGAAAGAGCATCAGATTGAATTGATTGATTCTCTAGCTAAGCAGTTAAGCTGCGAGTATATATTCAAAAAATGAAGGAATAAGGTTAGGTATTCAGCCTTCGGAATTAAAGTGCTTTGAAATCAAAATATTGAAAGCAAACAAACAGTATACCAAAAAGGAAAGAATGAATTAAAAGTTGAGTTTTGTTTGCTCCTTATATGCATCATGCAATATATATGCATATGCTGCCAAGATCCCAGGAGGTCAACAATACCCATCCAACATCAACATTCAATATTTGCCCTTTCTTCGATTCAGAGTATGCTTATTGAAGTGTTTCAACCATTCTAAACTTGTTTTATTGTTTGTCCATCTATTGGAAGTAGGTTTAATAGCCCAATCCGCAGGAAAATCGGTTTCGGTATATCAATTGGAAAGATGAACCTGTCCTTGAACCATTAGAAATGGGAGTATAGTTTCACTTTCCCTATTACCATATATAATCGCTGTAGTTTACTCTTTATTGTTTGATTGTATTGCCTTGCTTCTGCCATTTCGTTCAGCACTAGTTACAACCATTCCGGGATATATTATACCCATCATAAAGCCGGTTTCATCGAAATTGTAGAAATCGCAATCGAGAATACTATATTTTGCTCGCATATTCGATACCAATCGAAACCATTCTCTAATAAGCTTGAGATCTTCGCAGAGAGCTCTCTGAAAGTCATAAACACAACTAAAACACATCTTTAATACTGTATGACGCTTTACGAATCGATGAGCCTAAAGCTTTCCAACTTTCTTTGCACCTCTTGATTCAAGAATATAATTCGCCATATCTTCCACATCTTTAATTTTAGATAGAAACCCTCTATTATCCATATCAAGTATATATTGAAAAATCACCTCCTCTTCTAATTTTATAAGATTATAACAATTCGCTCGAGTTTCGACGCAGGGAGTAAAACCATTCATTCTGTGATTGAGTGTTGTATATGGTAAATTATATAGCTTAGCAGCTTTTCGAATACTGAGTTTTTTGTCTTTTTGAATAACCTCAATAGCTAAAAGTATTCGAGCTTCTTTATTATTCGATTGCATTTCAATTGATTGATAAAACACGTGTTGAAGTGGGAGATCAAGAATTGAGGTGGAAGTGATCCACTCGGTGATATGATCCACTCGGTGATAAACTGTTACAACGGCTATCTTCTATGCCGCGTCACATGACTAAACCAAGGTAACGTGATTAAAGTCACGTTATGGACCGCTGAGGAACGCTGGCTGTCCAGGAACGCTGGCTGTCCAGGAACGCTGGCTGTCCAGGAACGCTGGCTGTCCAGGAACGCTGGCTGTCCAGGAACGCTGGCTGTCCAGGAACGCTGGCTGTCCAGGAACGCTGGCTGTCCAGGAACGCTGGCTGTCCAGGAACGCTGGCTGTCCAGGACCGCTGCGCGGTCCTGACTAGCCATAGGCATGAAGGTCTATATAATCAAGATGGATTCCCTTTGTATAGAGCTTCGTGCTCAAGATCAATCATTTAGTATATCCTACTATTAGTTACGAATTGCATATCATTATTGTCATTACTTTAAGTCCCTGCTTGACGCCTAGTTATAAACCTACTTCGAGAGCCTAGAGCACTTCCACGTGATCTAGACGGCAAACCTCGTAACATAAACCACGTTATTATTATTATTATTATAAGTTGAGTTGAATGAGTTGAAAAGTGCCAAGTCAGATGTGCCTGAGGCTGGAAGACCATAATGCCAAGCTTTTTGTTAGATTTTCTGCAGGGGGTATTTTAGACGAATCATATTGCTAGGATCGAGTTTCTCATTTTCTCTGACCTATACCGGGTAAACCTCGCGTACAGCAAGATTTTGGTGTCGGCAAGCCGACAATCATGCCGTAGATTAGATTAACCCTACCTAAGAATGGGCTGCGGAAAATCAATCAACCGATGGATGATTGATTTCTCACCGTGATCGTGAACTTAAACAATTGCGACCGCGATGCCATACCAAATTCCCCAATCAAGTTGCTCAGAGTTAATTAATATATTGATATATCAACAAGAATGAATAATCGTAATGAAGTGATTATTTCACTTACCTCATTCCATCCTACTTATCGACATGTCAAACGAAAGGGTGTCATTTCAAATGGATGATGCCAGCATTCATTCAAGCCATACCGAACCTATGGACGATGCGAACACTGGCTCAAAGCATGTTGAATCTAGTGATAATTTCGGCGCTGATTCGAACCCAAATCATCTTGAATCTAAGGATGATGTTAGTATTCGTGTAAAGCAGCGCATCGAGACGAATTATGGTCAAGGGGGTTTTCATCCGGTACACCTCAACGATACCTTCAAGCATGATCGCTACAAGGTCATACACAAACTAGGACATGGAGGATTTGCGACCGTATGGCTTGCACGAGATATTAAGAGAGAAAGATATGTTGCTTTGAAAGTTCTCGCATCACGATTGTCAAGTGGTTCACCAGAAGTTTCCATATTACGCGCAATGAAAGATAGGTGAGTAATGTACCATAGGTTTTTACTCCAGTATTGTTAGGTCCTAGCCTCCAATTTAATACTTCGCATTCATCTTTCTGATAATTTTGCTTGTGCCTATGTCTTATGCCGTTGATCATTCATTGTGAAGCTGATATTTAAGCTCAAAATGGAATCTGGATTTATTCTACTTTCCAATGAAATTTTTACCTTGGTTTTTCTGCCCTTTGAAATCTATACATTGATTTACTAACACCGTTGTTTGATTAGTTCAGAGCATATTGGAAAGTCTCACGTCATGTCCTTGCTAGATCATTTTACCCACCGCGGCCCAAATGGAACTCATTTATGCCTTGTCTCAGAGGTTGGAGGCCCTAGCATCAAAGAGTTCAATGATTGTCCTGGTGAATACAAAGGAAGTCGTCGTTTGAAAGCATCTGTAGCCCGAGACGTTTGTTCGCAGGTTATAAATGGCTTGGATTACATTCATATTACCGGTATCGTTCATGGAGGTATGCAATTTACATAAGTCCTTTATTGATCCATTAGTTAATCATGGAATATAGATCTCACTCCTGCCAATATCTTATTACGGCTTGCCAATATCGATGAGTGGACCGAAGACCAAATCCACGAAAGATTAGGTGTCCCTCAAAAACAAGAGATTGATCGTTCCAGCTCTCAGCTCACAGCATCAGCATCTTCCTTCCCCGATTATGCAGTTGTCGCAATCAATATGAAGGAAGTGAATCCTATCTGGCTATCCGATAAAATCATTATAATTGATTTCGGTATCGGCTTTTTTCTAAAGAAGTCATCCTTAGACTTTGGTACCCCCAAAAGCTACTGCGCACCCGAGTTCTTGTTTGGAGGCCATCGAAGTATCGCTTCAGACGTCTGGGCTTTGGGATGCACAATATTCGAAATCCGTACGGGATCTCGATTGTTCAAATATAATGGCATCCCAACCAAGGATGAGATGTTGATAGCTACAGTGAAGCTTTTAGGAACTCTTCCTGATAAATGGTGGGCTGAATGGCGAGAAGGTCTGGAATGGTATAAAAAACAACCTGTAATCACTACAGCGATGAGGGTAGGGGATATACTTGAACAGATCTTGGAGACCGGTGCACATGACGGCGATGTTCCTGAACGAACCAAACGTAATATTGAAGCTTTGAATTGTATTAGAGACCTCAAGAAGAATTCTCTCAACAGCATTCCCGAGAGAACAGAAGAACTTGTACGGATTGCTGAGAATATGAGAACTAGCGAAGCAGGCGAGGTGCTGAGACTGGTACATAGTTCTGGCCAACGACAATCTGCTTCTGGTTCCTTGGAGGATATAAAAGTTTCGGGATCATCCTCAGACCCAAAAGGTTCTGGCTCCAAGAGTTCGGAAGCCAAAAGTTCGGAAGCCAGAAGTTCTGAGGCCAAGAGTTCAGATGCTAAAAGCTCGGGGAAGACTCCATCCTCTGAGGGTGTCTCTACCGGCATGCCCGAAATAAAGACTGCTACAGTGTTCTCTGGAGTAGTCGAGGAGCCTAAAATCGAAGCTTCCGCAAATGCATCCGATTCTAAAGATGATGCGACTCGAGACATGGTAATTTCTTCCGATAAATATTTTTTACATTGTGGCCCTGCTCATCTTCATACTTTTCTCGAGCCTCCCGGCTTGAGAATATCCGTTGCCGAAGCCAAATCCTTCGAAGATTTACTACGAAAGTCTCTGAGATACTTGCCTGAAGAACGCAGCACTGCTTCGGAGTTAGCGAAACACATTTGGCTCTCTGGTATGTTTAATGAGACCGATCTAAAGCCAGCATCAAGCACAAGTCTCGCAATCTAATGGGACCCGTCTTGCTTTCAGTCTTGGTCACAAATTCGGAAATTCATTCATTTGAATTTGCAATATTGCCAACTTCGCAGGTTTTCCAATCCCAATATCACTTTATTGTTGATCAATTGTGCGGTTTTTTTGAGTAAAAAAAACTAGTGGTATAATTGGGGTTTTGGTGATTTTCTGGGTAGTGGTTGATATCATTGATGGAATTTAAGGTTCCATGGAAGAAATGGCGTTTTTCATGTTCTCTGTGTCATTTTGGTTTTCTCCATGCGCGGGTTTCCCGCCCTTCTAGTTTTTTATGGCCTTGGAATGGAGAAGCAATATCTGTGGAGTGCTTTCCTCAAAGGACAGAGGCTCATATTCTACTACTCGACACACAAATTGTTATCAAGTGGAAGACTTAGCCTATCTCAAGATATCATAGCGTGCGCATTGTCTACTGATATTCATGATTCTTTATTTCTACGAGCTTTGTTGTTCTCTCTATTGTGGCATGTCCATTTTTGGGGGGGCGGCGGGATATGTGCTCGGAATATTGTTTGATAAAAAGCAGGCGGACATTTGTCAAAGGGAGAAGTTGCCTATCCCAAAAAAGCTAGTATTATTTTTTTTGTTCAGTACGGAAGTGATTAGCTATACAAAACTTCAAGAGAATTTTCTTGTGCATTTTGACTCTTATGCACCGTTTAAGGATTCTCAAACTTTGCCCTATGCATATACAATGGGTAGTAGCGACATCTGCCATCTGTCATCGAATGTGTGAAGATACATCATGAATTCTGCCTCAACGAAAAGTACTGCCACATGCAAGTCAGAACTATTACTTGATATATATCCCTTTGTTCTGATCCATTCTAGATGCATATGATTTTCCTTACTAGTTACATTATGGTCATGACCCAACTCACAGGCTTAGTCTGTACAAGTAAATTGACATGAACACTGAGGGATCTTATATTAGTTAATCTAGGCATATTCTAAACTTTGTCATTCATCACCAATCTCCTTAATTCTCATTCTGATTTTGGAAGTACTGAAAGATGCATAGAGTAATCATTTGTAGGCGTATAATTTCTTTATGGGGGATCAAAATCCGTGGCACGGAGCGTCGTGGAGGTTAGAATCAAATGGACTTGTTGAATGTACGGGTAAATTTTGTGGCAGTCTTATGAACCATGGAGGAATCAATTGGTCTGCTCCATTTCCGCATGTGAACACGGCCTTAGAAAGCCATGGTATGGAATCAACAAATGACTTTTCCAATAGAGGCTTTTCCCCTCTCGCAACCCCAATCTCTACCACTGCTTGCTTAACTACTCCTAGCATCTAGATACCAATAAAGTAGCTAGAAATCCCTCACCCTTTTAGTGTATCAACTCAAAAATCAAGTCTCGATTGCTCGCACATTCCACACTTTGAAATACCTGCAGAATGCACCCCCGATGCCAAGATTTCCGAGGAGATGCAGTGCAAAAAGGGACTTTTGTGCGACACGGGACCGGGACGACCCCGCGTTTTTGCGGCATCATCACGCGTCATTACAATATATTCTCGCATTTAGATGACCTTACCATTGTCTTACTCGATAATTCTCCGTGGGGGACGATTTCGTGTTCTCCGGAGCAACCTCGTGTTCCACGGGAGAAATACTCTCCATAATTCCCTCTCAGTGGTCGAAAGAATTAAGACCCGAAGAAACGAATCAACTCTGTACGTAATATTGGAAATACGGGCGTTAATTCTCATGTCGATACACTTAGTTAATCGCGATCTTGACGGCTTGCCGAGGAATTTTGTGGTTGCCACTGCAAGAATGACAATGCTTTGACGCCCATACCACTTGAGTTGATTCGGACATTGGATATGTCATGCAGATTTCTATTCCGAGTGCCATGATGCGGGATTTATCACTTTTATGTTACTCAAACATGAGTCATCGTAATTGGTAATGTTGTGCTCTTACATGCTTTTCGCGTTTTCGGATCTCGTGAGGGTCTGAAGACGTGTGTATGCGGCCAATGACGTTGGCTATTGGTCGCTAGTTGTCCTCTCCCTGATTTGCATGTATTTTGAGTTAAGGGGTCAAGGAAGAAATATCTGGTCGTCAATATTGAACGCAAGTTGATGGAAGTGATCAATATGATAGAAGTGTGATCTTACGAAAGTTATGCGTTGTAGCTTTTGACGATCAATACTACAAATACGTATAGATACATTAAAAATAGTTGATATTTATATACTATGCTGCTTGAATACTAATATACGGGTAGATATCCAGTGATTTCAATCTGCGAAGAGAGCGTTTAACCAGGTCGGATAGAAAATCTTTGAAATTAGAGTCTTCCAGTCAAAAGATAGGGCGATGTCAGAGTGTTAGTTTTACTTCGATTAATCACCACTAGTTAGTCCTGTTCACACACATATTCCATGTTAATTCAAAATATCTATTCCATGCTGAAAGACACCCTGGCAAGCCGCCGGTGAGCTCACTCTAGATTATAAGAATTCTGGAATCTACTCACCGCACAGTGTAACGTTTTTCACCTAAAACCTTGGTTTATTCACTTTTTCAAACCCCTGTTAAATCTTCAAATAAAATGGAAAACTTTTTTTGTTTTGAATGAAATGAAATATAATCAATTGAAATTTATAAAAAAAATTAATTGATTTATTTTTAATAACTTTTATTAAGAAATTATATAAAATTGAAAACAAAAATCATAAAATTTTCGAAATTTTCGTTTATTTTGTGTGGAAAAAGCGTTACAGAATAGAAATTTTGAAATTTTATAATTTTAAATAGTTATAACTTTTGAACAAAAATAGTTAAAAATAAATTGTAAAATTTTTCAAAATCCTTCTATATTTAATTATTATATTTGAAGATTTCAATTGTTTTGATATATTATTCGAAAAGTTATTTAATATTTAATTTTATATGAGAAATTGTGGTTTTTGCAGGGATTTTGTCACAAAATGTCATAGTGTGCGGTGAGTAGATTCCAGAATTCTTACCACTGAGTTCATGAATAAACATGAATAAAATCATAAATATCATGAATTCACAGTTCTGAAAAAATCTTCAAAGCCAAGATGAGTACTTGATGTTGAAGATTCAGGAAAATTCCACAAGTTCGGGAGGTGTTGACGAAAGGGGTAGGTGGTCAGTGGTGGTATATTCGCTTAAGTTGTTAATGGCATAGAAACGAAAGCATCGTGAACCATGGTAGAACCAGAAAATTTATACTCAATTGATATCCTGGGATAATATTGCGAAAATAGTTCAAAACGCTTTTGCTGTCAGTTTTAATGGGGCTCTGAATACAAATCTTTTGTGATTGATGCTCTTTGCAACTTATATGGCGATTTACAAGATTGAGAAATTGAGTCGATATACAGCACCCCTCCCTCCACTTATATTAGCCGATATATATTTTCAGACCAAAAACAACCAAATTACATAGTTTTCATTTGAATATTTTAATACAATAAAAAAATCAATAATTAGATTCCTTTTGAATTATAAAAGAAATGTAATTTAAGACTATTGTTAAAAGGAATGACCTTACACAGGGGAATAGTGGGAAGCTGATAGGGCAGAACTGAGACTATATTGGTCTTGTATATGTCACACTCAAGAATACTGGGTAAAGTATCTTGTATTAGAAAATACTAAGCTAAGGAGAAAAGAAGAAGGAAAACAAGAGTAGAGAGTTTTCCTATGATTAAATACAAACGGGGCATGCCACGTGACCCGGAGGTGTGAGGCGTCACAGTATATAAATCACACATTATCTAAGTTCTACGGAAGTACGAAGCTCTTCTACAGAGAGCTTCTCAATCTAGTCCTAATAGGACTAGTGCCCTGTGCACGTGCTACGCAGGAACCATTCATTTTAATATTATTTTTATTGTTATAATTATATTTTTTATTTATTTATAAAATAAGATCTAACTGATATTTATATTTATATTTTAATTTAATTCTATATTCAAAAAAATATATATATATATATAATTATTACCTCTCTATTCTCAAAATTTAATTTTCTTTAAAATATTATTCTTTAACTCTTTAACTCTTTAACTGTTTAACTCTTTAACTCTTTAACTCTTTAACTCTTTAACTCTTTAACTCTTTAACTCTTTAACTCTTTAACTCTTTAACTCTTTAACTCTTTAACTCTTTAACTCTTTAACTCTTTAACTCTTTAACTCGCTCGCTCGCTCGATCGCTTAAATCAATTGAATTCAATTTCAAATTTCAATTTCAAATTTCAATTTCAAATTTCAATTTCAAATTTCAATTTCAAATTTCAATTTCAAATAAAATCATTTAACCCCAAGTTAAACTCCATATTATGTCTTATCTTTCCCATCCCACCCCATCCCTATTTACTAACCCAATCCAACAAGCAAAAACTCAACTTAAGCTACCTATGTAGGTAAGAAAAAGATCTAAGAAAAGAATTTGCTCCAAGCATCCAAGACCAGACAAGGTAAAACAAGCTATGCCAATGCCAATGCCAATGCTACGCTCGCTAGCTCACTCATAATTTCAAATCCATATTTCCCCACTTCCTCACCCCCTCACTTCCATCCCTCACCACTCAACCGCCCAACCATTCTCATCCAAAAACTCCTCAATAGCATGTCTCAAACCCAGATTCGGTCTCAAATCACTCGGGAGGAGGGGTTCCCTCGTTAGCGGATCCGTCATGCTTCTTTCGAGATGTTGAAGGATACTTATGCGTTCATATGATTGACCTGTTTTAGTCTGGGTTTTTATTAGTTTGAGATGGAAGATGGAAGATATAAGAAAAATGATACATGGATGAAGTATGAGATTGTGGGAAATGGGGAGGATGGTAAAAAACATACCGTGACGGGATCACTCATGACATTAAAACTTATTCCATCGATAGCCCAATCGGGCATTTCTCTCCTCCTCCCATCTTTTCCTTGTGTTTCAACTAATCTGAATACCCTCTCTACTTCTTCAATCTTTCTCTTCCATTCTTCTGTGATGTCCTCACCATTAATCAAAGACCCATTCACATTCACATCCACATCTATATCATCACTCACACCCCTTCTACCCGCCTCCCTCCTCATCAATCCCACCACCTCCCCACACAAATCCCCACGTTCCCTCCTCCTCTTCTCCTCCCTCGCCTCCCACCCCTCCTTCCTACATCTGAAACCCAACTCCAATATATTCGGTAAACTCTTCCCACTCCCAATCAAACCCTTTCCACCAATTGGCATATCCTTCACACAATATTCCCTCGCTTTTTCCACTGCTTGAAGCGCATTTTCATATTCGTGCATGGCGTGGTAGGCTTGTGCGATGGTGAAGTGGGCCTTCATGCATACGCTGTTTACAGGGGATGAGGAAACGATGGTTATGGCTGATTTGGAAGAGGCGATTGCTTCGGGGTAGCGGGCGAGTTTTAGGAGGGCTTTGGAGTGGTTTGTGTGTAGGATGGGATTTAGAGGGTCGAGGGATATACTAGGTTTGAATGTTAGATGGATACAGTAATCATACCAGAGTTGATATGGACAATATAGTTGAGAAGAGGAGTGCTCAAGAGAGTAAGTGGTAAGAGGGATCGAAATTGCGCAAGACAAAGAGAATAAATCAAGAAGATAAACTAACGCTTTACTATACAACTGTTCCGCAGCCTCATAATTTCCCGATTGAAAGTGATCATTTCCCCTTTTCTTGAATTCCAGAGCTTTTTGAGGATCCTGAGGAAGATCGGATCCTGCCATGATGCCAGCTCACAATGTTGGTAATTTGGACCGATGAAGAGTTTGAGAGTTTGAAAGTCTGCGAACAAAATAGTGCAGATTATGGAACGATTAGCACCCGGCCGCGACGTTTGTTTACAACTGAGATGTTTGTAACTATAGATTCTTTGTTCCTCTATCCGTTGTGTTTGAAATGTGTAATCTCAGCCTCGTCTCACAAGAGGTTTGTACTATGTTGAGAATATCGTGGAAATTTATCCCGCCGTATATTAGGATATTAGAGAATTGTGTTATTAGAAAATATTGAGTAGGAATGGTTCAGAAAAGAAAGTGATTGTGTACAGTGAGTTGTTGACATGTATTGAATATTATTGGAGATGATAAATGTCAGCCTCGCGATAGGATTGGAAATGGATTGGTAATTCTGAATTTGGAAGCTTCGAGAACTTCGAGAATAGCAGTGTTATGAACTTTTAGAGTTTCCAAGTCATAAAATTGTGTCTTACATGATTCTAAACGATACATGTTACATGGGTAGTAAATGGAGATATGAGGATACTGGGATGAGTGTGAATGTGAAGTTTATTTCATATAATCTCTTTTGTACAGGCTGGTATTTTGTCTCCCATGCACTTTTTGTCTTCACTCCATCCTCTCTACCCAAGAAACAGTTGCAAAAACACTAGAAAGGCTAGAAAAACAGTGTTAGTTGATGAATGAGTAAATGGTGTGTGGCTGGTGTGGAGTTTTATATTGTATTCAAGAACTCGGTTCCATAAAAGGGGATTTTGAAAGAAAGCAACCAATCTACACTAGTGGCATTGGGTCTTTCGGATTGAACAGCAATTCCAAAGTCCAACAGATTTGTCACTCCATGGAATCTCATTCCAAGCTAAAAGTCCGATATCGATTCCAATGATGTAGCATAAAGAGAAGTAAACGTACATTGTCTGATGCAGGAATTTCCCTTCTCCACCGGTCACCGATGATTGGAATTTTCTGTTTAATCATGAGTCATAGTACCGTCAGATAGCTAATGTGCCAACTTACAACCATGATATCGTTTCGTACTTTAGGGATGTCGGAGAAGAAGAAGAGAGCGAAGAATCCGGCTGAAGCACCAAATCCTGCTAGAGTAAGGCCACTGCATGCCATTATTAGCTAGGTTCATAACTCAAATCTGCCATCCTGAGGATTGATAGATCCCCCAATGTAGATGTGTAGTATCGTATTCCTGATTTATGGACGGCTCATGTAGCGCGCCCAACCAAAGAAAATCTACCTACACTCTAGTGGCTGTTTTTGGAGTCCATCCAGCCAAGTTTGGTTGAATCTTATATCTATTGGGCCAATCAATATTTCATTCCTTCCATGAGAATTGCGCATCGTACTTGGGTCCATAGGGAGACTTGTATGTAGAGTAAGAGACAGGTCCCTTTCCCACGTTTGTGACACCTGTGGAAGGATGGTACTGTAATCGCAAATCTCGTTAGTGAAATGTGCCAAACAACTGCCAACTGTAAGAGATACTTACATCGCCCATTTTGAAGAGGAGGATGCGTAGATGGTGGATATATGGTAGTCTTGAAGTTGAGGATATGTTCTTGACTGAGAATGTTTATCGGGGTTGGTCGGAAGAATTATTCTTGCCTCAGGCATTATTACATAATCAACATCAATTTTGTGGTCTTAGGTCGTTGATTTCGAGTCCTCGAGAACAGCCTTTCGAATTCCACTACATTGATAATAAGAACACGCTGGGAAAAGGTGTTATTTTACGTATTCTCATTTTTATCGAATTCAACGACCGTATAGAGGAAATGAAAAGACGATTATATTATATTCCACATATAAAATTTCTTTCTAAGTAGGTTACATGAACAGATTCTTGTCGGTCTGCTGCGAGCTCTCTCCCCTATTCAAACAAGCGATTTCTTTACATTAGTTTGTTTCCAATCAAATTTATATTATTTTGTACCTCTGCTCGAAAAATATCCCTGCTGCCGGAGCCGAAATCTCTTGATGATGCACTCCTATATACTGGTGATATCATTGATATCACTTTCTTTTCATCTCATTGTCCTTCTCACGGACGTTCTTTTCCTTGGATATAACCACAAGCGAGGAATTTCCATTCAAAGCATTTGAGCACCAGATATTGAATGAAACTGTCTAGAGACACGATGAAATAAGTAAGATTTACAATAAGTCCTTACATCTACTCAGGATCTAGAATCGGGTTAGACAGAACAAAAGAGATGACATAATCTCGATCGAGATACCTGAACTGGATGATTATTATTCATATCTTCATGTGATGATGCTTCATGAAAATTATTCGGACGTGATCGTTGATCTCTCACAAGACTTGTGAACACCGGAAAATCCTAAAGCAAGCCTTTCGTCCGATAAATGGCTCTTTGCGTCTTTACCCCTTCTCCATCCCCATTCGCATTCCCATCCACGTCTTGTCCCGAGGAGCTTATTACTCCATGTACGAAAAGGTTGTCCCGATATGCAAACTTCAAACTTCAAAGGAAAAAAGTTCTGCATTGGTGGATCCGAATTGTGTATATATTCAAATTTGAAGGATTTCATTGGTTGACATGGATTTTACTCCGTACACTTTTTCCCCGTGCTTGGGTCCATCAGTCCGATACTTGATGAAGGGGGTTCTTTTGTTCAACAAGTGCATTGTTCTTCCTTTCACGAACCTACGACCATGTTGTAAGATAACTTGGAACGGTCCTTTGTTGAGTCCGTGAGTGATATCATTATCATTCTAATTCTCATTCTCATCATATGAGCTGAAGTACAGAACAGAGTATACACTGATTGATATTTTAACAGAAATATAATTATAAGATATATTTACACCAATATTTTGGTGTTACTTCATCTTTTTAATTCATGATTTTTAATTCGTCCCCGCTTCGTTACTTTTATGTCATAGTTAGTTAGTAAACTACAGTTGTTAATTCTCCCGCATAATCTGCGTGCATCCGATCAAACCAAAATACATTCCGCTTATTTCCGATATCGATCATTTTCTCTATCCAGCAAGAAAGTCCGTGGACTTTTCAACCGTCAAAACTATTCCGTGCAGTAGTTGCGACTCAAGAAAGTATCTAGTATCTAGTAATCCTATGCTCCCGTCTTCCCCTTATTTCATCCGGATATACGGAGTATATCCTCTACTTGATAACAAATAACAGAAATAAATGTATAAATATTAGATTACTAATTTTTAGAATAAAACCATAATTAAGCATAAACAGACAAGGAATACCAAGAAATCCCAGAGCCGAGTGCACCCGAAGTTTGACATCACAACACCAAAAAAGGAAGACCTTCATCAGATATCTTCAAATCCGACAAAAGCCCTTCAAGAACCAGCCTTACCATCGAGATTCTCAATAATCTACTTATTAACCGTTTAACAACACATCTGCCACTTCATCGATCATTTATACACGTTCAAATTCAAATAGGAAAGAAATCCACATTAAAGTACCTTGACTCTTGAGATCCATAAATCTGCTTGGACGGATTAACAGTGCTTAAGCGGTTTTGCCTCCATACATTACATCGTCCCATCATTCCCCTCCACGCATGAAATACATGATCCACAACCTCCTTTCCTACCAATAGCCGCATTTATACAAGTATTCGATAAACCACCATCATATATTCATCCACGTCGGACGGCAACTCTTTATAAGTCGCTCAAATCATCAACAGAACACAAAGTCCTTCATCTCAACCTCACCATCACACAATCTACTTCTGCTCCATCCAAAATGCCACCACCAACCCAACAATCCCGCCCGTTCTTTTCAAACTTCCTCGCCGCCTTTCGTTCCTCACAGCTCTCCTCTACCCCGATCATAAGCAACACCTCTTCATCCTCACATCAAAAACCTCACACACATTCCCATTCCCATTCACATTCGCATTCACAATCCACACCCTCACAACCACGACAAATAAGTACAAGCACAAAACCAAACGCTACATCCAATGCCATCCGAGGAATCGACCGCACTCTCACAAATAGCAATAGCGGAAGTAGTCCCATAGGAAGTTACGATTCGAGTCCTAGTCCCGGAGCATCGAGTTATCTCCACCAAAACCAAAACGCGAGTTCGAACCCAAACACAACGAATCCTACTTCCCCACCTACAAGTTCGGGTTCAAATATGAATCAGGCTGGGAATGGAAATTCATCATATGCTCATGCGAATAAATATGGACGGTTCAAAACATCGGCGGATAGAAGGGGGAGTGATAGTAGTTCGGAGGGTTTTAGAGATGTGATCGGGAAGGAGAAATGGTATATTGGAGGTCGTACGCAAGGGGGGGAGGAGAGATATTTTCAGTTGGGAGTGGTGAGGAGGAGGAGAAGCGGGGGCGAAATGAGTTTGGATCGGTTGAGTTTGTGAGGGTTCGGAGTGGAATGGGAGAAAGATAATAGGATTGATGTTTAATATATTTGTGTCTGACGAATTAAGAAGGCGTAATGAGATGGAAGAGGTAATATGCGGATTTGACAAGTTGGATATGGATATGGATATTAATTATACTACACGAGGAAAAGCTATAATTCTCGCGACGACCTTCACAAGATTGAGATGGGAGTTACAGAACTATTTACTAGCTGGCTGGGTGGCATGGCGTTGATGATATGGAAATGGAATGGGATTGGATATGGATATGGATAAGGTATTGATTGGAATAGGATTGGATGGCATTGGTATTGGTACATTATATTACATCGCATAGTATATTATTTTATATTATGATAAATATATGGAATGGAATGGAATGGAATGGATAGGATGGGATAGGATGAAGAGGAGTTACTACTGTTTATCTATCTTATATGAGATTGAGATTGAACTTGAAGTGAAGAGTTGATGAGATGGATATTTATATTTATATCTATATTTATTTTTATATCTATTTCTATATTCATGATTATATCTATATCTGATATAGGAATAATAAAATGAAGAATATAATTGAAAATGAAAATAAAAATAAATTGTAATATATAAGATTACTAGGTATGATTTTGGTAAAGAAAGAATCTTATAAATATATATATATATATATATGAGATTATATTCTATTGAAATAAAAAGTAATAATATATATATATAATATCTATTATCTTGATTTATTATATTTGATATCAATTTTTTATATTCTATCATTTATTTATTATCTTTGAGTCTATTTATTCTTTTCTCCTCCCTTTCCCCGCACGCACTCTACCTCGAACCTCCCGTCCACAGCTACCTCTTTCCTGCCTTCATGACTTCCAAAACAAAAAGTATGTGTGAAAAATTCAAAACTCAAATCCCTCCTCTCCTCTCCTCTTCACCCTACAATATCAACCAATCTCCCACCAAAAACCCAAACTGAACCAAATAAACCCAACCCAACTCACCACATAAACCTCTGCACTCTTCCCCCCTCCTGCACCCACTCAAACCCCCGATACAAAAATACATACCCCGTAATTACATTTACGAGTAAATACCAGATAGTTTCTACATACATATATACATACGATTGAAAATTCCTCTCTTTCTCTTCTTTGCGGGTTTGAATGGGAAACTTGGATTTAGTTTCCCGGTCGGGAAGAGTTGTGAGGGGTAAAGTGGATGAGTGAGATGAGTGAAATGGGCGAGATGGGAGAGTGGGAATGTGTAAACGGAGGAATATGAAAGGGAGGATGAAATAGCGGGGTTCGACGAGGGGGGCGGTTATGAGGGAGAGGGTGGTGGTTAGGAGGAGGAGGAGGAGGGTTGAGAGGGGGGTGATGGGGAGGTTTGGGTGGGGTTTTGATGGAGTGGTCGGGTTGGGGTCGGGGTTGGGATTGGTTGATGAAGATGGTGGTGCTGGTGATGGTGAAGATGGTGGGGATGAGTCGTGGTGGGATTTTAGCTTATGTTTCTCATCCTGAGCGCGTAGTAGATGGAATGAAGCGTCTTTACGCATTGGGTTTTCGAATGAAGCGAGAAAGTGAAGATATTGCATTTCCGTAGAAATTAAGATTTGGTTTGATGTGTGGGGAGTAGATGATGAAGATCCCGAGAGAGTTCTGACAATCAGGTAGAAACAGAAGATGTAGATAGGAGCCAGGAGATAGCGAATTACTGGGTGTCGTAGAATCGTGTATCGGAATACGTAGAATACGTAGTGTCGATTGTCGGCTAGGGTGAATGGATGGATTATCGTGTTGTATTTTATGATTATGAGGGATGCGAATAAGGAGGCTAACATGAGGCCGACAGTTATAAGAGCGCGAAGTTGAGTGTTGAGAGGGGAAGTGAGGAATTTGGATGGATGGAGAAGATTGTCGATGGAAGATGAGAGGAATGAGAAGAAAGCTGGGAGTAGCAGCGGAAATGAAAAGAAGGTTATGAAGGGCCACAGATAAAGGAGTTGTGGGAGGTGTATGGTGGCGACGTGGTTTGATTTATCGCCTAGAACAACGCCGCCGTTGATAAAGACGAATATGCCGAAGGTAATGAGAAGTAAGATGTGGGGAATTAAGCGGAGGAGGATAGTTGGGAGACGATCTATGGCAGTCCAGAGGACCGAAAGAGGTGTGAGGAGAAGATCTGGAGGTATTAGCTCTATTGTATAGGGTAATGTGCGTTGAATCAGCCGCGAAAGCTGAATAATAAGCAATTACCTTCAAGGGCAGCAGCATGAATAGGTGGATCATGTGGATGCTCCGATTTCGCAAGATCACAGAATTTTTTTAGCTCCTCCTGTGATGGTGCTTGAGGATCCTTAAAAGAAGGAGCACTAAGACGATATGTCTCCTTCATCGTCCTTATAGCCTCCATTCCTCCTAAGTATATGGCAACCCAAAATATATTTGTCTGTCTCATACATAAAGCCAATATACCACAAAGATAAAACCATACCCCATTTCTCCTCGGCTTCTCAAGTTTCTTCATTTCTGCTTGCTCAAGAAATTGTTTATACAGATATAAAACTATACAAGTAGATAGTACATCTGTATAATACAATCCAGAGAAGAAAAAGAGAGGGGGAAATAGGGCGATGTTTACAGCGGTATGTAATGAATCCACAGATCTCAACTTAGGGGCTTGATCTACGCGATTTGCAACTCCGGCTCGAATAATGAGGTTTCGACATTCCCAGGCAAGCATCATAATGAATGTAAGGGCAATAACATTTGTTATTCGAAGAAAATGTACATCACATATTGTATAGCCAGAGACTATACTCAAAAAGTGACTCCACCAGTATCTATATTCAATTAGTGATTTTTGATCATGATATGTAGTCTAAAGAAAGGACATACAATCCAGGCGGAGTAGTGAGTTTTGGATCCCAAATCCCATAATCCCATCTACAATATGCTTGGGCTTGAGGTATATGAAACACCTCATCCTAGATTTCATGAGTAACTATATCAAACTGGGGGTAATACTGGAGAGGAACATACCAAATAAGGCTCAGGGACAATCTTAGTCACCTGATATTCCCAAAAACTTGCAAGACAAGCCACGGATAAAGGGACCGCGATGGCAGTCCTTCTATTAAGGCCTTCATTTGAACCAAGATTTGTTCCTATGGCAGTGAGGACTCCCACCAGGAAGGTGGAAATGGCACCGGCCATGAGGACACCTTGGTGTTTGGTTTGTGAGATTTGGCTTTGATTCACTCTTTTGAATACGGTGAAGGTTTTAGGATCATGATTTAAATATGAGTATCTGATTAGATGTTAGAATATTCCTCAAGACTATTTAATATGAAATTAACTTACGAAGGTGTTGCTTGGTTACTGTCGGAAAATGATGATAATTCTGGAAATTGAGGTTGTTTAACATGATCTTTCGAATGTGGCTGTGTTGGTGTGGCTGACACAACCACTACTTCTACGATATTTGATGCCCCACATCCTTCATATATTTCCACTCTTCACCTCCTTTTTACTTTCACGCAAGCTGACTTTTTTGGTTGAAGTCTCTACTATACATGAAGTGCTGTATGTGTATGAATTTCAATGTGGTATTGTAGAATACTTACTATCACCCCATCCTCAGTGTTCAAACAGTAGAAAGAATGTCATTCTTCCAAGTTCTTATCAGACTCCTTTCTCTTCGAGTGCGAGTTGCATTCCAACAGCAAGTGACCATCTTGATACATAGGAGGTAGTAATCCAAAGTATCAAATTAGCATTTGTCACTAAAATATTTCTTTTCGGTGGACGTTGGACAGCTCTGATGGATTTTATTTCTAGTAAGCGTGCATTATCTTTACTTAAATCTATCAAGGTTACCTAAACCTAAAAGAATTCTATGGCAATAATTTTTCTGCCACTTTCTTATTCAAAGACTTGAATTTCCTCAAGAACTACTTCTAGTACAAGTTAGAAGCAGCTGTATTTCCCAAAAAGTCTGATTGCCTGTTCTTCCTCTGCTTCGGTCCCAGTTAACCATAAGCAAGTCAAGAACTCACAGCCAATAAATCACCAGTTAGTATGTATGGTACTTATGCCGGAGGCGAATCGCAGGTATGATCCATCCAAACTTGGTACTCTTGTTTTGGAATAAACAGCCTCAAACTCCCTTCCTCATGACTTCCAACGGTTTCTCGCAACAGCTAACTTGATTGGCGAGTTTTCACAATTTTCCTACCAAGACCATTGTCTCGCCTGGATCTTTGAAGTGTTTTCCAGAATATTTTACAGAATGTTTTAAACTTGATTCTTTTAATATCAGAGACGTTAATATACTGATATAGGCATTTCTGCTTGCTATGGTGGGTTCTTACCTTCTTTATGTATGGAAATGGGCGGAGTCCTGGAATATGAATATATTCGTCTCCGTTGGTTCTCTTTCCCTCTTCCGCAAAATCATTCCCTTGTACATGATTTGGATCGCCTTTTAATAACGCTTTTTCGATGGAGTTTTCGAGATCAGAAGGGATGTAATTATAGGGTTTAATTTCATTTCTTTTGACACGAACGGAAGTGGTATGTCGCAAATGATCAGCCGCTTCAATAGATGCTTTAACAGCTTTCCTGCTTTCATATGCTTCTTCAAAAAAGTTATTCTCCGGCAGTTCCTTTTCCGTGGAGGGAAATCTGAAAGATTCTTCCGGTAAAGTTTCATCCATGATTCTCCTTTTAGCCTGGACTCCTGTGGCTGCATAGTTCTTCAGATATCTTAGATAAATTACCAACATTCGATATTCCTTGCCCAGCTTGTCTATTATCCAAATATGGAGATCCTTCGTGTTGATATACCCACTGGGATTGTTGTTGTCTTGATCTAAAATTAAATCCTGGAATCGTGTGCATAGCCCGAGAGTGACCATTTCTTTTCTTGGATCAAGTTTTTCAAGCATGCCGGGATCAGATGAGTCTCTGCTAGCATAGACTTGTGAAATTGCGTAGCTAGAGGCTCCAAATTAGTCTTTGCTAGCATAGTGATAAGGATCTGTGTTATCTAAAACCCTCCGTCAAGCAAAATTGGCGACGCGCCATGTTCTCAAGAAAAACTTACTCGATGAGGCTAGGGTCACGGTCATCACAATTCTTCCTAGGCTTGGATGCACATTTCCAACCATCAAATATTTGCTCGGCTGCCACGGCTGTCCACCCGATATGAGTCAACGCTCCAATGCTCGAAGCGCTTTCGGGAATTTCAAGTGGTGGCAGAGTGGAAGCATCAATGGGGACTATGGTTTCAAAAAATTTGGTTGATTCTGCATTTGTCCGTCCTAAGCTTGCTTCTACTATCTTCTTTTCAAAGCTCATACCTATTAACCAGTGAATTTTTAGATTGTGCCCACGCAATTCCTCAGATATGATGAGTAACTTACTTAAAGCAGCTGCGTTGATCTTCCAAGTTCCTTCGACACAATCACCCAAAATAATATGCTTCTGTTGTAGGTACACTATTTCCTCGAGGTCAAGTTGAAAACTAGGGACTCCATCTATATAGGGAGGGAGAGGAATATAGTCCCACAAAGACATTGTCGCAGCAAAATGAACTTCTGTCGCAAAGACACAATGTCAAAGGTATGATAAAAGGGATAAGAGAACAATATTATGTAGTTATGCTTTTATAGTGAAGATAGAAGTGCAAGACTTATAAAAAGTTGTTGCACATGCTGTAGAAATCCTCGTGAAATAATTGGACTTTTCGATCCTACAAGTGAGCGAAATGTACTTGCCTGAGATGAGCTCGTAAATATGTATAGTAGAATAGGCGGACGATACCTCCTTCTATTTTGAACCATATTATATATACTTAGTTTGAACGTACTCGGCAATTTCAAAAATGGCTCCTGCCTTTCTTATTTATGACTGTGAAGAACAAAATGTTAAACGGACTCGACAAATCATCGCACTGGGTATGATACCTCAGACCGAGCTTTATAACCAATTTTTTTTATATCAAACGTTTGACTATGGTTAGGCTAACCCAAGTATAGTTTCACACACTCCGGATTCTCCAGTTCCCAGTCGTTCTTATTTCATTTCACTTCATTTCATTCCAATCAAAACATACAACTAAATTCAAATTCGTTGTAAAGTCCTTTCTAGCTTCAAGGATCAGAAAACCTGTAAGATCTTACTGTTTCCTCAAGAATAATAAAATACATCGACGCATCAATACAAATCATGCCTGCCTTCCTCGCACCTCTACTCTACCCTCGTAAATTCACTCACAAATCGTTCGAATCCGGAAATCAATAGCTGTCTGAATAATTCTTCTAATTTCGAAATCGAAAGATATTAGACTGTATATTGGTGGTTTATATTTGTGTATATGTAATATATCTTTATATTCTCGTGTTAATTAATATAGAAATCTTATATAAGAAAATATTTAATTGATAATAAAATATTAATTCCAAATTATTTTTTGAATGAGTTGATTCATTTAATTATTATAGTTCAGAGATTTGAAAAGATTTCTGTCACACTCAAGAATACTAGGTAAAGTATCTTGTATTAGAAAATACTAAGCTAAGGAGAAAAAGAAGAAGGAAAACAAGAGTAGAGATTGATTGATTGATTGTGTTTATCGTCATAGGCCGTAGGCCCACGCGCCTTGGCGCGTGATAACCTTAGCCATCTATTCCAGTTTTGGACAAATGACGCTCAGAGGAGAAGCCTCTGAGTGGTTTACTAGCTAGCTAGGGGGAGTATTTTTATACAATTTAAAGGGGGCTAGGGCAGGGTTTACATGATTGCCTTCGCAGGGGGGGTTTGGGCCGGTAGGCCTTTTGGGGTTGTAATTGTGGTCATCCTCGTCCACTAGATCATTGGCTCTTGATCTCTCTCTCTTCCCCTCATACTATTAAAACATTGTACTCGAAAACCCTTCATCCCTGATCCTCTTCCCGATACCATCAATCCAATTACTCCTTATATACCAGAACGTACTGTAATCGCCCATCGTCAGGATTGCCTCGTCCTCATTCTGATCATCCTGCCAATAGAAAGCTTATGAAGGAGTATCAATCCTCATATAGTATAACTATAGTATGCACAAATAATGGTTTGTACGGGTGTCCCGATTCCGTAAGTAGTATACCTTCGCTGAATGAGAGCAGAGTAAGTTTCGTCATCAGCTCAGGTCCTTCAACAGTACTCCTCCGGTGTTCCCGTATGGAAGGTATATAAATTGTTGTCGTTTCAGTCGTGTCGATCATGGGAGGTATATAGTATATAATATATACGTATCAAAGATGTCGAGTTGTACTATATGTTCCAGAGGAGTCTTACTTTTAAGAAGTGAGATGATTTCGTGGCGTATTGTTGTAGATGATGGTGTTGTCCTCTGTTTTGTAATAAAGGTAGTATTGTAGAGAGTGTATTTCGATAATGCAATTATCAAAAAACCACAAACGGGTAAAAACGTTGTGATCGGGCGCCTCTTCCTCTTCCAATTACCACGACTCCATCAAATAACTCAAACTTAGCTTTGCAGACTCTCATAAGAGAGCTGGAGGTTCGTAGGATACATCGTGTACAGGTGTTGAGTCTTCGCATCCCAACAAGAGTAGAGAGTTTTCCTGTGATTAAATACAAACGGGGCATGCCACGTGACCCGGAGGTGTGAGACGTCACAATTTCCAATTTGTCTTCAATAATATTAAATAAAACTTTTTTTTTTTTTACCATTAATTATAAATTAATAATTAATTTATATAGAATATCTTTATTTAATATATAATATAATTTAATGAGCTTATTACATGTTTATATAAGATTTTAAAATTATTAAACGTTTTGTATTAGAGTCTGACAAAAAATATTTCTTATACAGTATAGTAAATACAAACCCTCAGTAGGGTATCTAACCGTTCACTTGTTCTTTGCCTTCCCCTGTAAAGTCGCCACAGATTACTTTCTCGCAGATTGATTCTTCGATATACCATGAGGCTTCGCAGAGCTCTTTTTTGTCGCATTGCTCGCAGCTTTTCGTTCTGGTTTTGATCGGACGACGTCCTTTGAGCCATATGAGGCTGGAGTAAGCAGTTGTATCCGTTTGCTTCTGCGGAGATCCATATGGCCAAGCAAAGGTGAGGGCCGTGGATCTGCTGCAACCACACTAGAGGGCGGTAGCGTGCTATTATGGGACTCCTTTTGTGAGATCTTCAGTCGCTGCTGAGGATTTTTTCTCTTTGTGGCGGCTTTTGAGACCCTCGATGGAAAGGCTGGACCGAGGAATGCATTTGCTGGCTGATTATCTTTTAGAGAGAGATTTCCTCCGCTTGGCAGCAATACTTGCCCCGCTTTAGAACGTGGGACCAGCTCATCTGAATTGAGGAAAAGCGAAGTCGATGTGGGGAAAGAGCGCCCAGGGTCGTTATTCTCTGATGTATCTGAGCCGGTGTCTGCACACTGTTCTTGTTGGGATGAATTCAAAGTTCTAGGTAGCTGGTGATGATTTGGTTGAGGAGGAAAAAGAGGTTTAAAAAGGCGTGTAGCAGATGCTTCTCCTACTTCATCGCTACTGCTCCGATGTGAGTTCGCTGGATCAGGAGCAGAATCCTTCGGAATTTCCCTTTCAAAAGGCTCCTCATGCTTCCACGACATCCCAGGCAGAACACCCCATCTTTCATTCCAGATCCCTCGGCTAGACCAAGTGTTTTTGACATTCTCGTACGCTCTTGTATTGATATCGGTAACACTACTGCCTTCTTTGTCCACGGCTTGTAGAATTCCTTCACGCACCCTCGATATCTGATAAACGAATTGATAATATGGACGTGAAGCTTCACGTTGGCGTTTCTGTAAAATTCGTTGCTCTGAAATCTGTTGTTTCGTGCGATAACTTTTTGTCTTCGGTTTCTGTCGTGTGAGTGGAAAAAAAGTAGGGATAGAATATGAAGGCTCTGCTTCCGAATCAGTCTCTGACTCGGACTCAAGCGGTTCTTCGTGCTTCCACCGTCCAAAAGCAAACTTGTTCCATTTGTTGTTCCAGATGCCTTGCTCGACCCAGCACTTCTTGACCATTTCTGCGGCCTCTTCCTCGAAGACGGTATCTCCAGGATTTATCTTTATTCACTTGGTACTTGGGTCACTATTCCAGATCCGTCTTCTTTCCTCTTCCACCTGAGCAGCGAATTGTTTGTGCGGTTCCGAAGCCTGGCGCTTCTCTGCCAGCTTATTTCGTCGTTCCTGCTGGAGTTGTTGCTCCTCGCTGGGACCATCAGGACTCTGAGATCGAGTCGTTGTACCCGATCGGTCTGATGCATATACTGATAAAGGATCGTCAAATCGTACTCTCTCGCGATCAAGTCGCTGCGGATCTCTCTCGAATTGTAAGAGAGCTCTTTGAGCTCTAGCTAACCCACCCCCTTGGAGTGTATCAGTAAAGCCAGCCATAGTTTATTATCCTTCACTAGTGGACTCAGGATTCTGATGTAGAGGGGAGGTTAGTGGAAAGGTTTATTGTGAGAGAAGAGAAGAGTCGAAAGTCGTTGATGAGAAGGTCTTATTTTCGATGATGGATGTTTTCAGTGTTTATTTGAGGATTAGCGCCGGGAACTAGAGTAATAGGTAGATAATACTAAGTGCCGGAGTGCGGGGGTGGAGCCACCAGCGGGTTGGTGCACAGACTTACAGTTCGCCCTGTGAGTGATAAAACCTCACCAAAATTATAAAATGATTCAATCAATATATTTGATATATCATTTCTGTGACGGAAAAGTCGTAAACGGAGTCAATTCAATCACTTAGAATCTAAAACTAAAGAACTAAGAAGATTCTAAGTAAGAAGGTCTTTATATACAGGGCTAGTGCACGTGAGCCACTAGTGGGTAACAACCGTCACGTAACAATTTCTCAATATATAAAATTAGGAAATATATCAGCAAATACAGTATTTAGAGATTTATATTCAAAATTTCCAATCAGAGCAATTTGTTACGACGGCTTCGGATCTCGTATCATGTGACCAATTATGTAATCACATGGTCCCTTAAATCCCCTCGGTCTCTTGATCGAAGAGACCGAGGGGACCAAGGGGACGATTAGCATGAAGGTCTATATAACCAAGATGGATTTCCTTTGTATAGAGCTTCGTGCTCAAGATCAATCATTTAGTATACTCTACTATTAGTTACGGATTGCATTATTGTCATTACTTTAAGTCCCTGCTTGACGCCTAGTTATAAACCACCTCGAGAGCCTAGAGCACTTCCACGTGATCTAGACGGCAAACCTCGTAACATTGCGCATTGATCAATTCCGGCCTATTTTTTCTCCTACGAATAGACTGTGGATTTGGGATTCCGCGCCCTACAGCTTTTGCTTATTACTATATATTTTTTAAACTCATCATATTTTACAACAAAATAAGCATACAATAAACATCTTTGATGGTCTAACGGTCATGATTTCCGCTTGTCATCATCTGGCAATGCGCGGGAGACCGGGGTTCGACTCCCCGTCAGAGAGTCACTTGTGATCCTGAGTTCATGCAACTCCATTTCCTTTGCAACTTTTTTGGTCTTTCAGGAATCCGGTTGTTGCTTTGAATATTTTCACTTTTTTTTGTCTTGCAGAATGAATATTCAGAAGAGGTAAAATAGTCAAAGCGCCAGCAGAATTTTATCTTTAGCGAAAAAATGGTAGGCGGTGAAACCGGTATTTTTGGGAAAACAAGTTCTGCCGCATTGCACGAGTACTGGTAGGTTACCTCAATCAGCTTCCTTTTGAATACTTATTCGGTTTCGAATATCTATACTCTCCTAGATAACACCAACCAAGTCCTGTTTACGCTTCTATAGCATTATCTTTTGTGAACAAAATACAAAACATGCATTCTCTTTAAATAAATATCCAAAGTGGATTATCTACGGCAATGGAGGAGGATCCACCACAAGTTTGGAACTACATATCACGATCCCTCCACCCAAATATCCCTCCCTACTCATAGTTCATCACGAGCTCAGAAAATACCAGCTAAGAGGATTATTGAACTCCGAGCATCAAAAATGTCCTGCCCTGCGAGGGGGGCGAGCTTAGAGATATAGAGATATGGATGTGGCTCGAACCGACCGATTATCCTTCATGATCCTAGGCAATTCAGTCGATGCACGGATTTATGGGCTCCTGGCAGCTGCCTCTGGGCTCGCGATACTTCTTAGTAGGTATCAACAATGGAATGTTTCGTGTGATTATAGTAGTCTTGAGATGAGAGATCAGAGATGCACCTGAAACTAGAAAGTGGATGATTTCTGCTTCTATCGTGCAGCATTTAAAGGATGTCAGGATTGTCTCTGTTCTATCTTATTTTTATCTTTTCCTTGAAAGCGAATCAAGGGACACGAAATCTCATTATTGATTTCCTAGCACAGCTCTTACCTCGATTTCAAGGTAATTCTGAAATTGGTGGTCAACTCGGTGGTAAACTCGGAGTTGGAGCATTTTCCGTATGGCCAATTATGGGAGTATTTACTCCTTGGTCATTCATTCCTGGGCTGAGAAAGTCTACTATATCGTCAATGCGATGGATGACATGATAATGGAATTGGAAAATTATCCTTGAATACAACTGAGAGGTGCTTTATAATCTAACTAGCTCTACTAAAAGACTTTTTTGCATCGAGTTACTTCTTTTCTGGAAGCTAGAAACGACTCTGAAAATAACAATGATTGATTAGAACCTGCATTTGAATTTTCCAAATCCGGCGATACTACACAGAAAAGAGTGTTTTAGAGACTATTTAAAAAGCGAAAAGTCGTGGACATGACACAAATTCTGCGTATAGACAATGAGGAAAAGGTTATTTACTTGTTTGATTGGAGCTATTAGATTCAGCGTTGCAGGAAAATCTAATTTTCAGTGGCTTGCTAATAGATTACCTTTAGATTTGATGGAACAGGAAGGGAATCCTTAGAGCAGGAGCAAGTATTTTGTTTCTTCTAAAAATTAATTATATCAATGGATAATTTACTGTAATTTTACCCAAAGGACAGACAGGCTGTCGATTGTTCTTTGAATATTTATACACGATTATGGAATTCAGGAGACGAGCTCGATTGACTTAGCGGGGAGAACAGAGTCAGTAAGTAGCTGGCCATGACCAAGAGAGCAAGATTTTCATGAAGATTTCCGGGAAAGGTCTTGTGAGGGTATATATAGACTGAGCTGGATACAAAATAATGTAGTCCATCATGATGTAAGGGGAGCTGGGATTCTTGATATGTTGCATGGTTTTTATGGCTTTTCTTCCTATGATTCATTCTCAGAGGACTTACTTGAGATAGTGTGGTTGTTGTATCAATTCGATACCATATTCTGTGTACGTACTGGCTCCTATTACAGGAACCTCTTTTGATCCCGATGTATGTTAGTGCGGGAATGAGATAACTCTCGGATGGCTATATGTCCCGTCATCATTTTTGCTTTTCCGAGAGATGTTTCTCCAAATGGGATGATGAGCTAGGTAGACTGATCTTGTGTATGAATATTATTACAATGCCAATGTAAGAAATTCCATATGTCACAGCCACTCACATCGGTATCCAGTATATTGACTCGAAGAAATATAACTGTGTGAACGAAGTGAATGACTTCAATTCAATTACTACTGTAATAAAGAACTAAGCGAACGCGAAAGAGACTAGCTCTTTTAGTAAGTCTATATAAGAATTACTACTTTCAATATGTAGCTAGCTCTTTAGACAGAATACAATTAGACATACAGGACCTACATAATCCGTGGGTGCTACGTCTTCCGTATCCTTCTCGTACCAACAATAACGCTAAAAGTTACTAAGCACCTGACTTGTAGGTTTTATAATTATGAAATAATACGAATTTGAACCCCCGGAATAACAATCAATTCTGTAGCTATGGATATTTTTTTAAATATGATAAATACAATAAATAGATTCTGGCCGAGAAACACTCCAGACAGATATCACTCAGGCCTTAATTCTGCACTAACATTTTGCGATATTCTGATATCTCGGAGCAGATAAGGCTGTTTGAAATGTATATAATATAAGTATAAATAATGATCGATATACGAGAGGTATAGTAATCCTGTCATCACAATTAGAGTGAGCTGAGGCAATCTGATTACTTAATAATAATAATAGTCCCACCTTGTTAAAAATGAATACGTATTCAACTACAATACTTTGTATTAAATTAAAGTAATAGACTGGGAAAATATAATTATATTCTTCGAAGAACGCTCTTTAATGTTTATCAATAGACTTTTAGGATGACATTGTTGAGTGTCTGATATATTTCTAGTATTCCATACATATCTAGAATTGCCATTTGAGTATCGCTCTATCCTGATGATTCACATCGTGGGATATGTGCGGCTCTTTGGATCTGCATTCCCTACTCTTTAAATTTCTAGTGGAATTCATGAAAGGATTGTTGGGTTTCGCATGCAGTGTACTCCGTAAGCATGTCTTTAAATTTATGAACACGTGGAGGCGGGGTAAAAATCCGTGTAACCTAACCTTACCCTACCCTGCATGGATGAATGAATAATCGGAAAACTAACAGTATTACGACTCAGTTTTCTGCGCCAAGTATGCGTTCAAGTGTATGTAATCGGTTTTAGTGGGGAGTGATGATATGATGCAGAAGTGGCATTTTTTTGCTGGAACGTTCTTAGCTGAGATTAAACTTATCTTATGGTTACTCTTAATGGGGTGCTGGAGAAATGTTAATTCTGCTTGCTTGCTGTGTTGGATTTAGTGTCACCAGTTGAGATGGATGGATATCTACTCGTTAGATTGAAAATTTCTCCCTGCTTATTAATTCGCCGGTCCTGATTTATTCTTCGAAATCAAGTCTTCAAAGGACCAATGGTTATCGCGTATTGAGATGGCGCTACGAGTCGGCTGGTATGTTATCGTTTACCTCCGGGTCAGAGGTACAACATAACAATAATTACTTTGATTCGTCCAAGTGGCTGGCTCCAGTACTAGTGTTCACTTATCAATCAATACACATTGATCAATATCAACTTATAAATTTACCGATGATATTATATACCTCCAATGTTCTGATTTAACTTTCAAGGCTTCAATAGTGCGAGCGCTAAATGTGATGGTATCAATATCCATCCCGTTGGTGCTGACTGAAAGGGAAATCTAGAGCAAGGTCTCAGAGGGGCAGTCCACATGTTACTATCATCAATAATCAAATTGCATAAGTTGATGAAAACAAAGATGCAAGTCAGCAAAGTCAATGACCTGAAGGTTGGAGATGGTATTGTTGTCATAGTCCCAAGAATTGTATAAAAAGGTCAAGGAATTTCATTTCTGGAGATATATTTCTCACCATCAGAACACTTACTCTACACTTCTCCAATAAATCTAATTCACCACAAAACACTCTCAAAATCTTCATTCCAACAACTATCTTCATCATGAAGTTCATCTACACCACCAGCATCATCACTGCCATCTTGGCCACTGTTGTCCCAGCCCTCCCTGTCGCCGAAGCCGACGCTAATGTTGCTCCGGCCGCCCTTGAGAAGCGAGGAAGTACTCAATTCGCCGTCTACACCGACTCCGGTATGTCAATCTTTCTTTCATTCATCCATTCATTCTACACAACAGCACAGTATCTTCCTCTTGACATCCCAACTAACACACACATCACAGCTTGTGGCGGTGGAGCCGTAATTTTCACCGACGGAGCCGCTACAACCAAAGGAAACTTCGGAGCTACTCAACACAGCATCAAGATCTTGAGTTTAACTCCTAACTACCATGTTACATTCTATTCGGGTCTTAACCAAGGAGGTAGCAAGGCTCAATATGGAACTGCTTCCGTTGGTGCATGTGCTACCAATGTTAATTACTTGAGTTATGGTTTTTATTCTGGTGCTTAGGTCTTATTTCTCATTAGGACCGAGAGGATTGGAAGGTGGTCTGGGAACGGGAATTGGATTTGGAATTGATGGCAAGGGGAGAAGAGCAATAATGAAGAATAATCAGAAAAGGGGGACGATGGAAATCAGTCATTCATTCATTCATTCATTCATTTAGCTCACAATGTCTGCACCGTCTCCGGACTGCAGCGGAGAGAGAGCTCACAGACTTCTTGCGTCCATCTAATACACGCTCTTTTATGAATTTCACAACTGCGGTTCATTTATATTGATGTTTACTTGCTAGTGAGTGTTCTAGAGTCAGTTATAACTTGTTGGTGATTATACAGAGTAATGATGAACTCAGTGATTAATTGAATCTCTATATCGTATGATCAATACAGAGCATCAGAGTAATTTATTTTCGGGTAATTATAGTAAGATTAATATCTCCAAGTCTATCATTTCAGCTAGGTAAGATCTTACTAGGTAGATGGTATATATATATATATATAACCAGGCTCAGTGATGAGGAATGGGAGGTCACCAACGGTGATATTTGGACTTACTGTTCTAGTATACCGGATGCGCTAACGATTATATTGTGATTTTTTAAGCTGAGGCTGATGTTCTTTTACTTGTACATACATGTTAGGTCCATCATGATATCTCATGTTCCGCTGCATTTCGACTGTTATTATCTGCTAAGGTTTTGTCACGATTCACCATTAGGATTAGTGTCTTGGGATGAAAAGGAATCACGTGATAAGGAGCACTAGGAGCCCTGAGGAGCCAGAAAGCTCCTGGGGGCTCCCTTCATCGATCATTATATAGTCAGAGTAGTTTCATAGTTTAGGAGCTTGGTGCTCAACTTAGTTATCAATTAGTTTACCTACATTCTACTTGATCTAGTAACGACTTCACTTCCAAGTGAATACCAGTGATAAAGCCTTAACCCATAACTACCAACCGACGAACCTTAGGCAGCCGCTGCCTCCAGTACAGTATCGTTACAGGTTTGTCATGTTCACCCATTATAGGTGAGTTGTTTCTTCGGGGATCTTGAACTAAGGCCTTTCGGATCTGGTGTCAATTAGCCTGGACTTTTCAGAATTGTATAATACTAATGTTACGACGGCTTCTGGCCTCGTATCATATGACCACATACGAAGTCATGTGATCCCTTCGATCCCTTTACCGAAGGGATCGAAGGGATCGAAGGGATCGAAGGGACCGAAGGAACGATAGGCATGAAAGTCTATATAATCAAGATGGATTTCCTTTGTATAGAGCTTCGTGCTCAAGATCAATCATTTAGTATACTCTACTATTAGTTACGAATTGTATATCATTATTGTCATTACTTTAAGTCCCTGCTTGACGCCTAGTTATAAACCACCTCGAGAGCCTAGAGCGCTTCCACGTGATCTAGACGGCAAACCTCGTAACAACTAAAAAGCAAAATTTTAATAATATTATTTATGTATTAGAACTTGTATTATTTAATAATAAAATATATCAAGAGTATATGTTACAAGGAATGACCTCACACAGGGAATAGTGGGAAGCTGATAGGGCAGAACTGAGGTAATATTGGTCTTGTAGGTTAATCTCTCTTCTAAGTTCTACGGAAGTGCGAAGCTCTCTGTAAGAGAGCTTCTCAATCTAGTCCTAACAGGACTAGTGCCCTGTGCACGTGCTACGCAGGAACCATTCACTTTAACAGTATATCTAAATAAAAAATTACTTTATATTTTATTATACGTTTTCTAGCTCTGTTTTATATAAATATCTCATTTCTACTCTATAAATCCTCATATTATACTCGAGCACCAAATCATTATATAAGGTTATTTTATATCAGTGTTGTATTTTTTTTTCCCGAGGACCGGACCGATGATGGATCCACTATTTATTAGCAGGCATCGGAGCCAGATGCATGTACAGGGAAGCGACCCATTTTTCCTAACGGGCAGGGTCATGGTACAAATGATTAATCTTATCAGATGAGAACCACCGAAACATTCACATGAATCGAGCCTCGGTTCGTACTTTTCCTATCAATAGAAGTTTGACTCTGAAGATATATCCCTGGTAAAATCCATGGAATACTCGTACTAGTAGACCGCATCACTTTAGGGCAAGCAGTGGGATCACAATGACAAAATGGTGGAAAAGATTTAGAGCCAAGGAATCTTATCAGATGAAGATTTTATAGCTGTTGTGGAGTGAATTAGGTTATCAGATTGAAAATCATTTGACGTAATGCCAACTTTGGCATCTAAACCCTCCCTAATTCTTATTGAAAATCGTGATGAATCAACTCTTGAGTGTCGAGACTCGGTACCGGTACTAGTAATGATGCTATTGAACTCCTACAGGTATCATGCTGTTACGATATTATCACATGAAATGGCAATTATGGCATGACTTTGATTTCGATCTTTGGCTCCGGCATCCGCTCTTAGATTTCCAGCGACTGCATTCATCATCCCCTGCTTTACCAAACTTTATTTTCGAATTACCTAAAACTAATAATTTTTATCTTTACCGCTTTCACGACTCCCGGTTGATAGCTATGTATTGACTAGACGAACTCTATGCTTTACATTAAATTGTTTCTCGATTCTGGTGTTTCGCTCTACTGATTATCCTGCTGTGCTAGTTTGGTCATCGGTCACAATATCCAGCATCACATATTTCTCTACATCTAGCACTTCATTGCAATCCTCATTGTTCCCAGAGTTCTTTTAGATCTCTTAGACACCCTCCAGATCCAGTCATCGCCAGCACAAAAAAGAAAAGAGGAAAATAAAAACAACCAAAATGTCTCTCCAAATCCCTAGCTACGATCAACCCCAGCCAACCCTTCCTCGACCCCATCCTCATCTCACCAATCGCATTCGCGCATACGACATTATATCAACAGAATTCTCTATTGCCCAACTCAGTCTTGCTATTACTGCGACTGTAAGACGCAGTCCATTGTCAATTCTATTCTTGAATCAAACTCCTGAATTACAACTCGAGGGCTTAAACAATGAAGCTGTTTTCATGCAAGATTTTGCCACGAGTTTAGATCCAACTTGTCGGTACACATTCCTTAATTACTTAAGTGAGGAAGGAATGTTGGGTGAATGGATGACGAAAGGAGAGATCAACCCAAGCATGGAAGAGTGGGCTCAATATGTTAGATGGTGTGTTAAGGTTGTTAGGGAAGAGGGATGGGTTGATTTTTCTGAAGGTAGTGTAGAGGAGATTAAGGAGAGGGGCAATGGAAGAGCCATTGATGTTATCGTTTCTGGGGAGATGTTCAAGGCGGATAAAATTCTAGATGGAGGAGAGGGTGAAATGGATTTCGTAAATGAGAGTGAGGGATTGAACATATTACAGGCTACAGATGCATTGCAAAACTTGTGCGCTGCAGCTTCATCCTCCGTAAGTTTTCTTTTTTTCTTCAGACTCCGTGGATAATGACTAATATGTTTTCAACAGAATCTAGCAGCACTCACAGCACAAAACGAAAAGCTTCTATCGCTGTACGAAAAGGATCAAGCAGGCAGAATCGTCAGAGCATTGCTGTAGATTTCAAACCTGGCTCGATGCTTGTGGTATTAGATGATAGATGGCGTTTGGGACCTGAAATTTTTGCGGCGGAATTCCTGCTGTCATGTGTTAATACCCGTCAAAGTTAGTTTTTTTTGGTTTTTTTTTTTGGTTTTTTTTTCTTGGAAATAATATTGTATATACTACCAAACCAGTTAATTTCGACTCTATCTCCTAGCTTTTGCATAATTGTTTTATTTTTCTACTTAACTTCTTCCACATCCAGCCACGAGCTTCTGAAAAATCTCGTGTTTGAAGAAGAAAATGTTTTGCCGATGTTAATTTTTTTTTTACGGAAAATTGGAAAAAGATGCACAGTGCATGCATGTAACTCGAGGAAACTATAGAGTACAAGCATCTCAAGCTCTATCCTTTACCCATGAAGAGTGTGCCACGCACTTGGGTCTTGGCTAGGTAAGTCTTAGCTAGGTGTCTACCTATCAAGTCCCCACCTTCCCGATACCGGTTATTAGGAGTTTTAGGTGGGTTGGCTCCGTGTTATCCTTCTCGTCTAGTGGGATGAATCATGAAAGTGCTCAGTCAGGACGAAAAGAGGATGGGGGAATTTATCATATCATCAGGGAATGGCATGTAGTAGTTAATGGTAGTTCCATCTGATAAAAAATGTTGGCTTGAAGCAGGGGATTTTTAGATGCTTGCTTGTTTCGTGTTGGGTTTTTGAGGTTTTTCTTAGGATGGGCGATGATTATGAGTCGGTGTGATTGGAGTCTGAAAGTAGATTTCAAAATCACAGTATATGTGCCTGCAGTTACCTATTCACATATACATATTCCTGTCATTGAATTTGGGGAATTTCGATATTTTTCAGCAAGCCTATTAAACAACGGTATCCGGAGAAGCACAAACAAACGTTCACATTCCTTTTCCATTGATGATATTTTCACATACCTCACATTACAAAACCACTTCTGAGAATCCTACTGAAGAGTCGTCCGCAGTCGTGTCACTTGGGAGAAGTGCATTTTTCTATAATACAGAAGATTTTTATTCGATTCAATCTCTGATCTCATGAAACAGTAGCAGCACCGGTAAGGAGCTTTTTATGTTCCCAAAAAAGAGCTTATGGTTGGAAGTGAGGAGGCTTAGATACTAATGTACTGCTTCTCCACGCTCTTCAATCGTCACACAAGTTTCCCTAAATCTTACGCTGTGAGGAACTGGAACTTCAAGAAGCTCTTTATAGTGCAGTAAAGCAAATGCTTTTCTATCACTATTCTCTAGCCAGCCCGCCGTTGATTTCACCCGGGGCGTTAGAGAAAGCATCTTGTCCAACAGCTTTTTCAACTTTTATATATGAATCCCATTTCCGTCAACTCGAGAGACAATTTAGCCTGCTTGGCGCAGTGGTAACGCGTAGCACTTGTATGTAGAAGATTACAGCGATGCTGAGATCATTGGTTCGATTCCAGTAGTAGGCATGTCTTTTTGATTTCAGAGTTATTTTGTATACATTTTTGGCATCAAGGCTTCTTTTTTTGGTACACCTTATCGGAGTGTTCAAAAAGAAGGCACAAATTTCTGGAAAGGAATCTGTTCTCTGTTTTCGTACTTTTTTCTTGGCACTTCTGCTCAAGTGGGTTGGGGTTGATGGAAAGGGGTTGTAGTCTATCTAGCCTATTAGATGAACCAAAAGCCATGATAATGTTAGAAAGAGAAGACGAACATCGGAAGAGGTTCTCTCTCTATTTGGATTGTTGTGTGAGTGGATGGTATACGTATTCAGGGATATGGAGATTGTGGAGTCCCACGAATAATATCTACTTTTATTTCACACCAGCGAGGCTAGTGCTTTCTACTTGTGATATTAATATATTAGCTATATGATCATCTAATCTATTCCCTATCTCTCAGGCTCGCAGAGTTCCAGCTCTATGATCCCCCAATGATGATTTCGCCTCGACTCGAAATCGCCCCTACCTCCATTAAACCCGTGAGTTCCAGCCCATTACCTAATGTACCAACCTCATCCGTTACCTTGTTTCTCTCCATCAACTCCTCATACCATCACTCTATATTCCCAATTCCAGTCCCCATCCTCACGATATCCGATGGCTATCTGCTCGAGCTCAAGACTCCCTACAAAACACTCAAGAACAACTAAACCTAGGATCCAAACACTTTCCAGTCTGAATCTGCTGATACCCCTTGTAATCTGGACAGTTTGCAACTGAACTAAGACAGAGTTGAGTGTATTTTTCGCATGTTACTGTGGTACGCATTCCAGCGTGTCCGCAACCGAAATATGTTAGTGTGCTTGCGCGCATTGTGGGGATTGAGTGGGTGGTTATTTATGGCTTGGAATTTGGCTTGGGGATTAGGGAGTGGTTATGAGGTGAGTATAGTATGGATGGTTGAATCTGAGGAACTCGTGGAGGAATTAGGGTTTTCGTATGTTTTCTTGCTGTTTGGATGTGCTGGGGGTTAACTCAAGGTACGCCGGTGATGAAGGTTACAGAAGTGGTTGTCGCTGAAGACAGAATGTTGAAATTTGAAAGCTCAGGATCAGATTTTGATCTTGATCTTGATATAGAGGTTTCTGAGAAGGTCGTGGTTATGCCGTGGCATGCTACTCTATGGCTATGTACAGGAGTGAATGTCGCCAATTTGAATCTTATTAATATCTAATAAAGGTTTGGATTTTGTACGGTATAACGAGGTAGTTTATCAGCATTGCGTTGTGTGTCACTGGATGGGGATTTAAGTGAATCATTAATGGCTAATTATATAATACATCCAACAGGAATAAAAGATGAGGTTTTCACATGCATGTGAGTATGAACGGGAAGTTTGGTATCGGAATGGACGTCAGAATGTAATTCAGTGTATGTGAATGGACATACAGAGCTAAGATAGAACCAAAAATTCACCATCTTCGTTAAAGAATGAGCATATACATTCACCAAATTCAGCATGTCATGTCCAGCCTACCGCACTCTCATCATTATCTACCCATTTTAGAGAATTCAATACCGTCATAGACAACATCTTCTTGAATTCCTTAACTCCATCCCATTTGTTCTCGGAGTCTTATATGCATGCCTCTCAAGGCAGTATTCACAATCCTCGCAAATCGTATTTGAAATGCAAAGTATTGATTTCCTCAATGGTTTATTTCGCTATTGGCACAGGCCAGATAGATAGGAACGGTCTTTTTGGATATGATGCATAGGTAGAATGAGAATGCGTAGGTTGAATCAATATAAATGCACACACTTGACTTGTGTAGATGATAATGGTGGTATATATAGTCTGACATTGAGAGGGCAATGGCTATGGTGTGATATGTGTTCTAGGATGACGGCCGGGTTTTTAAGTGAGAGAGCATTCATCTTGATTGTCAAGATGCTGGTGCGGGATAATTTTGCAATTCGATGGACTTTCCTTCATTTTCTCTGATCTGATGTTTTGATGTTGTATCTAGCAAACTTTCAAGGCAATTTTCGAGAGAGATATATGTGCATAGCAACGGACTTGCAAAGAAAAGAGAGAATTAGATGCGAGATGGATGTAAAATTTATGGAGAGTTAATTGAGCAGAAAGAAAGAAAGTAATGAATGACTTTGAGTCATAGAAACCTTGCTGGAAGAGAAAACGCATGAAAATGTCTGGCGATTCTTACCATCAGACATAACTATTCATTCATTCAGAGCATATAGAAAGTTTCTAGTCCTTCAACTCATATATTTCATACAAAGCATTCTTTAAATCACATCTCATTCCCCAGCTATAGTGCTAGCTCTAAAGGTATCTTAATTGTGACTGATATTGTATTTCCCTTCCAATGCTTTCCTCTCAATATACCTCTTCCATATAACATATGTGATGCCTGGATAATTATCTATAGAGGCCGATTTTTAAAGAACAAATCTTGATCGCAAAAAGAGAAGACAGATTCTCACGGGACGCCCACAGTGCACATCCAGCTTAGTACCAAAAGCCGAAAATGTTGACAGCTTTGCATAATCAGCGAGCCTCCAAAACCACCATAGGCTAAACACACCAACATTGTCATAATCATCTTACATCTACGATCTTGCACACCATTTAAAATGCAAAAAGTCGGCTCAAAAATTTTTATCACAAATCTTCGCCCGGCTAATATCAGGGGCAGGGCAACCCCTACCATTTATTTATTCAACTCAATCTCAATCCGATCAAACACAAATCCCCACTCACTAAACAGACACCCCCTCCGAGATTATAGATTTTCAATCTGATAAATATTTTCCAGAATTATTCCAGCCGACGCGACTAATGCAACAAAGTGGATAACTTTTCGTAACGACTTAATCTTATCAATCAAATCAATTAATCAATCTAATCAGATAAAAATTTTCACGCCCCGCTTTGACTTTTTCTATCTTTTTTTGGTGGATGTAGATGGACGGATCATGGAAGTGCTTGCTACTCCGGGATTATTAGGTGAAGAAGGGAAAAAGATGGAGAGCTGGTGGGGGTTTCTCTTCTAATTTGTGAATTGTGACGAAAGATGAGTGGGACGAATTAAGACTCAAGAGAGGGATTGGGACTTTTTCGGGACGTTTTATCACACTGGTTAGTTTTCATTACGGCGTGAGTGATGATCCATATGCAGCATTTTAATGGAGCGGAGTTGCGGTGGAGGAAAGAGCTTTTTTGTGGATAATATGATGGTGCTTGGAGATCCTTTGCCTCTTTTTTGCTGGGTGGTATGAGATATTTTACATGTTGGAAGGTTTCTTGAAGTGAATACTCTTCGTGCTCACGTACGGCCACATCAAGAACCTGCTCAAATTAAGATGGTGTTGGTCTCTCAACTTACCCAGCTTCACACAAATGTCTCCATACAAACCTTGCTAAACCCGCTTTATGCTAGGGATCGGATGTAATGGGTCTCTATCCTTACGTCACAAGATGCCCATGCATTTGACATGTGGGAATTTGCGTGTACCAGCCTCCAGGAGTCCAGGAAGACTCATAGTCCCGCCTCTCCCGACCTTCCAAATCGAAATGGAAATTCTCCCCGAGGAAAATTTAGTCATGCCAATATACGACGCGTACCCCATTTTTGTACCATGGGTCTCATCAGGGATGGACGGCTATCTGGATCCTGCATGCATCTCGGTTTGAATATTATCTTATCTGATCTTTTTGATCTATTCTTCTGTTTCCGCATGTACTTACATTTCCGTCTGTAGAATTCTAGCCTTTTCTTTCTTCCTTTCACAATGCAATCTCTGTACGAAATCGAGACTGAAACTCCTCGTTTGTCTATTGTTCAGGGCGCTTCAAGTCCTCCGTTGTTAGACCTTACTCTTGGGGATCTTCTGGATCAGCAAACGAGGCTTCGTGCTGGATATGAATGCTTAGTATGTCCGTCTTTTGGAACGAGATGGTCGTATGGAACTTTGCAGGAGGAGAGTGTTGCTGTGGCTCGTGGTCTGTTGTCATTGGGTATAAAATCGGGTGATAGAATTGGAATATTGGCGGGTAACTGTGCGGAGTACATTTCTGTTTTCTTCGCCGCGGCTTATATTGGATGTATACTGGTGGTTTTGAATAATACTTACACAACACAAGAGGCGAAGAACGGGCTGAAACATGCTGGTAAGATGATTTGTGAGGTTCTGAAGATTGGTGCTGATAGATTTTAGGTTGCCGAATATTGTTCACCGTACCCAAAATTGGAAAGCAGAGTACTGAAAGACTCATTTCAGAATTAGGACCTTTACCAAAGGAGAATGGAAATTCTGAAGCTTTGGAAAGGGTGGTGATATTGAGAGGTTCTCGAGATGGTTTCGTGAACTATGATGGACTGAAACGTCAAGGTCGAGCAAGTTCAATGGACGAATTCGAGAGAGTAAAGAACACGGTCAAGCCGGATGATATCGTGAACTTACAGTTCACAAGTGGATCGACAGGAAGTCCCAAGGCAGCAATGCTTACACACTTGTAAGTCCCACCTCATGTGGTCAGCTGCAAAAAAATAGCTCCTTCTGACAACCTTTCACAGTAATTTAGTCAATAATGCCAACTCAATCGGCGACCGTCTGGCGTTCACATCCCAAGATATCTTATGCTGTCCACCACCACTGTTCCATTGTTTCGGCTTGGTACTGGGCGTTTTAGCAATCATAACACATGGTGCGAAAATCATTCTTCCAGCGGAAACCTTCGATGCTTCTGCGGTACTGCGGGCAGTATCAGATGAGAAGTGCACTGCACTTCATGGTGTCCCAACCATGTTTGAGGAAATTCTGAGTCTGCCACGACCAGAGGGTTTTAATTGTGATAGTTTGAGAACGGGGATAATAGCTGGTGCACCAGTACCGAGACCTTTAATGAAGAGATTATTGACGGAATTGAATATGCGGGAATATACATCTAGTTATGGTAAGTCAGGATCATAAATGGTAGGCGAGTGTAAATTGACGAAGTTGATAGGTTTAACGGAAACTTCACCAACTTGCTTCAATGCCTATACTTACGACACTATCGACACGCGTCTGACGACCGTTGGGCAGATCCTTCCACATCTTCGTGCGAAAATCGTTGATCGAGATGGAAATATCGTCCCACAGGGCGCAAGAGGAGAGCTTTGCATATCTGGATATTCTCTGCAGAAAGGATATTGGAATAATGAGGAGAAGACGGCAGAAGTAATGGTTAGAGATAAAGATGGAATCTTGTGGTTAAAAACAGGTGATGAAGCTTCTTTCGACGAAAGAGGATATTGCTCTATCACTGGGCGTTTCAAGGATATTATTATTCGAGGCAAGTTATCATTCAATGAGGGATGTGAGCAGAAAATTAACTATTCCCCAGGTGGTGAAAATATATATCCCCTCGAAATCGAAACTCGTCTCGATGCCCACCCTTCGATCTCCCGAGCGATAGTAGTTGGCATTCCAGATCGCAAATATGGAGAAGTTGTCGGCGCCTTCCTGGATGTGCGAGAAGATTCGGCGGCAGTTAAAAAGAAGCTTTCAGATGCAGAAATTAGGGATTGGACAAGAAAAGAGTTGGGATGGCATAAGGCACCGCACCATGTATTTTGGTTTGGAGAAGAAGGATTGAAGATGGAAACTCCGAAGACGGGTAGCGGAAAAGTTAAGAAGTTTGAGTTGAGGAATGAAGGAGCTCGAATTGTGAAAGAGAGGAGCATGATTCCTAAGCCTAAGTTGTAGATTAGACTACCGGGAAGGACAAACTGACACTAGGGAATTTTTATTGGGTATAAGGTGTAGATAGATTATTTTTTGTAAATATAGTGGTTTCTAGTATATGATCTCCATGTCGGCACTTGTCCCCGACGGTAGCGCGCCATCAACGCATCCAGCCGTGCTTAAAATTAGCCTAGCATCATTACATGCTAAAATGTGGATGATCGATCTAAGCTTTCAGATAAGGATGTGGACCAGAAGTCACCAACACTTATTAGTACTAGGTTCGGTACAAGATAATAACAGACGGATAACAGTAATGGTAAAGCAAGGACTTGGCCCAAGCCAAGGAAAAGATTAAAGAGCAACAACGACGGCACAGATGTTATTCAAACTTTAGACATATAAATGCGTAGTGTCACTTGGATCATCCTCTATATCGAGCCCTCCGGAACATATAACGTAAGACTGCTGGACACCCATTCATTGAAAAAGACGAAGAGATATTCAATTGGAGAGAGGAAGAATAAGGTATCATTTCACGTAGAATTGACATGCTTCCTCAATCTATTACGGCCAACTTCCAGGACTCGACAGACGATTCTTTCAAATCAAATAGTATATCTCCAGAAAGTTGCGTCATCTCCCTCATGTTGTTGTTCAAGCTTCATTTCCGGTGTATAAGTATCCGCCGTAAGTCCTCTCTCCGCATCTCGAGCATCCCTTCGCGAATTTTCTAATTTGTAATAACTCATCATGAAAGCTGTTAGAACGAAAGCGACGAATAACATGCCGAGAAAAATTGCATGTCCTTCAATGAACCTGAAATTAATAGGTAGTAAGTATCGACCTTCAGCGAACTAGTAATTGCTAATAGAAGAATTGCATTGAAGAAGTTTAGATCTTACCTGGGACTGTCCACGGAACGATAGATAAAAGCTGCCACAATACCCCCAAAGTTGGCGAAACCAACAACCATGCCGAAACCAACTCCTCTTTTTAAACTCCCACTTAAATTGTTTCCTACCCAGGCCGTTATCAATGGAGTAGTTGGGAACACACCTAAATGATTATTACCATCACTATGTGTTTGGATATGGTGACTATATGCTTTACATACCGACAGCCGCAAGGAAAGCGCCAGTGTACTGAACAGGTGTTTCATGGCTTGAGATAAGTAGCGCGGATCCAGTCATAGCCACAGCTAAAAATCCGAGGATAAATATTCCTCTTTTTTGCACTTTGTCGGCAATGAAGCTGACTGATATTGTGAAGAAACAGGCAACAACGTAAGGTGGGACGGTCATGAGTTGGGCCGCGTTACTGGTATAGCCCATATCTTTAACTATAGTGGGCAGAAACAAAGATAATGAGTACAGTGGCGTGGCCATGCAGAAAGATATAATCATTTTGACATAGATTTTCCAATCTTTCAATGCTTGCCACACGTATTTTGAATTCCAATCATCCGAAAGAAGGTTCCGATCGTTCACAAGCCGCCTCAAGACCTCTTTTCGCTCTAAATCGGAAAGAAACTTTGCACTATGGTAGAGTAAGCTCATACATAGCGACATATATGTAGATGAAAGCATACTTATCTGGATAGTCTCCAATCGCCCAATACGATATACAGCCAACGCAAAATGTAAGAAGACCTTCGATAATGAAAATCCATGACCATCCATCTTTACCACCTGTTCCAGACATTTCCGAAATTCCACGAGCAAATAGCCCACCAAATGCACCTGCAGCCGTAGCCATAGCAAAAAATAATGCCATACGGAAACCACATTCATGTCGGGGATACCACATCGTGATATAGTAGACCACACCAGGATATAAACCACCTTCTGCAATGCCTAAGAAGCATCTAGCAACAAGCAACCCGGCAAAGTTATGTACCAGGCCCTGGCAAACCATAACAACGGACCAAAACAACACGATCCCTGTCAACCATATATTCGGACGAATTCTTTTAATTATCATATTGCTAGGAACCCCTACAACGACGTAGAAAGGGAAGAACACACATAGAGCAATGTTATAGTCGAGACCAGCCATATGAAGATCCTTTTCCAGTCCTTCGAGTCGCGCATTTCCAACGTTGGTACGATCGAGATAGCAGACCCTGATTGGTGTTAGCAATTATAGACATACCAATAAGCAGCCCTACAGATATATTGCAGCAAGGATTGGCATGAGGCGAAGATCAAGCTTCTTGACCAGGTTCTTTATCGCAGTGTTATCAAAGCCAATTGAAGTAATAGTATCACCGGAGTGAGACTCGGATATCTTTTCTTCATCATTGATCTGGACTTCATCAGGTACTCTAGTATTCATCCTATTGTGCCCAATTGAAATCCTTTCTTCGTCATAGTGAAATTGTAATCCGGCAAGAACACCTGAGCTTATCCTGTGAAGGGTATTCGACATATTTTTGAAAGGTTAAGGATTGAATTTGAGGGATAGAGTATGAATTCTAGCTTTCGTCCCGAAATCTGTTTTGGCTGTAGTGATTTCCTTATATAAACCGTGATACTGTGGGAGATGACTCAATGTATGCACATTCAACCTTAAAAGCGGAACTGGTACGAATCCCGAAGAAGTTATACAACATAGCAGCATGCAACGCAACCAGGTGTAATGAGGAAAGAAGAAAACATGACGTATTCTCCATGTGGATCTTTCCATTGAACGATAAGATATGTAACTATCGTATATTGTCTATCATTCCATTCAACAGCTAATAAGAGAGCTTAGTGAAGCTTGCGTAAAATAGCATATTCAAATGTCCCTTTGAAAATTATCGCGAAGAACACATGCATGGGAGGTCAAGTCATGTGTTTCTCCGAAACAACCTGCTGGAAGGGGATGTCCACACTTTGAGAGGTTTTAAGAATCCTCCGTTGCGCAAATTCTCGGATACAACGTGACAGAGATATCAAATGTCTGAAACCAGACGTAGGTAACCCTGAGAAGACAAGGCGCAGATGAATGCAATTAAATAAAGCAAGTATTTTGAGAGCAGATCCCACGATAGGAAAAAAAATTGATTTCACATTGCCACGATAACGGGAGATGTCCTACACGAGGACCTAGGACATGGCAGCGATTAGTCGTAATATTGTAGTAACAAGACTAAAAACTTGGAAATGCAAATGTTCACACGCCCACGGACACCTTGTATCATAGCACATCAATAGACTCAGCTTGAATGCAATGTGTGACATAAACACAACGTGGTTACTTTGGTGACAAGATAATTTGAGGCCTTGGACAGGTTTCTGTAAAGGGCTCTAACACTGACATGCCGCACCTCGATTTGCCAGAGGGATGTGACATTTCCGGTAAGGTTATAACTTTCATGCTGCACTTGCTGAGCCCATGGTCAATGATATATGCATGGGAGACGGTGAAATCAGCTGGTGGGGTTTCGAAGAGGCAGAAATCAACTAAACCGGACGAATATTGAATTTACACTGGTATCTCAAAAACTCCGTGATCAGTGTGTGTTGGATGTGGTTGGCAAAGCGCATCCATGAGCTAAAAGGTAGTTAGTTCTGACGTTTTTTCTTGGCCTCAGGCATAAACTTCAACGAACCTCGTCGCGTATCACAACTCAAAGACGAAGTCACTTGTTTTCTGGAGTCCAGCGAGAGTCAAAATAGGGACACAATTCAACATGGCTCTACCAATTTCTCCGGGATTAACGCCAATGGAAGTTGCATTTCTATGTGAGAGGGGAATGGGTACAGTCGTCCCTCGACAAAGACTTGAGAGTCTCGATTTATTAGGTGTAAGCTACCCCTCCTACAACAAATACAATACTCAAAAACTCAAAGCTTATATCAACCTTCTGCCTCTAGGGCAAGACACCTTCTCTAAGACCACCGCATCGTGCACCTTTACCTCTATGGCTCGCTCTGTTACTCAAACGACAACGTCGCGCGAATATCCTACCACCTCCATGGCTTCATCCCCAATCTCTCGATAGAATCCTCAAAATGGAAACTGATAATCCCGAAGGCTTTTCCCCTCCTCCTTCTCTAGATCCTCGCACACCATCCACAGTATCTCCCCCATTCCTTCCTTCGAATACGGCAGATTCTTCACCAGATTGTTTACCATACCATTGGATTGATATGGGCGAAATATTACTAGAAGCTGCGAGTGATGATATACAGGATCCGGATAAGGTTCGAGAACTACTTAGAGACTTGAGGGAAGTGAGAATGGCGAAAATGAGGAGCAGTACGCTGGCGGTCGAAGGAGGCGGCTTGACTAGTCTACAAGGTGTTGGTGCAATGGAGGTTAGTGAAGGACGAGGTTTCATTACAGGGGTTATGGATGGGCTACGAAAATTAGGAGCTTCTAGAGAAGTTTCTAGGAGGGAAAAGGAACAAGAAGGTGCTGAGAGCGGAGGTGATGGTAATAGTGAGGATGAAGATATGGAGTTATGATTAAGGTGAAATTGGTTTTGCGGCATTCATGATATACTGCATGTTTTATGAGCATCGGCGTTGGAAGGATAATATGGTATATACCAGGTTTGTACTGTATATTTGGATGATGGGCGAGAGTCTTACGCCACGAAGGCTATGATGGCTTGCTAGATTTACAAGACTATTTAATATCTCGTGTGTGGTGCTAAGTTCACGATCGGGTCATGCTTTTCATGATTCTTTTTCTGCAGGATTAGGAAAGACAGGAACTTCGTTCTTGTTAGACTCTACATTCAATCCAGAGAAATACATTGAAATAATCTTCATCAAATGTACAGAGGGACAGGCTATAAATATTGCTGTACTGCCCTTTTCCGCTGGCAAATTATTTTTTGAGTTTAAAAAAGGAGATAAATAATAAGGTCATTTGGATAAATGTAAATTTCTGATCTTTTTGATATACTGTATATTAGTATTTGATGTGTAGTTAAAGAATTAGTAAGGATTCAAAAGGGAGAGAAGTCTTTACTCCGTAGAGCCCGTTTGGTGGGAACCATACGGTATTTCGCGATTTACATCCCTGAAAACAGATTCGTAAGCAAGTACGAATCTTGATCAAAACCACGCTAGAAAAAAGTTTATTTGATCGACGGCTTACGGAGCATAGTAATCAAGGGATAGTGGAGAAAATGGGGTATTCGCTTAATCATTACAGATGAAGGGATTTAATAAATTTATTCCGACGTTGTCAATAAAATCCTGGATTTTAATATTTTTAAAAGAGAGAGTGTTATATCAGTTGAAAGCTGAAGATTATATCTATTTGAGTATTAGATTTTCAAAATTTATATTGATTAAACATTGAAATATTGTTAAGTGATTCTGAATTTTATTCGACGAGGTTCATTTAGCGTCAAACTTCGAATAGATCTAACCTAAATGGGTACTACATTTCACTATGATCAAAATAACTTTTCGTATTGAATCTTACTGAATCTTTGTTTTCTTGATTCTGTACAGGAGTGGTTTACCTTACTTGGATAGAATCACATTTCGGGATCCGGCAATCGAATGCTGTAGAGGCTCGACAAACTGGGATACTACTTAACGGGATTGTTCCAAGGCTGGGGAAGCCGAAGAGCTAAGAAATGGATACTTTGTAGCGTCTATTATCCACTTTTAGCTTATATCCTTTGATGTTCCGAAATCCTTTAAGGCTAAATTTCGAAAGCGGAGTTCAAATTAATGCTAAAAGTGGACAATTTCAGCGCCTCCTCGAAAAGTGCATCCGAGAAAGATTCAACGAGACTTGGCGACCATTTTCTGAGGAACATGCAATATAATATTGTGGATTAATGCTAAGAAGTTCACAGGTAGATTTGTAAACTGCGCTGTATAATGTCCTTAATTTGATCCCGTAGAATAGACAGAACTATCCACATAAACACGATATACTCGCCTCTGTATACTACTAGCGCTACACAGCCAGTAATACTGGAGACCAGAAACAAAATGTACATCTAGTAAGGTACATTACAGCAGAAACTTTAAGTCAAACCCTAGTGACGTAACACGGCTGCGGAAGTAAAAGGTCCGAACGCTAGGAATGAGTTTATTCCTCCTATAACTTTTCAGGTTGTGATTTGCATAAAGATCCGGAGGTTTATATTTCCTGCCTGTACCATAAATCACTATTGTGCAAAAGTGCAACGGTAACGAGGCTTACTCTGTGCAACTCTGTCTCCATTTAATGTCTCACTTGGGACAGTAACAGAAGTTGACTAATCCAATAAAATGATATATTGGAGAATATGAAAATAGTGTAACTAAATTGCGAGTGAAGAACTTTTCAATTTAGTATCATTAAATTCATTTGGTGTGGTGCAATCAATTTTCCACGCGGCCTATCGTCTTTCCCTCCCTCGTAATTTTCTAATCTATTACCTAGTTTATCATCTAATTAGGTACCTATTGAGAGCTTCCAGTGGTAATCCTCTCAAATTATCAATCGTAATGTTTTAAGTAAAGTCGTTCAATAATACCACAGGCAAATCCCACTATAATTTCTATCATTGCTATGTGCAGCGTTAATTTGCCTTCTTGTAGCTATCATTTACTTCTTTTCTTCTGCCACAGTACCGTATTTCTGATTTTTCGTAGTACACTATCAAATTATACTCATTCTATTCTCTTCCTTTGTTTAGTTGAATTGCGAATTCAAATTCTTTAGTCCGCTATTGACTATGTTTATATTCTACTCTACCCCCTACCCAACTTCTCGATAAGCGATGGTTAATAAGATCTTACAACATAAGTCTTACGTAACCTTAACCAGTTTGACGACAGGTCTTGACATATACACTATGAGATGAACACCAAATGCGAGGAGAAATTAAAATCAACATGTGATTAACAAAAACCTGTAGGGGTCCGATTGCAGGTGGCTCATTTTCTTTTCAAAATGCTGAAATATAATGTGTATTATTGCTAATGAAAGGATGATTGAATTATTTAGCCCTCTTACCTTATCACATCTACTTAACGAGCGAACACGGAATATAAATCATTGAACAAGCAAGAACCTGTCAACACTCATGCACATTCAAAATTGAAATCAATACTGCTCTCTCAAAAAACTAAAACCATGCATTCATTACTAATTCTCAGATTCATCAGACTCATCTGGCCTTTGCAACCCTAAAATCTCAAACCCTAAATCTAACACCTCGTTCCACACCCAGTCTATTCACACTGTATCTCCTCCTAATCCTTAACTCCCTCTCCACATCCTCTTCATCACTATCTAATCTGCATCTCTCTTTCCCAGAGTCTCTTTCTCTTCCACTACTCTCTCGCTTGCGCCTAGTAACGTAATATACTGTCCTTCCCGTGCCTTCAGCTTTATCTATATGTTTGTCTTTATCTATACCTCTGCCTTTTTCCCTCTCTCTAGAGCCTGATGTAGACTTTGGGCGAGGACTCCTCCTCCTTACATAAATGACTCTTTCTGTGCTCTTCTCTCTTTCTCTACTTCTCCCTCTTGCCCTATCATCTTCAAGCCTATTTCTATCCATATATTCAAAAACTCTTTCACTCTCCCTCTGCCTAACAACAGGTTTCGGCTTCGGTGATGGGGTCCGGGTTATATATTCATATTCCACCACTCTTTCCCTTTCCCTACTTCTTTCACCTCTACTCCTTGTTCTCGTGCTCTTCTTTTCCCACTCCGGCCCTGACCTAATGAAATCCTCATAATAAGGTGTGGGTGTCCTATCCCTTACCCCGCTATTTTTTTCTCGGCTTCGGCCTCTGCTTCTTTCTCTCTCATGGGCACTCTGATAACAATAACGCCGTCCACCATCATCCCGCCTTTTACAATAAACCCTGGCATCTCTGCCCCTTCTCTCCTCACAGCTCCCATCGTTAACAAAAACTCGTACCGTATTTGATGTGGCTATTGGAACTGATGGTGTCGGAGTATAATAATAATATTCTTCGTACCTGCCGGCCCCTGCAGAGCCCACATTTCGGTATCCTCCCGAGCCATAATGCCGCGGAGCCGGGGCAAATGTGCTACATGGACTATATGTATACCGCTCCGTAGGATTATTACACGAAATAGATATATCAACCTCTAATTTCCTCCTCCCCGAGTCCGGATGCCGTATTAGGCGCAGGGGTGGTGCGGGGGAGGGAGACGATGATGAAGAATGGGGTGAGAATGCGTGTGGGGATGGAGATGTATGATGTCGTTCTCTTCGTGCTGTATCTTTATGTCTTGATGTTGATCTCGATCTCGATATTGACGATGAGTAATAATGGCTGGATCTTGAAGACGAACGATAAATGCGTGTTACATGGATCTCGATCGTTCGGGACATAGTTTTCGGGAGATAGTTTCAGCGATTAATTCTTGGAGTGTGAAGTGAGATAGAAGATGTATAGGGACTGAGAAAAGAAAAGAAAGAAAAGAACCGAGAGAGGTGAGAGGTGGGTAAGCACTCGCTTGTTAGGGTAATGCGATCTATATGGGAAGTGGTTCGATTGGTGGAAGTGAATAATTGAATTTTGAAGGGGGCGAAATGTAATATACTCGTAATATTGTAAAACAGTATGGATACTGTGGTATACAATTTTCGTCCTGTTGATTCAGAGCAGCGAAGGAGTGACCGAGATGGACGAAGATCAATACGGATTTGGTACCTAGTATCTATAAACGCTTGCTTTCTCTAGGTATTCGGAGTTGTACAATCCTCTTGAAGTAGCAACTTGAAGACATTAATGAGTTTCTGTACAAATCGCATTGAAATATGGATGGCATTGTGGTTCTGAGGAAATATAAAATGGAACATATGACAGGAGTATTTATGAACACCAACCAAAAGTATGCACAACTAGCCCTGTGAAACAAAAGAGATCTAACCCGAAAGAGATCCAAAAACAACACCCACAAAAGAAAGAATCAGAAAACTCAAACTTGTCCAACAATATAAGTACACATCCCCCACTCCTTAGTCCTCAGGCGCATACATCCTAGATCCATACCCTTTGATCCCTCTATCTCCACGACATTCATAGCTAAACGTTGACCCTCTTCAATTTAACCCACAACTCTGGCTTCACCCAAACCACAAACATTTTATTCCTCTCCAACCAAGTGTTGAATCCCTCGCCTGCCTCCAAATCGAAACTCCAAATAACATTTCCAAGCAAGGTTCTTATTTCCGCATATGCCAAATTCTTACCTATACAATTCGCCGGACCCAAACTAAAAGGCTGCTTTGCCTTTTTATCATCATTTTCAAAGATTGTAGGATTGATAAGTTTCATATCTGGATATGTAGTTTTGAGTTCTTCGACATCTTCGACGCTGAGCCAGCGCTCGGGATGGAATTCCTCTGGTAAGTGAAAATTTTTGGCAGAATAATGAGCAGCGTAGTAGCTAACGCCGACGGTTGCTCCAGCAGGAACAAATTCTCCGGCGATAACACCCCCTTCTTCAGGCACTATGCGAGGCAAACTGGTGGGGACGGGTGGATACATGCGGAGAGCTTCTTCGAGAACTGCGCCGAGGTATTTGCATGCAGCGAGGGAGTGGAGAGTAAGATCTTTTTGGGTCTTGAAGGTGCTTCTCATTTCGACAGTCAAATTTTGAAGGACTGTTGGGTTTTGAAGAAGATAGTATGTTACGCCGTTAAGAAGAGTAGCCGTCTTATTCGTGTCAGTACTGTTTGAAACAAATCGAGGAATGAGGGGATGTAATACCGTTTCACTCCCAGCGATAATCAAAATGTTTGCATTTTCACGGATTTCATCACGAGTCATCCCTTTTTCCGTATCATTGTGCTTCAGAATATAGCTCATGAAATCCGGTCTCTCTTGCTTACTATCCATTCTTCGCTCCGCTTTCTCGCCCGAGAGTTTTCTATGCTCAAGGAATGAATTTACCATTTTTTGTGGAAGGAAAAGATCGACAATATAAGCAAAAAATGGGTAATGTCTGAGCTCATTCATTATGGGGTCAATGCTGAGAATTTTGAAGATAAGCTCGATCCATGGGTGCATTTTTCCGGTTTCGACACAATTGAAAGATTCCCCAAATGCGAGATCGCCGATTAAGTCAAAGGTGGTAAAGTTGTACCATTTGCCAAGATCAATGCTATTATCCGAGGTGAGAGAAGAGAATTTGATGAGTCCAGAAATGAAATCTCGGGCATATTCTTGGATGAGAGGCTCCTGAGATGTGAGGGCTTTGTCGGAAAAGGCGTGCGTTTGGACACGACGTAATCTTCGATGAAAATCTCCCCCAGACGTCACTCTTTCATTGCAAAATGTCAGCGCTTCAAAATCTAGTTTTAGATGGGGTGGACGACTCACATATTGAGTGGTTGATTTGGAGGAGTTCCTCGTTCAGCCAGATTCTTCTCAAAATTCTTCTTGTGGTGCCCTTTTACAAAACCATAAATATCTTCGAAGGCTGCAGACGAGTTGTATTCTAGAAAGTTGGGAGCAACTCTAACTGCATCACCATATTGATCATGGAGTTCTTTTATCTTCATTGGAAGTTTCCCCGTGACCCTGTAGTAAGTCATGGGAATTCTAGAAGCTGCCCATAGTTTCGGTCCTGGGAATGATTTCAATGGATGGACAAAGAGGTTATAAATGACATAACTAAGAAGATAGAATGAGGATGCAGCAGCAGTTGCTGCTACAGCGTTACCGATGGAATACATTTTTGAACTACTGGAGCTCGAGTTGCTTGAATAATAATTGCTTTGTGAGTTGGAACACTGTTGACTTATGTATTCTACCGACGTATCGGTTCTAGCCCCTATGATTTGAGCCCGACCAATGCGGTGCTCAGTTCCAAGTCCGGTTCCCCTTGAGATTTGTTCCTCCGCCGACCGTCCGCTACATTTTTGAAGCCAACATTGCAGATTGACGAATTAGATGTTGTTAATACAAAATACTTTTATGTTGACAAACGGCTTTCAAGCGATTGGAGATGGAAGATAGCCGGAATAAAACGGCGGAAAGTACAAAAATATGCAATGGTGGAGTGATACCGGAGAATAAGTTGTCGTCCGTCTTTCCTATGGCGCCTGGCCATGCAGACGCAAACAACCCCACAGCTCTTGTGTTAAATATATAGGTATACAATTTGATAATGCAAGGCGATAATGGTGCAATGAAGCTTTGACATTCAATTGTTGATTCATTTTTATATAACACTGAGATAATATATAATTCTATTTTTCTTGAAAATTTATGAAAGTGTATAATATTTTATTATACAGAATACAAAATCTTAAGGGCTAATTCAAATAAAGAATCTACTACTATTCCGTTCAGAAAGTACAAAACACTTTTCTATCAAGGTCTAAACATTGTGGGGAGAAGCCTCCAGGTCCTGAGAGAGTATAACACTTGTTATTCTTAACATGATGCAAAAAGTCTAGAAGGTGAAGCGAGTACGAGAAGATCCCCATGGGCTTTCAACCATTTTTTAGTATTGTTTGTTTGTTTACAAAGTGGAATAAATAGAAAGTACTTGATTTAGTGTTCGGCTCCCTCCCCTTCTCTCCCCTTTTTAAACCTACATAGGAAGTGTTTTTATACTTTCTGACAGCACGCTAGTGCGGCAAACCCTTGAGCACATACCACAAAATGAGCGGGGTAGTGGCTCATATTTAGGTGGAGTGCGATATACTTCCGACTGCACGTCTACTGTATTCCGTAAAAAATTAGTCAACTCGCTTTGAGTCTAACTGTATTCGGTTCTAGTTTTTCCTGCTCCTACAGCGAAGGTTAATGAGAAAACTCTACAAATTATCCGCTTTTCTGATTCTTCCAAATATACTCCGTACGTTATTCAACTTTCCCAGCTCTACATCAACCGCATTAGACCCATAGCGAGTTAGCTGAGTTTGCGTGGTAGTAAGTGGGGTTGGGGAGATCGATTCAGGGTTTTGTCCCAGCCTACTGATTAATCATCTAATTCCACGGAGTATCGTAAAGTTGGAGGTCGTCGATTAATAATCAGTTGAGGTTATGTGTGTGGTGGTCAGCTCACAGAGTTACACTCGAGTAATGAAGCAACTTATCGGGTAACGGGCTCGGATATGACATCATCCGCATCCGGCTCCTTTATGAAGAAGCGGTCATATTCCTCATATATTATGTAAATGCATTAGTCGTTCCTTTGAGGTATGTATTATTGAGTCATAGAATGAGGAGCTGCAGAAAGACTCACTAACAAGAGGTCACACTAAGCCCTTTCAAGAACAAAGATTCGACAGTGCGTCAGGGTTTCGGAGTTGAAAATTCCGATAAAAATTAATGGGATTCATAAAGTCAATCGGCATTAGAATGCCGGTACATGAGATTGAAACAACATCGGAATGTAAATTGATTCCGCACCCTAACCCGGTGTCGATCATCTCCCTAAAAGGGTTTGGTGTTCGTTCGAGTTTATGCGGTAGTGTAACGAATCTGCATACTGCGGTAAAGCTACTGCAGGCAAAGCTAAAGTTTCATCGTCCAAAAACAAGAATCACCTTCAACAGAAAGAGATTGATATCTCGGAAGTAAGTGTTCACTGTTTAGATATACTTACCCGAAGGCTAAATAAATTAAAGATCTATTTATCCTAAATCTCTACCTCCGTACAGTACAAGTCAATAATACATCATGACTAGTATTAAAATGACATGAATTTTGCTTCAATATTCCTACTGGACTAAGTTGTGGAGAAATGATCGATATGATGCTACATAGACATATGACTGAAACTAGGTACGGTACTATCAGTCCAAGTTTTCCAAGCCGCCATTCTTGAGGAAATATTGCGTTCGCCTGAGGGACTAACCTGTTCAATTGTTCTCGACACTATCAGTCTCCGACCCTAAGCACGACCGACCAGATGATTTTCAGGTATTGTATGGAATAGATAGAAGATCCAGAATACTAAACGAGGAAGTTTTAGCCGAGAAGAGAACCACACTTACGAATGCCGGGTCTAGCGAGCCTAGATTTAGATATAAATTTCAAACTGCTGTTGATAATATTCCAGCATATCAAAAAATTGTAGAAGTGCTTGCCGATACTTCCTTTGACTTTTGAGGGTTTCAGCATATTGATCTTCAAATCAAACTTAAGAACAAGAATTCTTGACATCATTAAAAAGTCTGCTGCAAAATGTTATTTTTTCTACATCAATATTTCTCACCCAAAAAGAACGGGAAGCGAGATCTGCCTGTCACTTTCACATCATAGCTAGCTTTTTGGTGGTGGTAAATGCCATTCATACGTCCTCGACCTGATCATCCCTCCATTACGAGGAAAGAGAACTCAATGACGGGGACCACCCAATCGAACTTCCCAGAAGTGATCTTAGGCACTCCATGCCAAGTGAACCACACTGAAAAAACCCATGAAAGAAGCAATAGCCCGCCATTCATCCTCTCCAGTCCTACCCCCTCCCAACCCTTCAACTTTCAAACCCAGAGCAATACCTTGAGCTCTGATGATCCATTCAAATCACCAATCAATCGCCCAACGCTCCAATTCAATAATAAACGAAGACGACAACCCAGCCATTCAGAACCCCATATCAACTCACCAAAAGAAGCTATCCAAAAAGCTAGAAGTCTACTCATTCTAGCTGCCTCCCTGGAAGAGGATACCGAAGAACAATCGAAAGTCCTAGACTTAATCGAAATATTTCGTGAATATCTTGAAAAAGGAAAACTCACAAAAGCCTCAAATATCATCATATCACAAATCTCCCATCTAGAAAATGCCACCAAACGGATCGAAAAGCAAGCCAACCATCTTTCAAACCTTCCCAGTCATATGATCCCCCCCACAATAAACGCCCCTGGAACCAAAGCCAGCTATGCCACTATCACCAAAACCTCAGGAGAATGGAACCTAGTTACAAAGGCAAAACCCACAAAACAGAAAACTACAGAACAAAAGGAAGAAGCCCCAAGCAAACGACTAATCCTCATCAAAGCTCTTATTTATCAGCTACCCTCTTTTACACCATTAAATACAAGGAATAGAGTCAACGAAGCCTTCAAGAAAGCAGGAATCAATGGACTAGTCATCTCAGCCATCACTACTACAAGGAGCGGCGATTTTATACTAACCACTAACAGCCCTGTCAATGCACAGTTGCCTGATGGAAAAGAAGGAAATCTGGGACAAAATCCTTGATGGCGAAAGAATACAAATCGATAAACCCTGGCATAAAGTCATCATTCACAAAATCCCAATTCAGGAATTCTCAGGTCTGAAAGGTATGGACCTAATCAAAGAGGAAGTCATACCTTCAACCCAGGGCTCAGTATTATGGGTACTCCTTACTGGCTTACTAATGCCTCCAAGAGGAGCCAAACAACAAGACGGAGCAATAGTCATTGCATTTGCTACACAAAAAAGAAGCAGATATAGCTATCCAGAAAAGGCTATATATTGCAGGCATTAGTGTTAGAGTAGAAAGATTCTATCCATCTACTCCTTCATCCCAATGTAACAGATGCCAGGGATTCGGCCATAACGAATCATACTGCAAAAAACCTCCAGCTTGCGGACTTTGCAGTAATAATCATGCTACAGTCGGTCATTTCTGTATAATCTGCCAAGCAAAAGGCAAACCATGTCAACATCTAAGTGTCAAATGTGTTAATTGTAAAGGAGAACACAAAGCCAACTCGAAAGTATGCGAAGTATATCTATCAACCATCAAGGAATCCAACTAATGCTGTACAACAATACTCGCATTCTTCAAATCAATCTAAACAAGAGCCCTCAAGCAACCGAAAGTGCTCTTCAACTTGCTTTAGAACTCAAAATTGATCTCATAGTCATTCAAGAACCCTGGATCCTCTCGAATCCTGAGAAAGACTTCTCCTCAACCAGATCTATTGCCCACTCCAGCTTCTCTCAACTCCTCCCAAATAATCCTCCGAACCTGCGTCCCCGAACTATGATCTACATTTCAAAAGGATTCAAACCGCTAGTAGCCCTAGCTCCCAACTCCCCTAATGATCCAGATATTCAAATCATTGATATCACTCAAGGAAAACATACAATACAACTCATCAATATCTACAATGAAGCGGACCAAGCCAAAGAAAAAGGCCACACCATCGAAAGATGCCTTTACAATACCCCTCTTACTCATCACACCATCCTCGTAGGAGATTTCAACTCCCATCACCCTTGGTGGGACCCCTTCTCTAACAAAAGCTCAAATGCCGACCTACTCACCGAATGGTTTGAGGATCACAATCTCATTCTATTTAACGAACCAGGCACGAGCACCTTTTATCGAACAAATATGACAAATCCAAGTGTCTTAGACCTTACTTTAGCCACAGATTCAGTATCTCCCTATATCACTGATTGGCAAGTCCTCCCGGATCTTGGATCAGATCACTTAAGCATTCTCTTTGAAGTAAAGGGCACTTCATCCCGTACAACGAATATATCTCAGCCAGCAAGATTCAACACAAAACTTGCGGATTGGGAAAAATTCGCGAATACCCTCAAATCGAAAATATCGATATCAACCACCTTAAATTCGAGTGAATACCTTAATATCGCTACCTCAGAATCCAATTCTCTTGATTCCCTTCTCGACAAAAGCCAATATATACAAGTATTGGATGAAGCTGCAAAAGAATTCACCCGAATAATCACTTATTCGGCTGAAACCAGTATACCGAGAATCAAGTCCACAAAAAGAGCTAAACCCTGGTGGTCCCCAGAGCTGAAAGCCCTTCGAAAACGACTCTCTAATGCATTTGAGAACGCCAAACTTTACCCGGAAGACGATATGTTCAAGAAAATCTATCAGTCAGCCAGGAATCATTACTTCCAAGCTATTAAAACAGCAAAGAAAAACCATTGGAATGAGTTCCTTGAAAAAGAGGTGTTGACCTCCTGGGATCTTGGCAGCATATGCATATATAGTACATATGCATATAAGGAGCAAACAAAACTCAACTTTTAATTCATTCTTTCCTTTTTGGTATACTGTTTGTTTGCTTTCAATATTTTGATTTCAAAGCACTTTAATTCCGAAGGCCGAATACCCAACCTATTCCTTCATTTTTTGAATATATACTCGCAGCTTAACTGCTCAGCTAGAAAATAAGTCAATTCAATCTGATGCTCTTTCTAGTCTCAAGAAACCCAACAAGAGGATACCCAATCCATATTCAAGGCAATGTCATACACAAAAGATATACAAACCGAACGAATCCCGAATATTCGATCCAATCCCTCTAAAGTAGAAAATTCTTTCGAGGGAAAATGCTCTGCATTTAGATCGACCCTATTTCCTCCTCCTCCATGCACCCCACCGCCCAATTGGGAAAGCTATAAACAATCTAAGAAATGGGAATTGCCTGATCTTACAGAGAGCGAACTCCTAAATGCGTGCTCTGCAAAAATCAAAGGAAAGACCCCTGGCCCCGATGGGATCACTCAAGATATCATTATTCAAGCGTACAAAGCAATACCAAAAGCATTCTTCACCCTCTTCAGTCATCTTATCAACCTTGGTTACCATCCTTCTTGCTGGAAACAAGCTACTGGAGCGATACTCAAGAAACCTTCAAAACCAGACTACTCGGCCCCAAAAGCTTATAGAGTTATCGCCCTACTAAATTGCCTTGGCAAGATAAGTGAAAGAATTCTGGCTCAAAGGCTTAGCTACTTAGCGGAGACTACACAATTACTTCATTACTCTCAAATGGGTGGAAGACAAAAGAAATCAGCCATCGATACAGCAATCTTACTCACTACCGAAATCGAAAGAAATTCAAGATCCAAGAAGAAAACCTCAACTCTCTTCCTGGATGTTAAAGGCGCCTTTGATCATGTATCTATGAACAAATTATTAGATATCTGCAAGAATTTAAACCTCCCAACCAGCCTAATCGCCTGGATCTCATCTTTTTTGAAGGAAAGGCTACTCAAGCTCTCATTCGATGGCCAAATTGAAACCTTCAAACCGATCAATACCGGGATCCCCCAAGGCAGCCCTATTTCGCCAATCCTCTTCTTAATTTATATTCGAGATCTATTCTCAGCAAATTCGATCAAATATCTCTCATATATAGATGATATAGCTTTAACAACATTTTCAACATCCTGGAAAAAGAACATCATCTCCCTCGAAAGAGCAACTAAACAGATATATGCTCTGGGCAAAGAAAATGCTATTCAATTTGATCTAGCGAAGACGGAACTAATACACTTCTCTACATCCAAAGATACGAAGACAGCCTCAATCAAGCTTCCGAACGAGGAAATAATTCAACCCTCAACATTAGTTAGATGGCTAGGCATATGGTTCGACCCTGGCCTCAGTTTCAAACAACATGTCACAATCCGAGCTACCCAGGCTAAAACCTCATTCTACCGAATGGCTAGACTTGCTAATTCTGAAAAAGGCCTTAGTCCCAAGGCAATGAGACAGCTTTATATGGCATGTGTCACCAGCATAGCTGACTACGGTTCAATTTTATGGTGGAAAGGGCAAAACCAATTCAAGAAAATCCTTCAATCCCTGCAAAACCTCGCCCTTCGAAAAATCCTAGGAGTATTCAAAACCTCACCAATAAAACCAATGGAAATAGAAGCCGCATTGTGCCCTCCAGAAGTAAGGCTAAATGCTGGAATCAAACAATACGCCTTCAGATTATTGAAAATCTCCCCTTCTCATCCCGTCAATTTAATAGCTACAAAGCTGGCTACAGAAAAGGAGAATCAAGATGTAGTTGCAACCCCTCGAAGAAAGCAATTAAAACCTACTCAACTCGAAAAGATCAAAAATTCAATCCAGAAAGACTTCGATCCTCTCACTTTAGAAGGAATCCATCATTTCTACTTTCCTCCTTGGAAGAAAGAAGTTCCATATAAAGTCAATATCAGCAAATTAGGAAAAGAAGAAGCTGCGATGATCCACAATCTGGCTTTCAAATATAGGTGCAAAAATACCATTACAATATATACCGATGCCTCATCCACTTTAGAGGGAATAGGGATTGGGATCGGGATAGCGGTTATCTTACCAAATGGCCGAATTTCACATCAAGAGACTATCAATATAGGTGTGAATCAGCTTGTCTATAATGGGGAGCTTCTAGGAGTTACTAAAGCGATCGAATATGCAAATTCAATAGCCCAGCCAGGAAACAAGTTCAAGATATACTCAGATAATCAAGCAGGATTATTCCGGTTGAAAACCCCCTCCGATTTACCTGGTCAATCATGCCAAATCAAAGCTATAAAAGCTGCGGAAGCTATTCAAAATAAAGGAGCCGAAATCTCTCTCAATTGGGTCCCCGGACATACATCTGTACAAGGAAATGAGCTAGCTGATTCTCTTGCAAAAGAGGCGACCAAAATACCATCTTCATCTCACGAAACCAGTTATGCCTCCATTGGAATGGATATAAAAAGAATGAAATCAGAGAACTGGATAGCCATCCTTAACACTAACAATTTTCATCAACCATCGTCAACATATTCAAGAAACTACCCCTGGAAGATCAGCTCAAAAATCAGAGTTCCAGGAAACATCAAAAGAAGCACAATCTGTGCTCTGTTCCAACTCAAAATTGGACACGGATACTTCAAATCTTATTTGAAACGATTCGGTATCTCCTCTAATGACAATTGTAGATGTGGGGGAAAGGAATCTCCTGATCATCTTCTGCTCAGTTGTCCTTTATATAAAATGGCAAGGAAAACCCTCAATAAGGATAACCCCACAGTCCGACCTACCATGAAATATCTGCTTCATACTAAAGCAGGAATCATCAAGACCCTCGAATTTATCGAGGCGACGAGAATAGCCACCAGATCATGGCATCTCAATAGAATGCATGAAGAAGAAGAGGAAGAAGGCGGAGAAGAAGGGGGTGGACCGGAAGATTGTGATTGAATTGATCAATTATGGCCAATTTGGTCAATTTAGTCAATTTGGTCAATTTGGTCAATTTGGTCAATTTGGTCAATTTGGTCAATTTGGTCAATTTGGTCAATTTGGTCAACTTGGTCAATTTGGTCAATTTGGTCAATTTGGGCAATCACCCCAATGTCAAATTTCATTACATTTCATTTGTTATTCCTCTTACTTGAATACGAGAGTATCTGTAAGGCGGGCTTGATTCCCTAGTATTAGTTTTCACTTCCCCCATTCAAACATTAGAAGATTGAGGCTTTCAATCTCCCCAACCTGTATTAGCTACGGTCGAATAAGGCCAGCCACCCTCCATTTACTATTGTTAGAAGCCTACAAAGCTCCTAGCCGTCTTAGATAGTCATAGACTCAGTGTAGACGTTAATTTAATCAATCAATATTGACACAACAAATTTCGAAGGAAACTTTTTCTTCGAAATACGACCCTTTCGCGATCGATCTAGATCATAGCTATTAAACCAAATTGATTGCAACTGCCCCCAAGTGATTCTGACCAGTAGTTGTTGTGATACTGTCGTCGGCGCTCCAAACACGAAACTCGCACGAAAATTCGCGTAAAATTTTCACCTCAAACTATCAGAATAAGATCCTCAATATGAATAACTTCAACAATCCATCAATACTCAAGGATACAGCTATGATGGAGGCTTCGGGAGAAGCCTCCATCATACCAAACACGTATCCTACTGTTATTCTAGGTACCCCAACACCCTCAAGCCCTCCCCCGCCTTCTGAAAACCCTCAATTCGAAATCTCTAGCCCTAGTCTACCAACCAATCAGCCAACCAGTTCTGGAAGAAGAGTTGAAGACTTCAATCTACTTAGTGACCCCTTTATTACTCAAGATACAACCAATACTACCTATATATTCAATCAGAATAAGAAACGTGGCCCTACAATGCCCCTTAGCAATCAGAATAAACAACCCAGAATAAAAAACAATCCAACTACACCTAAGGAAGCTATCTTAAAAGCAAGAGATCTTATAGTATTAGCGTCAACTCTTTCTCAATCATGTGATGAGCAATCGAAGCTATTAGATCTCCTAGAGATCTTTAGAGAATATACCGAAAAAGGAAAGCTCACCACCGCCTCCAATATCATCACCTCCTGTTGGTACGAGAAGGATACGGAAGACGTAGCACCCACGGATTATGTAGGTCCTGTATGTCTAATTGTATTCTGTCTAAAGAGCTAGCTACATATTGAAAGTAGTAAGTCTTATATAGACTTACTAAAAGAGCTAGTCTCTTTCGCGTTCGCTTAGTTCTTTATTACAGTAGTAATTGAATTGAAGTCATTCACTTCGTTCACACAGAAACAAAGAAAAAGATCAAGAGATAATGATCTAATGGACGAGGTGTGACGGAAACCCCTGCTTTCCTCCCACCCTTATTATATAAGAAACCTCAGGTACATTAACCATGTCCACACATGATACGATTACTCGAGATTAGTATGCGATTTAGGTGACCTGAGGATCAGATCTGGACAAGTACTAGGTATCAATGGTTATCGGTAAAGTAAGATCATTGGAGGAATAAATATGACTTCTTTTTGCCTAGCCATTGCGGCTAGGCCATTCATTTGTGTGTATATAGAGTAGCTATCCCCATCTACAGATGCTCTTCACCTGTAGATTCTAAGTTAAATACAATTGCTGGTCTATAAACACCCTTTTGGTCACACGAGGATGATTATAATTACAATTTTAAAAGATCTATTGGCTCAAACACTTTTTATAAAGACAATTATATAAACTTTACTTTAACCTCTTTAAATTATATATAAATATTCTCTTTAATTAATTAGTAAACTATTCAAAGACTTTTTTTCTAAATATTATTTATTCAAAACTAAAATATATGATTAAGATTGTTATATACTAAAGTATATATGATTTATAGTCTATAATGATAAATATAATCAATCAATCAATCAATCTTAAATCCAGGACTTTTTGAAGTTCTAAAGGTCTATAATATAAGGAAAAGGTTGAGAAGGTAGATTCCCAAAGAGTATGCCACTATCGAGATTTATAAGCTGAGAATGCGCCAAATGAAGAGGCTTGACATACCGATATACCATCCTTGTGCGACGAGGTTTGCCGTCTAGATCACGTGGAAGTGCTCTAGGCTCTCGAGGTGGTTTATAACTAAGCGTCAAGCAGGGACTTAAAGTAATGACAATAATGCAATTTGTAACTAATAGTAGAGTATACTAAATGATTGATCTTGAGCACGAAGCTCTATACAAAGGAAATCCATCTTGATTATATAGTCCTTCATGCTTCTATGATCACTGGTGATCCTTAATGATCATCAGTGATCACCTATACCGTGATCCTTAGTGATCCTTAATGATCAACAGTGATCACCTATACCGTGATCCTTAGTGATCCTTAATGATCACTACTGATCATTTGTGATCACGTGTCTTGGTAGTTGTGTAGCCCGTCGTAACACTATATAATCAAGATAGATTTCCTTTAACGTGGTTTATCAGGACCCTGTTGTTGCCCAAAAGTGACGCCACCCTTGAGGAGTGGTTAATTGGGTTCATATAATCATTCTTCAGGTCAACATGTTGGGTTACTTGAGACTAGAAAGAGCATCAGATTGAATTGATTGATTCTCTAGCTAAGCAGTTAAGCTGCGAGCATATATTCAAAAAAATGAAGGAATAGGTTGGGTATTCGGCCTTCGGAATTAAAGTGCTTTGAAATCAAAATATTGAAAGCAAACAAACAGTATACCAAAAAGGAAAGAATGAATTAAAAGTTGAGTTTTGTTTGCTCCTTATATGCATATGTACTATATATGCATATGCTGCCAAGATCCCAGGAGGTCAACACCTGTACACTTTTACCTCAATTATTACCTTTCAACTTCAACACGCGATTTATCAATATTTAATTATGCAAACTACTTCAAAAGAAGCTCGAATCAATTTAGCTATTGAGGCTATTCGTATATCTCAAAATTTGAGTATTCGGAAAGCTGCAAAACTCTATAATATACCTCATACTACCCTTACCTCTAGAATGAATGGAATTCTGCCTCTTACTGAACGTCGATCAGCAAATCATAAAATAACAGAATTGGAGGAGAAATCGCTTCTTCAATATATATTGGATATGGATGAAAGAGGGTTTAGTCCTCGAATAAGTGATGTAGAAGATATAGCGAATTACATACTCGAAACGCGGGGTGCGAAGAAGATTGGAAAGCTCTGGGCTCATTGTTTTGTGAAACGATATACAGAATTAAAGACGTGTTTTAATTGTGTTTATGACTTTCAAAAAGCTCTCTGCGAAGATTCAGAGCTTATTGAAAGATGGTTTCGATTGGTATCGAATATACAGGCCAAATATGGTATTCCGGATTGCAATTTCTACAACTTCGATGAAACAGGCTTTATGATGGGACAAATATCACCACATATAGTAGTTACTAAAGTTGATCGATGTAGAAGAAACAAAGCTATACAATCAGGCAATCGGGAATAAACTACAGCGATTATTTGTGTTGATGGAGAAGGTCACAATATACCTCCGTTTTTGATAGTAAAAGGCGAATACCACCTCTCAAATTGGTATACCGAAGGCGATTTACTGTACGATTGGCTTATTAAACCTACTACCAATGGATGGACAGATAATGAGACAGGTCTTGAATGGATTAAGCACTTCAACAAATATACTGAAAGTAGGAAAGTGGGTAGATATCGAATGCTAATGCTTGATGGGCATGAAAGTCATAAATCGCCAGCATTTCAGGAATACTGCGAGGAACACGACATTATATTACTTAGTTTATTATCTCATTCTTTGCATTTAACTCAATCACTTGATATCGATTGTTTTGGTTCTTTAAAGTATTTATATAATCGACAAATCAAGAACTTTATCAAGGCGTATATCATTCATATTATCAAAACCGAGTTCTTTCAAGCCTTCAAAGCTACATATATCGAAGCAATACCTATATCAAATGGTAAAGCTGGGTTCCGCGGAGCTGGGCTAATCCCATTTAATCCAGAAATTGTACTTTCAAAGCTAGATATTCGAATAAGAACTCCATCAAATAGATCGGTGTCGGCTGGTCCTGATATATAGCAATCTCAAACACCTTACAATCCAACTGAAGCTCTTTCTCAATCTATTTTAGTGAAAAGTCATATTGCTCGGCATCAAGGGAGCTCATCTACTCCAATATTTAAAACAGTTGCAGTTTTAGCTAAGGATACAGAGCTCCTAACTCATACGAATACACTTTTAGCTGCTAAGGTTCATAATCTCCGCAAAGCAAATGAAGCACTTAGTAAACACCGAAGAGCTAGAAAAGCTTTAATACGAAAAGGAGGAGCACTTTCAGTAGAAGATGAGCATAATATATTAGAACAAGAGAATGTAGAAGATCAGATACGATGCGACGAATTTACAAATGGTGATTCTTCAGCAAAGAGGCAAGCTATTATACGACGATGTAGCAAATGTGGTAGTGCTTCACATAATGCACGAACTTGTCAGTTCGATCTAGCATTAATTGATCTTTGAATTGTATGTAATTTAATTCTAATTTATAGTATTGTTGTAATTTTATTTCAATGGAATGTGGGCAATTGAGGTAAAAGTGTACAGGGTCCTGATATGTACAGGGTCCTGATAAACCACGTTATATAAAGCTTTATATTTAAGATTAATTATTTAGTATACTCTATTATTAGTTACGAATTGCATTATTGTCATTACTTAAGTCCTTGCTTGACATTTAGTTATAAACCACCTCGAAAGCCTAGAGCACTTCCACGTGATCTAGACGGCAAACCTCGTAACACGCCATCGCCATCGCCTTGTAAGTCCATTATATACATTACATTACATTACATTACATTTAATATCCTACCCTGAGGATAATTCCTATCCATTATGCAAATATATATGCAAATATATATGCATGCATGCATGTATGTATTAAATCATCAATTCATCAAATCATCATATCACATCACAACACATTATACCCCATCACCTCATCTCATACCTTCTCGACGCTCAAACGCTCAAACGCTCAAATCCAAACTCCTAACCCCGAATACCTAGTTCCGAACCCTTCACATTCCAAACTAACCTCAAACCTTAAGCCAACCTCACCCGCAACCAACCTCACCCTAACCTAACTCCCCCCCAAAAAAACATCCACATCCCCATCCCCATCCCCATCTACCCCATCAATATCCATATCCGCCACTGTCGTATTCAAAGCCATAGTACCCTGCCTAATCAAATCCTTCATCTGTCTATCAAACTTCCTCATCATCTCATCTTGTTCCCTCTCCTCCTTTAACTGTTTCGCCTTCCAGGCTTTCGCTTCTCTAGCCGCTGGACTCTCATTCATCATCGTCGGTCCTGTTTTAGGACTATTAGGTGTCCAGCGAGGAATACGTGAGCTGGCAGGTGAAGCTGTGCGATGAATATGAGAAGGACTTGGTCGAGATGGAGTTGAGTAATTTGTATTGCCGAAACTCGATAATGTGGGTGAAGGATTGAGAATTCGAGGATTGTTTTGATAACTGGATCTTCGGGTTGCGCTTATGTTACTTGATGTTGATTGAGAAGAGACTAAATGTCTTCTACCTGAATTCGTAGATGCAGACATGCTATATCTAGCAATTCCACTTCTCTGTTGTGATAACCTAGGTCTAGTAGCTTGAGATTGTGGAATCGCAAATGCATCTGCTGGTACAGGAGGAAGTTTTGGATATTGTTGAATGGATGAAAATTCCGGTTGAGGTGATTCTGATGGAGGAACCACAACCCAATTTCTCGACATATCATCCGGACCTGTTTGAGTGGTAAAACTAGTTTGTCGTCTCTTTGCTGGTCTCGGTGGTGTAGTCTCTTCTTGTGGTTCAACATAATGTTGATCCATATAATTCTCAACCATCCCGCCCATAGGAAGTCCACCCGGTACAGGTGTACTCGGAGATTTTTCATCCTCCCACATATTATCTCTCGGTTCATCCATCGTTGTCTGTGGAATGGGAGTTGATGATCCAAAAACATAACCATTCCCTCCACCAGCTTGAAATCCTTTAAAAGCAACACCCATTTTACAAAACTCCCACATCTTTCCAACCACACCACCTACAACATTAACCATCGGTTTAATCCAACCACGTTTCTCATCTTCCTTTGGTTGACCCCTAATCCTCGGTCTACCATTTTCATCCCGATATAATTGACCTTCTCCTTCCATCTCAAAATTTTCCTTCACATCACTCAACTCCCTTCGATATTTAATATCACCAAAATCACTTTCTCTACCCATTCCCATTTCCCTATTTTGTAAATCGGCCTGTGGAGTATCCAATCCTCCCGCCAATCGATATTTCGTATTAACAAATGGCATAGGACTTCCCGGAGGAATTAAATTAGAATCTCCATCATCAAATTGATTTCCTCTTTCATATCCATATTCATATGGTAAAGTATCTCTCATTCTTTTTCTCCCAACCATTGTACCTCCTCCACCTAACATATCCGTACTGGTTGTTGATCGCGTATCCAATAGATAAAGGGAAGAAGTAGCAGAAGCTGATGGTGTAGATGGAGGAAGATAAATATTTGATTTTGCGCCTGCAATATGTTGTACGTCATGTCGAGAGGTTGAATCAGTGCCGAGAGTGGGTGATTCCAAAGGCATAGTATTGGACATATTTTCCGATATTGGAAGGGAATTAAAGAAAAACGACATTTTCCCTTGATTGTGGAGATTATTCAAATAGATGAAGAGTTTCTTGTAAAGATTGTTGAATTATCAATATCAATACTGCTCGTACGGCTTTCGTACGAACAGAGCAGCAGCAGATGTTGTTGGATGTGATGTGATGATGGTTCCCCGAGGCTGAGGCTGAAGACTTTATCAAACGAGGCGTCGTAGAGATAGATCAGATAGCAGATATCGTAATCGGTCGTATCAATCAGTATCGCGATCAGTCTCAGTATCAGTATCAATATCAATCAATATCTGTGTATCTGTATCTGTATCTGTACCCGTACCGGTATCAGTCAATTCCAATCAGTAGCACGTACTCGCACGCGGTACCAGAAGTAGAATTAATTCGGCCTGATCAAATTCTCGTGATAATAATTAAAATGTGTCAAAAACAGGCGCAACAACATTGATACGATGGGTCAAATGTTTGCAAAGTGGATTGTATCGGAAGATATCATGCCCAAGAATGGAGTTCAGAGGAAAAAAGAGATAGAAAAAAAAGGATCCAGTATTTTTATAATAGCGTGCAGCGGTGAACTCTTCATCACCAATTATTCGACTTAATATGAGGCTGGAAAACTGGAGCGGTTGGGTGGAAAGGACGAAATCAGTAAAGGTTTGTTTGTTGGTTGCTGTGGTGAAAGATTTTTCATGGGCTTTCCATGATTCAATATTGATAAATCGATCACGTTTTCACTCCCGACTATTTCACCGCGGGTGCTTGAGTGCAAATCTGGTTATCAGTTTGAAACTTATTCTCTACCGATTAGATATCTGTCTGTGGTTTTGTTTTACCTGAAACATTTGGATTCTCTCATCGAGAGGTGGATAGGATGTATGAGATGTATGAGACGTGTGAGACGAATGAAATGGAGAAGATCAGATGAGGTGAGATACGAAACTGCATGTGGGTTTATATCTTCATTTGTATGTCTATAACCTTATGGTATGTATCTAAGACCACTTTCTGATACCACCGCCTAATACCAAAGTAATATCCCAAAGAACTGTACTTATTGTACGTGGTATCATTGAAAAAGCACTCATCTCTATCCTCACTCCCCAACGCCCACCCCCAACAGTAAACCATTCCTTATCCATCCTACTATGCTTCAACCCTTTGTAACCTCATTTTCCTTCCCTCCATAATATTCATCAGTTTGTGCCAATTTCTTCTCATCCGGCTTCTTGACTTGACTGTATACAAGATGATTCTTTCCAGCCCAAAATTCTTCTCTCTCCTTCAAAATTTCATCTGCCCAAGCTTGAACTTCTGGAAGAACAATCTTAGTAGCAACCCATGAAAATTCCCCCAAATCAAGTCCTTCCTCTTCAGAACGTTCATATTCTACCATTTGAAGAATTAATTCAATCTTGTCTACATCATGAACGAACTTGCTCTCCAATGTGATGGAATCCTCATATTCCTGCCAGATATCCATAATTTGTTGACCGGCAAGTCCTCCATTGACTCGACCTAATAGATTCTTGGTGAAGTAATCCATCGTTGTCGCTTCACGTCGGCTCTTCTCGGATTTTGGTACTCCATCAACTGGTGTAATATCCCCAACAAGTGCTTCTGCCATGTCGTGAACGAGAGCCATCTTTGTGCAATGTGGAATATTAATTTTCGAGGCGAGAGATTCAGGCGCGAACATGGTAATGAGTGACATTCGATACATATGATCTGAAATTGATTCTCCTCTACGAGATAAATATTAGCTTGTGCCAATCTCAAATCATTCCTATACCTCACCTCTTAATACCAAATCTACGCCATCCTTCACGTTTGGTAGTCTTTAATCTTTCCAACATATGAAAGAAAGGTACAGGCGATTCCGAATTCTCCTTTGGCACAACTGGAAATTCTGCCTTAACTACATCCTCGACCGACCATGATTGTTGTGCTGCAGTAGCTATGAGAATTGAAGGTTGTATTAGCTTTTGTTATAATGTATCGCATATGCCATGCAGACATATGGTATCAAGATTCGAGTTGGTAAACCCAAGAGAAGTTGTGCAACTCACCAGTCTTGTTGTTTGCTTCGTTGGTTGTGCTGGACATTTTCCTTTACCCCGCGATTGTGTTGAATGAATATTTGATGGAATTCTCCGAATATGCAAACGCTGTGTAATGGTTGTAAAAGAGTGTACAGAGATTTGAATACCAGATGTACTAGATTAGACGTATGTAGATTTAAAGGTCACCCAAGAAGCAATGAATGGATGGATGTATTATTAAGAAAATGATTAGGAGATTCTGTCTTGTGGTTTGTTTGTAGAAGAGTTGATGGAAGATGGGAAACAATGCTATATACCTAGATAAAGATGCATCCCACTACAGCTACTAAAGTGGGGTTCTGTGTAACAAGTACTTAGTAATTGTGAATCACCATCAAGCAATATCTTGATCTTATTGTGAATCAATCAATGACTTGGACTTTTTGGGTTCTATTCATTTATATTTATACGCTTCAAGTGAGACTATACAATCATCTTCAGAACACGGCAATATGACGGATAAGAATATACAGTAACTATGTATTGATAATAGTCGTTTACAAAAAATACTTCTAAAATAGACATTTTATTATATTTTCAAATACAAATTTTGTTAGATTAAATGATTGTAATTGATTGAAATTATAAAAATGTATATAATTTCAATATTAAAAAATTTATATTTAATGTTTTTAAACTATTATATTTTTTTAAATACAATTATATTAATTTTTTAATATTATTAAAAAGTTTATCAAGTTCAAAATGTGTAACGATACTATACTGGAGGCAGCGGCTGCCTAAGGTTTCGTCTGGTTGGTAGTTGTGGGTTAAGGCTTCATCACTGGTCTTCACTTGGAAGTGAAGTCGTTACTAGATCAAGTAGAATGTAGGTAAACTAATTGATAACTAAGTTGAGCACGAAGCTCCTTAACTACGAGACTAAATGAATGTTTATATACCCTATATCATCTTTTGAGGACCTTTGGGACCCTAAGGTCCAAAAGGTCCTCGAGGTCACGTGAATTAATGAATCGTGACAAAATGATCTTAAATTTATAAACAAATTTTAGATTAAATATAATTTTGAAAATAAATAAAGTAATATAAATTTAATTATATGAAATTAAATTGAATATATAAGAAATTTTAAAAATTTATTTTAAGTTTTGATATAAAATAAAACAATTATTTATATATATGTTTTTTGTGACGCCTCACACCTTCGGGTCACGTGGCATGCCCCGTTTGCATTTAATCACAGGAAAACTCGCTACTCTTGTTTTCCTTCTTCTTTTCTCCTTAGCTTAGTATTTTCTAATACAAGATACTCTACCCAGTATTCTTGAGTGTGACATTTTTAATAGTCTGTTATTTATTTATGATTAATTATATCAAACTGTTAAAGTGAATGGTTCCTGCGGAGCACGTGCACAGGGCACTAGTCCTATTAGGACTAGATTGAGAAGCTCTCCGTAGGAGAGCTTCGCACTTCCGTAGAACTTAGATGATGAGTGATTCATTTTACTAGACCAATATTACCTCAGTTCTGCCCTATCAGCTTCCCACTATTCCCTGTGTAAGGTCGTTCATTTTAACACAAACTTCTATTTAAAATTATTATATTCTTTCTAGACTTTTATTCAAGTGAACACTTATATACTATCTATTCAATATTTTCATATATATAACTATCCATAAATATTATTGATTGTTGAATTAGTTGTTCCTAGGATGTTTTTTAAGATCAATCTGGACTTCTTACATCATTTGTATATATAGCCATCACGAGATCCTAGCAATCACTTCTATCAGTTTGACTAACATCGATTATTTCATAGCAAACTAAGCTCATAATCAGAGATGATGATTAAATACTCCAAAAGTTGTATACCAGGACTGCGGGATACACTTGTTGGTCAGTTTGAATCATTATCTTTGAATCATTATCTTTGAATGAGAATGTGGGCTGTTCTTTGGCTATATAAATTGAAAGTTTTATACGTGTTTTTGTTACATGGTATTCATATCTCCAACCTTCCTCTGAAGCACCTAATATTGGAGCTGTTTGTTTAAACCGTGGCCTAAAATGTGTCTTTAGGTTGACTATTTGAAGACCAGGTTGTCTGCCTCCATAAAGCCATCAAAATGTTTTATCAACGGAAGAATTTTGTCTCACATGTTGGACATATTACGTTACACAATGACAAAAATGGTGAGGGCATTGATAAAGTATTTAAGATTCCTCACTTCCCCATGGAAGGCATATCCATGAACCTTTCCAAACTACTTATCATTTCACCCCAAAACAAGTATTTATCACCCTTTGAAATTTAGATCTCTATTATAATGAGTCAACCTACTCGAAGTACCGGTCCCATATCACCACAAAAGAGACATTAAGTACCTTACTCTTCTTCCTTCTTCTTCACACCATACTTTCGAAATTAACTATCCCAACCTCCCAGCGCCCGATGAGGTGCTCTAGCCCAAATCAGATACAGAGAGATATGACCTCATCATCCTAAAAATCAAGCGATGCTGAGAGAACAGTCAAGGAAAACGAATTTAGCAAATTACGTATTGCTCTTGGAAAAATAGAAGCTAATCTAATAGTAGCTAAGGAAAGAGGGCGAATAGGAGAGGAAATTAGAAAGGATGTGGAAGTTGCTTGAGTGAGGTAAAAGAGGAGGGAAATGGAAAGGGTGAAGAAAAAAGTAAAATAAAAAAAAAGGTGGGTAGTACTCGGAGTGCTAATGTCAGTGCTAATACGGGGGGAAATGGTGATATGGGAAAGGAAAATAGAAGAGAGGGGAAAAGAGGGTTAAGTAGTATTGATAGGATTAGTGATACTGCTGGAGCTAGTATGGGTAGTGATTATGAAAAGAAAGACAAAAAGTTTGATTTTAAGAAGAAGAGTCTACCGGATGGAGAGAGTGCTTAAAGTCAGAAGAATGAAGTGAAGGTAAGAAAAATTAGAAATGGTATTTGACGTTCTATATTTCCTGAAAAATCTCTCAAGAAACAAGTTTGATACTTTCCTTTTATTATATCTCATACACTCTTTGTTTATTCACTTCAATCTTAATATACATGTCTCACCCCATCTGATTAGATACTTATTAATATTTTACTGTTATTTTCCATCGTCTAACTCATCTTCTACACCAAAACTCTCACCACCACATCTACCGGTCATCTTATCATAGCATATGTACGCGCATGCATGTTCTGCAGGTATGATACCATAGCTCTAAAAAAATGAGAATCAACTCTCAAAAGAACCTTTGGATAATTCTTATCCATCACCAGTAATTCTCTGAAGCCCAGAGTACCACAGACTTCCTAATTCCGTGTATCAAACTCTGACTTGACGACGAAGATATTTTAGATTCTCAACGCGCATTCCTCTTTATCTTATAATACCCCTCCAAAACAGCCGAACATCCTTCCGATTCCTCAACCAGCTCACTAGCACTCCGATGTATAATGTCCTCATCCCCACAAAAATAATACACCTCATCCGGCAACGTAAAAATAGTGCCCTCCTCACCCTTCACATCCAAATCCACATCCACGTCCTGAATCCATTCCAAATTCCGTCTAAAATTCACTATTTCCCTCCTAGCAAATGCTTCTACATCCTCATAATCCCAAAGTTTACTATCCTCACTATCCTCTCCATCGCTTTCCTCATTCATCCCCTCTCCCTGGGAGCATATCCCCGGTTCTTCAATAACCCCATCAATCCCATCTTCTAGCGCATCAGAATTTATCCAGATAAAAATTCGATGTTGCTTTAATGCCCACTGATGTAACTCATCAGATAAATATCCCTCTTCTAATTCAACTAACTTGAAAAATGTTCCTAGGGCTTGCAGGGAATATGATGTCAGGAGATGAGAAGGGAGGATAGGGATATCAAGGGCGAGGGCTATAGTGGGCCAGATATCAAGATTGGAATTAGTGTTGGTATTGATATTGATATGATGCGCGATTTCTGGAGCATGATGTGGAGATGTATTTAAAGAATGTAAGGTTAAAAGCAAGCTAAAAATCCGCGGTTCTAATCGCTCGCTTAAAGTTATAGGACTTGGTGGTGCGTCGATACTCTGGATACTCGAGCTCTTTGAATTTTTAGCCATAGCACTGGTATCAATGATAAATCGCTGATTCATTGCCTCCCGTGTTGAAGATTTCAAAGAACTTAAACCCTCCGACTTTTTAGCACATCTAGAAGGAACCCGAAAAAGCGATCTCACATCATCCTGCAGATCTAAATCTAGACTCATCTCTGAAAAATCAGGTTTACTTAGATTTCCTAGTCTAGGAGCGGGCGGTGGTTCCAGTGTATTATTCTTCTGTTGCTCTTCTTGCATAAATGATAATTCTTCGTCGCACGAGGGCCGGAATAGTTCTTCAGCGACCGAGGAACTAATATCCCATTCTGGTTTTTCGCCGTGGATAATGTTGAGGTAGTTTTTGTACAGGGCGTGGTTTAAGAGTTCTAGTGGGCTGGATTTGGTGATTAGTGGTTTGTTTGAGATGTTTCCTAGAGAACTTGCTTGGGTGTGTTTTCGGGGGGAGGTGAATGATTGTGGTTGGAATTCATTGAGGTTTTGGTAATCATCGACTGATTGAAATCTGTCGACTGGATGGAATCCATTGAATGGTTTAAATTCATCCTGCTCAAAGATAGGACTAATAACAAACTCCGGAAAATCCTCAATCTCGAGATTCGTACCCGCCAACGAAACTCTATCTCTCACAGTCGATGAGAGTGCCTCAAAATCCCATATTTTCATCCCAGCCGGTGCTGAAAATGCTCCAGCAAATGGCACCTTCAACTGTAATTGTAACCGAGTTACAAAATCTTTCACTTTCATCCCAGCCGACAACAACAAAACCATCACATCTATACCAGTCATCGGACGTGCTACTTCCGCCCCAAAATCCCTTACCAGAATATCGATCGCCGAAAAAATCCTATCTCTCATACCGCCCAAAACAACAGGTTTCCTCGTAATCACAAGTCTTAATCTCGCCAAATCTTCCATTTCTTGATTCGGGGTGGCAAGGAAATGTTCGTGATGTGACTCGGGATTTACTGCGAAAAGAGCAGTATCAAATGCATACTGGATGAGATCATCTGTTGTTGGATCCGAGAATTCGCTCGAGGTAGAAGCGTGATGTGATGTAAAAGATTCGGCTGGTTCTGGAGCTTGGAATTGACTTTGATTTTGAAAGTTGTTGTTGGCTGGGTCTGAGGGGTTGTTTTTAGTAGTGTCTATCTCGACATTATCTTCGGGATCGTCGAGTTCGGAATAGGATGTGATGTCGAAGGGTTCTTTAGTTTGTGCGAAATTGGTTTCTGTATCTTCATCATTGGGTGTTGTGAGAAAGAAATTTGATAGCATGGCTGGGCAGGGCGTCGTTAAGTTTGATGAAGACATGTTGATTTTTGATGGAGAAAATAGATGGGGAAATTTGAAATTAGAAAGTCTGGAATTGGGAAGTTCTAAGATGTATTGCGAGTGGTAATGGAAAATCCGAGTAATACCACAGTGCATTTTATTTAAGATGCAAAGATACTCAGACGTTAAGACGTATTGCAAAACTAGTAAAGAAGCTATTTTTGAGAAGTCCTCCTTATCCTGTAATATCGAGCTGTCGTAATGGATTTTGATGCAGATGCAGAATAGGGAAAAAAAGATGAGTTCTCTCCATCAAATATTGATATACTTAAAACCACAGCAACAATATCAATATAGTCATATTTAGCGACATATCGCTAGTCTAAGCCCGCGGTTGGTACGGTTGGTATAGAGATGTGATGATTATGAAACAATGAAGTTATGTTATACAGGCAAGTTTGTGATTTTGAGCCGTACTGAGTTGGGTTTGTATGGTTAAAATATGATTTAATTGTAGGATTTGAAATTATTTGGCTGTGATTTCGGAGAAATGCAATTGAGCCAAGTATATTAGGCTATATGGAGCTTTTACGGCTCTGGTGCGTTTATAGTGGTATCTAATTTAAATTTGTAAAATTATATAAGCAAATGTGCTCTTTCTAACTGTACCGATATGTTAAATCTAAGATCGAGTATAAGATTACTATACCTAATCTTAAGATCATAGTGTGGCGCGACACAGCAGTTTATGATTCGAAATTATAGCATGTAGATACAACTATAATGCATTTATAGTGATCATCTAAATACAAAAGAAAATAATTATATAAGTGAGTGATCCCAAGCTAAATGAGTCCGGAGTTCCTAAAAAGGAAGTAGATGACCCCAGTTCACAGAGTTGCAAATGAAAAAATAAGATTATAAACAATATCTTATAATAATAATAATCATAAAATATAAATTCCAGTAATACAAAAAACTATCACAATTGTTATTTTTATAGTCTCAGTATACAATCAAGATTCATAACTTCTTATTCAAGTGATTCCGAGCTTGAGTACCTATCTATCTATTATTTAGTCAGAAAAGGGAGGTTAGTTAAGAGTCAAGAGTCAAGACTTTCTAGTGCAATATATATTTATAACTAAACTAGGCTAAAGATTAAATCATAATCAGTATTGATTTTTAAATAAACATTCACAAATATAAACACAAGCACATTTACGAAGCACGAATCTTTAAATAGGAAATGTTATGATTATAAACTAGTTTTACTCGTCATACCTAGCTATATTCCTGCGCATTGGTGTATTTGCTACTTCATTAACATTGCTACCGAGCTACTATCTGCTAACCTAGAACGCAATCACCTTCCTAATTAATCATAAATCATAAACTAGAAACCGGTGCATACCCGAAGAAACCCCAAAACCATCCATCTACTCCCAATAACCTAGATATAAACCATCATGCGCATCCCCACTCAGCCACCAAAAGAAAGATAGAAAACCCCCCTAAAAAGCTCTAATCCTCCTCTCAATCATCCACAAACTCGCAATCAAAACTCCCGTCGCCAGCGCCGCCATCTCAAACTGTGGATCCTTTTGTTTTTGTTCTTTCATGGTATACGTATCATTTCTGCTAGTAGAAGTAGATATTGAGCTTGTAGTACTACTATTATCAATACTAGTAATTGTTGTAGATTTAGAAAATAAATCAGCTGCGACATTTTGATTATCGGCTAGCGCTGTATCGTGATATTTTGCTGAGCTGGAGGTATTTGTGCATTCTAGTTGATTTGTGGCTTTTTGGTTAACATTTACCCATGGCTTACGAAAAGGGCTACTCACTATCTTCATCTTGTTGATCCTGTTTGGTGGATGAATTTTCGCTAATTTTTTGAGATTCCTTAATAGGAGAAAAGTCTTTGTGGAGATCGATATCTTCAGGAGGTTGTGTGCATTTTTCTTCTTCTTCTTCCTCACCAAATTCTGATACAGGAACGACTTCGTCTTCATTTGACATCCTTGATTGTAGCTGTGCTTGATCCTCCACATTTTTCTCAAGACTATCGAGCTTCTTGGATGAAGATCCACTTTCGATATTTTGTTGCGTCAGAGCTGAATACTGACGAATTTCAGTTTCTGCTTGATTCAAGAAGTTGATTTCGCTAGGTTTATCGATATTGTGATGATGATTCTTATCTTTGGAGTAGTTGTATGCCATTTCAATACCAATATCACCCGCAACTTCTGTAGCAACAACCTTCCCCTTTCCCTTATCACCCCCCTTACTTTTAACATCCTCAATAATCTCCTCAGCACTCTTCCACTCCTCCTCACTAGAACAATTCTCTCTATCTTCCAACTCTCCAAAAAGTGCCTCAAGAATCTCAATCGCATTCTTCTCATCTTCATCCTCCTCCTCCTTATCAACACATACACTATTAGAAACAATCAATATCGGAATTTGTTTTTGCATTTGTGAACCAGTAATACCGGGCATTTGACTAACGACAAAACCAAGTGATGATTCAAGAATTTCTTTTTCTCTCTTTAATACATCTCTAAAATCTTGATCATACACCTTCGAAGAATTTGAAAAAGTTCTACGTCTCGGATTTGGTAGAGAATTAGAAATGAATTTAGCATCCGCATTAATGAATTCTGAATTTTCCGTATGAGTTTCTTGAAATCGTAAAGCGAGATCTTGTAAATCTTCCTCAGAATTAACATGAGGACGTGAATAGCCGAATGATTGATTCAAAGAATGGGTAAGAGATGGAGATGTAGGTGGTTGATCAGGAATATTTGGTGAGTTCATGCTAGGTGACGTTTTGATTCTGAGTCTTGATCCAGCTCTAGCTCTCTCACGAGCATGACGATATCTTGGTAGAAGAACATTAACATAGGAAGCTTCAATTGATTCAGATGTATCAATCTGATCTATTTCGGCAAAGAAATCGTTGAGAAGTTGTGTTGCAGGACCTGAAACTTTTGTCTTTAGAAGACGAGGAGTATCTGCGAGACTGGAGGCTTTCGTGGTGCCAGATATTTTCGGAGAACGAGATTCTGTCAGAGAACGCCCAACTCCCGCAGAATTGTAGCCCCTCTCCTCATCATTCGCAAGGTCCAACCCATCACCCCCCCTCGAGCTCCTCAAAATCGGTTCAGACAAAACCATTCTCCTAGAAATTGCCTGCGAAAAAGCAAACCCCGTATCAAAGAGCACCTTGAGAGTAGGATTTTCTTCTCGAGACATGTGATCTTTTGATTAACTGTTGAATGTTGAATGTGTCTTTACAAGGAGATAATGATTTTTAGAAGAAGATGTTTTTGACACGGAAGAAAATGAACTTGAATTTATAGTATGATGGGATTCTTAAATAAGTTTAATCTGCAGGAGATGTCTATACGGTCTGTATCCGTGAGTTTAAGAGATTTGAGTACGGTTATACGGCTGTACTGTGAAGAGAAGAATGAATGAATGAATCGATAAAGATTAATCTATAATTATTAAATACAGTTATTCACTATTAACCGTAGAATATACTCTGTACCATACAAAAAGAAAACTCCAAAAACGGAAGAGAAGACATCTACTGAGTTCCGTCACTCTGATCTGATTCACACAAGCCACTGTAAATGCTTAAAATTACATATGTAGACAGAGTATATGATTGAAATATTCTTCTGATATTCACAAACAACTTTTTTTTAAACAAGGTATATAAAGTTTTCTTGATTAATTACAGATTTAATAAAAATATCAAAATATTATATTATCTTCTCTTCTATCAAAATTTTGATTTAAATCAAATATTTTATTTTTAATAATTTTTACTAAAATATTCTTATAAATTCTTATATTTTATAAAAAAAACTTCAAAAATGTTACGTGACGGTTGTTACCCCACTAGTGGCTCACGTGCACTAGCCCTGTATATAAAGACCTTCTTACTTAGAATCTTCTTGGTTCTTTAGTTTTAGATTCTAAGTAATTGAATTGACTCCGTTTACGACTTTTCCGTCACAAAAAACAAAAGAAATTTTATTTATTTATTTATTAAATCCTACTATGTTAAAAGGAATGACCTCACACTGGGAATAGTGGGAAGCTGATAGCGCAGAACTGAGGTAATATTGGTCTAGTAGGTTAATCTCTCTTCTAAGTTCTACGGAAGTGCGAAGCTCTCTTACAGAGAGCTTCTCAATCTAGTCCTAATAGGACTAGTGCCCTGTGCACGTGCTACGCAGGAACCATTCACTTTAACATACTAACTGTGACCAAAAGGGTGTTTATAGACCAGCAATTGTATTTAACTTAGAATCTACAGGTGAAGAGCACCTGTAGATGGGGATAGCTACTCTATATATACACAAATGAATGGCCTAGCCGCAATAGCTAGGCAAAAAGAAGTCATATTTATTCCTCCAATGATCTTACTTTACCGATAACCATTGATACCTAGTACTTGTCCGGATCTGATCCTCAGGTCACCTAAATCGCATACTAATCTCGAGTAATCGTATCATGTGTGGACATGGTTAATGTACCTGAGGTTTCTTATATAATAAGGGTGGGAGGAAAGCAGGGATTTCCGTCACACTAACCTAATCAAATTCAAATTCAAATCCAATTTAAACAATCTTTATAAGTTATTTTATTATTCTAAATGTATAAATACTCAAAATCCTATTGTCACGATTCACCATTAGGATTAGTGTCCTGGGATAGAAAGTAATCACGTGATAAGGAGCTCTAGGAGCCCTCGAAGCTCCTGGAGGCTCCCTTTATTGTTCATTATATAATCAGAATAGTTTCATAGTTTAGGAGCTTCGTACTCAACTTAGTTATCAATTAGTTACCGACATTCTACTTGATCTAGTAACGACTTCACTTCCAAGTGAATACCAGTGATAAAGCCTTAGCCCATAACTACCAACCAGACGAAACCTTAGGCAGCCACTGCCTCCAGTACAGTATCGTTACACTTATATATATATTTAATCTTAAACCTTCAATCTTCAATCTTCAACAAATAAAAATACTATTATAAAAGAGATAGATCGAGATATATATATTTTAATAATATATTATAGAAAGAAAATGAAAAAAAAAACTTGATTAGATTATATTATAATATATTATTTAAAAGAATAATGTTATGAGGTTTGTGTTACGACGGCTTCGGATCTCGTGACCAATTATGTAATCACATGGTCCCTTAGATCCCCTCGGTCTCTTGATCGAAGGGATCGAGGGGACCAAGGGGACGATTAGCATGAAGGTCTATATAATCAAGATGGATTTCCTTTGTATAGAGCTTCGTGCTCAAGATCAATCATTTAGTATACTCTACTATTAGTTACGAATCGCATATCATTATTGTCATTACTTAAATCCTTGCTTAACATCTAGTTATAAACCATCTCGAGAGCCTAGAGCACTTCCACGTGATCTAGACGGCAAACCTCATAACACTCTTCTCTTTTATTAATATTTTCAAATCACCTCTCCCTCTTTTGAAGTATCTCCAAAAGATTCATTATAATTTTAATTTTTGAAAAAGTATAATAATAATTTATACTTTTTATTTTTGAATGAGATGAGGTGAGTATAAGATGTTTGAATGTGGATGTGGATACTATCAGAGAAGTAAATAGATCAAGTTGAATTCATTGAGTTTTCTAGATTTTATAATCATGTAATACCTGTCCTATTTCATCCTATTCATGTATTGGAAGTCTGACTTGAAAACTATGCCTAATCTCACGTCAACCCACCACATCTCATCTCATCTCATCTCATCTCATCCGTAAAAAGGATATAAACCCAGCATCTCCTTAACAACAATCAAACACCAAACTATCCATATTTCTTTTCCCTACCATCCTTACTGTCCACCCTACTTCTTCCCCTCCAACCCCAACTCCCTATAAAACGCTTCCGTACTAGGTTTCCTCCCCAAAAACACCTCCAAAGTCTTCATTTCATCCTGACTTCCTCCCTTCTCAAGTACCATATGTCTATATCTCCTTCCCTCCTTAGGATCCATTGGATTCTTCTTGAAGACTGAATAAAACATATCCGTACTATAAACCTGACTTGACAAATATCCATAATAACCTGCATCATAACCACCAATTAAATGACCAAAAGTAGCTTGTCCACTTCCCCAATCACTTTTGGCACCTAAAGCTTCAGGACCTTTGAGTCCACAAATTTGTGTTCGGAGATCGTTGTAGAGTTCGCTGAGTTTAAAGGCTTCGGCTTCTTCATGGGTTTGTGGGGTATGAACTGTCATGTCGAAAATACCAAAGTGGAGTTGACGAAGATTAAAGAGAGCAGCATTGACATGTTTAGTACTGATTTGTTTAGCGATTAAATCATCCGGAATAGATTCACCAGTGAGATAATGTTTACTCAAGTTCTTCAATTGACTTGGAGTCCAACACCAATTTTCCAACATTTGACTTGGAGCTTCGACGAAATCTCTAACGGTATTCGTACCATGGAAACGAGAGTACCGAGTACGACCAGATAAATCATGGATACCATGTCCCAATTCATGAAAGAGAGTAACAACCTCATCATGTTTTAAGAGCGATGGTTTCTTATCAGTTGGTTTGGAGAAATTGCAAACAAGTGCTGTGGCTGGATATCTTCTTGTACCATTTGGATATGAGAAACCAGGTTGAAGGTTAAAGTTTGCAGCATGACCATATTTTCCTGGGCGTGGATGCAAATCCAAGTAAAGATATCCAACAAATCCACTTCCTTCACCTTCATCATCCCAAACGCTAAAGAGTTTAAAATCTGGATGAGGTAAAACATCAGATCCCTTTCCAGATGGTGAAACTTTAGCCAACTCTTCCTCACTACTAATATCAACAAACACGAAACCGAATAACTCTTCAAAAATCTTGAGCATTCCTTGGATTGTAGATTGAAGTGGGAAGTATTCAGCAATCTTATTCTCATCAATCGAGAATTCATTCTCAACCATCATTCGATCATAAAATCGATTATCCCAAAGATAATAATTATCATCATTGGTTGATCCCAATCCTCTAGCATCCAAATCTTGTTTCTTGATAGCTTTAAGATGTTCAATTTCCTTGACTCCACCTGGAGCAAGTTGAACCTTCAAATCATGTAAGAACTCATTAACCGTCGCTGGAGTCTTTGCCATCTTATCCTCAATCCTAAAGCTCGCATGATCAGGATAACCCAATAGCCTAGCAGCTTCATCTCTTAGAATAATAGCTTCCTTGAACAACTCCACATTCTCCTGACATTTATTCTCATTCTGAACAAAGACTTGTTTTCTCGTCTCGGCATCCTTCGCAAACTTAAGCGTAGGAAATAAATCGGGATATTTGAACGATAACTTCAACTTTCCTTCATTCTCATCCTTTCCCTTTTCCAACCCTGAAATAACATCTTCAGGAACCCCATCAAGTTCCTTCAATGTAAACCAAATCCCTCCATTCTCCTCATTCAAATTCTTTTGAAACTTAGTCGCAATCGTAGCCAACCTCTTACTAATTTCCTTGAATCTATCTCTCTTCACACCCTTCTCAATTCCCAACCCATTTCTAATATAACCTTTATATTCCTTCTCCAACAATCTCTTTGATTCCGGATCCAACTCCTCGCTTTTTTTATAAACTGCATCGACCAATTTAAAAACATCCTCTCTCATACCCATTTCAATCTGAGCCTCATCCATAATTTCCTCCGCCTTGGAACTCGCATCACGAAGTTTCGAATCGGCAGAAACAGCTTGATAGAAGGTAAGAACGCTGATTTGTAGAGAATTAAGATCATCTTGATTAGCAGTAGGCAAAAGAACATTTTCGAATGTGGCATCTTCTGGTTTAACCTTTGCAACGAGATCATCGAGGAGTTTTCGATATTTATCCATCAATCCCTTGGCCTCATCGACAATCTGCGATTCGGTATGAGTAAAGAGAGGAGGAGCTTGAGGAGGTTTTTGATATTGAGTAGGTGCCATTGTTGCGGTAGTGATAATTCGTGTTGAGGTAGGTTTGATAATTGAGAGAGGGGACCAGAGAGGTTTTATATTCGTAGGTCTTAATTGACTAAAAAGAGCTCCCAACCTGGGTCCAATTCTTGAGGTAGCCAGAATGGCAGTTATAGAAAGGTAGACGAAAAGTAATAGAAGAATGAAACGTAAAAGACGTATGATAGAAGCCAGAATGATGAAGTTGGTTGGGTATTAATTGATGTTGTATTTAGGCGTTTAGCAGCTGTAGCTGTGAAGATGACAGCTTTTGGAAGGTGGGATCCAGAGAGATGTGTTGGCGGGGAAGCACTAAAATGATGCACGTATTAAGTATTAAGTGTACTATATGCATGTACCTTTCTGTAACTTCGGGTGAATAGAAATTCACAAAGAGGGGCATTCGAATCTATGAGGGGTACTCGAGTGAATCTATTCGTTATCAGATATCGGATATTGATGATGTTGTATTCCAGATTGATAACTTGTGAAGATCCATCCCACCACCATGAAGGGAGAGAACGTAAGTCTGTTCTAGTTTAAGTTATAGAAGCGAACACATGGAGGGGTAACTCCGTAGTTGTTGGTTCGAAGATAAGGTTATATGAGTATTTTGAATAAACTATGCCCTTTAAATAAACAAACAAACAAACACCTTTAGTATACTAGACACAGAAATCAATGTATATCATCCAGCAACCCTTCCTTTATTATATTATATTCCCATCTAAATCTCAGTTAATAAACTACTGCTCTAACTTCCTCCTAATACACTCACTATACACTACAACCCCCCACCAACAATCCACACACATACACACACACGCAAACAAACCATCCTACATCCTACTCCCAAACCCCCATCCCACTCCCCAAAACCCCAGCATCTAATTCCGTAATCCTCATCCCATCATTCCCATCCTTCCCATCCCCCATAACCCCCGTACTCATCAAAGCACCCCTCAACAAATACAAAACCATTCCCTCAAACCCATCATCTCCTTCCCTTTCACCATCTCCATCCGCTTTCCCTCCAACCCCCTTCCCCTTCTCCTCCCCAAAAACCTCATACCCAACCACCACCGCACACCTCCCACACCTCCACAAACCCCTCTTCTCAAACCCATCTTCTCTACGTATAATAATCTGTTTATTCGGTTGTGCCAGACCAAGAAGAGTCGTATATCCATATGTTGGTAATGGTTCATCTTCTTTCTCATCTTCTCCATTTCCACCCACACCTCCTACACCTTCTTCCCCCTCCTCTCTTCCCCCCGCAGAACTTCCCTCTCCATCTTCAATTATATCCATCGCATCACCCGCATCCATAAAGCGCGGCACAATCCCCGAAACTGGTAATATAAAACTCCCATCTCCATCCCCATCTCCATCCCGCTGCCCAGCTCTTCCCTTCCTCGTCGGCAGTGTAGAAATCCTATGTGTCGTAGCCAGTAAAAGATTCGTGCAAAAGGTACAGTGGTATGTATTAACTACGGGTGGAGACATTCTGAGCTTGGGAGCTGGGAGCTGGAAGTTCGCAAGTTGATATAAGCTGGGAGCTTGGAGCAGAGAAGTTCAGAGGATATCGAAAATAACAATTTTAACGATTCTGTTGAGCTGTTTAGTTCTTTAGCTATCAATCACAAACAATACAAATCTTGAAATCTTCAATAGTTGAAGTCGTTTCATAAGAAAGAAATATATTTTCGATAAAGCCTTGGAGCTTAACCTGTCAGCCTTGCTTTGGTTTTGATAAAAAGCTGATAAGATTTTAACAACAACCATGCCATGCACTGAGCATTATTTATTACACTGCTCTAGGTATTCAATCATACATACTTATTAATACTCATGGTAAAAGATTTCACATCCATAATCACATCACATCTATACACCATCTCATTTCATCTTCATCTTCATCTGCAAAAATCATAATATCCATTTCTGTCTTCCCATGAGCAAAAGAAGGCCAAAAAGTTTCATACAACGCCATGGCTATAGACCATTCATTATCAATATCCTCCCACTCCCACTCCACAGCTCCTATTTATGCCATGAAAAGTATTTCCTACAATTGATGTAATACCTTTGTTTCCTCTTATTCATATATCTCTCTGCATCCTCTCTCTCCTTCCCTCTGCACTAATATCATATCGTATCCTGCCATATCGAAAAGTAAAATCTAGTTTGCGAGGATTGTTCGTACGAGATCTATTAATATTTTGTTAGTTTTCTATTCCTCATTTCCTCCTCAAAACTCCAGATATCCTTTCTTTGTGCTTCCAAACTTCCATCTCCATCTACCCAACTGAATGCAACCCTCCAACTAGAAAAATAAAACACCATCTCTTAACTCACCTGTATAATTGATCTCTCCACTACTAGTATCAACTGCCTTCAACAATTCATCAACCTCCTCATCACTCATTTTCTCCCCCAAATTTGTCAAAATATATCTCAATTGTCCAACCCCAATGTATCCCGTCATTTCCTTATCAAAGACTTGGAAACCACGACAATATTCTTCAGGTTCACCTGGATCACGGAATCCACCTGGTCGGTTGAGAATCTTAGAGAAGGTTTCGAAATCAACTGTTATGACTTTTTGTTAGTATAGATTCTTGAGAAAAGCATAATTCATGATCCTCCCAAGCAAAAACCAGATTCCAAGCCATGCTCCTCCCAACTCCCCAAAACCCTCACAAATAGTCCTTTAGTCTTATGTTTGATGATGGAGGCAAGCCCCCAGACCCCCATAGCTCGCTGCGCTCGAAGATTTCCCATGTATTAATCATAAAATGAGCATCAAAAGAATAGAAACATCCACACAAAGACTTTATTCCATCCCTCTCCTACTCAGCGAGCCCTTAAAATCCCATAACTCGAAGATCCCAACCCCAAATATTCCGCCATCACGGCAGTGGCCCCCGGAGGGCCAGCGGAGCGTCACTCCGAAACCACCTATCCTTTCCCTCGCACAAACCAAAAAGAAAAAACAAAACTTACATTCACCACCGACATTTTTCTCCAACTCTCTAATCTCATTCAATGTAGGATTTTGACCACAAGCCCTCAACAAATCACCCAATTGATCCAATTGTACACGTTGAGTACCGCGTTTATCGAAGAGTTGAAATGCTTCTCTGTAGTTTGTGGAGGCCTGCGCATCGTAGGGTGGATTAGTTGATGACATTTTTATGTGTGAGTATTTGCGAATGTGAATGAGAATCGCGTTGGAATGGAATTGAATGTAGAGTGAAGTTGTAAAGTAAAGGAAATGTGTAAAATGAGATGATGTTTGTAAGAGTTGTGTAGAGAATAGAGTTGAATTGTAAATGTAAAGTAATGCAAATGCAAATGTTATTGAATGCAAATGTATTGATTTCCTTGCGATGAATTGTATTGTAATGTGATGGATGGATGGATGAATGCAGAGTATCAGAAAGTATTTCGAATAATCGCAGTAACAGTACAGTAAGATTTGCAAAAGCAAACACCTCAAAGAGGAAAGAAGGGAGTAACAAACAAAAAAGTAAGTAAATCAAATAAACAAAACCATAATTCGTTACTACCCGGTCACTGGAGGAATTTGCGCTTCTTGGTTCTTGCTTTTTGCTTTTTCTCGTCTTTATATCAATGTACTGCAGCAACGCAGTGACAAACCAGAACGAGCAGTCAAACCAATAAATCGGAATCAGAATTGCGAAATTAAGAGTAGCATCTTATTGGAGTAAATGCAAGGAATGCGGAATATATATAGAGAAAGAAGTATTCGTATGTCGAAAGAGGAATAGGGGATAGAGAGTAACTCACCATATTGAATAATATACTCCTTGTGAGTGAGTGAGTGAGTGAGTGAGTGAGTATGTGGTTGGGAATGTAGACGTATATGTACGTAGGTAGGATAACAAACAACAACTTCGGTAGAAAATGAGGAATTTGAAGATATACTTGGGTATGGTATGTAGAGGGAATGTAAGAAGAAGAGAGATGTACAAGTTGTAGATCTAGAAATCTATCTGTTTGGTCCGTGCTATTATTATGTTATGTTATGCTAGGTACAAGTTGGTACCCTATGTTATTCTGCAGCCTATCCTGTCTAATTGACTGGTGTGTGTTGTTCGATATAGTGGGGCTTTTGTGGAGTCTTTTGGCAGGGCAACGGAATTGTTAGGGCGGTGAATATTATTAGCAGGCCATTCACGCAGAATGTTATCAACCTCAACTTTTAGGGCGGCTATTATCACAAGCAAATCATCGACCAATTACTAGTCAAGACTCAAGGAAGATACATTGAATACCTTTTCTTTCAAAACTTTAGAATCATATATCAGCCTCTGTCTCCGTAGTAAAGTCCTATAAGATTCATAATAAAATGTTCAAAGAAATAACCAGCCCAACCAAATCCCGACTCCAAACCAATCCAACCTCTTTCACCCACCATCTCCCCCTCTCCAAACCTACAACTTCCTAGCCAATAAAATCACAGTCCCCCACTCCGTCTCAACCTCCACATCCCTCCAATTCTGTCCCTCCTTCCCTCTCAATTCCGGCTCTACCTCCAACATCTCCTCAAACATCTCATCAATAACATCACCCTTCTCATTCTTCCCATCCTTCCCCTCTCCTCCTACATTCCCAAATAAATATCTTGAACCTCGGCATCACCTGATCCTCATACAAACCCCTCAGTCCTAATCTCCCGGGTTGTTCCCAAAATCTCCCCATAAACCCCTCATCCTCCCCATAACAATACTTATCCAACACCCTCTGCGGAGCCGGAAAATCAACCAGTAAATTATCCTTATAGCGCGAGAAAGCCACCGTCCCCCCCTTCCTCAATTTCCTATAAATCTCCCCCCATACCCGTGAAAAATCAAACCAATGAGCCGCCTGTCCCGCAACCACCATATCCAACGACTCATCATCTACAAATGATAAATCTTCCGCGAAAGCTTGTCTCCATTGTATATTTGCCTCTTTATTATGGGAATTACTCGTATCAATCTTATTAGAGAGAGTTTTAGCTTCTTCAATCATCACACTACTAGGATCTGTACCCCATATCTTCTCAAAATTACCTGTGGAACCAAGAGTACGACTGATTACTCCATGGCCACAACCTAGATCGAGTAATGTGGTTCGAGGACCTCGATGATAATTTAGGATTTGAGTGTAGAGTTTTGGGGGATAGGAGGGTCGGAATGTAGCGTAGGAGGTTGCGGAGAAGGATTTTTGACTTGGATGGGTTAGTTTTGTGATGAGGAAGTGGTAGAAGGAGAGTGGTAAAAGGAGAGTGATAATGGAAGGGGAATGAAAGTGGAGGAGGGGAGGGAGGGACACTTGCGCAAAAGTAGCCATGACAACTGGTAGGTAATATATATGAAAATGCCTGATAAACGTCTATAACGAATCAATTTTTAAAATTCTCGAATCTAGTAATCAGCCTCAAATACTTTTGCGCCCGTCGATTCGATGTAATCAATCAATCAATCACCACATATAAACAGTGATAGTGACATAAACCTCTGATTTATCTTAAAATCTCAATTCATAAAACATCACCTGACCCAACTAATCCATCACCAATTACCACCCCTTTATATTTATATTTATATTTATTTAATCACTAGAAACAAAATATTAAAGAATTATTCAATATTTTTATAATTTAAAAAAGAATAATTTAAAAGTAATAATAAAATTTGTTGAATCTGAGTTGTTTGGAAGTAGTAGTATTATTAGATGTAGGTTAAACTAAGGATCTAAGTTACAGTAATGGTAGAATTGAAGATATTCCCAATTATGGTCCGTGCACCATAATGGTCATATGACCTCAATTCTAGGCCCATAATGACCTTAATTTCAACAAAATTTATAATTAAGATATAAATTTTTAAATTAAAAGACTCTTTTTTTTTAAAAAAAAAACTAAAAGGATGTTACGTGACGGTTGTTATCCCACTAGTGGCTCACGTGCACTAGCCCTGTATATAAAGACCTTCTTACTTAGAATCTTCTTAGTTCTTTAGTTTTAGATTCTAAGTAATTGAATTGACTCCGTTTACGACTTTTCCGTCACAAAGGATCAAATAAAGATATTTATTTATATAATTATTAAATATATATTAAATAAAATTCCTACCTGAAATTAAATTTAAATCTTATCAATGAATAGAGTAGTATTTCAGGATATTATAGTTCGACATGTACTTTTTCGGAATAAGTAGTGTTTGAATGATGCGAACGTATTGATAAAGGTAGAGCTGCTCATATCGAAAGCCTATCCCTTTCCAAAGATATCTCTCAAGCTTCAATGATATAATAAAACCAACATCCTAGAATCCCAAAAGACCTTAAAAAGCACTCAATAACCCGTCCTCGGCACGTCTCCCCATCAACCCAATCCCTCCCCTCACCATCCAATCCCGCCCCCCCCTCCTTCCACCTACAACTTCAACTCCCTCCCCGCCCCCCTAGCAGCCCTCACCCCATCAACCAAAACACACCAACCCTCCGCACCCGCACTTCCCCCCTCCTCCCCCCCCCCCCCCCCCTCAAACTCCCGCAACGCATACCCCAAAATCTCCTCATCATACGTCCCCGGCTGCAACCACACACTGCGTAAAGCCGGAAATTTCTGGCCCTCTTCCAAGAGCTTTTGATGTAATATGCGGGGCGTGGATAATAAGATACCACCTGGTTTCTATTCGATGGGGAAGTGCGGAAATAGATGGGAGGGTGGCATATTCGGGTTGTGGCTACTTTTATGGTGGTGGAGGAGGGGTTGATGGGGGTTGCGGGGAGTCCGTGGGTGGTGTACCAGGTGAAGACTAGGGAAAGTTAGATGATTGGAGATGTAAGTGGGAGTTGATTTGGGTTTGAGAGGGATAGGAAGGAGAGGAAAGAGATTTGGGGGATTTACTTTTATGACCGAATTTGGAGGGGTCAGTGGATGCGCCTACGACGGCGAAATAAGGTGAGGAGAAGAAAGTACGAGCTGCTGCTTCAGTTGCCATTTTTCTAAGCATGAAGATGAAGATGATTAATAATTGTCTTGGAAAAGTATTAAAAGAATTGATTATAGAGAGGTGGCGAGAAGTTATTTATGTATTGAATTATATTATATTATCTTAAATTGTAGATAGTATTGTATCCAGTGATAAGAAGAAAACTCGGGTCCTCCTGACAGTCCCCATTTTGAATGTCATCATTGATATCATTATCAACAAAGCAGCTCGGATGAGGAAGGTTGCCCGGTAAAGCTTCGGGTGTACTGGGAAAGGTGGATGTTAGACTCCGTATGTTTGTATTGAGATCTTAATGGTATCTCTATTTTAACTCCAATTCTTTGAACCTTCTTCTTTGAGATGATGGTAACTGGATGATAGAATTTTCGTCATTAAGAGGTTTTATTGAGAATTGTTTGAATGAGCTATTAGTAAAGTAACCTTAACGTCTTTTCGGATTATGGAGTATAGAGGTTACTCAATATCAATTATGGAAGATACTCTCTCTTCCGGAGTTCTTTCCAGAGTTCCTTTTTCTGAATATGATGCATGTATGAAGAATTAAACTCAAACCCTCAAACCCTTCCGTATAGGTAAGAGGATAACTTTCTCCTATGGAAGAAATACCTTTACTTGCTTTATTACTTTATATTATTGATCAAGGTCATTGATTACAGTACCTGATAAAAATGATGAGATTTAATTCAATAAAGGTTTTCTCTTGAGCTTGGAAAGATGTTGAGTAAAATCAATCATTGTCCTACTCTTACCAACCTACCAAGGCTCTTGACGTTATTGTGGAATCAAGATGGAGAGAGGGAAAAAGAGAAGTTCGTAAGTCTTACTGCCATTCAGAGTTATCCTCTGAAGCTTGAATCATAGTGGGAATGAATTTAGAGATGAGGTAGATGATTTATGTTTTAATTTTTTTGTACATGGACATCCAAGAGAATAGTGGATGTTGGCTCGATAAATCAGTCAAGCTTCTCATACTCCATACACTTCATATCATTTACTTGACAACCAAACAAACAGGAAACCCAATACACACACACACACATATATATATATACACCAAAAAGACAAAATCCAAACAAACAAATAATAACTCCCTCACTCAAACTCCAAACTCCTCATCTCCAAAGAAACCCCGATTCGAGTCCAGTCCAAACACCACCCGAAACAAGCGCCCGAGCATCCATCATCCATCATCCATCCCCTCCAACATGAAACCCGAGCACCACTCCAAACACATCTCGCACACATTAAGTTTTAATTTCCAACCTCGAATCTCTCTCCCAGTAGCATACATCAAACATGCAATCTAGAATTTCACCACTCCCGATCCTCCGATTGGAGCATCTTTGTATATTTTTAGAATGGGAAAGGTAACAAATCGTCTGAAATATAAATGCATGAATGAAGCCCTACGGATAAATGGGAAGATATCTCGGTTTTCTCCTGAAAGGGAACTATAGTGGATGGGATGTAGGAGATTGTTTGTAATGCGGAAGGGAAAGATCAATTGGGGGGTTTTATGCGGTAGGGCGTAGGTAGGTAGTGAGTGGTTACTCGTATGCATCTGTCTGTCGGTAGGTAATGAATGTTCGTCTCGAGTTTGAGGGAACTTTAGTTACTAGGTAGGTATTCTAACGGGATGGATGGATGGGTCTTGTATGTATGTATGTATGTATGTATGTATGCATGCATTGTTTGGTCATTTCTCTTGCGTCTTTCAGTTCTTTTCATATTATTAATTATTATCATGCCTTTGATTTGAATGAGTGATTGATTTCGAGTTTTCTTTTTCTTTTTCTTCTTCTTCTTTTGGTACTCAGTTTATTACCCTTTAAGTACCGCTAGACGGTCGGGATTTTTGTATTTGTTCCTGAAGTGTTGTGTGTGTCGGTCTATTTTCAAAGTCATTCTTTTACTTTACTTTTTCGGTGGTGATTTTTGGGTGATTTTGGGAGATTTATTCTTTGGGACTGGGAATGAGACTCGAGATTGGAGATTGGAGATTACATTTGAGAAGATATTGAAGAGAACGGCGAAAGAGAACAAGGGAAAGGTATTTGGGATTGAGGTATCACGATTCAATTCCATACAAACGAATTGGAATAGGGGAAAGAAAAGGAAATACATCAAGAGAGCCGATTAAAAAGTATGACGATCAACATCGAAACGATTGAACAAATTAAAAATACGAATACTGCGCACATCATGGCATTCATAACTGAACCACAACCAGTTCTTCAAAAACCGGGATATTCAAGAAGAGGAACTGATGAAAGTGTGATTGATGATGGGATGAAGGGAAAATTGAGAAGAGATACTATTAGTGGAAAATTAAAGTTTTGGTCTGGAAGTAATGCAGTTGGGAATGGAAATGGAAGTGGAAAGAAAATGGACGACTGGACATTAAAAACGGATGTAGAATATGATAAAGATTTCGATATGGCAAAGAATATGGAGGAATTGGAAGATCTCAAGTTGAGTCATGATTCTAGTGCTGATCCTTTGGTATGTATTTATTTCTTTCCTTTCTTCTTGATTCCTATTTGAGTATGTAAAATAGTTAAGGATTCATACTAATATAAATAGAATTGGTCACCTCAACGTAAAACCCTCTCGTTCTTCACTCTATGTCTCGCTTTCTCAATAGTAGGCATGCAGCGTCTAATGTTTGCGTCGGTAAATGCGGGCATCACAGCACAGTTTTCTATCTCTTCTACTCAAACGGCTACATTAACAGGAATTGCATTCATCTTCTCAGCAATTAGTAGTCCATGTTGGGAAATGTTAAGTATGAAGGTGGGAAAGAGGTTGATTTTTATATTTGCTGCGGCTTTCATGTTGATCGGTGGTTTATGGAATATGCATGTTAAGAGTTATGGACGATTTTTGATAGGAAGAATGATGCAGGGAGTGGGATGGGGAGCATTTGAGGGATTGATTGGAGAGGCAGTGGGAGAGATGTATTTTGTGAGTATTATTCTCTTTTCTGATATCGAGACAGGAAAGTTATTCGGAAGAAAAGAAAACATACTAACAAAAATAGGAATCACAACTCCCTATCCGTCTAACCATCCTCTCAACAATCGATATTTTCTTTACCTGGGGAACTCCTATTATCGGCGGATACCTCAGCCAAACAATCTATGGATACGGAAATCAAATCATGATCATGAACATCATCCAAACAATTTCAATCCTCCTTTTAATCCTCGCTTTCCCAGAAACATCCTTCAATCGAACATCTCATCCAACACCTCCATTATCTCCACCTACAAGAACATTTCAAACCTGGCTCAAAACCTTAAATCCAATACCATATCATGGAAATCCTACCAAAGAAGAATTATCCCGACCAATAAAAGGACTCATCTCTCCAATCACTCTTCTCACATTCATCTTATCTTCCTTACCTATCGCATCATCTTACGCCTTCTCACTAAATCTCTCATCTTTCCTCTCCGGGTCCCCTCTGTTCATTTTCCCAAGCCAAGTAGGATATATATTCCTCGGACCCTTTCTCCTATCCATCCTATCCTATGCCATCCTATCCATCATCTCACCGCACAAACCCAACCTTCCTTCCTCCGAAAAACCAAACCCAAGCCCAAAAACCCTCCAAGCAAAAGCAAAAGGAAAAGGCTCACCAATTAGCGCCCTGCGTATCGCTATCCCAGGACTCATTCTCTTCGTTACAGGAACCATCGCATTCACCCAATATATATCCACAACCCTCATACCCAAAGCCATGGAACTCAGTCCTACAGTTTTTGTTACCTCAAATTCAGATACAAATGTTAGTTTACGAGTTACTAGTCTCGTTTTCGGTATTTTAGTTTCTGGAGCTACGATTTTGAAATTCGCTGTTGAGAGATATTTATCTTTATCTTCTTCATCTTTACCGATATCTTCATCAAAATCAACAAGTAATCCTATCCATAAACCGGCAAAAATACAAAGAAAAAATACAGGAGAACACAGAGCATACAATACACTACAAAATTTCTTCACAGGGTTACTAATAATAACAATACCGAAGTGTGTAGAAGGAGGTATGGGAAATGAGATGGGTGGTGTGATGGGGTTGAAGGATACAGGTCTGGGCGTGGGCGTTTTTGGGTTTGTGGGGGGTGTGGGGGTGGTGGCGGGTTTGTGGATTATTGGGGGGAGGGGTGGAAGGGGGGATTGTGAGATGGGGGTGGGGATGGGGAGGAGGGGTGGTGGTGATGAGGGGAGGAGGTTGGGGGTTTGAGAGATAGATATTTATCATTAATTAAACATTAAACAAAATTAAATAAAGATATTCAATTTTTATCCTTTCAGAATTGAACTACAGTACTAGCTAACTGTGTTACGAGGTTTGCCGTCTAGATTACGTGGAAGTGCTCTAGGCTCTCGAGGTGATTTATAACTAAACGTCAAGCAGGGACTTAAAGTAATGACAATAATGCAATTCGTAATTAATAGTAGAGTATACTAAATGATTGATCTTGAGCACGAAGCTCTATACAAAGGAAATCCATCTTGATTATATAGACCTTTGTATTGTATATCCCATCATTCCCCTTGATTTAAATCGATGAGACAAGTGGGATTATGTATCATCTTGTTTAGTTATATAATATAGACTTTAATTATAATTAAATACTATTATAATAACAAATCATTTCAAAACAAATTATAAAATTATAAATAAAACTTATATTATAAAGCTGTTACAATTCATTAATTTATATGATCTCAAGGATCTTTTGGACCTTAGGGTTTTAAAGATCCTCAAAAGATGATATAAGGTATATAAACATTCATTTAGTCTCGTAGTTAAGGAGCTTTGTGCTTAATTTAATTATTAATTAGTTTATCTACATTCTACTTGATCTAGTAACGACTTCATTTCCAAGTGAAGACCAGTGATAAAGCCTTAACCCACAACTACCAACCAAATGAAACCTTAGACAGCCGCTGCCTCCAGTATAGTATCGTTACAAAAGCCTTCAAACTCTTTTTATTTTATAATCTTAATTTTAATCTTAGAATAAAAATAAAAATAATAAAAATAAAGATATTAATATTATATTATATTCTCTTTTCTTTTCTTTATTATATCAAATAATAATATAGATTATATTTTTGATTATATAATCAAGAACCCGATAAATCAAGATCGGCTTTGCAATGATCGATTTGTCGAGCTTATAGCCATCGGTTTTTAAGGAGGCACGAAGGTCTATATAATCAAGATGGATTTCCTTTGTAAAGAGCTTCGTGCTCAAGATCAATCATTTAGTATACTCTACTATTAGTTACGAATTGCATTATTGTCATTACTTTAAGTCCCGGCTTGACGCCTAGTTATAAACCACCTCGAGAGCCTAGAGTACTTCCACGTGATCTAGACGGCAAACCTCGTAACAGTCTGATCCTAATCCTAATCCCAGTCCTGTTTTCATTTCCATTTCAATCGATTTAATAAATTTCCCGTCCAAACGTCGACTTTCACTCATTTGATCCCCACTTTCTATTCCTCTTCACAAAATTATCATCATTATCACTCCTTCCCAATCTCTCAGCCTAAGTCTCCCCCTGCCTCTCCTCCCCCATCTTCACCCCAAATCTCCTCAACCTCCCCTCCACCTCCACCTCTCCCCCAACCACCAACCCAACACTCCTCCCCACCAATCCCCCCAAAACCCACGCTCCATAAACCCCACCCCCCAACACTCCCTCCGCCCCATTCGAATTAATCCTCCAAACCTGCTTTCCCACCTGAAACTCTCCACTTCCATCACCACTCCCATTACCATCCCCCACAAACCAAGGCCACATCCGCGGATACGCATATGAAATTTCCCATTGAATCCAAGAATCCCTCTCTATAATATTTTCCGGGATTGCAAGGGTAGTTATTAAAGATGTGAGGGTTAGGGGGGGTAGAAGTGAGGAGTTTGTAGAGGTATTTTGGGGGAAGGGAGGTTGGGGGTTGATTTTGATCATGAGGAGATGAAGAGGGGTTGAGGGGTCGCAGGAACGTGAGTTCGATGATGGTGTTGTGGGGGGAAGTTAGGGGTTGAGTATTGTCGATTATAGGGAGGAGTTGAGAGGGTAACGGAGAAGATGATTTCTCTTTTAGAGAGGTAGATGTAAGGAGTGAAGAGGTTGTGAAGAATGTGATGTATACTGGTTGATATTCAATATCTTGAGTAATATCAACATTGAAGATCGAATCGTGATCCTTTGATTGCCCTAAAAGTTCCGTGTAGTTCAATGGCGTGGCGATGATTAGTTTATCCAGAGTTTCGATAGTAGGAGGTTCATCTTTATTTGTAGCGTTTTCCAATTCCAATAACCATGCCTCATAATCTTCCGTGACTTCCTCCCATCTAGCTTGTTTGACCTTTGCTCCAAGGCGTACGGTCGCTTTGCTATTTCTTAAAGACTTTTCCATCATCATTTGAAAGATTCCATTATTCACGGCTTTGTGAGAACCCATCTCTTCTCGTTCAAGAGCCATACTAAGTGCTAAATCACTTAATTGTTCAATTGATTGTCCGGTATGTCGTCGAACTTGTGGTGCTAATATATCTCTTATGTAGTTATTTCCAATTCCATTCTTTTTCAGTCGTTCGGTCGCAGGAATACTGAAAGATAGGTATGTATGCTGCTGTGACATTTTGGAAATTATTTCCCTAACCGAGGATATCGAAATGTGTTCGTTATTCATAGTGCGAAGGAAAGTGTTAAAGGATTTCATGGTGCCGATTGGAATCTTAGGAGCACGCCAAACGGAAGAGCCATATTTCCAAAGGAGAGAAAGATAGTGACTCCAGGGAGTAGTAGCATAAGGTCGATATGTTTCGGTGATGATATGATTTGTATCGAAACTATTAATGTTAGTTACACGAATTCGTCGTATAAGTATTCCACTTTGACATAAACGAAAGCAGAGGAAACTTACTGTCCAACCTTCCCCATTCCAACATCTTCGCTCTCAACAATCAAATCCTCTTTCTTCTCAAGATCAGTCATTCCACCGATAATATTGAATAGATCCGCATGAAATGCCCCGCTAGCTATATCTTCCACCTCAATATCCATACCATCCGTCCCATCAACCACCATTCTCCCCCCAATTCTACTCTTCTCCTCAAAAATGATAACCTCAACTTGAACATCCACATTCCCATCCTTGAATTTTCTCCCCAAAGCAGAAACCACATCTCTAACACCCTGAGCAGCAGCAATACCCGCCGGTCCAGCACCAATAATTCCAACTTTGAAATTCACGACTTGGATCTCCGGATCATCTCCATCGACAAGTATACCCCGCAAAATAACATTATAAAAGCCAATAACGAAGAAGATGAGAATTATTGCGCCGGAAATGTAGGAAAGTAGAATTTGGCCAATGTTTTTCTTTTGGTTCGTTGTATATTGGGAATCTGATAGGGAGTATTGGCGAGATCTTGGGATTAGAGGTGAGATTTCCGAGTAGCTTGGAAGACTTTCGGAAGTATATGATGGAGGTGGAGATGCAGGTTTGTTCATTTTGTTGGTTATATTTGCTTTGATATTGTTGTAGTGGTTATATCTCAAAAATAGTGGAGTCGAGATTGTAATATTGTTTTAGCTGAGTTGTGTTTGAAGCTTTAGAAGAGTAACATTTCAAAATAAGACTGGATGGAAATTCACAGATGGTGAATTGCTAGATTATTGAGCTGAAGTAAAGTAAAGTAAGGTGAGGTGAAGTGGTGTTTTGTTTGTTTGATTGATAATGCAACCGACACAACAACCTCTTATGCAGCCGCTTATATAACGTGGTACGACGATACACAAGATAGGATTAGACGCCATGCTTATGCTTCTCGTGGCACATTATCAAGGCATACATAGGTACCTAAAGGCGGCTTATCATCTTGGACGTTTAGATACAGATAATGGTCCATCTATCATGAAATCTTACATACTGATAAATATTCCACAATATTACTCGTACAGTAAATAAATATCGTAATCAACATCTAAAATCCCAACTCCAAACCCCATCAAAAAACCCATCGATATCTCAAACCCCTCAATAATAAACAACCCCTCCCTCTCCAATAACCTATTCCCACATTTCACTCCCGAGGTCCTTAAAGAATAGATTATATAATCTGATTACCCCTCCAATATGTAATCATACCATACCAACCATCTGAAGCTTAACTCTACCCCGGCCCCAAAATCCCCACGAACACTACAAACACTACCCCCAAAAGAACAAAATATAATCCAGCCACTAACAACATTATAGAAATAGAAATACATGTCGTAATTCCCATTCTCATTCTAGTTGTCGATATATCTTCTGCTCTGGGACTAGGGGGATGGTATAAACGAGGCTGGGTTGGTAAAGGGAGATTTAGGAGGGGTGTTCTTTCGGTGTAGGAGGGTGGTCGGGAGGTATAGTTAGAGGTATACGGTGGTGGGGGATCGATCATGGTTGGATTTAGGTTGGATTTAGGTTGGATTTGGGTTTGGGTTTGAGTTTGAGTTGGATGGGGTGAGGGAGGGGTAGGAGGAGGAGAAGGGAGGGATGCAGTAAGGGAAGAGCATATACAGAATGATAGAAGAGGAGAATGAGTACTATTGTTAGATTTTGATTACTATCGTCTTGGTAGGTAGTCATTACATTCATATTCGCATTGTGATTGGCTGTATATTTAAGATCTGACAGCAACTGGATGTCACGAGGAGTGGCTGATGGATTGTGGGGTATGGAACTAAAGTAGCTAAACATAGAATTTCACATGCAGGTATGGTACGCATCGATTAAGAATTTTTTCTTGATTCAAAGCATGAGAGGAGTAGTATATATTCGTATCATACTCAAAATTCAAGTACAAAGTAACAACAACTAACCGAACAAAATCCCTCCTCGCTTCCACTCGCAAACCCCTAATGAACTACTCCCTAAACTCAGCCAATTTCTTCATACCACCAACAGGGTACACCGGCATCCAAGTAGTCTGCAACAACTTCTTCTCCACAATCTCCTTCTTGTACTCCTCTAGCTCCTCCACATCCCAATTAACACCGACCATGGAGCCCCTCAAAAAATCCGCCCTCTCCTGCACCAAATAAAGGGCCAACATACCCGTCAACTCCACATGATCCAGCGCACAAGCCTTCAAAAAATCCGGCACCATCTTGGTAGCCGCGACTCCAGGCATAGTGGTAAAGACGCGGAGAGAGGGATTTTCGGAGGCGAGGAACTCGGAAAAGCGCTGGTCACACAGTTTAGAGATACTGTATGCGGAGGTGCCGCTGGAAATGGTGAGACCAGCTGTTAGAGAGCTAACGTTGATTATTGTGCCCGTGGGAGTTTTGGGCGTAGGCTGCGACGCTATGTAGTGGTGCGTCATCTGATAGAGACCTTTGAGATTGATATCCTGGGTGATGCCACAGTTAGTTTTCTCTTCTTTTAACCATCTCATTGGAATCAAATCCGGCGGCGTGTAGGAAGAACTCACGAGTATTTTCCACCATCTGCTTGGCTCCGTCTCTCCAATGAGCTGTTCAGATTCCAAAAATCCGGCATTGTTCATCAATACATCTGCATGTCTTCCAAATTCCTTTTGGACAGTTGTGTAAAGATTTTTCACATCATCTTCATTTGCAATATCGACTTTCACAGCCAGAAATTTGGTTTGAGGACTAAGTGGTTGAAGTTCCTCAATGAGGGAATTCATTGCTGGGAGTCCACGAGCTGCGAGCACGATACCCGATGCGTGGGCTTCGGCCCATACTTTTACTGCTGCCTTGTTTGGTATTAGATGATCGGATGCGGAAACGCAGATTGTATGTTGGAGTATATGGGAAAGGAAGTACTTACAGCTCCAATACCAGAACTAGCTCCTGTGATGATAATAATCTTACCAGTTTGAAGATTCGCTGGGTTTTTAGGATCGATAGCCCAGTAAGGATCTCGATGAAGAGTTTCTGTGATGTTCCAAGGCGTAGTGAACGCATCGGGATCTAATTCTTGAGCCATCTTGTTCTTTGCTATTGGTTTGTGAGAGCTAATGATTGTTCAGACTGGACGTGCGAAGCGTGTGCGAGAGCTAAAGTATTATATACAATGGATTTAATAGATAGTTCAATAGAAATTCTCAAGATGAGGATTCGCGGTAAGTTTACTTCTTTATAGCAAGCACAAGTCCAAGATCTATATAAAAAAAAGATCTACGGAAACCTCCCCCTCGGAGTATATGGATTGGCGATATTTTCCGTTCTCTATTTCCATTCTCTATCTCCATATCCTACTTCTAATCTGGATGACAGAAATGCCGAAACCTTATAAAGTATTGTGGAGAGGTTGGATCTCTGTTTCTATCATAGTCAAGACAGACTATTTTGTAATCGGCTACCCGGAACTAGTTTGTATCCGGGACAAATGAAGACCTACTATTTTGTCGTCGGTTACCCGGAACTACTCCATAGCCGGGGAGAATTTACCTGCTTTAATTTTATAATATTGAATATAAGATAAGTTTGGGCCTTTCAGCGTTACATAATTCAAAATGTAAAGCAAATTTTTGAATTTTGTATGTATTCTAGCTCGCATTGTGTAAAGGCAAAATGGTAGGGTAAATTGAAGCTATCTTGAGATCGATTGACCTCGTCGTCGCTCTTATCGTCGACTTTCATTTTTGAGATTTTGTCTTTGGTGATTAACAAGCATTCATTGATTAATCATCAAAGAGATAGAGCTTTCTAAATAGTCAATGTGCATAACGTAAGGTTTTGATGGGATAATCTATTTTTCAGGAATATTCGCTTTTCGCGACTGCTTTATAATCGGCCTATTCCAAGTAGCCGAGTATTGGAACAACAGCGAAAGTCTAATAAATTATTGTTTGAGAAATCTACACTTGATGATCTCATTCCATCAAAAATAATAGAGAAGCGCGGTGTGTACAAGAATACGCTGCAAATTATATAATCAACCGATAATCAATCTGATTGGTATACCCAGTTACTACACTTGGTCTAGCCGAAAAGACAACGTAACAAAAGGGGGAGCCGATCCATTTTAAATCCAATTATCCGAAGGTCCGAGACCGCGAGTTGTGGTTGATGAAGGATATGAATGAGAAAATGTTTATCTCAGACTTATCAAAAATAAAATATTTGATTGGTCATCTACGTTTGCACGCGCATTATCATAACTCCATGAGGCTCAGCTCAGCCCAGCCCATAACCATTGAACGCTGGATACTTTTGTGTTTCAACTCTAATCTTCCTCCTCAACATTCTCCTCAATTACATCTCCTTCACCATCATCCTCGAAACTACCAGCTGGGACTTGATACAGTCTTAAGATTGGCTTGTTTGGATCTTTGACAAGTACGTACTTGCCTTCCTCACGCTTCAAGCACATATCAACGATGGTACGAACAATACCCCAACCGTTGGATAGAGATAAGTTCATTTGCGAGGCAAAGTCTCGTGGCTTCCATCCAATGACTCCGAGAATCACATGACGATCGTTGAGCTTTGGGTTTGCACGGGAAACAAATCTATCGAGAATTAGTATAAAATGGGGACCATGAAAGAAACAAATACATACCCAAGTTTCATAACATCGGCCTTAGCGATGATACTCTGGACTGTCCATCTTGCAAGCTTGCAGCTGTTGTTCTTCATCTCAGTTGCAACAACGGCACCACGTTGACTAACCAACTTTGTCCTCCAGTCCAATGCACCTCCACTTCCTTGTGCTTTGGAGTCAAACTCGTTAAGAGCCTTGACAGTCAAGTATTGATCTTCTCCACTGATGGCGTTCTTTGAAACGGCATCAATCTCAGTTCGTACAACCAAGTGAACTGGATCTTCGTCGTTCAAAGAAAGATCGAATTTACGGTATTTGTATGCTTTGCTTGCAGGTGGGTCGGTCTCTTCCGAGGGGTTGTAGAATGGATTCTCGTGCTCCATTTCTACCTTTTGACTATCACTCTCCTTCATGACTTGGTTTGCGAAATTGTGGTTGATGTATGTAGCTTCCTCGGCCAAAGCACTTGGCTGGTTAATAGCGTCCTTGCTACCCTCCGAGGCATCCATTGGAGCATCAGCAGCATTCTCGTTAACTGTAACCATATCGAGTGTCGCGTTATCTCTTTTGTCGAGGAAGACCTTGTTGCCTTGTCGAACGATAACGATATCCCAAGGATAGACTGATCGAGGAGAACACATAAGCATGGAGAGAATGCTGTCCGTTGCGAAAATCGTAGCCTCATCCTTCTCGGCAAGTTCTTGAATGACAGGATCTGAAGAAGTAGTAACGTTGTACGAAGCGCGGTCGACCACGTTGAGCTTTCTTTCGGCAGCCTTGACAGGTTGCTTGTCGAATGCTCGATCGTAGTAGTAGAGGAAACCATAGCTATCAATATCTTCTCCATCATCTGTGTCGAGGTTAAGCTTAGCCAGACGGTTGAAATCAATCTCCTCCAACATCTTCCAGTCAGGCTTAATGTTAACAGAGGCATCGCGATTCCTTTGTGGCTTGTCGTAATCTTTCCAGCCAAACTTTCTTCCACCTCGAGCACCACCTCTTCCACCTCGGGTATCGTAGCTGCTATAACCTTGCTGTCCACCTCGTCCTCCAACTCGCTGGAATTGACCTCTGCCACCACGGGTATCAGCCCTTCCACCACGTTGTCCACGTCCTCGAGTGAAAGTTCCTCCGCGTCCAAAGCGGGTCTTGGTAGAATCACGGGTGTTGCTAACAACAGAGAAGGTAGATTCGTCCTCAGCGAGTTGGACTGCGAATAATGAGGAGGTTCCAGCGCCGTAAACTTGTTGATCTAGTTGCACAAAAATATATTAGCACAAAGAAACCAGATCAACCTAGATTTTCAACCTAAATGTCGGATAAATGACAAATAAATAGTAGATAAGTTTGAGGTATAGATCGCACCTCTGTAGTTCCGATTGTACTGTTGTCTCCCACCTCTGCCATCCCTCCCATCTTTTCCTTCAGCTGTCCAATCTGCCATGCGACCTAATTTATCGCCTTTGGAGTATGGGGCGTAAGGAACTCCATTTAATGTGGTTTCTGATGTGGTTGTTGGTCCCCATGAGTCCTCTGATGGGAGCGCAGAGATGATTTCTGAGAGTGAAATGGGCGCCATGATTGCGGCGAAAGATTGACGTTGAGATATGAAAGACAGGAAAGGTTCAAATCTACAATGATGAATTCGTCGAATATTTCGATTTGTGGAGGAAAATCTTAGCGGGGCAAAAGTTCGCGATGGTAGCCTTAATTGGCGCCTTGAAATTAAGTCCAATAATCTGGTGACCTTAACTTCTTTGAATTCACGTGATAAGGTAAGATTCTCGTTTGATATGATCAGAGCATGAGAGCATGAGCCTTTTGGTTAGGAAGAAGCATAATATAGTACTGGTTCTCTAATACTGTTATGCTATTCCAAAAGATCGTTTGTATCGCCCATATATTATCAAAATCGTGACTGCTGAACCCATCAGATTATTTTCAACGTCCACAATGAGGCTGGGCTGGCCGCTTTGTCACAAGTAAAGTGTTATTATTACTATTATACTTGTCACCAAGCCAATGATTTGGTTAGTCCTTGTAATTTTCTAGCTGGATATGAAGACAAAAAGTCTGTGACGACTTTTAACATCACAAGAGACTGCGACACATTCCTGTGTGACTTTCCTTACAATCGCCCGCAAACAGCTCAAGGTATACGCACTGGAAAGTGTGATCAGAATCAAATGCTTTCCTCGATCAATCAAAACCGAGTTAGCCTGCGCTATATGCCCACACCTTTCACCATCTAACTAGTAAAAGACCTCATCGGAGCTTCCGAAACCTCAGTCCCAAACATCTTACAATCTCCGGGTCCAGGGAATCTCCCCTAATTCTCCCTCACATTTTTCTTGAAACCGAATCCAACATCACCTTTTCAAAAGCTTTGGATGTTTTCTCATCTTCAGATACCATTCCGCGATACACATCGTAACCGATATCTCTATGGATTATGCCGTAATAAACACTGACTTTGATGGTTCAAGTCTGGTTCTTCCGGGGATGAAACATCGTGGGCAGTGCCGATAACGTAGTTTTAGGCTATGGCATTTGGAAAAGGAGCCTTGTAGGGAGGGGATGAATGGTTTCGTTGTAGGTTTTGAGTTCAGAAGGGGCGAAACCTGGTTTGTGGGTTGAAAGGCATTTAGTAGGAGCGAAGGCATGGTAATATCGATATAATGAAGGGTGAAAGGGTGTCAAAAGATAATTGGTTTTTTTGGGGCGGGGGCGCCACGATATGTGCTTGAAGTTTCGTTCAGAGTAGTGTAGTTGGTTACCTTGGATATGTTGAGAATGAGCTGCTATCGTACTGCTAGGCTAGAACTAAATGCGTTATGATGAGTGAGAGAGGCTGAGAAGCTAACGTAGATGTTCTCGTATAACTAATATGATCTCGGGAGTAGAAAGTATCTTTGCTGCTCTTCATGGCTCCATTCTTTAACTGAGAGGGAGTACAAACCACCAACAAACCACCAATAAGCAGCCAACAAACCAACTTATATCACTGCGTACATTAAATATGCAACTTGTATTGAGTGGAATCAATGGATGCGTTGCCCCCAGATTCGAAATAGTAATCATCACTTGATGCCCTTCACTTAACCAAAACTTTATTCTTTGACTTTCCAGGTTGAGTTTGATATAGCAAATCAGATTTGGGATAGTTTTCACTAGACAGTCTGTAATCCCTGCCAGGGATCGTCGAGGAGTCAATTCTTCAACAAAATCAATTAGACTGATCTTCATGTCATAACTGTAGATTGAAACTTGAACGACAAGATGAAATATCAGATTTCGGGAACAGCACTACTCTCACCAAGATATTACTTTGTGGGCACTGCTAAAACATTTCTCGCTACAAGAAACTCAGTAAAAGACGAGCAGAATTCAAAGCAGAGGATTTGGTGGAGTGAGTCCCAAAGGAGTCTTCAATGTCAATAGGAATGTGACGATTCATAGGTATCGATGACAATTTCGTTCATAGCTCCAAATATGGCAAGGTGATTTGAGGATATTTGAGGATATTTGTAAACTTTCAAGATCTAGCAAGAGCCTTCCATACACTCTATGAATCATTGATTGTTCATGGCCTGGTGATCAAGCAATAATGTTGATTGTGTTTGTTGTTTGGCGCTGATTACATAAAAATTGGTTGCGATAAATGGATAAGGTTGGAGAGTTTCAGCCTCGGGCTACAGCCCACCATAAGATCTTACCATGAAATCAACAATTTTAGACAAGATGAAATGCAAATTGGTATTTCATCTCGCTGAAAAGTCCATCACTACATTTACGCACTTACTATTAAAAAAAAATGTACAAGATTGAAAGCTACTACAATAATGGCTCACACCACAAGAGAAAACGTCGAGATCTTGGTTCACACATCAGCACCAAGTCGAGGCCAAGATGATACCCGATACAGAGCATTCGCAAGAGCTTATTTGAATTTCGAGCCTGCAACATATCTACAACTACAAGATGAGCCTCAAGCCAGCGTTGCAAATGACGAAGGGCCAGAGGTGCAGATTGAAGAGGAACTGCACCATGCGACGCAGCAATACGACGAAAATGCGTCTTATTGCCCACCAACCCAAGAACCAGAGACGAATCTAGGGGCATACCGTGAGATCGCCGACGAGGAATTATCCGATCTCATCTACTCACCTCAACTCTCCTTTCAAAGTGTTCTGGATAATCGAAATTCTCCGAGGTTTCGCACTCGAAGCAGGGCTGCAGTGAGCTTGGGAATGCAATCTGGACAGGAAATACCGGGGCAGAGTCAGGTTGGTTCGGAAGTGCACTCTGTAGAGGAAACACCTTGGCGGACTCAGTTTATAGATTCAGTTCCAGCTCAAACACAAGCATCGAGTATAGTCGAAGACTTTCTGCCTGAGAATGACAGACTCCTTGCCCAATTTTCATCGCCAACGCGGATTTTGGAGCTACATGAACAGCAAGGGGAAAGCACACAAGACTCTCCTGTAGTGAGTAGAGAGTCGCAGTTTACCGACGAGAGTAGCTTGAACCTTGAGGTTCCTCAAGCCATACCATTCATTGGTTCCCAGAGTGCTGAAACTCACACCAATCTGGGATTTGCTTCTTCTCTGTCACACAGGCACTTCCCGATAACTTCCCCTCCTCGGCGAGCGCATACAACTCGATTTAGACATATCACTCCATCTCCAGTATCAACTTTTCATACAGACGCATCTAACTCGATGAACTCTAACAATTCTAACAATATGCAGTCTTCGGGACAGGCCGCTAATACTTCAAATCGACGAACAAGTCAGAGAATGGAGAAGGAGATATTAGCGGATTTTACGAATGAAGACTTAAATTTGAGCGAATTTTCGAATAAGAGGTCGATATCTGGTATACCGGAAAGATTAGAAACATCTAGCTCGTTGCCCCAACATGCGAACAGCAAGCGACGGCGGGTCGATTTTCCGTCGTCAGTAGACAAGAGTCCCAAAAGTCCCAAGAGGGTTAAGCTGTTAATATCCGATACCACTGCTGAGGCATCTTCCAGATCTCTTCCTTTATCACAGACACGTGCTACATCTATAGCCCGCGATGCGCCGGTTATTTCAGGCACCATAGCTCCCATGTCAAGCTTGGTTTCTTCAAAGTCTTTGGCAACATGCATCATTCCTTCATTTATACCCCAAACTTCGTCCTGCGATCTCACGCCAGCTAATCTTGTTACGACTTCACTAGGACGTCTTGTTTCAATTCACCAACTACGAGCAGTTTACAAGCCTACTTTGCAGATCAGACCTTGTCGCCCTTTTGAGCGCGGATATTGGCTTGTCGATATAAAAAACCTCGACGATCATGTCAAACAAAATCTCTGGTCTTACCTTTTCAGACACATCTCCAAAGGTGATTCAGGATGGGGTGTATCGGCGGAACGTACAGATGATTGGAAGAGTGTCAGGGTTAATTGCTGGGGCGGATTGGTTAAAGAAATATACACTCTATTGTTTATTGCTAGTGAATCGAAGATGCAAGTTGGGGATGCATGTTGGAAAGACGGTGGCGGAGAGACTGTGATTTCCTGTTAGGCATCATCTCCGACCTTCGACCTTGGATATTCTAGGAGCTTGAAAACGGGATGCATTCAGCGATAGAACACCACTATGGCCGATAATCGGGATATAAGGGTCGGATTTCTTGGAAGACCACCAGGGGGCTCAGACATGTGACCATGTTTAATCGCCGCAAATCGGCAAAGTGGCCAATGATTTTAAATCCTACTAAAATCACTCCTATTTGCTATCTATCTCGAAAAGGACAGACGAAAAGCTACCAGAAATTCGCTATTTATACTCATCCTGTGCCACTAACCGTTATCATTTCCAGGTGTTGCTTTTCTGCGACTTTAGAGCAATTTTAGTCTCCAAAGAGCTAGAACTCCACCCGCATTTACACTACTGCACGTCATTGATCCACTTAGCCATTCTAGTTTCGACTTAGAGTCATGAATTTGTCGATGAAGACATGAAGATCACTACTGACACTCGGGCATTCCTTGTAACAAAACTGGGTGATGATATGACCAACCTCCAGAATACAGGGTTTGCGAGAAACATACAGCCATAATGCGGCTGATCAGTCTACGGTACCAGGCTCTCGTTGCGTTCCCGACTTTATTTTATTGCCCCTCTTGCCGATGTGCCCAGTACATTCTTTTATGTGAAAGTCTCTCGCAGATGAAATATTTCATAGTGGGTGGCTGAGCAGCCTTATGGTAGGTAGTCATTTTTTTTTGCAGAAGGTTACACATACACACATGTATGCTCAAGCTTGCACATGTCATGAAGTGAGGTAAGCCTGAGCGCTAAAAAAAAATCTAACGGCGTTGCATTGCACATCAAAACTTGACATTTGGTTAGTTTACTAGGGATATCTAACTGGGCATATCCATCTTCTTGAATGGGGGTTTTAAATCCTATTGGCTCGTACAGCTTTATCAATTAATGAGCTGCTGTAGTTAAACCAGCTAACTCTTGAAGTTCCTATAGATACATTTTAGATCATCCTCCAAGCCTCCTAGGGCATTCTAGATTATGACTGAGGACAGTCGTCATAATGACGAACTACCTAGGGGCCTAGTACATAAGTATACTGACACTGTGTTCTCAATTTAACTTGGGCCGTGCTACCTACTCTCATTTTCCACTATTGATAAACTACACTCAGCAAAATGGTCTCTAGTGATCGGGATGACCATGCGACCGCGCAACATCAAGCTGTCACTGAGCCGCCAGCAAGAGTGGAAAACGAAAGGAGAGTCCTGCCACAACCCCCAGCAAAGCTGCAAATCATTGTCGACGAAACCCAGGTTAGTATTGAAGAACTACCTGTTTCAAATCGAACTCACTATCATGACCTGTCAGATAGCTACTTCTACAGGCCCTTGGATCCCAAGTCCGAGGGCCCTCTGACTTTCACATCTGAAACCTTGATGAACAATGTCCAATGGTGGTCACATGACCCTCCAGAGGAACTCTTATTTGACATTGAAAGTATTGAGGCCTCTGGCAAATATGGTCTTCCGGAGCTCGAAACACTTCTCACCAACCCCGTAAGAGCTAGTACGTCACAAGGCCAGCTTTGTAGAGCAGAGACAACTCAGAAAAGCACGACTGCGTCAGCAGCACTTAGAGAGAGTCCAGAAGCGTCAAGTTCGTCTAATACCGCTGTAGCAGGACTATCAAGACCAAGTCTTCAAGTAAGTAGGGCAGCACATTATCCGCCCAACTTTAGTCATTTACTAATAGCGTACAGACAAGCGCAACAGAGGAAGATACTTCGAGTAATGAGCAAAATCAACAAAATCGCGTGATCAGCCAAGGATCAACGAAGACAAATATGACCTCCGATTCAGGATACATGTCTGCTGCAGAAAGGTATCGTTCAAGATCAAGCTCGAAAGACCCGCAGCAGGGATACACCAAGTTGCCCACATTTGCTAGGTTTAGGAAGTTGCTTAAAAAGAGGGAGATTAAGGACAAATCTGTAATGAAGGAGCTGAATGAGCCTTCTAAGTATGGATCTTGATATTCCAAAAAAGATTTCTGCTAACGGAGTAAATAGAAACTGTGTTTCTTGTTTGGATGATTTTCCGGAGGATAAAATGGTGAGTTTGGAATGCCACGGATATTGCAAAGAATGTTTCCAAACGCTAGTGATGTAAGCTCTCTCTGAAAATACTCATCTTTAATTAGCTAACATGTGACAGTGCTGCCATGGAGACAGAGACGATGTGGCCTGTGAAGTGCTGTCGGGAAGAGATATCACATGCAGTCATCATGAAAAATGTAAACGCAGACCTAGCACAAGAATTCCAAAGAAAAGTTTTGGAAAGAAAAGTGCCTGCCGGAGATCGAATCTATTGTATCAAACCAGGATGTGAAGCATGGATCCCTAGCAAGTGGTTTAACAAAAGTCTCAAATGCGCATCTTGTCCATCCTGCAACACAAGGGTTTGCACTGCATGCAGGGGTTCATGGCATGCGGATACGGAATGTCCCAATGATAGAAATTTGCAAGCTACTTTCAGATTGGCATACGAGCAAGGATGGAAGAGATGTTATAATTGCTATGCTTTCGTCGAACTTAACACGGGTTGTCGCCATATTCAATGCCGTTGTAGAGCTGAATGGTGTTACATTTGTCGTGCCAAATGGATGACTTGTCAATGTACAGAAATGGACCATCTCGTGAGGAGGCTTGACACAGAACAAAGACTTCTAAACGCCGCCAATCCAACTGGGCAAGTAGCAGAACGAATCAGGAGAGAGGCAGAACACGACCTAGCTGCTCGGCAGTTAAATGAAGATTTGGAACGACGACAAGCCGAAGAACTAGAAAGGGAAGCCGAGATTCGGCGTCGCCGAGAGGAAACAAGATTTGCAGAAATAGCTCTCATGTTTGGGCAAATAAGAGAAGAGCTAGAGGTGTTACATTCCTCTCAGAAATTACGTCTTGCATCTCGCTCGCAAAATGAGTACCGACTATTACAAGAACAAGAGCTACGGTTGAACGAATTACGGTTTCTCAATACACGCGAAATCAACGAATTGGATACGGAATACAAGAATGAAATGTCAAAGTACGAACTGCGTTTCCTGAATGAATACAACGAGCTTGAACGAGAGGAAGTTCGCCTTGAGAAGGAAACTTCAGAGGGGATTGAAGCATTTTGGAAAGACAAACCGAATGCTGTATACGAAATCAAAGCTGCGAAAGTTTCACATCAAGCGAACTCTATTGCAAAGTTCAGGAAATGGGACCTTTATAGGAAAACCACTTTACAGAACCTCGTCGAATACTTCGAAGCAGAGAAATCATCACTATCCAGGGCTCAAAATGCGATTATGGCCACTACCACATGGAGAATAGGAAGTGGGTGGAGAGACTGGGCGAGAAATAAAGTCGCCGAGGTCAAATGGTTTGAGGCTGTCATCGCAGAGAGAGAATCTGTGTTACGAGCTTTAGAGAATCTGCAGTATAAAATGGCTATAGAAGAATCTGAAACAGGTATAGCACCCTAGAGTTCGTTACTGTTAGCACGAAGGTGGAGGTTAGAGTTCGACATCAATCTCATCATATATTACTACCTGTGCGGGGTGATAGAATTTTGTCCTATTGTTCCGTCATACGTCGTGTTCGAAACATCTGTATCGGAGATCAACACGTGATAGTATGGATTCACAGGATGGTATGGGAGCCAATAGGGTAGTTTTGGATGGCATTTATCGAGCACCGGAGATCTGCTGCTCATAAACCATGTACAGAGTCGGAGATTAATTTCGTTTTTGTATGTATTTCTTATTATAGTTATACCATCGTCGTGGATAGATCAGACAGGGTTACAATAATTTTATCAATGAAGATCATACATCGCGAAAGAGTGGCGTCTGCAAATCTACACTTTGTATTTTTAATATGTGTCTCTGTGGGGATTGTAATATGTGTGAGTATATATGAGTTCATCCCGTTGAAAGAGAAATTACAAGCGAAACTTTCTTTTTCATCCATTCTTTTCTCTTCCCTTCCCTTCATTGGCCATACCTCACTTACCAAAAGCCAAGATGGTCCAGTCATTCTTTACATTCTTTTCTTTTCTCGTATGCGTCAACTCTGCATTGTGAGTTCTTAGTCCTCTCCTCTCTAGTACTTCAACAAAAAAGCTAATCCTCTCACTTATCATCTAGAATTCCATCCCCATTACTCAATCGCGATGACACACCCAGCTCAGTAGCTCCAGCACCATCACTTCCCTCATGTGCACTTTCCTGTATCGCATCAGCAGTTGCCTCTCAAACAACTTGTGGTGCGGCAGATTTAGCTTGTCAATGTGATCCTGATAATGCGAGTTTAATTCAAGGGGAAGCGACGAGTTGTGTTCTTGGTGCTTGTGGGATTGAGGAGGCTCTTCGTTAGTATTGTCTTTTTTTTTTTTTTTTTTTTTTTTTGGTTTTCTAGATAACTGAAGATTCATGCTGATATTTTAATGTTATACAGAGGTCCTGAATGATGCTACTGCGGAATGTTCTTCTGTTCTTGCGGCTGAAAGTGCTACTGCTAGTACGAAGCCTTCTTCAACAGTACCACCTGTAGTTCCATCCGCAGCTCTTACTTCGTCGCCTCTCGGCACGTCAGCAACCTCATCATCACTCCCCCCTACTACATCTTCTCCCCTTGACTCCGGTTCCCCATCTACAGCTCCATCTGCACTCCCATCATCAGCAGCCCCATCATCCATCCCCTCCTCAACACCAAATACATCGCCAAACACCACATTTATTATTCCAGCTTGTGCGCTTGGATGCATTCAAAACGCGATTAAGTATACCGATTGTGCATTTGCGAATTTGACATGTCAATGTGAAAAGGAGAATGTTGGGGTTATTCAGAGTGCGACTGCTAATTGTGTGGTGGAGAGTTGTGGGGATCAGGGGGATTGGATTGCTGTTGGTTAGTGTGTTTCTTTTCTTTCTTTTTGTTGTGGTTTTGTTTTTTAATGCTCTTGTTTTATTGGGAACATCACAATTTTGAAAAAGAAACTTCTTCGATCCAAATCATGGTATCTCACGATATATATGTTGGATTTCAAGGGAAGAACAGGTAATTTCATTCGTTAGAATGTAATTATCGATTCTAAAGCCAACACTTTCAAATGACGAAACTTTGGTGTGTTTCAAGGTACGAAATCAAAAAGCTAACAATGTATAGATGTCCAAAGAGGGCAAACTGATAACTGTACCTCATTATCACCTCCTTCTGGTTCAAACTCCAGTTCCAGTTCATCATCAATAACTGGCTCAGCAACGGCTAATTCACAAACACAAATAAGTCTCACAGGCAACCCATCTGCGGTATCTACAACAGTGCATCCATGTGGACCTCCTATTCCCGATTCCTCAACTACATCTACAGCCTCAAGTCTGAGTTCATCAGATCCTTCTGATCCAGGAAACTCTGCTTCTTCAACAAATCCAAGTGGAAGCTCCCCTACAGATCCTGGTGGCGATGGAGGAAATGTTCCATCATACTATTCATATCCTTCGGGACCAAGCCTGACGGATCCACTGAGTTCGCCCACTTCTAGCGGTGGAGATCCATCAGCTGCTGCTTCTAGCACACCTACTGATTCGGGATCAGCTTCTTCAACTAATACTAGTGCAGATCCATCTGGAGGTTTTACATCTACACCAACCAGTCCCAGTTCAACAACAAATAGCGGTTCTTTCCCATCGGATGGCTCATCTACTCCAACAGATCCCGGATCCACTTCTTCAACAAACGCAAGTATAGATCCATCTGGAGGTTTTATATCTACAACAACTACTCCAGGGTCATTCTCTTCAAGCAGTTCTTCAAACCCGACAGATCCACCAGGAAGTACTGATCCCTCTGGAGCAGCTTCAAGTACATACCCTGGAGACCCATCTGCTGCTTCGAGCACACCTCCTGCAGGCAATGGAAATGGTAGTTCTCCAAGTTATGGATTTGGTTATGGTGGTTATTATCCTTCTAATACGCCTACGCCTACTGGGACTGGAGATAATCCAGGTAATCCTGATTCTTAGGGGAGTGCTAGTGCTAGTGCTTCTCTGTCTTTATCCTCTTCTGCTACCGGACCGGCTTCTTCGAGTAGTCCTAGTACTTCTGGAAGTTCTGAGAGTCTGAGTACGATTGGTGGTAACCCTTCTTCACCAAGCACAAGTGGAGGTAATTCTTCATTTCCAAGTATAACTAGCAGTGATCCATCATCACCAACAACTTCAGGCGACCCAGAAAGCCCGTCAAGCGTCCCATCAGGAACCAATACATCTCAAACCACTAGCTCAAATTCTGCACCTCCTCCTCCAGGATACTACGGCTATGGTCCATCACCATCACCATCATCACCCTCATCTTCACCTTCAACAACCTTCACATCCCCCTCCACTCCCGCACTCCCATCCACATCCCCCAATTCCTCCTCCTCACCTCCCTTCCGTCTCACACTCCTCCCATCTCACTACACCCTCCTAACATACATCATGCGCGTATATTTCAACATCTCTCCCCCATCCCCTTACATCTCCTCAGGGGGGCTTACAACCACCAATCGATCTTCCGCGTGTATTTTCACCATTACATCTTCGGGCCTACTAACCTGCGAATCTTCTACCCCTTCAAAGATCCCTCATTCTTCCATTCATTATTCTTCGAATAAACTCCCCCGCGAACTGACATATTTCGGTGATCAATTTTCTAGCGTCTGGAAGACCGGTTACACGATTCTTAGCACGGAGAATAAATTAAGTGATATGGGAAGTAAAGATTTAAATGGAACTTTGGTTGTGGATACCACGAGTGAGTATCCGTATGGAAGTTTATTGCGGTTGGTTAATGGGGAGTTTTTGGGTAATGGTATGATTTTTCCTTTTTCCTTTTTTCCCCTTTTTCGTTTTTACTCTTCGGAGTTTTCTCCCTGGAGTGTTGTGAATGATAATTATACTTATAAATGGGATATAGATAATCAAGCGCGGTTTTGCGCTCAATGTCAAAGTCAAAGTCAAACGAAAAATACGTATACATATACGTCTTCCAGCGATTCGGAGGGACAAACGGGATCACAAGCAGGATCACAATCACAAACGCAGGGAGATGCATTTGAAGAGGGATCAGCAGTTCGTGTGTATATTAATGGGACGCAGAATTTACCGGTGGGCTGTGTGGAGGTGCGGCTTGTGGTTGAGTGGGTGGATAGTGAGGAGCTGGGGGAGACGTTGGGGTATTCTTAGATGGGGGTTGGGTTGGGTTGGGTTGGGTGATATTTGAGGATGGGAATGGGAGAAAGGGATGATGGGAAAATTTTAAAGTGAGTGGGGTTATATGATAGGATGGATATATACATGGACATTCATTTTAAACTACTTATTTATGTCTTTTATTTTACTTAGTCATGTTTTGTTTCCTTCGAGAGAGTTGGAGGAGAGGTAGATATAATAACATCTAAATCACAATTCGAAGTCCTAGGATCATATATAGTCTTAAATAGACTTATTAAGAAAGAAAAATGAGTTACTTTACTCTAATTAATAATACTAGTACAGTTATAAATGTATATTTTCATGATATGAATATAATTTCTGATATGTTTATGATATCTAAATTATTTGTTATAATCTTCCTGTGGGTGGATTTTATCTTCTTTTAAGATTTTGAGTAATTTGAGACTTGTAAGATCTTAGATTAAAAAACAGAAGGTCTTCTTGGAGATTGATGTTTATTCAAGAAGGGTGGATTAATTCAACTTGGGTGAGCGAAAGATGTTATATATAAGATCTTATAAGTTTAATTAAGTAGATATACCTCAAAAGCTATTTGAGAAACAGTAGATACAGACAGGATTATAAGCTTGGTCACTAATATCGAGAAATATCAGTAATTATAAATCAAATAAATGCAAAGAAAAAATGAGAAAAAATTTAAAAATCAAAATCAATTACGCCATGCACCATTTCTTTTTTATACCAAAGTTCCAGCGCTATGCTATACCATGGTGTTATTCATCTATTTCGCTATCCTCCCGGTACCCATTCCCAACTTCTTTTTGTATGTCCCGTCCAATCCGACCCATGCCATACCATCCCATCCTATACCATGCTATATCCCACCATGCCATTCGAAACCCATATACACAAGTATATACCTCAAAGTTGAAACAACCTACATGCAATCTCCACAACAACATACTTACCAACACCGCAGAGAAAAAGAAAAACAAAAACAAAAAGAAAAAGAAAAAGAAAAATATAATGTCTAATAATACTTAGGTACTCACATAAAAGAATCAAAATCTCTTTTCTTTATCCCTTTCCCCCCCTTTCCCCTCTTCCCCTTAGAAGATCTCATATTAAATTTCCCAACACGATCTTTCTTTTCCTTAGAACCACTAACAGATCTCAATCTCAATCTCAATCTCAATCTCAATCTCAATCTCAATCTCAATCTCTTCCTAACCATAACCTTTCTAATTTCCGTCATTCGTCTTATTACCCAAGAATTTTTTTCCTTAACAAAAAAAGGTTCTTGGACTGTGGTAATTATAATCATTAGAATAATTTTCGTAGATCTTTTTGGCGAGACAAAAGTTTTGATGATTTTGGTTCTTTGGGTGGTGATTAGACCTTGGGTGGTGGTTGAAGTGTTTGATACTACTGCGGCGGTTGAATTTGGGTTTCTTGTTGGGAGACGGGTAATTGGATTGTTGGTTCTTGTTCTTGTTCTTGTTGTTGGTAGTGGTAGTGGTGGGGGAGATTGTTGGAAGAGAGTGGTGATGCTTGGAAGAGTTACGGGAGGGAGGTTATTGCTATTGTTACCACCATTGCATGTTGTATTTGTCTCGGGAGCTGGAAGGGTTGAAATATTAGATGATGGATCGGAGGTGGATGAGGAAAAGTTTGAAGAAGAAAAAGATAAATTGGGTGGCTCCATGAGCTTCATATTTTCAATTTTCGCCATCTATATAAGAAACTAATCATCAATTTCCGCGCCAACGTTGTAGGTACTGTTCAACTGAACAGTAAAGTAGATTGTTTGTGATGTAAAGCTAAAGCTTAGAAGATTACAATCAGATCGTTTTGAAGAGTAGGATGATTGAGTGCGAGTGATAGTAGTAAAATTATTTTTCGGAAAGATGACTTATATGCAAGTCATTCGGAGCTTTAATTTTTTTACAACAAGCATCCAACAGGGCTTTCATAACAGGCGCTATCAAATTTTCAATCCAATTGAGGCTAGTAGCAAGAAAAGACCTGAGTTACAATCTCTACTCACAAGTAAATTGGCCTCGGGAGGAAGATACCGGTCAATGGTAACCGTCAAGGAGACCACAAGCGCGCTAGGAAGCGGTTGAAGTACATCGAAAGGCATAGATTTATGCCTGGATATCAATTAAACCTTTTTTGCATCCGGAAAACAAGCCATAAGAGACTACTAGGAAAAGATTGGACGCCGTAAACGCTAAAACAGCAAATGGGTCATAGGGCAAATCGCACTGGCGAAGTCTGGATTTCTCTAGTGGAATAATCGACATCGACTTTCGACTTAATATTGAATTTAATACCGAGGTTTTCTCAACGCCACTTGAATTTGATTTTTCGATCAAATAGCTCGAGGTCTGTACAGCAGGGTATTTAAATCTTCTAGAACAGTGGACTTCCAGACACTGATCACGCACAAACGCGAATAAATATCAAACAAGAGCCCATAAAAGCTTAAGTTGGAGCCTTTCAAGATGGCCGCGTACCCCAACACTCACACTCGCAAGCTTAGCCATTGATTCTTTGACAGAAATGGAATACACGGTCTATTTAAGTCCATTTTCTTCGCAGCGACTTCGACGACCCATGATTAAAGGCATGCGGGGAAATATTGATTCGGGACAAGTCACCCTTGGAGGCCATTATCGAAATAAGATTCGAATTCCCTTATGGGTTTTTGAGATTTTCGTGAGCGTACACGCATATTGAAGGTTTGACATGGTAACTTGCTTGAAGCTTTTCATTGACTGTTGTACTGTACAATCACGATAGGTTTATCATTCTGGACGCCTTGTGAGTACTCGCCGGGCCGCGCAATGATCCATTTTTCTGACTATGTCCATGAGATGCTTTCAGGGTAGAGTAAAAATAGTAAGTAAGATAGGGATGGAGGAGATGAGCGGAGTGTGAATTCATGGAATTCATTCTGAGACTTCTCTGGAGGATGTTTGTTTAATTTCTAGACCTGCTCTTTCCCACTTGGCGTTGAAGCGGTGACCCGAAGAGTCTGGACAAGTGGATATTGCTTGGGATGATTGAGAGATATTGTATAACAAAGAGGCGTTGGCTTAGAGCAGAAAAAGACCAAAGACAAAGCCGTTGTTATCGTATTCGTTTTGTATCGTACTATCGTTGTGTTGATAATGTCCACGGGTCAAATACCGGTAGTCTGACAGGATATTGGAAGAAACATCTAGGTTAAGGTCACGTGATTGGATTGAGCTATGACCCAGGATTACTAATAACAGGTTAAAGGCACTTCATGGACATCTTGATTCTTGATTCACTTCAGTCATTTGGCCACTACCTATGCATTTACAGCTTTCTCTTGTAAAGCTTCAAATTTTGGATTATCCTTTCCATGGCAGGTTCTATCGGGAGATTCCGAGTGATCTCTCACCATCTTTTCTGAATTGTCGATAATGTACAGTGCACAATCCTATCAGGAAAGCCCCTGTTACCAAGAATGATCTTCAAAGGGTAATTCCTGCTCGAATACACCATCAGTAGATCGTTTTAGCTTACTATCCTTGGGAGAAGGTTGAACAGAAGGAGAATAATGGCGCATCGTCATACTATCAGGCTCTCCGAATCTCGGAAATTCGGGCTCTATCCTAGAAGACGTTTACCCAACTTCTCCAGGGAACCTCAAAGACTTTGTCGTCTCCGAGGTGTTTTGCCATCCAATGATCAATGCGCCGCTTTGAACTGCTTGAAAAGTTTAAATTCCTCAAAGTAATGATGCTACTGAGGTCCCGAGCCTTTGGCCCGATTTGATTGGGTGTTAGAAAGTATGTTTAGAATTCAAGAAAAGGGCCCTTTAAATCTTAAGCTTTACCCTCAATCATGTCTCTACACGAATATATACAAATGTGTCAAACTCTCAAAGCAATCATCCGGATATCAACCTTAATTGAACCATACTCAACACTTGAAAGCTCATTTTCATTGAAGTGGCTATTAAAATCCCTCGCAATACCTCAATTCGCTCGCAAATTATCTTCAGCAAGAACTCGATCTCCGAGAGAGAAGACAGCTCCAAAATCCTGTATAATTGCAAGTGGTATGACAAGGAGAAGCTAAACGAGCATCATTGTGTTGGGGAAAAATGATGGCAACTCAACGCGTACCGGGAGGATCTTCAGGCTTGAAATATAAGAAAAAGAATACGAAGCATAACAGCAAGGACAGGTCAACAGGGCCAGACATGGTTTTTGCAGAACTTGGAGCCGTTGAGTTACTTCGGCAAGACTGCAGACCCTCCTTCATTGTTGATCTTATGATGGAAGAAGAAAATTTTGAACTTTGCGTAGTCTTCTCGAACGATGCCTTCAAGACTTATGCTGGTTTTAGAGAGGTTGCTTCATGGCTTTCAGGAAACTCGTGTCAGGGTGGGGAGGCATTTATCAAATGGATATATACTCAACCCAGGATCGCAGTCAATCAATATTGGTTCCGGCAACAAAGGTGGTCAAAGGTTTTGTTAGAGGATCGATGGTGCGTAGTTTCTGGGCATGAAATGGCATTTGCGAAATCTACACGAGAGGATAGCATTCATCCCCAATCCCTTCGGCCAAAGCCGGCACAAAGCAGAAGTTTCGATCTGTGCGAAAAAGACTATGAAATTCCTTTCTCTTTTAATCAGGATGACGTTCCCATCCGAAAGGCACCCGGTTCATTCAATCCTGCGATGGCCGCCTATGCATACTTTACACCCTCTCCTTTGACCTTCGAGACACCCTTTGCCAGCTTCTTTTGCAGCAAAGACTGGTCTTCTACAGCCTTAGAGTCAATCTCGGAACAACTCTTAGATATGACAAGTCTAATCTCTAGTTTTACCCAATTATCACCTATAGCTATGTTCATAATGGATGCAAAGGATGGAAGTGTTGTTTTTGCTAATGAAGCCTGGTACGTCACTTCTCTTTACTCATATATCCATTAGAATTCTAGAGAGCTCGATCATTCAAACCAGAGAATTTGAACTAACAGAATAATTGCATCAAGGACAAGGATCACTGGTGGAACAGTAGAAGAACACGCCAGATTGAAATGGCTCGACTGCGTGGTTGATAAAGACAGGGAGTTTATCGCAAAAGAGTGGTATGAGGTCACTGTCAACAAACGGCCCATTCGTAATCAAGGGAGACTCAAAACGCCTTGGAAGCCTGCAGTCCTGGATCCTGCACTGTTTGGAAAGAATGAAGTCTACTACACCTGGGCAGAATGTCATGCTGTCCCGCTATTTAATAAGGATGGGAACGTGGAACATGTTGTTGGGTGTCTTACTGATATCACACATTTGAGATGGACCACTCGAATGCAGGAACTGAGAGCAAAGGAAGCACTAACGGAAACGCGGCAGAGGGAGGAGTTCATGAAAATGACGAGCCATGAACTGATGAACCCTCTATCAGCAGTCGTTCAAGTAAGCTTAATCGGTTCATTAAACTTTTTGCTCTCACTGCCTGATGCTATTTCCTGATTTCAAACTTTGTTTTTATCTCTTTCATACCCTTCTTCTATTTTTCAATACAGTCTTTATTTCCTCTTTCCTCCTTCACCTTTCTTCTATAGGCAATACTGACTCTCCAATTTTACAGTGTGCTGATACCATTATCTCCAGTCTTGATGAGATTAATAAAACTCTTTCAACCACTCATGACAACGTCCTCCATGATGACAACTCAAAAAGTTACGGAGAAATCAAAACGATTATATTACGCAATATTGAAATTGCGAGGATAATTTTAGGTTGCGGTGAACATCAGAAAAGAATTGTCGACGATGCACGTAAGATGGAAAAACCCAACATCAATCTATTTTGTATTTCACCCATCAGAGCAGAACCAATTCGTGTGGTCGATACAGCTATGACCATGCTCTCGGGCGAAACATCCAAACTAGACATCAGTGTGCAACTCAAGATGGATCCTTCCATGGAAATCTTGGACGCAAGTTGGCTTTGTTTTGATCCTTCCCGATTTTTACAACTCCTTCTCAATTTACTCACCAACGCCAATAAATACACAGAATCATCAGAAACGCGGAAAGTAGTCGTGTGTCTCGGAGCAACAACAGGATCCCCTTACCACAAAGAAATCGGAAGAGATATTCAATACATACCACTCCGCACCGCACGAAATGATCCAACATTAACAGATGCATCCGGAAAAGGTGAAATAGTATATCTTCACTGCTCCATCACCGACACCGGCAAAGGATTAAGCGAAAAAGAAAGAAGAAGTCTCTTTCAGAAACTTTCGGAAAAATTTCTGTGCACCCATACACAATGTGGAGATGCGAGCTTGGGATTACTTATTTGTCGCGAGTTGGCGGAGTTGCAGGGTGGTGCTATTGGGATTGGTTATGTGGATTCACAGACGACGGGGAGTACCTTTGCTTTTTATATCAAGACTTGCCGTTCTGAGGCTTTAGAAATTGATGGTGGGGATTTGAAGTCTGGAATAGCAGGGGAGCTGGCGAGTTTGAAAGGAGACGTTGGGAGGATGGAGGAAGATAAGGATAAGGATGTAATGCTCGATGAGGATGAGGATGTTATTTCGTTGTCGGACTTGGATTTTTCGGAGTCGGACATGACTAGTTCGGGAGAAGTGGTTGGTGTTGGATTGGAACACGGTGGCGGGGTGGATGTTGATAGGGAGGTGGATGTTGATGGGGAGGTGGATGTTGACGGAGAGGTGGATGTTGACGGAGAGGTGAATAGTGATGAAAAGGTGGATAACGATGAAAAGGTAGATGATGATAAAGAGATGGATGGTGATAGAGAGGCAGATGTTGACGGGGTGGTGGATGCTGATGAGGAGTTGGAGGGCGAAAGGACTGTGAAAGAGGGTGAAGACTAATCCTTTACGGACAGATTATCGAGGTAGTAAGTCCCGAGAGGAGGATAGATTTCCAGAATATACTAGAGGAAAGGAAAGAGACGAAGTAGTATCATGGAGTAGAGACATCTTGAGTTCTAAATGCAGAGTCCAAGACTTTTCACGAGAATACTTGTCAAGAAGATGACCCGTTACATAAGATTAACTAAAGAAAGAGGGATGATTATATAGCTAGCACTTAAGGATGTAGAAAAACAGTCTCTGTTTCTCATTTATATAAGATTATTATAATATTACATATAGAATCTATCTAAGGATTAATTTTCTAGTTTTAATTGTCTGGGTGTTAGCTGTTTAACGAGATATCTTCATTATCGCTATTGCTATTGCTATTGCTGTTGCTGTTGCTGTTGCTAGATGAGAAGGAGGAGGAGGATGGGAATGAGTAGTCGAGTCCAGAATATGTCTATGCAGATTCGCAGATTGTGATTGCGAGGATTGCTATTATAGGTTATGGTGGGTGTATTTGTGTAAGAATAACTCATTAATACCTTTCTTTAGTGAGTGAGGAAGCAGCAGATAACACATCGGTTGTCACATCCGCGGGATTAAGAAGAGTATTTATGATTATCTAGCCAATCATTTCCTCATCGTAACCTTAATGTGTGTATTTTGAAGCGGAGATGGGGATGATGATACTGGCTACTATTCTGAGAGGATAGATAGAAATATTGATTATATAATATTATATCCAATTTTGGGCTTCGTTACTTACTATTCGAATATTTTGGGTATGGAGTGTAGGTAATTCGGACTGCATGGTTTGTTTCAATAGCGATGATCGTTGCATCATAGATAGCTGTATGTGGATGTTGAATGACTATAGATGCTGGATGGTTAAGAACTTTGCACTTTGGTTATGGTAATGTGTGTGTAGATTGATGTGTATATTGCTTACTTAGTGTGGAGATGACATTGGTGACGGGATTTGTATTAATATTTGGAATGATTCTTTTTCTTTCGGTAAGGGTTTTGATCCGGCGGAGTAGGTGGTGGTGAGAAGGGTTTCGGTATCGGTGGAGGTATTTACAGGGAGTTCGATATAGCTTGTGATGATGTGGGTGAAAGTGTTGCTAAGATTGGAGATTGGAGATAGGAAGAGGTAGGGTATAAAAAGAGTAGACTTTGTATCTACTTTTTGTAGATTTGTTTGATATCAAAATTATATAACATTGGTAATAATTATGAGATATATAATTATATATTAAAGATGAATATATAATATTATATTAAATATAAAATAATTAACTTTATTTAATATTTAATAATTATAATTTTTGTTAAAAGGAATGACCTTACACAGGGATGTTACAACGGATCTCACATACCTAACATCACGTGATTAGCATCATGTGATATGAGGATCCCAGTAGGCTCAGCTGTCCCAGTACAACTGGGACAACTGGGAGCACTGGGACGCATGCCACGATGGTCTATATAATCAAGATGGATTTCCTTTGTATAGAGCTTCGTGCTCAAGATCAATCATTTAGTATACTCTACTATTAGTTACGAATTGCATATCATTATTGTCATTACTTAAGTCCCTGCTTGACGCCTAGTTATAAACCACCTCGAGAGCCTGGAGCACTTCCACGTGATCTAGACGGCAAACCTCGTAACAAGGGAATAGTGGTGTAACGATACTGTACTGAAGGCAGCGGCTGCCTGAGGTTTCGTTGGATTGGTAGTTATGGGTTAAGGCTTTATCACTGGTATTCACTTGGAAGTGAAGTCGTTACTAGATCAAGTAGAATGTAGGTAAACTAATTGATAACTAAGTTGAGCACGAAGCTCCTAAACTATGAAACTACTCTAACTATATACTAAACGTTTCTCTGAATGCTAGCTGTGCTAGCAAGCTAGCAGAGCTATCACATCACGTGATCTCCTATTGGCCTCAGGACACTAATCCTGGGACGATTCTCATCCTAGGATAATACTAGACGTGGTTCGTGACAAGTGGGAAGCTGATAGGGCAGAACTGAGGCTATATTGGTCTTGTATATAAATCACACATTATCTAAGTTCTACGGAAGTGCGAAGCTCTCCTACAGAGAGCTTCTCAATCTAGTCCTAATAGGACTAGTGCCCTGCGCACGTGCTACGCAGGAACCATTTGTTGCGATATAATGTCACATGACCTTGAAAACACGTGATGGAACGGTGAGGAACGCCCGCTCCTAGGAGCAACGGCTCCTGACTAGCCATCGGCACAAAGGTCTATATAATCAAGATGGATTTCCTTTGTATAGAGCTTCGTGCTCAAGATCAATCATTTAGTATACTCTACTATTAGTTACGAATTGCATTATTGTCATTACTTTAAGTCCCTGCTTGACGCCTAGTTATAAACCACCTCGAGAGCCTGGAGCACTTCCACGTGATCTAGACGGCAAACCTCGTAACACATACCCCATACAACCCCATAATTCCCCCCAAATCCCAAATCCCAAATCCCTCACAAACTGCTTTCCGTCTTGTAATTTCCCTAAGATAAAAATAAAAATAAAATAAATAAAACTAAAAATATTGTATATCTCACTATTATATCAAATAACGGGATGAAATATATATATATATGTCACGATTCATTAATTCACGTGACCTCGAGGACCTTGAGGACCTTTGGGACCTTAGGGTCCCAAAGGTCCTCAAAAGATGATATAGGGTATATAAACATTCATTTAGTCTCGTAGTTAAGGGGTTTTGTGCTCAACTTAGTTATCAATTAGTTTACCTACATTCTACTTGATCTAGTAACGACTTCACTTCCAAGTGAAGACCAGTGATAAAGCCTTAACCCACAACTACCAACCAGACGAAACCTTAGGCAGCCGCTGCCTCCAGTATAGTATCGTTACAATATATATATGAGATTTTATTAATATATAATCTTATTTTTGAATTTGAGAACTATAATATAAAGTGAAATGAAATAAAATTGAATTGAATTAAATTGACGGTGTAGTTCCTATAGATACATAATCACTAGTGGATATAGTGATATAATAATTTAGGGGTGGATTCTGAAGGGGAGTGGAGTAAAGGTTTGTTTTGTTCATATTTATTGATTAAGTCTTATATTATGATTTTGATTTGATTATGGATGTTGAGTGGTTATTTTGAGGTAATTTTAGATTAGGGTTTTGATGTTTGGAATTTTGGAGTTTGGAATTTTGGATATTTGGATATTGAGATAAAGAGGTATGAATTAAAAATAATTCGCGCTAGCAGTATAATCCCCTTTAGTACCTGGGAATGCACCAACTGGTGTTCCATTATGATCTTCATCCGAACTATCATTCTCTTCATATGTATCTGCTCGATCTGGGGGTGCTCTCATATTTTCCAAAACTTGCGTGTCAAGGCCTGGAGGATTATACATTTTCAATGTATGCATTTCCCGTCCTGATGGTAGACTGGAGATGAGTGTACCTATAGAAGGTATAAGTTGTGTACCGATCTATGTTCATTGTTAGTATGTGACATGAAAAAATATGAGTTGACATACAGTATCATTCATCTTCACCCATTTCTTTTCCAACATTTCTAGAACTCTAGCTTCTTCTGCTTTCCCTGCATCACTTCCCCAATCCTTTCCTTTCTCTACCCTACGATCTTCTCTTTTCTCTGTCCACTCTTTCTTAAATCTTCCGAATCCTATTCCAGAAGATTTCTTTCCATCATCTCCCACCGCTATTCCCAACTCACTCAAGCCAGCCCTTAACCATCCAATACCATCACCTGTTTTTCCACCTAATTCAGCATCCACACCGAAAAATCTACAAGCTTTTCCTCTTCCTACTCTTCGCAAATCTTCCACATATTTTAATAACTCAGCATCAACTTTTTCCTTTCCTCCATTACCCATCCCACCTAACATTGCTAATGCATTACCTGCATGTTCAGCAGCAGCAAGGCATAACCTTGCAAATAGATGAGCGCGAACTTTAGGCATCTCAGGAGCTTTAATCATCCATTCCTTATCGTTTTTATTGCGATCTTGTTGAACTGCTGCCGGATATGGATCATCTTTCAAAACTGCTAGTAAATTGCTTTCCGCTAAAGTCAAGCTACTTAAAGCACGAAAAACTGGATTCGAAATATCTGGACAAGGAGGTGGAGAAGTTAAAGTTGTTGAGCGAGCAAAAAGATAGTTATGAATTGAACCAGCTGATAATAATTGTTCTGTAGCAGCTTTAATACATGAAGTTCTTTGATCAGATGATGGTGATGCTGTAGCTGATGAATAAAGGGGATGTAATGAAGATCGTGAGAGAAGAACATGAGTATAGGCTAGTGTTGAAAGAACGAAATAAATTTCATATTCTAGACTTTGTATTTTTATTCTTGGGATTTCTCTCCCAGGGATCGGGTGATCTGAAAGAGTTGGACGCCATTCCAAGGTTGGTGTTGAAGTAAGAATGATATCTATATGTTCTGCTCCTGATTGAGATTGGGAAGATATGCCAGAGTCAAGAGCTAATAGATATGGGATGTAGTTATTAAGTGCTTGAAGAATGGATGAAAGGTTTGAAGATTGTTGTGAAGGAGTAAGTCGTTTGTGTCTCTTCAATGCATTACGAAGAACTCCTCTGTAGGTACTCGCTGCCAAAGGTAGTGATGGATGTGAGTCGCTGGTGAAGTATGTTGAAAACGAAAATGATGATGTTGTAGGAAGCTCGAATGGAAAAGGCATGACTGAATATATGGATGCGAATATAGGATGCCTTTAACGCGTGAAGACCAAGATCTTGATACGTGCTTCTACTTCCCAAGCTTAAATGAATATTCGAAGACGGTAGGAATCTTTGTTGCTCGGATGGTAGTTTTATGAATTCGAGTATAGCTGAATGCTTGGAGGCTGTCTTGTTAAGCTTGCCTTTTGTGTCACAAGAATGAGGATATAAACCGGCGGACTGAGTAAGGAACGGTATATTTAAATGTGATGAACATTGAACATGGATTGGATCCCGTGCTTCGTTTTGGATATGACGGGGCAATGATATTGACTGCATTCAAGGCTTGTCAGAATCACCGTAGCTATCACTTTGTACCACTTTGCTTTGTCCCACCAAATCTAATCTGGAACTATTCGATTTATCAAATTCCATCAATTCGTTTGTATCTACGTCATCTTCGTTACTAGAAATGCCACTGGGCAAGGTAGGTGATTATCAAGTAGTAGGTAAATCAACCAAGTATTCATTATTTTATTGATTCATTGACAATCAAACCCATTTCAATCAAAACCATTGAACAATTAATACTCTGAAATATATCCATATATCTCATAAAAGGTTACAAATACCAATCATTTATCCAACTCCACCACTCAATTCACCATGTCTGCATCACAAAATCAATCCTCCCTCAACTCAGCTCCCGCTGGTACAACCTTTGGTCCCAATTTCGGTGCACCATCCTCAACAGCAACTCCTGGAATGTCAGTAGGATCAGCTACAGCAATGGGTCATGGCGATCATCCAAAAGACAACGCAGATGATAGTAATGTCAAATTACCAGGTTCCAAATACGGACCTCAGCAAGAAGATTTAGATGGAGAGCAAATGAGGATGGCAGGTGAAGGAGAAGTGATGGGTGCTCAATTCAATAAGAAGAATGGTGGATGGGGTGAGGAGGGTAGTTATACAAGTGATTTGGATAGACAAAAGGCAGAGCAGAAGGAGGCTAGAGAAAAGATCAAAAGCCAACGAGCTCAAGGTCTAGATGTTGATGGAGGTGGTGGCGGAAGACTCGCGAATGAGAACTTGGGATCTGTTTAAGGTTGAATATTATGCTGGAGGTCCTAATTCAGACCTGATCCCATTGTGGTGGTTGTCATGATTCACCGATCCATGTGGCGGCCATTTATTATATCCGTTAAATCCAAACTCCGTCGCCATGCCCAAAAATCAAAATGATTATTCCTTTTGGAATTAAAACTCCATATTATCCATAACTTGATCCCCAACAGAACTTAAGGCTGAAGATGCCTCTCTGGTAGAAGGTGTTTCCGTTATCTGTTTTGGCATTGGTTTCAATCGATCTGCCCATTCCTTCACACTTGTAATTTCTCCTCCTTCAACCTTCACTATTCGAGGTTCGGCAGGTCTTCCTAACAATGTCCCATGATATCGTGTATCTTCATCCGTGGTATTATGCTTCTTTTTGAGAGCTATATTCTAGTCAGTGCCCATCCAGACTCAACAAGTGGCAGGGAAGAAAAGAGGTAAAACATACCAGTCAAATAATCCTCTCCTCCATCCGCCAGCGCAATCCTTCTAATCTCTTTATTTCCTTCCCCCATTGCCCATGCTAAAAACCCCTCTACACCTCTCATATCTTCCTGGCCGTAAAATTCCTGTTCTTCTATTGCTTTCTCTGGCATAAGAGCTCCGCAATCTTGCATAGCCATTCGCACATCTTGAATTGTGATATCGAGATCGGCATGATTTAAATCGGCATGCGCTGCTGTTGATTGTGCGAGTATATACATATATCGAGCAGCTAAGTCGGTAACTGTATCAAGAACAGAGGAACGAGTTGAGTGATAACCTGCGGCGCGAAGAATATGTAGAATGCATGGTCGAAGGAGGGCATGATGAAGAGCTTGAGGTGTTGCCATATTAGGTTCTGGGATATTTATGACGAAAAAGCCGAATTTAAGGTGTTGAAAATATGGATGATACCATGGTTGTATATCGTGGAAAATACAGATTCAATTAAATAAATTATTCTTTATGATTCTTCACTATGACCGTTAAAACATGAATGCGAATTTCAACTTGTCGCATAAAATGGAAAACGCGGTTGCGCGATTGTATGGTAAGGTTTCCGTACATTTCTTAATCTGGAGCTTCTTCCACTCGATGAGCTCAACCTCTAAATTCCATACAATTGTTTACATATGATCTTCATTGTTTGCGATTTTGCAAAAACCTACTCTCACCATCATTGCTACACGAATCATCTACTTAGGATTAGACTTACAGCTTACAAGAACAATCCGCCAAAATGAGCGGCCCTTTGAAATTGAAGTTGAGTCTTAAGACAAATGGAGGAACGAATCCATCATCTGGACCTCCTACACCTATTCCTACTACACCATCACTTCTCACACCTGGTGGATCGAAACCAAAGTTAAAATTTAGCAGTAAACCTGCGACATCACCACCTCTTCCATCCGACCCATCGCAACCAAAGCCCACCAAAGCAGGACGAGCACCTAAACCGACAAAGAAGCTCACGGAATCGCGCAAGAGAGTTAAAGAAGAGGATGATAGTGGCGAAGAAAGCATCTCCGTTATACCACGGAAACCGAACATTCAAGATGAACCTGCGAAGAAGAAAGTTAAGATCAGTCTTAAGCCCAAAACCCCTTCTATGGGTGGTATTCCTGGGCTTCCAATGCCAAAGACACCGGTTATTATCAAGGCTAAAATGAAAGGCAAACCGCCCAAACGACCTCTTGGTGAAGGGTACGATTCTGAAGCCAGTGATACGGAGAAAGATCCATCCATTGAAGAGTCATTTATTTTTCGAATGCTTCCCGGTGACGATTGCGACTATTTAAGAACCTGTATTACCGAGAAAAAGATTGGAGTTAATCCAAGAGTTGGAGGAGCAGATATTCAAATGAAATTCTTCCAAGCAGAAGGAAGACGAGCTGCCGTTACTATTCGTGGAAATGTTTATGCAGCTACTCTTGTCGACTTGCCATGTATTATCGAAGGAATGAAGAGTTGGGATAAAAGAGGGTGGTGGAAAAGTACTGATATCTGTCAAATGCTTTGGATTTATCAAAAAGTTGCAAATGAAGATGAGGCTAAGACTTGTCCCTTGCCCTCAATCATCGACCCACAGACTTTCCAGTATCCACATGGTCTTACCCCTCCTATGCATTTAGCACGAAAGAGACGTTTCAGAAAACGTATTAGCAGGACTGCAATTGAAGCTGTAGAAGAAGCTGTTGAAAAGCTTCTTGAAGAGGATCGAAAGGCAGTATCTTCAGAATATAAAGTAATTTCACCAGAAAGAGAACAAAGTAGCCAAGTGTTCAGTCCAGGAAGTTATGGTGACGAAGGGGAAGATCAATACTCAGAAGATGAAGATGCCGAAGGTGAAGCCGACGATGGTGGTTATTTCTCTCACATAAATGGCGAAGGTCACGTATCTGGTGATGAAATGGGTGGAGATCTCGAAGCCGACCTCGCAGCAGAAATGGAAGCCGAATTAGAAGCAGGAGCAGGTTTTGAGGATATAGCCGCAACACCAATGTCCATGTCAGGCATAGCAGCCACACCAATGCTTCAAGGCGACACACCAGCTCCCAACGAGGAAGACGATAGCGGCGATGAATCTATTGAAGATGGTGAAAGTGCGGATGAAGGAAGTGAAGCAGATGATGTTTCGGATGATGAAAAAGCTCGATTGGCTCAACTTCAGGAATTGAAGGAAGATATTGTCGATTTGGAAAAACAAATCGAAGCTCTACAGGCTCAATTGGCGGCTCAGAATAATCCAATTCTTCGTAGGAGAATCGAAGATAAATCGAGGAAACTTAAATCAGAATTGGAAATTAAAAAGTCGAGTATTGGAGAGGCGGAGGATGATTAGACATCTTTCTTTAGAGGGGGTAGTTGGGAATGGGAGCGAAACTGTATATTAGGCGTTGTTACTTTTTTATTTTTCTACATTTGATTCTCAAGCGGGATTCAGAGAATTTTGGCGCTCTGGCTGGTGGTTTGCTATATTAGGTCGGTTTGGACACACAATGGGTGGGCATTGTATTACATCACATTGGATGGGTATTGGGTTCGGTTGGGCTGGGCTGGGAATGGATGCATGGACAGGAATAACTATCCATTACCTACCTACCTACCTACTACTCAAGTAGTATACTATCAAAGTCGGAGTTATATATAGGTGCTAGTCTTGTAGAATCAGAGGTAAGGGTGTACAGGTGTACAGGTCCTCAAGGTCGGGGAATATTTGGTGTGGGCTATGGACTTGGTAGGTAGTTATTAGGAGGTAGAAAGTAGAAAGAAGAATGGAAGAAAGAAAGTAGCTACCTAGCTTTATGATATATAAATTATAAATGAGATATGATATGATATATATTTACATATATTTTACCTCGCTCCTGGTGCTCCGTGTGAGGATTGCTATGCTAGGTAGGTAGCTAGGTAGGTAGATGGATAGTTTTCTTTCCAAGTAAGATTACATTGTTGAGGTTTCCTCTTTTTGATTTTTTTTTTGTATGTCCCTTTCTCTTGCTTCTGTTTCTGCTCTATGTTTTAGGTGTGTAGTATCTTATATTAACTAAGAACCTTTCATCGCAAAGGATAGAGTTTCATTACTGAAGCTCTCACAAGCATCCGTAGCTCTCACCAGCGCTAGTAAATTCGAATTCGATCAAATGCATGCGCAATGCAAATGCGATTTCAAGTGAAACTTTCAACTGTCCATCCGCTCTTCTTCCTTCCCTCCTAATGCCTCTCCCTCCATCCATCCTCTCCCCGCACCTCATCCCAATCCCTAACTCAACATCTACATCTACATACCCTTCAAATAATTGCCCTCCTTAATCTTCGCCCTTCTCTCCTTCCTCATCGCCCTAACCAATTCCGCTCTCTGATCTAGCGCTTCTTCCCCAGATGTAGGTAAATCAATCGATTGTTGTTGGAAGGGAACCTTGACTTCGAGCAGCGAGGTGTCTCCAGATAAGAGAGCGCGTTCTTCTGCTTTGCGACGGGCTTTTGCGGCTGCGCGGCGGAGTTTTTTGGATTTGGCTTGTTTTGTTAGTATAAAATTTGAAGATGGAGGACAATAATGGGTTTTAAGGGATATTGTAGCTCAATGGAAGGGGAATTGGGGTAGTTCGGGGAAATAGAGGATAAAAAGTAGTAAAAAAAACACATACAAAACTCATCACCACCCGCATCCCCAGTTCCCTCTACCAGCTTCTTCTCATCCAAACACTTCCATAACCATTCTGGATATTCTTCCTCTTTCAATGCGACTGGATCATCCCGTCCTTTGAGATAATTTAATCCTTTTAATATTGTGCCAGCGGGGATACTAGACGTTGGTATTGGAGCTGGTTTCTTATGGGAAGGAGAGGAAGAGATGCCTAGGGCGGCAGGAGAGGGAGATAAAGGAGTGGAGAAGGGTTGCGCGGCGCCGGTGGATGTGGCGGTGGGAGGAGAAACGGTTCGAGGAGAGGAGGGGGTCGATGTTGGAGGGACTGAGAGAAGGAGGGGTGTGCTTGTGAAAGTGCGGGATTGGGTGGAGAGGTGGGAGAATGGGCGACGGGAGAGACAGCGTGAACAGATCATTTTTGGACTGAGGGGGAGTTTGCGATTGGGGAGGAGAAATCGGTGTTGCATGCAAGGGCGTTGAGGCGTATGCTTGTGATGGAGATGGAGATGGAGATTTATTTTTTTGGGATGCATGGATTGTTACGGGGGCCGGGATGGACGGCTTGTGCTGCTGATATCAAAATTCTTTGGTGGGGGTTTTGGGCTTGGATGCAGAGGATTGGTAAATAAATGGATGATTATCGGTTTTCATGTTTCGTGAGTATAATCCGAGGGTTTTATACAGATTTTCATACTTGTGGGTGATTTGATAAATGTATCGTGTTTTCGGATGAATTGTATAGGTAATTGGAAGATATATCTCTATTGGATTTAGAGGAGCGTACTATATGAAAGTCTATGTATATCGATCACATCAGGTTGTGCTCTTGGGACTTCTTTCCAAGATTTAGAGCCGTAAGGTGTCAATAATAAAAGATAGTCGTAAGAGAGGTATTTGTCGCCATAAAGTGTATACCCAGGGAAGAGCCGGGAAAGACGCGTTTCCAAAGATTTGAACACAACTGTATGAAAAGATCGGTTGTACAATGTTTCATATTTACAGTCCCAATAGTAGGCCAGTTCTAGGTCTCTAAGTTTGGACAAATGCTGTAGAGTGCGCTGGACTTTTGCATATCTTCAGCGTTTCGTTCCAGAGTCCTGCCTGCCTCAAGCCGCATTAAGCTCATTCACGCCGAATCTCATCCAGCTTGACATCTCTCTCATTGTCAGCCCATACCCTCTGTCACGCGCTCCCTCTCCAACTCAGACTGTCATTCGATATTTATTCCGGCTTCTTGGTATAATTTTGTTGCTCGAACAAGTAACCTCTAATCTTGGACTCCTTTAATAACTCGAAGTATCGATCTGAGAGAAAGGATTAGCTCCAAGATTGATAAGAAGTTCCTCATCAAAAGCTTATTTCCTTATAAAATCATGGAAAACAAATCCCTTCACCAGAGTCACGTATCTTCCTCCAGCATATAAATATCAATCCTCACCTCTTAATGCACCACATTTCTCCAAATGATTAACCCCCTCCTTGTAATAACACTTTCCTAATTCTTCCCTCACTAAACGTGCCATCATGCTCTTAACCCACTGTTCTCTAATAACCGCATCTTGTGCTTGCTTTAATCGTGCTGTATCATCATAATCGACACCATCGAAAGTTGGAGGAACAGTAGGTTTCTTCGCGAGAAATGCGGCAGATTCGGGAGTTGGTGCCATTGTATGAAAGTGGATGATAGGTAGGAGGAGACTTTCAAGATCGATTGATATATAGTTGGTCGACTTATGTAGCTCCAATAGTAAATTCAAGGTGGTCGACGTCCTTCACAAATGTGTTCGTAATGAAGCTATTTTGATTGTTTGAGCTCAACATTGGAGGTCACGTGTTATTATGGAACCAGACATATGCTTGCTGTAGGTGTGGACTGAAGAAGACCCTTCGTCCCACTATCCGATAAAAAAAAACCTTTTATCACTTTAGCGCAATTGAAAAAAATTCTCGATAAGAGCTTTTCTTCAAAACTACTTAAACTTTTAACTTTCCAAGTTCTCATTCCTCTTCTCTTCCATCAATACATCCTCTTCCTCAATCTTCTTGTATCATTTCATCGTCTTTTGAATAAGAATATTCACTCCTTAATATCCTTCTTCAAAGAAATCATTTAATCCATTCCCTTCTTCAAGGAGTAAAATATTCATAATGGCTAAGACCAAGGATACCAAGGTTGCTAAGGCTTCCAAAAAGACTGAGGTTAAACCACCTCTTTCAACTGTCAAGAATGCTGCAGTTGTCAAGCCATCTCAAACAACAAAAGCTAAATCTAAACAGACCGCAAAGGCTACTGCCACCAAGGCCGCTAAGCCAGCCCCAAAGCCCGTTAAGAAGGCCGCCACTCCATCATCCGACAGCGGATCCGATTCTGAATCTGGTTCCGACTCTGAGTCTGAAGAGGAGAAGCCAGCACCAAAGGCTACCAAGGCCAAGGCTAACGGAAAGACTGCTAAGGTCGCCGAGAAGAAAGAGGTAGAATCCTCCTCTGAATCCTCATCTGAATCTTCATCTGAATCCGAAGATGATTCCGAATCATCTGAATCCGAAACTGACTCTGAACCCGTTGCAAAGACTGCCAAGAAGGCTGCTTCTTCTGAAAGCGATGATAGTGACGACTCAAGCGACTCCGATTCTGATTCCGAAGAGGAGGCCAAGCCAGTAGTCGCTGCCGCCAAGAAGGTTCAAGCCGTTGTTGATGCCGGAAAGGCAAAGGTTAACGGTGCTGCTAAGGCAGTTGCCAAGGCTACTGTAAGTTATATCAATTCTTTTAATCATCTCATCATGGCATATACAGTAAAACTAATATTTATATAGGAGGACTCTGATGACTCCGATAGCTCTGACTCCTCTGAAGATAAGAAGGCATCTGGATCCGACTCTGATTCTTCCGATTCCGATAGCGAGTCTGCCAGCGAGACTGAAGCTGAAGCACCATCCAAGAAACGCAAGGCAGAGAATGAGCCAGAGCCATCTGCCAAGAAGACAAAGACTGAGGAGACTGCTGCTGATGATGGTAGCCCAAAGAATCTGTTCGTTGGTAACTTGAGCTGGAACATTGATGACGAGTGGCTCTACCGTGAATTCGAAGAGTTTGGTGAGATCACCGGTGCTCGTGTCATCAGTGACAAGAACACTGGACGCTCCAAGGGTTTCGGATACGTCGAATTCGCCAAATCCGCCGATGCTGCCGCCGCTCTTGCTGCCAAGAAGGGTGCTCTCATCGATGGTCGTGAGGCCAATGTCGATTTCTCCACTCCCCGTGAGAACGTCGCACCAAAGGATCGTGCTAACAACCGTGCTGCTCAATTCGGTGATGCCAAGAACCCACCTTCCGACACTCTTTTCCTCGGTAACCTTTCATTCGATGCTGATGAGAACGTTGTCGGTGAGGCTTTCGGTGCTCACGGTACTGTTGTCAACGTTAGACTTCCTACTGATCAGTAAGTTCACCGTCGTATCATACTGTTCTTGCACATATTAACCTTCACTAGGGAAACTGGCAACCCCAAGGGTTTCGGATACGTTACCTTCGGATCCGTTGAAGATGCTACCGCTGCCTATGATGCTATGATGGGTGCTGATATCGCTGGTCGTCCAGTCAGACTTGACTATGCTACCCCCCGTCCAGAGCGCAGTGAAGGTGGTGGCTTCGGTGGACGTGGCGGACGTGGTGGTGGCGGCCGTGGTGGCGGACGAGGTGGTGGACGTGGTGGATTCGACCGTGGAGGAAGAGGTGGTGGTGGACGTGGAGGTGCTCGTGGAGGACGTGGAGGCAGCACTAACCGTGGTGGTTTCGGTGACTTCAAGGGAAAGAAGATGTCTTTCGAGTAAGCTGATGGTATGATTTGTGGATTACCATTGCCTGTCCGTATTATGTCACACTTTGAGTATCCTTTGAAGGTACTTTTGTGTTGATCTGTGGGTCGTTGGCTTTGTGGGTTGTTGGCTCTTGACTTCTACTCCTTATGGAGAATGTGGCTTTTGAGACATGACTTGTTCTTTCTTTGAATCCTTTCATTGAAAGATCAAGTCACAACTTGTGGTCTGGCTTTACGTGGTCGTCGGCTTGTGGCAGTCCCGTTATGATGAGAGCTTTTTGATACAATATTCAGTGGGGCGTTTGGTTAAAGACATAGTGATCTTGTCGGCTTTGAACATAATAGGAAGCTGGTATGATCCTTTCTTGTGTCTTTGAATACCTTGAGAGGGGACCGGACTTCACGTGGCTTTTCCGAGGGCATTCTGCACAAAAAGTTGTTTATTTCTTTCGGTTGGGTGGATAGGTTCATGGTAAAATTACCCGGTTTTCTTGCGAAGTCTCTCGCTAAGGCCAAGCGTATCATATGGTGAGTGTATTCCTTGCTACTACTGCTAGGTTATTTACAAATCAAATTCTGTAATTCTTTGAACTTTGGTCTATATTTGTGATGTGAAGGGCTACTGGTGATATCGATCTTAACTTGATGCAAATTCTTGCGGCTTCAGTATGTGAAAGTGTCCGGAAAGGATCAAGTCATTTTGTAGTGCTAATCATATAACCAATCTTTCATCCCGAACTTCTGTGTGGTATAAATGATACAGTTGCTTTAACTTTTCATTCCTAGTGGTAATGGTGAGAGTATAGTAAACTTTCACAGATGTAGGATATATTCAATAGTCCGATTATTAACTTTTAGAACATGATTTTCTAAACTCTGAACTTTGTAAACTTGAAGGATTTTTATTATTTCTATTTTGTTGATTGTTCGAAATGAATCTAATGATTGTAATTGTTAAAAGGAATGACCTCACACAGGGAATAGTGGGAAGCTGATAGGGCAGAACTGAGGTAATATTGGTCTTGTAGGTTAATCTCTCTTCTAAGTTCTACGGAAGTGCGAAGCTCTCTGTAAGAGAGCTTCTCAATCTAGTCCTAACAGGACTAGTGCCCTGTGCACGTGCTACGCAGGAACCATTCACTTTAACAGTAATAATTAAAAATTTTATTTTCTAAAAAGCTTTTTTCAGATTAAGAATTGTTTTGATTGAATTATAGAAAGAATTGATTATATATTTGATTGATATTTTTATTTATAAAAAAATATTAAAATAATTTTATAAGTATAATCATGTTACGAAGTGACAGTCAACATGTCCATATAAGCTTGGACCCTGTAGAAAAGCAAGTCGATTCACATACAAAATTGTATGGCAATTGACTCATAAAGTTTCCCCACCCTCAGCAAGCACAGACATATGTTCTGATTAAAATCACGTGAGGGATACAGGGGATCTAGGGGATCTAGAGGATCTAGAGAGTTAAACTCTAGATCCAGTAGATACAAGAGATCCAAAGGAATACAGTAGAGTGTGAAGTTCTATATAAAGGATAGGTTTCCATTTGTAGAGCTTCGTGCTCAAGATCAATCATTTAGTATACTCTACTAATAGTTACGAATTGCATTATTGTCATTACTTAAGTCCCTGCTTGACGCCTAGTTACAAACCACCTCGAGAGCCTAGAGCACTTCCACGTGATCTAGACGGCAAACCTCGTAACATGAAGGTAGAGTATTAGACTTTATAAATAAATCAATAATTTATCTTTATATTTTATTTCCCATTTCATCTTAACCTTTTCCATCACCTCTCACCCCTCACTACTCCCCTCGTTTTCTATCCCATTCGCTACTCCCACTCCTACTCCTCCCTTCCCTCTTCCCTCCCCCTACTCCCTACCCCTAACCCCCCTCAACCTTACCAAAAGCTCCGGTTTCTCCCACAACAAAAAAATCTTCATATCTTCCCCCCAATTCTTACTCTCAGGCGCAAGTTCCAGATCGAAATTCCATAGGATCCGCGCGAGAATTAGGCGCATTTCTGCGTAGGCGAGACTGTCGATTGTGTTAGTTAGTTGGTTAGTTAGGTTAGTTGAGAAATTTAAATTTGTTAATTCCAAAAAGGAGTAGGTAGGAGGGATTTTGAACAAATAGGGGGGGAGGAGAGCAGGGAGGTTATCGAGGATAACTTATAGATAGGATAGGTGGAGAAAGATGAAGACAAAGGGAAAAGAACATACTTAATTCCGATGCAATTTCGCGGTCCAAGACTAAAAGGTTGATGAGCTCCTTTCTCATTATTTGTAAGATTAAGATTATTTCCGGGTGTATCTGTATCTGTAGCGAGCCATCTTTCGGGGATAAATGCATTGGGGTTGGTGAAATTGAGTGAGTGGCGGTGTGAAGCGTAGGCGAGGCATGATATATTTGTCTATGAGTTGTTTTCTCTATTAGTATATAACCTTGAGATTATTTCTAAAGCGGTAGAGTGCATTCACATGACAGACAGACAGACAAAACATGAGTGAATGAATGGACAAATAGTACAGTGAAGAGCGACAGAACGACAGAGTGAAAAAGAAAAGGAACCGTAAGAAAAAGAACTCACACCACCCGGAACCCAATATCCACCCACCCATTGTCCATCCCCAGGAACAATTCTTGGACCACCAGATGGCGCGGGTGGAAAAATCCGCATCGCTTCTTCCAAGACCGCAAGTTGATATTTCAATTTATTCACACTGCCCATATGAATCTCCTCTTCATTCTCAAAACTCGTTCGAATCTCGCGCGTCAACTTTGCCAAAATCTCCTCATTTCCCTCCTTCAATAAGTAATACGTAACAGCACTTAAAAGCGTCGCTGTCGTTTCACTCCCTGCAAGCAAGAGTACACCGGCCGTAGCTTTAATTTCTGGAACCGACATACCATTTTCCGTATCATTATTACGCAAGATATATGTCATGAAATCCTTCCTCTCTGTTTTCTGCTCCAGTCGCTCGGCTACTTTCGAATGTGTAAGTTCTTGATGATTTCGTCGTTGCTGGATCAAATTTTTCGGTATCAATTTATCCAAGACCTTTTTTACAAGCGGACCGAATCTCTTCGCGGCAGACATAAATGCAGCTGCTTTGAATGATGTAAATATAAAGGAAACCCAAGGATGGTAATCACTTTTATCCAAACATCCGAATGAATCTCCGAAGGTTAGATCGCCGATGATATCGAATGTGGTGAAGTTATACCAATGAACCATATTCTGGTATCCCTTTTCTTCATTTTCATAAAGTCGCTGGATGAGAAGATCTATGTATTTTTGAATCAGTGGTTCTTGTTCCCTCAGTGCCTTTTCAGAAAATGCATGTGATAGTAAGCGTCGATAGCGAGCATGATCTTTATCATCAATCACGGCTAGAATACTAGATTTCTCTCCTTCTGCCGGCTGCGTATATAGAATAGGATCTTTAGGAAATGGCGGTCGTCCATTCTTCCTCGCATAGATATCTTGAAAGGCTTGCGCGCTGGTAAAGGATAATGTGTCTGGAGCGGTTCGTACCACGTGACCGTAGGTTTCATGTAGCGAGGCGATTTTTTGAGGTAGGGTACCACTGCAATGGTGATAGATGCTGAAGATTTGACTCGAGGCGAATAATTTGGGACCAGGAAATTTGGACAGAGGATGGAAATATAGATTGTATATTATGGTGCTGAAAACATAGAGAATGGTCTGGGAATTGTTAGTTTGTGCTTGAGGCGAGGAAATAGATAATATACCGCAATGAATGTGAAAGTAGTTAATTGGAGAATCATTTGAGATACACGTCCGAAAGTGAGACCAGAATCCATGATTGCCATGAACAATCAAGAATACTTTTGAGAAGTATCAACTTGAGATTTTGATGTGATCTTATCGAGGAGTTGTCAAATATAAGTTGAGGGATATAAGTGCCGGTTTTTGGCCAGCTCACGAATCTGCACTTTTAGTGTCGATTTCATATCCACTTTTGAAACCATTGTTATTTTGTTAGCTTACAAATAAATGACTCTATACAAACATTCAATTCGTTAACTGACAGACAAATTAAAGAATCTTTTCGTTATACAAAATCAAGCTTACAAAGATTCACCAAGATTCTTTTTACGAACACCGAATACAGAGCGTCGGCTAGCCGAAAAGGGGCCGATATCTATCCGGCCACCCTTTTACACCAAAAATCATCATTTTCACCTATTAATAATTTTGTGATAAATAAAAATGATCCAATGAAATTTGAATTATATAATTATTAATAGATTTTTAAAATTTGAAATTTGTATAAAATTTATATACAAATTCAAAATAATAAAATATATAAGTAGATTTTTATTAAAATTGATTAAAGATCAATTATAAATCTTTTTCAAATTCTTGAATATATTTTATTTTTAATGATAATTTTTATTAAAAAGTCATTTAAGATTTTTCAATTTTTTATATTTATATATAATCTACTATTATTAATATCTTAATTAATAAAGTTATTATTACAAAAAAATTTAAAATCTTTAAAATTTATATATATTTTTGTATTAATGTTGTGACGCCTCACACCTTCGGGTCACGTGGCATGCCCCGTTTGTATTTAATCACAGGAAAACTCGCTACTCTTGTTTTTCTTCTTCTTTTCTCCTTAGCTTAGTATTTTCTAATACAAGATACTCTACTGTTACGTGACGGTTGTTATCCCACTAGTGGCTCACGTGCACTAGCCCTGTATATAAAGACCTTCTTACTTAGAATCTTCTTAGTTCTTTAGTTTTAGATTCTAAGTAATTGAATTGACTCCGTTTACGACTTTTCCGTCACATCTACCCAGTATTCTTGAGTGTGACAAATATTATAATTAAAATTTCAATTAATTAATTTAATTCATTTATTCACTATAAGCTTAAAATTATTGAGAAACAAAAATTACTATTTTTAATACAAGACCCCAGAAGATAATCAGACCAGAATAGAGGGGGGGCCGAAATATAAGATAGGGGATTTATTTATGTATCTGCTTACAAATCTGATTCTTAGAAGATCGGTAAATTCGTATTTCGTAATACAGAAGGAATGAAGGAAGGAAGGACTACAATGGGTTCTTAGTAATACCTTGTACCGAGTACCAAGTACCGGTATTTTATTGTTATTCTAATTTCTATGACTACCTAGAAAGTGGGTAATCGGGAGAGTACCGGTACATACTCAAATTCGTATATTCTATTCATCATTATTCATCATTTACCGCGCAACCAACCGGTTAACTTTCCTTGATTTGGTGGTGACTTGGTGGTCAGTAACGATCAGTAAGGTTGTGTACCCGTGTACCGAGGTACCTAGGTTGTAACTATTGGTACCTAGGTACACCAGTATTGGTCATAAGATAGAAAGAACAACGAACAACAAGACGAGCGATCGACGGCTCCCGCATCAAACACTCATATATCTCACATTGTAACGATACTGTACTGGAGGCAGCGGCTGCCTAAGGTTCGTCGGTTGGTAGTTATGGGTTAAGGCTTTATCACTGGTATTCACTTGGAAGTGAAGTCGTTACTAGATCAAGTAGAATGTAGGTAAACTAATTGATAACTAAGTTGAGCACGAAGCTCCTAAACTGTGAAACTATTCTGACTATATAATGAACGATAAAGGGAGCCTTCAGGAGCTTTCTGGCTCCTCAGGGCTCCTCATCACGTGATTCCTTTTTATCCCAGGACACTAATCCTAATGGTGAATCGTGACAGGGGCCCAGGCCCCTGGTATCAAAATTATAATTACTATTCAATAATCTTTTTTTTAAATTATAAAAAAAAAATCAAAATATATATTATAAAAAAAGCTAAAATTATAAAATTATATTCATATTAATTTTTAATTATTTAATTCTTTGTTACGAGGTTTGCCGTCTAGATCACGTGGAAGTGCTCTAGGCTCTCGAGGTCGTTTATAACTAGGCGTCAAGCAGGGACTTAAAGTAATGACAATAATGCAATTCGTAACTAATAGTAGAGTATACTAAATGATTGTTCTTGAGCACGAAGCTCTATACAAAGGAAATCCATCTTGATTATATAGACCTTTGTGCCGATGGCTAGTCAGGAGCCGTTGCTCCTAGGAGCGGGCGTTCCTGATTGTTCCTAGGAACGTCCGTTCCTCACCGTTCCATCACGTGTTTTCAAGGTCATGTGATATTATATCGCAACAAGTGTAACAGTGAGCTCAGTACTGAGCCATATTGATCCTACTGAGTAGCCATAGATACGAAGGTCTATATAATCTAGATGGATTTCCTTTGTATAGAGCTTCGTGCTCAAGAACAATCATTTAGTATACTCTACTATTAGTTACGAATTGCATTATTGTCATTACTTTAAGTCCCTGCTTGACGCCTAGTTATAAACGACCTCGAGAGCCTAGAGCACTTCCACGTGATCTAGACGGCAAACCTCGTAACACTCACTGATCCTTACTGAGCCAGTCACATGATATTGATTGCGCGTGAGAGTTTCCTGTTACCAGGCGTAACAATAGTTAATAAATATACTTTAAAAAATAAACTAAATAATATATCTATTCAAAACTAATTCTTCATTAAAATAAGTGAAATGAGTAAAACAAAAGTTAAGAATATAATGTAGATAATACCTCACATCATACATCTTTAATTACCTATGACTTCACGGAAGTTTATAAATTATTTTACATGTTTATTGCTATTGTAACTATTGCGTCAAGATAAGATATCAAATACAAGCAGATATAGATAATGACCAATGACCATCCAAGTAATCATCCTCAAATATCTATCTATATCATTGTATAAAGAAAGAATCCCTGACGTCAATCATATCCAATAACTATCTACTTGGAAAGGACCAAATCTTTAAGTTTTGGGAAAATCTACGGATATCAATCATATTAGTAACCATATCATCATTCAATATCATGCATCAAAATAAGCAAAAAAGAAAAGACGAGCAAAACATACTGGAGTACCAAAACCCGAGGCAGCATCCCAACCTTTCGTCGCAGGAAACCCATCCGTACCACACCCACTCGAACTTCCACTCGTAACATCAGTAAAAGCCTTATAACCCTTCTTATACAACCAAGGATTCAACCAACCCAAAGTTGGTTTTCCTGCTGCGATCAAGGCATCATTAATGAGAGCAAGGATAGCAGAAGCAGTAGGAGTAGCCGCAGAAGTTCCATCGAGATGAACCAATGTGCCATTCCAAACAGTAATGTACGCGTATCCTTGAGCCGCGATATCAGGGAATGCACGACCGGTTGCGTTGAAGTATTTGGTGATGTTCTTGGGGAGAGAGGAGAGATAGGGTTTTACGGCTGCGTCTTGCCAGGAGGGACGGGGGAAATACCGCGAAAATCCTCCGCCGGATACGTATCCGTTTCTGGGGTCTGAGGCGACGACTTCGGGGTTGATGAATTTGGTTCCTCCGACTGAGGTGACGTAGGGACATGTAGATGGGAACATGGCGAGGAAAGTCGTGCTGTTGTCGACATTCGAAATACATGTTCCGTCTGATCCGACACCATTATCACCCGATCCGAAAAGAACGGATACACCTCTTGCTCCTAATTGGGCAAATCCTTTACAGACGGAAACGGCATACGAGTATGGGACTGTTTGTTCGGTGTCTTGATATGAGTTGCTTACTACTCCTGGAAGATCTTTGTCTTTTTGATCGAGCATGTATTGTAACCATGTGAGATATGGTTCATTAGTATCAGTAGGAGTTTGGGAATCGGGAGTAAAAGGAGGAGAACCACCGGTCGTATAAGCGATCAATGGAGTTGGGTAACCGATTCCCAACATAGTTTCCGAATCCAGATTTCCCTCGCGATCTTTGCCAGCGGCGAGTTCTGTGGCATTTTCTTGTCCTTGTTCATCATTACCCCCGTTGATAATTTGTACTTCAAAACTGTATGCTGCTGAAGCTGCTTCAGGTCTATATTTTTCAAGGAAAAGTTTGGTATCAGATCGATTGTTGGATTCTCCGAGGTAATCTGTAAGAGCCATCTTGTTCTTGTGAGCAGCTTGGACCGTGTAGTTTATGGTACCGTAAAGAGTTCGAAGACAAAGTGGAGTTACAGATGAAACATTGCAAACATCTGCGGCAGTTTGTCCAACGGTAGGAGGTTTGTAGTTTGATGGTGTTAAAGCTTCGTATTCTGTGGCTTCGCCGACTTTCTTCATTGTCTTTGCTACAGCGCGTGGTCTGAAGAAAGAATTGGTGGGTTGAATTGTCTCGATGTGGTCGTGGAGATGGAGAGGTAAAGACCATTCTGGAGTCCGAACTATGTATTCACCATCTTCGTGTTGATAGGTTGAATATTCGGTATCCAAAAGACTTTCAATGTCCTCAATTGGGATGGTGATTTTGATCCAGTCTTTAGCAGGACTGTATTCAAGGAATCCCGCCTCGATGTTGTTGTCTTGAAGCCATTCGTGGACGAGATTATAAGTTTCATCGGTAGGCTTGATGAGATCGTTCACCTCATCAGCACTGAGATGTTGACCGTAACGATGATGAGAAGGATCGGAGACTGTACGATTTCATTAGTCAAATTCTAACTCATTTGTTCTCAGGTTTCCAATGCTCCAGATTATTGAATACGCTCTACCCAGATATATGAACAAATAAACATACCTTCATAAAGATGCCTTTCCAATTCATCAAATTGACCTTGCCTCAAGCCAATTTGAAGATTAATAAATTGGCCTTTAGTCGCAGGTCCTACTCTCTGCCATTGAGAAGGAGGATAGTGAGTTTCCTTCACAGCATACGGTGTACGAGCTTTGATAGGTGAGGCGGTCACCAAACCAACGGCCAAAAAAGCCGTGAGAGTAACAATTGAAGTCACCATGATTAACTTAACTGAGGTAAAGTAAAGAGAAAAGACCTACCAAGTCCCGAGACGGGGAATGAGAGATCATATTTATTTCTCCAGGAATAAAGTTACCTACTACTTCTTACTACTTCATCTAGCTTTGTATTCACTAGGATACAGCATCGTACAGAGTACATAAAAAGGCCAAGGGAAATACGAATAGCATTCTCCACTTTCAAGCTCTACTACAACCTTATCATGAAGATGCGTTGGTATCGTCAATCAACCTTCCTCATGTAGTATCGTGTGAGGTAAGGCACGGTGAAGAAATGGAGCGACGGAGGATTTCCCCATCTTTTCAATCTTCATTTGGAAGGTCGGTTAGTGACCGCTAGCTGCTGTGTAAGTTACGATACTCGGGTGGACTACATTAGAGTATTACAAGCTTTGATTTCGATATGAATTTTGGTTGTCAGAGATTGGTAAGACTTAAGTCGGTGAATTATTTGGATATTATTTAATATATTCGGAATTAATTGTGGTTGGTTGATCTTCGATTCGAATTCATAGTGTTGGAATGTCGTGACTCGTGATCCTGTTCCTGTTCCTGTAGATGTGTACCGGCTTGGCTTAAAATTACAAGGTACCTATTAACCTTAAATTTTCCAGGTCGATCATTGACATTTATTACTAATAAGCTCAATTGTGTGATATCGTCTTTACTCGAGAGATATTTTGAATGATGCCGTCGTCCTGTTCCTGTTGATGTTACTATATGTCAATTAAGTTACGACAGGACTCACAAGCGATATCTTATTATTACTTGCTATGCTACATCTCAACAATTCTTCGAACTCATAGCCCCAGAATGCTGTATTTACTAAGCTTTAACGCGAAGCCTCGATGATAATTAACCTCATAGACAACTAACCTCACAGTTTTCCAATTCAACCTGCATCGAAACCCGTAGAGGTAAGTAGAGTCACAATTTCAATCCTTCCAGAACCTCCCACTAACCATACATACATCAAAGAAACCACACAAACCACCCCACCACCATAACACTCAGCAAAACCCTCCGCTTCCTCCCCAACATCTTCGAAACCATCTTCATTCTCTTCGGCATAAATGCACTCATCCGTCCCTCGCACGCCCTCACATCCTACCAGCCCTTCTCCTCCCCCAAAACCGCTTCTGATGTCGTACTCGTCGAAGCTCTCATGACTATCCATGGTGCAAGAGATATCTTTATGAATCTAGCTGTCTATACCGCTTCCTATCATCGGAATTATAAAATATTGGATTGATTGGTGATGGCTGGTAGTAGGGTGGTGGTTGTAGATGGTTGGGTTTGTTATAGGGCTGGAGGGGAGAGGGTGATCATTGATTGGGGTTATGTGTTTGTATATATGGTTTTGGGGGTTTTGGGAGTTTGGGAGGTTTGAGTAGGGTTTTGATTCTCTGTCAGTTTGAGAATGTAGGGATAAATTATTGGGTAGAGGTCACAAGGTGGTTTTTATTATGCTGGAGTGGCATACTTGGCTGTGGTTGGACTGCATGATATTTGCGCCGTCAGACATGTCTCTCAGTTGGGTATAACGATTTCATCATGTTAGTGAATATAATTTCGTTATTCGGAGACCTTTTAGTAGAGGGTAACTTCTCTTTCTTGACGAAGAAAAGAACCCCATTTAGCTTTACAAGTACTCTTAATCAACATATTCAGCAATCCAAACTCCAATCTGACTTATATCTATCAAAATTCTCATTACCAAAAATGCTTATATTGTTTTTCTCCCATCCACATCTACAGTTTCAAGAAACGCGAGTAAAATTTATACTTGACTTCACTTTTTTTTATAAGATCTTACATCTACCAAATCATACCCTCAAGCTAAAAAGTTTCGAAATGAGGAAATTGATATATAAAGTTTCAACAGGGAAATTGAAGTAGATTTTGATATTAATATTAATATTCCACACCATAACCGTAAATATAAGTTTTTTTTTTGGCTTTTTTTTTCTATATCCTCAAGCTCATAATAGAAAATTACATTTTAGTATAATTACTTAATTCTCAGTTTTAGACCCTTTGATTTTATAATCTTAAATGAATAATAGTACGGGTGGGAATAATTACTGTTTGAAGTTTGTTTTGGTTGATGATTATTGTTTCTTGATTCTTGGGTGTCAGGTTGGGGATATATTATTGAGGAGGATAGTATGAATGAATGAAGGTGAGGAGTTGGGGGTTTATGAATATTATATATATGAATGTGTGAATATGTGATGTGGATATAGATGTTAATAACTGGACTTGAGAGCTTGAACTGATATTTGAAGAATTTGAGAATTTGAGAGTTTGAGAGTGCAGAGTTGAAGGTTATGAGTTGGATGTGAAGATGCAAGATTCAAGATGTATTAATATGAATATCTTGAAATAATAATGTCAAATATCAGCTTGATGGCTCGAGAGGGTGTATTGCATAGAGAGACTTTTAAACTAGACTGAGTCGAAGGAGATATGATATGCACGAGCTAATATCTAAATTTCCTGACGGATTCTAAGATATGGTATCCTTAAGTAAATGGGAAGATTTGTAATTTCATGATTGAAAATTAACTAAATATTAATGAGAGTTTCTATCTACCTGTGTATGACTTTCTGGAAAAGATACTAGGTAATAGGTATACAAATAATACAATACTAATAAAGAACGAAAATGGAAATTTGAAACCCAACAGTAATTAATAGTCAATGAACCCAAGATTTACAACACCAATGCAAGCTATCTAAATCAACTGCATACATCTGTTATCCCTGCAATAAATCGTCGTAGGGCCAGCCTCAGATTCCTTTCCTTGCTTAACTCGCAGTTTATTCTGCGCATCGATAGACGGTGATTTGCTGCCTACATCCACTAAACGAGGAGAATAATGATTTAACCAATCGTTCTCATGATTTTGTGCCCATTCTACCTCCGCATCCCCCTTGTTTGGTGTAACATATGCTATGGCTCCAGTTTTAGTGTGTAGAATCCGGGATTCATAGAACCATTCCGAATGCCAATTATGCCATTCTGTAAACATATTTGACATGTGACGGCATTTAAGACCGTGTCGTCCCGCGAGAACCTAAGAGAAACTTAGTTCGAGAATGAAAAATGGATGAAAATGTGGGATAGGTGGATAACCTACACTGTTCACCATCATGATTGTATCTTGGTCTTGCGTTCGAGTTAAAGCAAATTTGAGCCACTTAAAATTAGAACGCCAATTACTACATGAGGATCGTAAAGCTTTTTGAACGTGCTGTTCGAAACTGTATTTGGAATCTGGCGTCCAATAGATCATCTTGTGTTCGCAATGGGGAAAATCTTCAAAATATTTGGTCTCCATACCATCGCGATGTTCGACCTTGGCATGAATTTGACCCGATGGTGGTCCCATCCATGCATTCCATTCGGCATAAAAGAGAGCGTAGACACGTTGAGCAACGTTCATTTCGGAGATGGACATGTCTGATAGAGAAGTTGGTGTAGATTGTGGTAGAAAGCTCTTGATTGTGGATGGTGTGTTTAACATTATTTTCAACAGCGGAACTGATATAGTCTCTTTTGGATCGACTTTCTCCGGGCAATTTTCGTAATACTTGATGTCACCTTCCGTCACCAGTTGGCGAGGACGTACACAGTCGCACCTGGGATCTAATAATTCGGGGGTAATCAATATATTGGCTCTCATTAAAATAGTTTCTTCCCAAGGATAATCAAAGTGCTCTACCAAACACAACTCAACCGTAATCTCGTCAAGTGGCGCCGGCCAACGTTTGTTCATGATGAGATAATTCCATATTTCGTTGGAGCTTATAGTAGGTTGTTTTGAACGCAGTTGTTTGATGGCTTTGATCAGGTCTTTGTTCTTAGAATCCATGTTGTTCTGGCACGATGAAGATGTACCCGTTGAAGCCAAGGAGATTAATTGACAGGAAAGAATTCGATGTGATCAGGCAGTGCTTCAAATGTGAAGAAAGTGAATAAGAAGGAAGGTTATCATGATAGAGATCAACCCAGTAGCCATGACTGTGTACCCAAAGGAAGGGGCGATGATACTTTATCATTTCAGAGTCCGGAGCTAACTTCAAATTTGCATAGAAGAGGCACTAAAGTAATATTCATCCGGTTGGATGGAGTGACTTCTATATATCCTCATATTGTACGCATACGTTGAAGGATCTCAAGTCTGATATGGAACCAAACAGTAGATCTGATTCTTTGAGATATGGGCGATTCATGTTATGAGAGGGTAAGAAGCGGGTAGCGGTTACCTCACACAAGCTGTGATTTTGTAAGAAAATTAAGACCATTTACCATACCCAAAAGTGATCGAAGGCTTAATTCATCCATCTCATACACCATTCTTACTTTTGATTGTCGCTCAGAAGCGTCCGAGACGAGGAAACCAAGAATGAATATATACCCAAGCATCACACTTGCGATGAAGGTTTTACGAGGACGACAACATGTAAATATTGAGCCGGCACATATATTTGGCCACGGAAAAGACTGAGTTACCACGACATATTCCATCATGCCTCGTGAATGTGTGGTCAAGGAATTGCTTCTGATTTCTGATGCTAAACTAAGGTTCACGACATCCATCCAAAGCTAGCGGCCGCGAGGTCCGCCAGGCCCAAGGTCCAAAAGCTGTGGTATCCTTAATGGTATGAACATCAGTTGTACCTTCACAACACAACCTCGAACCAACAATAGCCTCATGAACGCGACGGTGGAGTCCAACGGAATCTCGGATGTAACGAGTTCATATTTAGTTCATCACCTGTGGTCTTTTGCACATTCGCATGATGTCTTTCCACCTCGGCACTGTAGTGGCAGAATTGGTAAGGAATACAAACTCGTTACTTGTCTCGCCACAAGTCAGACCACTTGTTGCAGGTAAGGCTGGTAAGCAGAGAGGCACAAAACGAGCAGACTTATAGCATGAAGGTAGGTAGGAGGCTCATGTTTGAGCCCGGAGTATAAGAACAAAACTCTTGTCTACTTCTAAAGAATGCTGAACCACAGTTCATTCCACTTGCGATGTCGAACAAAAATTGAAGCTTTAGCGATAGCTACCATTATTCCGATCCCAATACAAAAAGAGAAACAAGAAATCGTTCTGCGGACTACGGAGAAAGCCCAAGATGATATTATTCGAGACAGATACCTCAGTTTTTGAACTGATGTGGGATCTCGGTCTGGCATTCTTTATTATTCGCAATGCATTCATATATTTTATCCTCACATATCTATCATCCATCTTTTTATCATATATCACATTGAATCGACTTATACCATACAATCATCTCACAGCACCAGCACGAGAAGTCATCGCTTTTCCAATATATATTCTTACCGTGGCATTATGGGCAAGGACTGTAATTGTATATAATGACATTCCACGCGCTCCAGGATTTAGGATGGCAGTTGGCTTGGTGGCTGGGTTGTTCATGGTGATTGCCGAGTTAGTAGGAGGTGTCGTGTTATGGGAGGAGGGGTACAAGGAATGGATATGGGAGACGGATTTACTCGGCGCGGTGTTGGGGATATTGTCATTGATGTTGTTGGAGGGAATGCCATGGATGTTGATGGTGCTCGAAAAGGGTGAGATGAGTGAGGCTACTCATAGCCACGGGCAAAAGTCAATCACAGGTGCTGTGTAAGTAGTATCAGAGGTTTGGATTATGATTGTGAAAATTGGCTGATCCTCCTTAGACCAATGATTGGAAAGACGGAGAAGAAAAAAATTGAAGACGAGAGGATAAATTGAGGTCATGGCATATAACTTTTGTGCAATGCTCTAGGAAGGGCTAGGGAACATTATGTATAGATTTGTTTTTAATTGGTTGGTGGCTTGACCTGTACTTATTTCACACCTTCAATTCTTTCTCAAGATAGTTTTTTCCAAGGCTGCAGACATGGCTCACTGTGAAAAATTCTTCATACCAATTACAATGATCTTGTTTGTCGTGTCTTTGATAATTTTGGAACAAGCATTTTGCAAAACACCACCGCCCAAAAGCATTGTAGTCAATGCCACAATTCTTATGAAAGATTTGTTTGTTTCTAAGTTTACTTATAAATTAATACACTTGATATAACCAGAATTTGAGATCTTGCCCCATGATTTGCGAATCTAAACATCATTCTCGGCCCCTTACATGCATCCGCGTTGCGTAATCCAATCTCACAATGTTCTTTCTGCTGAGGATGGTGCACTGGTGACTGGCATTGCATCTCTTCACTTTTTAGACGGTCTATCATTTTAATAATTGTAGATACAACGAAGGGATGTTTCAGGTCTTCTTAAGGACTTTGTTCCGAATGCACACGGATGTAAGATTGCAATCGGTGGTATAGACTATTTCGAATCTGCCACATTGCTGGATACTGCCAATGTTTTGAAGGACTCTTTTGAGATAAGGGCCGCATCCTGGTCGGTAGAAATCTTACTTACACCCTTGGACGTTCATTCGGGAATTGTATGCAGTGTTCAAGAACTCTTCCCTTGTTAACATTTAATTCTAGACTCGCATAGATTAATTGACACTTTTTTGGCCATCACGCAGAGTAACTAGTTCCTTCTTGGAAGTGGTTGTGGCTCTACAATCTTTCCATCCATCGGTCTCCTCGCAATAATATATTGCTGCTTCTCCGGTTCGCACTTTTCATTGTCCGGTTGAAACTCATCAATAGTCTCACTCACAATCTCCAACCCCATACTCGTCAAGAAATTTCGTTGTCCTTGCTCACTCATCATAAAAGTTGGAAGTGGTTCCCCCATAAACGGTGCATTGTAATCCTCAACATACGTTCTCGTTTCATCATATGCATTATCCTCCTCTTTAACATATGTATCACTTGGCATTTGACCAAACACAAATATCCCCCCCGGCTTGAGCGCACAAACGTATTTGTACACTGCTGCATGAACCGCCGCATAGGAAAGTTGAAGATGTGCAAATATCATAAAGACCCCCGAAAACGCATCTTCGACTTTATATTGCACCATATCTGATACGGAGAAGGTACCCTTGACTCTTTGGCGAGCAAATTCAATCATCTTGGGTGCAATATCAAAACCGACAACTTCCAGACCGGCTGCAGCTAGCAGCTCTGAAACCGGTATCCCAGTGCCACATCCTACATCGAGAACTTTGGATGCGGGGTGGAGCAACTTTATTGCTTTTTTGATGGCGGCGATCTTGAATGGGTTGTTGCGATAAGCCTTTTCGTATTCGATGTTGAGCGCGTCGAAAGTGTCATGGCCAGCTTGAGACCCTGTTGTTATGGTTGTCATGGCTAAAGCTCAGGAGCTACTCTGTAGGTCTAGGGGACAGAGTTTGGATAGAGGCTAATATTGTCTTGCTTGCTTGGAACTCAACGGCTCAAGAGCTGCACCGTCCTATCAAGATGTGTGGAAGAGCAAGGATTTGTTGATTGTGTTGATAAGGATTCGAGTCAATGTGCTGCGAGATTCATTAATATCAGATTGCAAAAATAACAACATGTGAACTTGAGCTAAATGTCTCACGCAGTTTTTCGATAAAGTAACAATCTCTGTTAGCACTTAGCAGACGTCTAGACCCTACGCTACCGTGAATATTCAACATATCCTGGTGTTTTATTGCATCTCGCTAAAGGAATCGAGGACGCATCTCCTTCTTTTGGTTGGGGGGAACGTATACGAGTGGGAACTGAACAAATTAAGTCTATCCTAAGGCAGGAGAAAAATAGATTAGAAAAGAAATTCTTTCTCAAGTGTGAAAATGGGCATGTATAGTCGCGGGATTTTTCCAAGATGTGTCGGAGAGGTTCTTTAGATTCCGACCTCTAAGATTTCGAGGTTCATTTTTAATGTAAAAATTAATTTATGTTTTCATTCTGGAATTTGAATGTAAAAGTTTCCTTCCACAAAGGATGCGAGCCCCGTGAACAAGGATCAAAGTGGGGTGACTGGGTACGGATGCACATCCAATAGTGGAGGACCCGAATAAATTTTCTTTCTTTCTGGGTTGAGACATTATCTAGGTAGATCATAGATGACACGATGTGTGGAGATGGCTAATTGGTTCGCAAATAGCTCTCAATGAGATCCTATGATCTGAATCGATGTGTGCCATTGGATATGAGATTTGCGTCTTCGAACAGGGTCTGAAAAACTTAAAATCATGTTATCGAAAGGTTTTGAGATTGGATGGATAGTGGGTTGGATGTTGAAATTGTCCGGCTCATTCACAACCGAAACATGGTACAAAGTGATGGCGGAGTTTGCCGTACCTTAAGGATGTGTGCTAGATGCAGGTACGGGTTTCCTAAATTGTCTTCGGCTTTTGACAGGGTTCAAATGTTCCATGCCCTGCGTCCGTTGAACAATAATGAGATGGATCATGGAACCTTCTACATGAGCCACACTGCCCGCATATTCTGCTGTGCACAGAAAAATGTTAACATGATTTAGCTGTTAGGACCATGGCTCCCACTTTCACTCTAACCTATAGCCAGAAATCGGTTGATGAAGATACTGAGCCTGAGACGTCGAATCTTGCAAGAATGACACGATGACATTCGAACTGCAATAAGGTTCAACGACCACCGTTTGTGGGGTTTCCGAACGTTTTGCGTCATAATAATAACCGCTTGAAATTCTTTTTGAATCAAAGCGTATGTGGAGTTTGACCGCTTCCATTATGCCTAATTCCTTAGAAAGCATTATCTATTGCCATATTTTGGCTTCGCAATACCCTATCCCTTGGCCATTTCCATCTCTGATCAATCCATCTGAATCGTCCATGTAGTATCCTTTTTGATAATCATCCGTTGGCTATCACTACTTCCCACACTCAAGCCATCCGCCGCTTCACCCCCAGACTCTTTCCATAACCTTGAACTTCCCTCCCCAATATTCTTATGTTTCTTAGGACCTCGCCCTTCCTCATTTGCCCAGATCCTAAATTTATAGTCGTCCGGATCCACATCTTCACGTACCCTCCCTTCTTGCTGTTGGGTGTCCTTCCGGAGGACTGAGCCCAAATTTGAAAGTTGATAGTTTTCGGAATTCTCTAGCGTATATCCAGATCTTCCTCCCAGCTCCTGGCCGTAATATGTAGAAAGATTTTTGACAAAGGGTCGGAGACTTGGTATGATGGCGGAAATGACGGAATAGTTGAGTTCGGTTTGTGTCCATATAATGAATTCGTCCTCGAGAAACATGGGATTTTTGGTCAAGCCGTTTATGTCGAATGTCGCTAGCCGGTAGGAAATGGCGATGATCATACTAGATAGGAGCGTTAGCGTGCGCTTATACTCAATGAAACCCAACAACGTACGGAAGACGAAATCCGAATGCAACAACTACAATTGTCTTATTTGATTTGCTCGTTCGAAGACTCCATACTAAATAAACTGATAGGAAAACAAATGCAAGCTCGAAAATAATATCAAAAGAAGATATAATTTGCCATCTCAAAAACTAGATTTTCTGTTAGATTTGTTATTTAGGACGAAACCTGGTATGAGGAAGCTTACTATGTTGTCACAACGCTCCCCTATAGTTTTCCACGGATGCGCCAAATTGCACTGAAGAGCCACAGCAAATGTACTCGCGATGGTCCAAATCACTATCAAGCCTATTACGCTCCGGAATATCTTCTTATGTTTTTGATCTGGCGTCAAACTGCCCAGTAAAACCACCACTGAAGCTTTGGAGAGTCCAACAGATATGACGAACAACACGAAGCTCGTGTAACACATCTGCCGAATTAAACCATTAGCCCTTGTTCGCATCTAACTCGTGTTATTTTGTTGGCCTGAACTTACTTGCTGTATTGAAGCTTGATTATTCACTGATACAAGTTCGATTGATTTTCCCAAGCCTTTCGAACAAGCCCCCAATATCACTGACGCTTGAATGGACGCAATGAGCTACACTTTTAATCAGCCATTTGATTCCATTCGAGAATATTATCCCGGCGGAAAGTAGCCACTGCAACTTATATTTCCAAGCAACTAACCGTTGAAGCCACAAGACACATTTCATCATAACTGACACCTTTCCCCAAAGAAGTTCTAGCGAAAGTCTTGATCCCACCGAAGACCAGCACGCATGCGAGTCCCAACGCCGTCGCTATAATCACCCACGCTGAATGATCCGTACTCGTCACGACAGCAAATGGCGGTGATTGTCCTGGCGGAACCACCAAGCCAGTCGTTGGCATTGACATAGCACTTATTATCCGGTTCGTCAGTCAAAACAGTTCATGAAGATTCAAGCATCGTTGATTGAAGTGCCGGATGCCGATGGTTCATAAAACCCACCGTGAAAGAAGCACTATCCTGGGATTTATCAATACTATATCTATTAGTTTTGAGAGGAGTAGAGCACGGGGAGAAAGTAAAATATTACGAAATACCGCGCCCTACGACATATGTTAACGAGCCGCCCCTGTGGGCTCACTACCAACTACCAAGTCGGAAAAGAGAATAGTGAACGGAAAATTGGCAAAAAGGATTCTCGGAAGGCTGTGAAAGCACGGAAAGAACAAGCTGAATCTGTATCGGGAGCAATCCTTAAGGTTCTGGGGAACGACTTCCGGATTTCCAGTATATTGGTTATGGAAGAACCATCCTCGCATGCCTCGGATATCACAGGGCCACTTTGCGATGCAAAGAATCATGATTTGCTCGTTGTGATGCAGTGGATCAGTGGTTCATAGGTGGGAACACGGAGGGGCCCATACGGAGTAGTTACGAAGCTCTATTTTATTGTGTCTAGGGTCATTGGGCACTTGCTGGGGTATATGGACAATGTGGATACATGGTTCGGTCACCTTGTTTGCGATCCGAATTCTTAAAATGAAGGCAAAAAAACCTGAGACGTTTCAATCATACAGTGAAGATGCTGTGGGTATAGAATGTAAATTTGGAGTAGAATCTAGATGGTATTAATCTTGACCCTTGATTCGATTCATAATATGTGGTCAGCACTCAAATATCGATCGTGCCATGGATTAATTCGAAAGAACCATGACTCCACTCTTGACAAGCGAAAGGCCGAAGACCCACCGGAGGCTCAACGAAACGTTTTTTGATTCGGCTCCTTGCTGTGGCCACAAGGTTTACTGGTAAAGATAATGAATAGTTCTCACTGTATTTCGCTTTCATTACATTAGCCCTTCACAAATAAGCGAGGCGTACAACGTCTGGTGGCGAAGGCTTAGCGATGCTCTCCTCCATATTTAGAATCCTTACCTATTTTTTTTTTTTTGAAAAGGGGTCTTTGTAGGCATGAAATTTTTTTCTTTTACAAGGATGCTCAGCTTATCAACACTTCGACTTGACCCCATCTTCATCACTGAACATTAAAATCTGACAAAGGGTGCAGGACTAATGTATCACTTATCAATGATACCTGAGATGCAAGGCTTTCCTAACCGCATCGCCTAAATCAGCCGAGCATCAAAAAAAGGCAATTCAGTGTTGAGACCCCACTATTACGGGTCAATGAATCCTCATCCACGCGGGAGTGGGACTTCCAAGAAAACCTTGAATCCCCATCATCATAAACAACCCGAGAACGGATATTCATCCATATCGGTGGGATGGCCCGCGTTCGGATATCACCCTGAACGGTTGTGGCGTTACTCATGTCGCCAGACAGTTTGATGATATGAAGACTAAACTAACCCTTGATTTTATAATACAATTGCTCGAAACAAGCAATGCGAAATGTCGATCAATTAAAGCAGCTGAAATGGAAGGACTTATTGGCTGGAAGTGCCCGCTATGCTCAGTTATTCAGATTTTTTTTGGCGACATGAACATGTCGGATGGAACCGAGGTAAAAATAACATGGGGAGTATTGAACTGGAGGTCTGGATTTCATGAAGTAATAATGCATCAGACGCGGCTGGTCGGCAATATCGATTTGATAACAAATTCAGGGCACAAGTCGGTAACACAATGTTATACCGATTGTATCTCGCATTTCGCAATTCGCAATTCGCGTTTTGCATCTTGCCGTGCACTTGCGTCGTACTTAATTTGCATTTATTTTCATTGTGAAGGAACTCGTTCTCCTGTCTTACAATTGCGTTCTTGCGATTGCAATTCTTTCCTCCCTTGCCTTTTGTCGAGTTACTAGTTTGAGTGCTTGCTCGGGTGTAACCACGCATCACATCAATCCAATCGCCCTCGGCTTCACTCACTAGCCACAATGTCCGCAGAAATTCAAAAGGATAGAGATGTTATATTTGCAAGTCGAGAGTCCGGCGGCGTTGCCTCGATCGATCAAGATGTTGAGAAAGAGGACTTTGAAGACGAAGTTCCGGGACAGGTCGCGAAAAAGTGGCGTGGTACCCGAGCGGATCAACAGGATATGGCAGCATTAGGGAAGAAGCAGGTTTTGCGCGTATGTTCCTCTCAACAATAAGAAAGTAGGAGCAATGACTGACGGAATGATATGCAGCGAAATTTCAAATTTATAACTATGTTGGGATTTGCGAGTACTGCCATGGCGTCCTGGGAGCTTCTACTACCCCTCTTTACGTTCGTCATGGTAGATGGAGGAACGGCCGATCTTTTCTGGGGTTTTATTGTTGCTGCTTGCGGCATGTCGTTGGTCTATGCTAGTATTGCTGAAATGGCCTCGATGTGCGTACCATTTCCTTAAATTCTGGTCTTAGTCCCCCCACATTCTGATAACTAACGTGCGGAGCATGACAGATCTCCGACAGCAGGTGGTCAGTACCACTGGGTCTCAGAATTTGCCCCTCCAAAAGTCCAGAAGCTCCTTAGTTATACCGTAGGGTGGCTTTCCGCTATTGGATGGCAAGTATATCTCGCAGGTGTATGCTTCATGATCGGCGGCATTCTTCAAGGTCTCATAGCACTCAACAAAGCTGACTATGTCTACGAGCCATTCCACGCAACATTGCTCGCGATTGGTGTTGTAACCTTCTCGGTTGTGTTCAACACTTCCCTGGCTGAACGTTTACCATTAATTGAGGGTATCATTTTGATTCTTCATTTAATTGGCTTTTTCGTTATCATAATTCCGCTTTGGGTCATGGCACCTCGTGCCGATGCAAATACCGTTCTCATGAACTTCAGTAATGATGGTGGATGGTCTTCTAAGGGGCTAGCAGCCATGATTGGCCTAACGAGTCCAATGAGTGTGTTGATTGGTTATGATTGCTCCGTGCATCTAGGTATGTTTAAACACTGAAGGATGTTATATTAATAAGATACTAATATTCACGTGTAAAGCTGAGGAAATTCAGGACGCATCCTGGGTGGTACCAAGAGCCATAATGTGGTCGGTGGGCCCCAACGCTACTATGGGATTCCTTATGGCAGTGACTTTAATCTTCACCCTGGGAGATCTCGACGCCGTTCTGAATACTGTGACTGGTCAGCCTTTCATGCAAGTATTCTTCAATGCAACCCAAAGCTACGCAGCCACAAACGTTATGTGCATTGTCGTAGTCATCCTCCTACTTTCCTGCTGTATCAGTGAAGTTGCCGCCGCATCACGACAGATTTGGTCATTTGCTCGCGATGGAGGTCTACCAGGTTCGAACTGGTTGTCGCAGGTATCGCCCGGGTGGAATATCCCGCTTCGCAGTGTCTGCGTCTCGATTGCCGTTTCGTCCCTCCTTTCTCTCATCAACTTAGGATCTTCCGTGGCACTCAACGCCATCAACTCGCTTGGCGGTGTTTCAATTCTGTGTTCTTATTATATCACCATCAGCTGTCTGATTTGGCGCCGTATGCAGGGACCGCTCCCTTCACATCGGTGGTCCCTCGGCAAATACGGCATGGCAATTAACATTGCTTCTTTGTGTTTCTTAACGCCCATTACATTTTTCTCGTTCTGGCCTCTACAAACACCCGTTACCGCCCAAAATATGAACTGGTCGAGTGTAATGTTTGTAGCGACATTGTCTGTAGCATTGATTTACTATTATTTCAAGGCAAGGCATGTGTACACTGCACCTGCGCTTGCGATTAAGAGAAGGGAATGATGAAACAAAATCAGGCGCTCTTGCATTTTAGCAATGAGATATTTTACTGCTGTATATAGGCCTTTCCATTTGACACAAATAAAATTTACCGATTTAATTTTTTAACTTGATTTTCGCACGCTTGTGTTGACTCCAAACGTCATTAATCTCAGCATACGAGAACTAGCCCTTAGGTATAGACTATTTCATTGTTTACATCGGTGATCGTGCTTCTCCACCGTGATTTGGCATCTGCCTCATGACATCTAGCAGCGGGCCTGTTCAAACAAAATATTCAAGCTCTGGGAAATATGTCACCACGTTGACCTCATGCAAAAATGTTCTCGAAATGCAGCGCTGGAATGCCCACTTGAATAAATCGTATAATCAACATTGATTGCAACAATGATTTATGGAACAGCAAGCAAAGACTGGTAATTTAAAATACAAACAAAAGCTTCTGCAGTGGGTCGTTGCACAAGGACTTGAAGATCAGATAAATGGGCCCGAGATGCACTGCACACGTCTCAGGACTTAATAAATCTCTAGACGATGATCTGCAGATTGCTTGACGACAGATTAATGGGATCCAATTCAGAATGAGGCTGATATATACAATTCCGAACACTCCTCGCAAGAAGCACACAAAACGAATTCACACGCATACCGGCATGATTGGTACTGCTAAATGAAAAGTACAATTTTCAACATCGAGTCGGCGTGTTGTACGTACCACTAAGCAAAATCATTCAAACACAAGAGGTCAAAGTTCCATCAACTAATTTGTGGAATGACCCAAATGATTCTTTCTATCAAATGTGTGAGGCTTCCACCAAGCTTACGAGCCTCATGTGATGTCGGTATGTCAATCTTGAACGCGAAGCTTTTGTGTTAACCATTATGTGTACATTGATGCAGTATTAACAAACTGGAAAGCCCCGAAATCTTGGTTATTTTTACTGAGCGAAGATGTGACTTCCAACATCCTTCGCTATGCCAATGATAATAGTAAACAGTCAATCAATGTACGAACAGGAAGAATAAGATAAATGTCAGGATAAACGATTAGGCAATGCTAGGGTATTTATGAACTATGAAGTGCATCCAAAAACCAAACTCCAAAATATCCCATCCGAGAAATGAAATCTCGACAGGAGTCTGAATCAGGACTCGTCCCATACGTTTCGATCCTCTCCTTGCTCGTCTTACCTCACTGCACGGTGGCATTATCGAACCTTTCCTTTGCGGTTAACAGTCCTGTCTTGAAATCCTCCGCCTTCTCAATCTACACTTCAATTCTCCATCTCTATTTCCTTCTTGTAATAGAATGGGTGCTCTTGCCCTTCAAAACTTTTGTCTATCAAGCCCCCCGGGCTACTTTTGGCACCATCAATAATATGTTCTGGTATCTTGGTAGCGCACTCCACACCAACAGCTTGTGCGAATACATCCTCACTCTCACCTCTGCTCTTCACCAAGCTCGCATTGCACGCGAGCCGTCAAAGGGTTCAAGTCGAATTTATTTGGCCAGCTATGAAGACGCCCTCTTGTGTGCCACTTTGAAGTCCACCTGGCTGATATTCAGTAGTTTGCATTTCGAGGGGATCAATTTAAGAGGATAATTGTCGCCGTCTCCGCCGAGTTTGATATGCTGGGTGGACGAATCGCTATTTCTGTTATTCGGGATTTGAATTGCATTATGGGGGTATTGACCAGTTAGTTCCAAGAGATTCCAGAGATAACTGAATCGTGTTTTGGGACTTTTTCCCGTAACTTCGAAGGCATGCTCGTCGTGGGATTGAAGTATGTGTGCGAATGGGTATACAGCGAAGGAAGAATGCTAATTGATTGTCGTTATCGACGATTCTCACTACGCCAACAGGGTCTTCACTAGCCACATTTTTCAGCCTCTGATGAACTTGGATTGAACTCATCTTTATCACGTGCACATCACGATACTACTCCCTCCTGAGCCGTTGCAAGCTAGAACACACGAATCATCGTAATGCCGGTCAACACCGTTTCGGTTTTTCCAACGGCCTCGGACAGAGTTTGACATGCATCCATACGATTCTTGTGCCCAGATCCTGACTAATTCTGATCCTGCAACCATTCATTGTTTCTCGCAACGTTCCATCGCTGAGAATAATGCCAGTAAGGAGAAGCATTTCTCCGCATTATACAAAGACAGTCCTTCTCAGACGAGGAATTCCCTTTGAGAAGAAGTACGGGATTAGTAGTCCTAGCTTCAAGCGTTGCTTGTTCGGGCTAGTCATGGAGTACGATTCGGATGTTATAATTCGGGCTCCTTACACGGGCTGAGGCGTAAAGAAGTTATATTGTATTCGATGAATCGAAAAATCCAGCCCATTCACGTTTTCGATCACCACAGGGAGGCCTTGTAGGATGAGTTGTCCTGGAGGTGAATATCTCGCTCTTTGAGTGCTTTCAAACCATGACCGGGAACTCCACCGACGTCTGTAGAAGTGGTTTATCTGGATTTTCAGATTTAAACGGTTGCTCAACAGGGGGAAAGATCAAATAATATCCTTCCACGCTCCATGCGTGTTATTGCCATGCGCCGACTGAACGTTTCTTACTGCTCTGGAACTTCTTCCATTCAGTCAAAACAAGTGAGTCTTACCTTGAATTTTCTGCCGAATTGGAAAGGGCCTTCATGTATTCTTGTACTTTCCACGTTCTCAGAAGGACTCCAAAAGCATGACAAGCAGTATGGCATTCAATAATGCGTCTTCCGTTGCAAACATGCTCCTTTCGGAGTAGATGTGGAATAACCAAAACTGAATCTATTCGCGAAGCTCAAAGTTTTGAGGATTCTCATGATGCGAAGTTCCAGCATCTGTTAAGATTGGAGTTGCAAGATGATTGAATAGTTACTCACAAATCCATGTTTTGGTAGGGTTTGTCTTCTTCGCCAGATCGTGCACATTTATCTTGACTTCATCCAGTTCCATTGGCATATCGAAAGGCTTCATACTAAAGCGGAGCGAATAGTCTCTCCGCGATGAATTCACCCTGAGATCAGCGGATAGCTGATAACCACTACAAATGGTTTCTTCAACAAACGCCCGGGACAATCTAAGAGTGGCATCTAAAGGTGTTTTTTGTGACCTTTTACTAGCGGCTGATAACTTTTGATGGTCGATCAGAGAGCCGATGCCTACTTCAAAAAGAGCGATTGTCTCACTAATGCTTCCAAAAAGTCGCGAAACTGGAAGAGTCATTCTTTCCTGCTCACTCCGTGATGTCTATTGTCAATGAGAGGAAGTATTTTTGCTGTGAGCTCTTATTAATTTTGGAGATGGTCAATCCATTTAGCATCAACAAACTAACAATATCCATGTGGATGAATCATTGAATTCAGTGAGAGGAGTAAGATATAAATGTGCCGTTAACATACTAACCAAAACAGCTCTAAAACCATCATATCACCAATATGTATGTTTGCTTTGGTCTACAACCAATTGAGCCACTCTATCATCAAATTTCAACTGTGCGTATTCTTCTTGGTTGGCTCTAAGCCGAGATGATGCTCGTCTATTCCGCGAGACCAAAAAGCCATTTCTGTCATCCTTTGATATTCTTACAAACCAGCTTTTAACCTCGAGACCACATCAAATTACATGCCCGAGACAGAATTGTCACCACTACTATAGCTTGTATCGAATAGAATCAAAGTCTACATATAATGCAACACATCTCCTAAATCCATGTTTAGCAAGGGAACATGATATGTAGATTGGCAAAACCACCTTCAGCTTGTCATTTATTCAAGGGCTACCACGGTAGCGGGATTTTATTCTAAGTTTTGATTCTCTCCCAATCAGATAAAATCCGTGTTCAAGCTGAAAAGATTTCCCATCGTTCTTGATTTTCTGAGATTGTTCTTGTTACATCACAATTTTTGTTCTCCCAACCTCTCCCAGATGTTATTTTGCTAGCGCCAAATGGAATTCGATGTCTAGTCATAGAGTAAGGAACGCCACCGGTTAATTGACGTCAATCGGCATTCATATCCATTTTCTATTTCGATAGTTTCGAATAGAAAACCCTTTTCAATGCTGCTTGGTCTAGAGACGGTTTTCTGCAAATATGAATCGGTCTTCAACATGTCTGGGATACAAATCCCTTGCCCTTCTCTTCAACTATTATAGTGAATGCAATTATTTGACTGGCTACTTGGGTAGGAAGCATGGACCTGGAGAACCTGATAATTAAGATGTAACAAGTTCGAAGTGGTGGGAGATATGCAATGTATAAACTTCATCATAAATCTTAGATTTATTCAATCATGACTCCACTTGATGATAGTATCCAGCTCAAGGGATGAGCAAAAATCCTGTGCCGCTACTGTACAGTTTCAAAAGTATATGCGTTGACTATCGTCCGATTTGACGCTATGGATTTCGATGTCTATTAATATGAGTCCTTAGTATCCATCTGATTATCTATCGTCCTAGCTGATGGAAATTTGACAAAGTTCCTGCTTTCTTTCTAAGGGCATTCCCCGAAAATCACTGTGGGGCAATTTGATATTTTTATTTTACCTCCATCAATCTGAGACTTGCCACAACGCTTCAGAATTCTATCTTCCAACCCAAATCACCGCCTATCACTTCCATTGCCAAACTATAAGGTTCTACGCACCTAGAATAATAAGCAAATTGGTTGTTTTTGTTAGAAATGAAGGAGACTTGGGCGACCACTATGACAGAACTATGGTACAGACTGCAGAAGTACCCAGTGTTCAGGCTCTAATGTTTCAGTTATTGATTGGGGATTCTGGAGTCTGCAGAGGAGCATATTTTATGCTTCAAAAGTTCAGTATTAGCGCTACTAGATGAGCGCTCAGGGATAGGGTGAGTCAAGCACATAGAGTTATGTAGTGTAAAACTCCTCCGCTTTGGAGATCCAATTCTCTTGCGAACCCCTTTTTATTCACTCAGACACATAACAGTCATATATACTCTATCACGGAACTGGTATTTCAGTCTTATTTAAGAACTCGCAAGTACCAGGTACAATTACACTAACCAATGCAGGGACTATTGTAAAATACCTCAAGGTGTTGGCTTGCACTTGGAGATATAACACATTACTAAATAAGTCAAAGGTTTGAGCTGTATATTCAAAAGTTAAGCTAAAATATAGACTTCTCTTGAGGTTATTGGTCAAAGGTCTTGTAGTGGGTATTCTTGTACTCATTCAAGTCATAATTCTTGACGACCTGGGGCTATTTATCATTGACAAAATGTGAAAGCGCCTTTTATCATTATTTTCATCTTAAAAGTAAAGCCTGAACAATATGAAATGAGGGTTAGTAAAAGCTGTCAAAGTTATTTCCAAGTCATGTCCTTTGGCTTTAAATTTATCGAAAATATCCTCATCATGGACTATTTACCTTGACATGTCTGTAGGAAATGGAAGCTAAGTACTACAATGAAAGAAATAATTAGCCTCGTGTACCTAGGATTCTTGAAAATTCACTTGGCCATCATGTATCACCTTGAAAATTGTGTCGTGGTACCGGTGTAGGCGTTGAATGCATGGAGTTCAAGAAATGGAGCCATCCTTTCTTTCATTCCATTCTGAGTTTGGTCTCTTACCATTTTAGCCAGATATCTCATTGAGTGTATGAGATCATTGAGACGCGAAAGTATATTCGCTACATGGTAAATAGCACTAGCTTCCAGGCTACATCTCTATTCTACGTACAGAGCCATTGGCATCGAGACGAGCCGTAAAGTTAAATGGATGTTAGAAAAACCAAACAGAAAGTTAAGCCTGAAGTAGAAGATTCTCCATGAGCAGGATACAGAGCACGAATATGATGGGTCAGTAGTTTGAGGCTCAAAATCTAGCAGGCTAAGAGGATTCGCAATATTTTCTCATGCATTTTCGAGGCGATGACCCTCAATATTTACATCACAGTTCTTGGAAAATTCAAACCATCTCATGTATAAGAAAATTGCCTGATCTTCTATTTCTACTGCCATCATTTCTACTGCCATTATTTCATACCAATTGAGTGTTAGAGCAACCTTTGGACGCGAATTCTTCTGTTACTTTCAGATTTAATGTTTCAAGTTGAACAACCTTCATTGGAAAAGCAAGGGCAGATATCGTAGGATATCCTCACCGTATTCCACTGCAGTGTTTGTGATTACAGCGAGATGTCCTACGTGTCGAGCATAATAACTACAGGAACTTTCATGTATCAAAACTGAATAATTCCTGGTATTGATACTGTTGGGAAGAAAGTGAGAACTTGAATTTCCGCAAAATCCACCATTTAATGGATAAAGGAAATGGACTTTATTCCGATTTGATGTTGTGAATTCCTTTTCTATCCCGTGAGTTCAGAGGGTATCAGCTGATCAACATGGACTCTGCTCAGCGAGTCCAATGCGTCGTCTTCTCTTTTTGAATTGTCATTCAATTCTTATAACCTTTCTTTCGAAGTATTTGTTGTTGAGACACGCCAGAAACTTTAGAAAGTGAGCCCCTAATCAATATTTTCAACGATATACTCTAGGTTATGTGGGAATTCATCAGAGCCATTGCGCCAGGCATTCGATGAGCATTGGCAACCCTCCAAAACCTTTCTGGGAGCTCTACTCAGTTCACGTACAGTGCAAGACTTGGTAGATTGGAGTCGCGTAGTAATTGACACTACCAATGACAAAGCTTGTGTATATATTAAGTCTGAATAAGATATCGACAAGCGAGCTAAGTATCGAAAACATAGATGCAGCTGCTAAGTGATTTGTGTACCTCGTTTTGCTAATACAAAACGACCTTTCTTCCCCCCGCTCTACGGTTCTTAAGAAAGACTCTGACCACGAGATTATATCACGGGGTCCGATGTCGTTGTTGCGGATGGAACAATTAAATCATTAGTAGGAGGTATTTATTGACAAACATCCGTGGTGAACCTGTGAATGCAGAGGGTCTACTTATGGAGAGCGGGTGTCTGGAGTTAATGCTTGCGGGATATGTATATTGTAAAATGGTGAGCGAGGTATAATAGGAATGAGACACAAGTAATAGTGCTTGTCATGCTCTTCACATCTGCGAGGAATTTCCGTAGCACATAAGTTTACGGGTCTATAAATGGGAGCGGCATCCATCATTCTTATATTCCTGGACGTCTTTTGTAGCAACAGAACGAAGCATGAACGAGAAATCAAATTACAAAGGTATATACTTCTAATATCTAGTTGTATCTATAGAGCAAACAATGACTAAGAAATTGCTCTATGCAATCTGACCTGTACTCCATTTTTACTGCGGTTAGAAACAGTATGATGATATAGAACCGGGCCTGGCTTCTCCAAATTCTCTATCCGATCATATTTCTGCAGGAACCTCACAACAACATATGAAGTCTCTGTCAGGGCGAATTGTTCTAGACATGATAATTAGCTATCTGTGTGTGTCGATATCTCAAAAGAGGGAGACTTACGACCAATGCACTTTCTCGGGCCTCCACCAAAAGGAATGAATTCCCAGCCAGCTCTTCTGCCTTCCCACCTCTCGGGCCTGAACTGATCGGCGTCTTCACCCCAAATATCTTTCCGATATTGCATCGCATACGTGGAAACCAGTATTCTCGACCCAGCTGGTAAGAACATAGGTTGTGTACCATCGCGACCTCCTCCACGCGGTAATATTGTATCTTGGTTACATGTGCGGTCATTCAAAGGAACAGCTGCGCCCACCCGTAACGTTTCATCAATCACGTATTGTAAGTATTTACAAGATCGCAAAGATTGAAACGAAATATCCGAACCTTCCGGTCCAAATTCGGAAAGAATTATGCTTCGAAGTTTAGAGTAGACGTTAGGATTGCGTGCAAGGTAATAGAATGTCCAGCCGAGCAAAGAGCCAGTTGTATCGCGACCAGCGTTGAGTATTTGCAGTGTTTCGCAGCGAAGTCTAACTGGATCTTGATTTACTTTTGCCAATTCATCCAACAACGAGAATGGTTTTTTCTCTGAAGCCGTTTCTGCGCTTTTTTCCTCGTCTTGGTTTTGACGAAGGCGTCTTTCGACAAATTTGTCGACCATCCGATGAACTTCATCGCGGTGATGATCGAAGTTGCGGCCTTTGACATATCCGTTCCACCGACCAGCAATGCCTTTCAGGAATAATGTTTCCTTTCCGGCATCAAGGTGACGTCCAAAGGTGCGGAAATCTGTGGTGTCCGTGTCCTTGAAGGGGTTTGGACTTGCTGTTTCGATCTTTGATGAGTTGCCGGCATCTTGAGAATGTACAGATTTTCCATAGAGGAACTCAGTAGACACGTCTAGCGTTAAGTTAAGAAATAAAGGGGCAAGATCAACCTTTTCTGTCCAGCCAGTTTGAGTGCTTTGGAGTTCTTGACGAGCAAACAATGCCTGGACGTGGCGCTCTTCGAGGTCGAGATCTGATACTCTTTCTCTGGAGAATTGTGGTCGTACAAGCTGTCTGGAATGTTTCCATGCGTCGCCTATCCTCTTAAAGTTAACATTCTGCAAAAAACAAAGGCACTAAACCTAATTTTCATTATCAAAATCAAAGCCACATACCCTGAGCAGTAAAGATAGCATCACCAAGCAGCGGGCTCCAAATCTCCTTCCTTTGTGTTCCAATGTCCCACTTATGTGACTCAGTCTGTAGAATAAACTGCGCCAAACTTGGATCTCTGGTGATGATGACCTCAGTATCCAAAACCTGTCCCCTCACCGTCAAAGTATCCGGTGATATCCTATCCATGATTTCCATAAACCATTTTGGACTTCTTCCTTGGCGATTTGCTCTTGCTGCTTCAATCACACTTATGACACCGAATGGATCGGACCCAAAAACTTTTGGAGGAAGGGCACAGCCATGTAGTTCAGCATTTTGACGACGCTTGCGCTTGGTATGGTAAATGGAGATGCCTTTGAAAAGGAGGGCGAAAATGCCAATGTATAAAAAGAGAGAAAAGGTATACATGATTTGAAGATATCTTGAAGACCGCAGATGTCCAAAACTCCTGTTGAAACAAATGGTTCTTGTCGATGCAGCATAAAGGAACGGTATTTGTTGGGAGAAGCCTAAGTCCGGACAGGGATTAAGAGGTTCAAAGAGCTATGCTTTGAACTGAACAGTGCAAAGATCTTCATTGGGAGACTGCATAGGATCATTTGTGGTTTGATAGGCTCGGCATAATTCTCTGCGGTTGCTAGAACTGACGTTGATGATTAGATAGAGAGTTCTAACTGTCGACTCCATCACCCCGGCTTCCGTCATTCCACTTTTTGCCCCTGCTAGTTGTATCACCATGCTGATTATCAATAATCAATATGCCTTATTTGGAAATATGAATATATTGTAAAATATGAAGAAGTGATTTACATTGAGGCGTCTATACTAATCAGACACATTCGTTAGTTTGCATTTAATATTGAACGAATCTCCCCATGATGTCCTGTAACTTTTACTTTAAATTGTCCCTTGCTCGTGTTATTTCATAGGTCATATTTTGCCTTTGATGTTTCTAAAACTTGTATGCCGGGGTCTAAGCCCTGTTTTCGTTACTTGAACTTTGATCTGACCGAGGGAATAGCCAAATTTCAGTAATATGGTTGTTTTTTTTTAAGATTTTATTTGATGCAACTAGCCAGGGGCGGCCCTAGTGCTTGTAAGCCGTACCCGCAGAAAAATGCCCACTATTGGATAACCTCGTCTATCACTTCCAAGTCAATCGACGAACAAGGGATGTAGCATGTGCTGAAAACCTACAATCAGCAGCCAAGTATGAAGAATCAGCAAATAAGGCCATCTAGCTACTGGAACGTGAGATTCCCGACGGGGCGGTTTGCGTTTCCAGCCCGTCGTCAATCGAATCCCTATAAACTCGAGATAAGAATCAATTAGAGTATTTTTATCTAACATACATTCCATAACACCTCGGATCCAGACTCTGCATCAGATACCATGGAGAAGAAGCCATACCCACTTTCTCCACTGGACCACCTATCACCCCGAGTCCATGTCCCGAAACTCCTCTATTTTTCCTCCAATTCGGACTCAGAAACTATAATCCAAACAATAAAAGATGCCCTTTCAAAAACAATGTCAGCATTACCAATCATTGCTGGATCAGTCGCTTTGTCCCAAGAAGTGAATTGTCAGAAAGGATCTCTTGCGGTGCAAGCTCCTTATTTTGAGGTCAACGACATTCTCTCAGTGAAGGACCTCAGCTCCAAATATGATTTTGAGAGCATCCAAGCCAGAGAATTCCCAACTGATGCAGTAGATGGAGATGTGTTACCAGATCTCTTGGGAAACAACACTCAAGTTCTCCTGGCGCAAGCAAATATCATTCGTGGCGGTCTTGTCCTGGTTTGTGCAGTGCATCATTGTGTAATGGATGAAGCGGGAATATTCAACTTACTGAAATTATGGTCTACCTTTTGTCGCGGAGAGAATGGTGATGAATTGGTGAATGAAGAATGGATAGAAAATTCTACTCTATGGCAGGGGGAAGGCACGGGTGTATTGGAAAACCACCCAGAATATAAACTACTGTCAGAGTCTGTATCTACCACACCATATCTTTCACATGCTTCAGATGTGGTGGATACAGGTCTATTTTTCTTCTCAGACGATTCTCTGCGGCGCCTGAAAGAGCTCGCTAATGAGAATTCTAGTGATTCATCATGGGTCTCTACAAATGATGCCTTGGTTGCACTTATTTGGTCTAGGATAACCTCGGCACGAATAGCTACTTCGGAGTCCGTTATGCCTTGTACAGTATCTGTGTTTGCCATGACTGTCAACGGGCGCAGCCGTCTTCTGCCGCCTATGTCGCCCAACTTCACCGGAAATGTCGTCTTAATCTCCAAGTCCATCAGCAAATTCTCAGATCTAACATCAGAATCCTCAATTTCCACAAATATTGGGACCATTGCACGCATCATTCGTCAATCAGTTAGTGATGTTGGCAATGCCAAAATCAGGGATGTAATTCAAGCAATACGAAGTGTGTCAAATCTCGACAGACTACAACCAAGTGGGTATGAATCTCATCAACGTAACGTCGGGTGCTCTTCCTGGTCAGGACAGCCATATTACAGTCTGGACTGGGGAGAGAAGCTCGGTGGAAAGTGCCGAAGGCTTAGGTGGAGAAGCTTGAAGACTGATGGGATTTTTATCATCTTCCCGAGGATTCCGGGCGATGACGGAGATAGACTTGGGAGGGGAGGGTTGGAAATTTGCATGGGGTTGCAGAGAGAATGTTTGGTAGCATTGAGAGGAGATAAGACTTTTACTCAATTTGCAGAATGGAGATGCTCTTGAAAAGTTAGTTCGTGTTAAATAACGCATGTTTCCCTATCAGGGCATGGCTTTGACAATACAATTTCTCTTGTAATGTATGCACTGCATGCTCGTATTGTATTTAGACTCTGCAATGCAACCATTAATCACTAACTTTGACAGCTTTGCATCGATCAATGATGCTGTCTCATCGAAGCGACCTAAAGCCACGTTATACCTGAATCTTCCCAAAGTAGAAGTAAGTCCTATTTACCAGGGCAATGAAAATCATCAAATCTGATTCACAGGAATGCGAAATAGAGGAGCTACTGACTCCGCCTTTCGTCAATGATATCCAATGAGAGTAATCAGGATGGCGATCACCAATCGCTATTAGTCCGACGCGGTAAAAGGCACCAGGTAAGACCCACTTAGTTAACCTGAATTATACGCAGAAGTAACCCTACGTTGCAATTACACAAGAGTTTTTAACAAAATATTGTTTAGCTTTTCAACATTTATAAGGAGTGGTGCGAACCTTATTTTTACATCCGAACACGCGTATGTCAATCTGTCAGAGCTTTTATGCCAGCCACCGTATCATCGACCCGCACACTAACGAAAACAATGCTAAAATGTCTTAGCTCTTAAAATCTCCTAGTGGCCCCCAGGGTACTTCCGGATGATCTGATCCGGCCATTGCTTCGGACAGCGGCTGCTTTAGGATTCCTCAAATTGTGACATGCAGAGTCTTTCTTTTTATGGTATGGCCCACTCAATAAAGTACATCTTAGCCGCTCCCTTTTCTGTCGTACAAATTTCCCAATTGGTGCTCAACATAGATATCAAAAAAAAAAGAAAAAAAAAAAAAAAAAGAAAAGATATCTGCTTGATTGAAGTTTGGCAGATAGATGTCTGTGCTTTGATGGGATTGTTGTCAAACAATAGCTCTAGTGGACCTTGGCTGGCTTTCGCTTAACCCCCTTGTCCATCTCAAAGTGCTATGACTGGGATCATCGTCCAATAGTTAATCTCATTACGCTGGCACCGACTAGAGACGACAACAGCCCCACGCCTTACTTACTTCTCTCAGGTCCAAAATATTCCGCAGCTTCTTAACCCCTGATCTGTCGGTCTATAAACCATCACACCTTCCGTTTATATGATCTGCCGGTCTTGTATTGGAAATGTTACGCGGCTAATATCCTCGTGGATTAGCTGCATTAGCTTTCCTACTAGTGCTTTTAGCTGTGTCACAGATGTCAGAGTGGCGTGATCGACGGTGCTAACAGGTACTAGTCGGATAACAGGACAGCCACTATGATTTACAACATATATCTTGATTCTCATTGGCATTGCGAAACGACAACCACTTATCAAACTCTCAATCTTCAAACAACAAACCCAATCACTCAGTCATCCCTTCGTTGAAATCGATATTTCACGCCAAAAACATGCACTTCTCACTTATCTCCACCTTTACTGTCGTCGCTGTCATGGCAGGCTTGAGCATAGCTCTTCCTGTCTCCACTACGGTTCGTATCAGTCCCTATTTGGTGATTACGAAACTGGTTCTAACAATTTGAGCAACAGATCGACAGTCGAAATGCCGTGCCTGAAGAAGAAGGTAATGGTGGTGGGCTTACCATACCTATCACCATTGGGCTTCCAATATCATGCTTGGGGATAGCGGTCTGCAACCCTGTTACAGCGGAGGAAGAAAGCAAGTAGGATGGCACGGGAATTCGGGACGGAACGCAAGCGAGTAGACGGAGAAGTTCGGAACAGAGAATTTGGGTGGTCATAACGAATTCAAAGTTGGGAGAAAGTTGGTGATTGATTCGAAGTTGTTCAAGGGTGACCTTATCGATGTGGAAGTTTAATTTTAATACACACTTTGTCCTTCCGAAAAATCTTCTTCCTTCTTGCTGAAATGTTCAAAGAGCGGCTTTCGAATACCCTTGATCATGCACGTGAATGACATAAGTGGAATAAATATGATGAGACTTTCAAATTGGCTAATGTAGGTTTGAAAGGAGCCAAAAAAATAACACGACAGGATCCGGTCTGAACCGTTAAACCGAGCAAGCTTTAAGAGAAGAAAAATGTTTTGCTGATCAAGAACGTATCAAGTACTCTAAAAAAAAATTCTATGTAAATATTACAATAGCTCTGGGCCCATGACTAGTTTCCCTTTGTAGCCAATTACAGCTTTACCATCTAATCTACTCTCACCGAATCTAGATAGGAGTAACCTTAACTTGGACACCGTCCCTTGGTCTTAAAACCAATCTCCACATCTTCAAGTCCTCTGGGTTCTGGACACTTTCATCGCGCTCAAAGTTGTACATACTCAACAAGCAACACAACAAAACCTTCATCTCAGTCTCTGCAAATTTGCGTCCAATGCATCCTCTTGGGCCTTGCAAGAAAGTCATGAAAGCATTGGTCGTGAATGATGATGGCAATTTGTCCCAGCGATCTGGGTCAAAAACATCGGCTGTGGGGCCCCAGTACATAGGAAGATGATTGATAGCATTGGCCAGAACATAGATGACAGTACCAGCTGGAATAGTGTACGGGCCCAATTTATCTTCTTCGAGGGATTGGCGGACAGTCATTGGAATGGGTGGAATGTAGCGGAGGGATTCACGGCAGACGTTGTCTAAGTATGGTAGAAGATCCGCATCCGTCTTTTCTACTGATTCATCATAACGGGTATTTGGATCGAAAAGGAAGGGCATGTGCTCGCGGATTTCAGCCCGGAGTCTTTCTTGGATTTCCGGGTGAATTGATAGAAGGTGAATTGTCCATGCTACACCTGTTGCTGTTGTGTCGTGGCCTGCACCAAGGAAAGTCTGTGAATCAATGCTCGTTAGTCTCCTGCAAATGCGATGAGAATATGTATATAGTCTGCTTACCATGATTTGGTCCCGCATGGTCTCAAATGAGAGGCCTTGCTCACCAGCCTCCTTCATCTTCAAGTTGTCTTTAGCAATCAATGCGATAATGTCCTTGTGGTTGGTTCTCTGCGTAGCTTGCTCTTGCTTCTCGCTGATAATATCCGTTGCAGTCTTGAGAATAATGTTACGCGAAGTCTCCATATCACGGTTCATCTTGGCGGGAATCATCTTGGTAGATGGAATGAATGCTTGAAGGCCGTGCAAAATACGGGATCCGATGTCAAATGCAAAGACAAGACGGTAGGCCTCACGGATTGGAGTTTCAGGGTTTTCAAGAGAGTTGATATCGACACCGAAGCCGGCAGAACCAATAATGTCGAGAGTGGTACGGTTCAACCACTCTAACACCTCGAAAGACTTGGTCTTTAGGGACGCAGCTTCCATCTCTTCCTTCCATAGCTTGGTCAAAAGTAGGGACTTTTGCCAGAACACTGGGTAGAGGGCTCTAATTGATTGAATAGAGAAACCTGGTGCTAAGGACTTTCGTTGATGTACGTGCTCAGCTCCTTCAGCTAGAAGTACACCCTCTCCAAGAATTCTGACCATCCACAACTTCGCACGCACTGGCTTTGGGTAGTTGTATGGATTTCTAGTTGTCATCTGTGAACTTCATATTAGAATCTTTTGCGAAACAGAATTTCAGCATTGGGAAAGGCTTACCTGTTTGAGAGCATCGTCATCTGCCACAGCTAGACGCTCAGCTCCAAAGGGAAAGAAGTATCTAATGATTGGACCATGTACTTGATGCCATTTGCGCTGTGGAACACCACATTCATTGGTAATGATCTCAAAAAATTGACCCCATAGAGGGAAGCCGGGGACTGTAGGAACATGTCGGAGCTCAGAAATGTAGAATGGAAAGATGTAACTGAGGTAAAAGACATATGATGGTATAAACACTCCAAAGACAACGGATATGCAGTACAGAGTACTCCACGATGAGGTTTTCGATATTAGGAGTGCGACTAACGTCGCTGCCCCAGAGAGCGAGGCAAAAGATACTTCGATAGCCATTTTGTCGCACAAGTATGATTGAGGTGAAGAAAAAAATTCCAGCAAGGGAAGGTTGAAATAATATCACTGATGAAAGAAACTCTAACACTAGTAAAATTCCTGACTTGTCTGTATCTGTGGACCTAGAATCTCATAGTTTACTTGACCGATATGAGCCACAGGGCTGGGGATGTTGATCTCGCTGATCCTCAATCCAGAGTAGTCTCTCTGACGTGCTCCACAAAGTCATGACGGCACATAGAGAATTTCGATCTTGAAAAAGTTCCTTAAAGGTAGTCAATATTTCCTGCTAGCACTGCTACAATGCCACGTCGGACTGATTACGATCCTTGCTTGGCAGACCTTGCTTGCTTCCTCTACCTAGCCGCCGAGTTGCAATTATGGAGCGGGTCAAAGCTCAAAGCTCTTTTATCCATAATATGAGTTTTTTAAATAATTGGATTTTTTCAGTAGAAGATCTTCAAACCCAGGAAGCATTCATGCAATAGCTGAAGCGCTCCTAAGACTCGGGTTAAAGATTATGCCGGGTGTGGTGAAGATCGACAAGAACTAGTCAGCCCCCTAGCGTAAGCGGAAGCAGATAACCGAATTAGGTAATTGTACTATATTTTCGAGCCACGAAGATCCAAGATAGCCGAAAGGTACCCGCAAAAGCTTATCTCTAGTCGATTTTCTCGGTCGACAGGAACCCTACGCTACATCAGCTGTGGGTCGTACTAATGACTTCACGAGGAGCTAGTGCACGTATTTCCGGGAAATTCTTCCAATTGATTATCCTCATGCACGCCAAGCACTAGCGAAGATTATTGATGTCCAGAAGGCTCAATCCAATACCTAAAACGATCGCTGGCTTATTGACGTTCCTGAACGCAAACACTGCCCCATGCTAACAAAGTTAAAATTGACAGCAAAAGTTGTCAAGGGGTCGCCTCCTCGAGGCTACGGACCCCTGAATTGAATAGTAGCTGTCAAATTGTAAGTATTCAGCTCTTCATCATTACTCGTCCCGCCAATATGGTCGAGATCGTCGGTGATACATATCGTAGTCTTGATTTTGATCTTCGTACTAGTCCCTAGCAGTGTTGTCAAACCTCTGAACACATGGAAAAGGCGCATTTCAACCAGGACTATCATCGGATCTTTTCTCAGAAAAATTCTTAAGATATAATTCCTGACCCCTACATAACTATAATTATCTTGGACATCAGATTCCTTATTCACAACTTCATTTTCATCTTAATTTTTTTTCCTCTTTCTACGAGTACAGCATCAGCAAACATGTCAAGCAGTACACTTCTTGTCCCGTTTAACGGGGCTGTAAAGTTTTCACCATGGGAAGCCTTCGACAAAGTTTGGACGTCAGTAGCAGGATATCCTGCTGAAGACTTCAAGTTTGTTCCTGGAGAGACTCCAATGGCTACACTAGAGGAAACTCTTGGCATGGTCGTACTTTACTATGCAGTGATCTTTGGAGGTCAAGCATGGATGAAAAACCGTCCAGCATACAAACTGAATGGCTTGTTTATGGCACACAACTTGATGTTAACTGTTGTTAGCGCTTCATTGCTTGTTTTGTTTGCACAACAGCTCATCCCAAGTATCTGGAAACATGGCCTGTTTGATGGTATCTGCGGTGGAAGCGGATGGACCAAGCCATTGGTAACTCTATACTATGTACGTCGCTCGAATTGGAATTGAGTGGAAAATGTTTACTAATCATGAGAAATAGTTGAACTACATCACAAAATACGTCGAGTTACTTGATACTGTGTTCCTGTTCCTCAAGAAGAAGCCTTTGAGTAAGTAATTATGCTCAGTCAACACCTCAAGAGTGCTAAATTGTGATTTAGCTTTTCTTCACTGCTACCACCACCCAGCAACAGCACTTTTGTGCTACACTCAACTTGTTGGACATACCCCGGTATCTTGGGTTCCGATCACTTTGAATCTGTTCGTTCACGTTGTCATGTACTGGTACTACTTCCAGAGTGCACGTGGAATTCGTATCACTTGGAAGGAGTGGATTACCCGCCTTCAAATTATCCAATTCGTCATTGATCTTGTAGCTGTCTATGTAAGCTCCCTTATTTGTCCAAGCATCTAATTCTTACTAACACTTTTTCTAGTTTGCCTCGTGGAACTACTGGACTAGTACCTATCACAAGTCTCTTCCCCACGTTGGAACATGTGCGGGTGAACCATACGCTGCTGTCGCTGGTTGCACAATTCTCAGCTCATATCTTGTTCTCTTCATCTCTTTCTACATTGCTACGTACAAAAAGACCCCAGTCAAGAGAACCACAATCAAATCTCAAGATGTGAAGAGTGGAGGAAAATCATAATCCTTGAGAGTTTGAAACAGAATGCAATTGTTAAAAACCTATCTCTTCTGGGTATCAATGTAGCAAGGGGAAATGGGAAGGGTTCCTGGGAGAGAAATTAGACGCGATCTCAATCCGGGTTAACGGGAAATTTTTGTATCTAGTCGATTCTATTCAGTAGCATAATGTATTTTTACCTTCTATGAGAGTTTCGAGAACAAATGAGGATAGTGATTGTAATTGGTGGAATTGAGCACTCCAGTCACATCTAGATACACTGTTCGGTCAAAAGTTACGTACTTGGAATGTTACAATTTCACCGTTCGATAAGTTAATTCCTAAACCTTGTACTTCACAGAAAGTTGAGACATCTCCAATTTAAGCACGCAAGCCCCAGCAACTACTGGTTACCATTGACTTAGATACGCTACCTGGTCGGCTTTAGGACATTTTCCAGCCCTAAATCTTGGAAACTACACGTATGGACCCTCTGTGGAGCCATACTATGATTCGGACCTTTTTAGATTGAAACTCTGGTCGATTTCCTCTTCCGTGTGCAGATCCCCATAATATCAATGCGTAGTACTTTTATTGTGGAAACCAAAACTAGCAAACTCCTGCGTCTAGTCCATGTGCCGTCCATGGCCTAATCTGACGTAGCAACGCAGGTGGCTGGCTGGATACCATTCTCTACTTTGGCTTATCTAGCGTGTATGACGATCCTTTACAAGGAAGATCTTTTAGTAGTACTTTAGGAAGTTTGCAATCCCGAGGCTCTAAAAATTGCTAGAGTTTGGTAAATTTACGAAAGAACTAGGGTGTCTCATTATTTTCTGACTATTGGGTTTTGCCAGCAAGAATAGGTTTGTTGAAAATTTGTTTCCCATGAAGATCCAATGCAACCGATTTCCGCACCGCGGCACTAAACTGGCAATCACAGCAATCCTATTTGCGCGCCAATCTTCGACATGGAAGTGAGGATCCGTCCAATATCAAGAAATAGAAGTTGACCCGTCCCTCTTCCCTCGTATGATCTCACGCAACATTTCACATGTTAATCTTCTCAGAATAGCATCTCATTGCAGAAACACACCATCTTCAGTACGAGTTTCTACCTCCAAAACTTGAGATGGATAATTTCACAGGTAGTGGTCCTGAAACCACGCACATGTATACAGAATATGTCACGCAACATCACACCCCACGCCAGACTCTTTTTCTCTGTATACTTTCATACACTTTACACATTCTTTTGCAATGCTTGAACTATATTTGTACATGGTCGACAGTATGGAAACTCGCTTTCGTTGCTCTAGCGATCGGAAATCTCAAAAACTTGCCATTGATATGGCATTTACGTATCGTCAACGCCTTCCGATTTTGTCTTCGCTCACAGCGTCCAAAAGTCAAATGTGGGCCAAACCAAATTTTTCAGCCAATAATTACGGAGTCCCACGCTCCTTTAATGGAAATTGACTTCAATCTTCATAGTAAGTCGCACACCTCATCAAACCTACCTACAGCTACTGACTTCTTTAGAAACCAACAGTTCTTATTTTTCCGATGTCGATGTAGCTCGCACACACTTGTTCTGTACGCTATTCTCGGAGGGAATCGAGCAGATGAGAGGTGGAACAGAAGCGATTACAGGGTCGAAAGAGCCTACATTTGGTATTGCTTTGGGAGCAGTAAACTGCAACTTTAAAAAAGAACTCAAGCCATACGAATCATATGAGATGTGGACAAGGGTCCTATCATGGGATGAAAAATGGATATGGCTTGTCACACATTTTGTGCGAAAGGACTCTTCAAAACCGAAGTCATACACCCTTTATCCACAACAAAAAATAGACAATCGGGAGGAAAAGTGCAAGGACTTGGATCCAAGAGCTGGAGTCGTGGCATGCTCTCTTAGCAAATGTGTTTTCAAACAAGGTCGCAAAACGATCAGTCCCGAATTCATGTTGAGAGCTTCTGGTCTATTGCCAGATAACCTTCAGAAAGAAGACTTAGATGTGCAATCAGGCGGGGATACAAATTCATTTGATGCTGAAGAATGGACACATGCGAGGATAGAAGAAGAGAGATTAAGGGGAAAGAAGATTGCAGACACTTTGTCTGCGGAAAGCCAGCAGGACCTGGAGCAATCATTTACAGGAGGATCAGAAGCTCTGGGGAGACATACTGATGGTACGGGCATAGTTGGTGTCGTCTCTACTCTTGCTCAACTGGCTGGTCTGAAGAGGGACCAAATCCTGTAGGCAATTGACGCTCATTCATTCTGGAATTAAGTTCCAATGACGACAGTATAGAATGTAATTTTACGTACTCAGGGCAAAATGATTGGATAGAATATAGATTATTATTACTCATTGAGTTGAGATGAATTTATCTTTACAATTGAACATGATTTGGGTGTTCCATGCTTCCATACACGATGTTTTTCCCGACAGGTTGGCCAAGCGAAAATGATCTACATGACCTAAAATGTTTAGCTGAACAGCCACGGACGCGCCTCCTTATTGAAGATCTACAGGAAGAACCTTCTTTTTGGATGAACTGAGCACCATTTTAGTTAGCACCTTGGATAATCTTGGTACTGAGCATCCAATATTCGTAGTAATCGACGCTTGAAGTAAAACACAATACCTATTTACTGCGTCGTAATCTCAATAGAAGAATAAAAAGAAAAGCATTAAAATAATTTTGAGTCGCGATCAACCTCACAATAATTTCATGAAAACGCCATCCTCATGCATTTATGGTGTGTTTAAACGATAAAATGAGGTCCCCAACCGAAAATACAGCACCAAATTCGGATCTAGTGGAAGAATTCGACCCTTCTCGGCAAGGTTCCCCCAAAGAATCCTCATCTCAAACTTCGGAAGATAAAGGAGAATCAGCAGTTTTGGATGAGAATAACAGCTTTCATCAGCAAGAAAGGTCCGGCATCAATCAGCAAGAACTTAGTGAGCAATACGAGACTCAACAAGAGCTATCAGCGGAAGTTAAAGCTGGACATGAAGATTGTTCCTTTCCAAATCTTACGGGAGGAATTGAAAACCAATCATTTAACGACAGAAAAACTACCGAAGGAGTATTGAATGCCAAGTCATATGAGCAGGGAGGTTTTCAATATGCCTCAAGTGGAAGCAATAAAAGATCTTTGCAAAATACAGAGACCTGGTTGGCGGATTCGCGAAAGGATGATGCAACTCAATCACAGCTCTTCGATGATTCGACTAGACCTTTCAACGGACAGTCAATTCCAAATCGCAACAAAAGCACTTCACGAGAGAGTTTGAATGCTCAGGAAAATCCTCCACAACCGGAAGATGAGCCTAAGAGTTCCGGGGACTCTCTACACGACAGGAAGGGAAAATTTAATGACATCAGTCCGAGTTCACGTCCAACTACCGACGAAAGCACACAAATAAGCTCAAGTTTTTCGGGCTTCGAATCATTTTCCGACCTACGAAAGTTGTCACTTGATGACGAAAGCCTTGGAATTACCCATACGGAAACTCGGGACTCACGAGCCACCAAGAAATCGGGCAATAATACAGTCCTCAATGACTTATTTGCAGATATTGTACAATCAACCGAGCCATCGCTTCGACATCTCGCATCACAAAGCACGCTTAGCGAATCATCTAGTATCAAAATAACTAAGACCGCTCGGCGAGCAAAACGTATGTCAACTCCCGTGGAAGAGCAGAGACATCCTGGAAAACCGGGATTATGGAGTGATAAATTTATGAAAAACATAGATGAACTCGTGGAATGGGACTCTGCAGAACCAAACACGGGATCATTGATTTCGATTAGTAATCCAGAAACCCTTGCCGGTCCAGGAAATAATGATCATTTTGACTCCCCGCGTGAGCAGCAACAGCTGGACGTTGAGCATCCGGGGGCTATTGCTTTGACATTTCTTACAATTGGACTATGTCTATCGGTGTTTTTGATTTCTTTGGATAGAACCATTATTACAACTGTATGCATCAATACCATTCCTTCCTTATACATGATCCTAACATGTGGCCCAGGCAATTCCATATATCAGCGGAGAGTTCCAGTCATACGCAGATGTCGGGTGGTACGGAAGTGCATACCTACTCACAGCATGCGCGTTCCAACCTTTCTATGGAAAAATCTTCACTAGCTTTAGTATCAAATGGTCATATCTAGCCGCGAATATGACGTTTGAGATAGGATCCTTGATATGTGGAATAGCGCCTAATTCTTTAACATTGATTATAGGTCGAGCCATCGCTGGTGTTGGGAGTGCGGGTATTCTGACCGGTTCTTTTGTTGTAGTCGCTCACAGTGTACCTATGCACAAACGTCCTGTTTTTACGGCGGCGGTGGGTTTGATGTAAGTCCTACGAGCTTTTTTTCAGCACCTTATCTAACGAAACTTTAGGTTCGGATTGGGAGCTACAGTGGGGCCATTGCTTGGAGGAGTTTTCACCGATCTCGTTACATGGAGATGGTGCTTCTATTTTAATCTTCCTGTTGGTGGTGTAACCATCTTGGCTATGATTGTATTCTTTAATCCGAAGAACAATATGATCACGAAAATTTCGTTCGGTTCTAGAGTCTTGGAGCTAGATATTATTGGAAATTTTCTCTTGCTCGGTGCTTGCGTCATGCTTTTCATAGCTTTTCAGTACACCGAAGAGGTAAGTCTCATCTTTATTTGAACTTGATAGTTTTGAGATATTGGGCACTGACCACATATTAGGGGTCCTCCTGGTCCAGCTCAAAGGTCATCGGTCTCCTCGTCGGTTTCAGTGTAACTATAGTAGTATTTGGACTATGGCTTTGGTATCAAGGCGACAAAGCCCTTATTCCACTTGACATCCTCAAACAGCGCAGCGTACTAGCAAGCTGTCTCTTCTCATTCTTCATCTATTCGGCCTTGATAATCCACAGCTATTATTTGCCGCAATGGTTCCAAGCAATCAAAAATACTTCAGCCATCACATCCGGTGTTGATATGATCCCCTATGTAGTCTGCAACGCTTTCTTCTCACTCGTGGCCGGTATCGTCGTCTCTAAATCCGGATACTTTACCCCTCCTACTATTATCGGTACTGCAATCGCCACGATAGGTTGTGGATTGATCAGCACACTCAAAACTGATACCACCTCCGCCCAATGGATCGGCTACGAAATACTAAGTGCAGCGGGTTTTGGCATTGCGATCCAACAAGGATTCACTGCTGTTCAAACTGTCTTGCCTCTGGAAAAAGTACCCATCGGTACCGCTGCCGTAGTTGCATCGCAGTCTTTCGGCGGTGCGATTTTTGTTTCTGTCGGTAATACCATTCTTCAGAACCAATTGAAATCTTCTGCGAAAAATGGACAACTGCAAGGAATTGATATCCAGGCTGTTTTGGATGCTGGTGTTACTGGCATTAGATCTGTTGTCGATGCTGATCAATTACCTGCGGTGTTGGCAGCATATAATGGGGCATTGCAGAAAGTTTTTATTGCAGCGATTCCTGTTACCGCGTTGGCATTTGTATCCTCCTTATTTTTGGAATGGAAGAGTGTTAAGACGAAAGATTCTGCTGAACGGGTCTGAGATTGTTTTGATATGGCGTTTCTAGGATTGGTCCGGGCAAAGTAAATAATACACACACGTATAATAGTTTAGGTCTATAGTAAATTGTAATTAAGATAACTCATTTGTATTTAAAACCAATTGAATGGGATACCCAAGGGTCAAGCTAGCGTACGTAGCCAGACTATGATAATATTAGATGGAATTTGGTACATCATCTATATTCTTTTGCTAGATCTAGATCTAGGTAACTCAAAAGATGCGTGTAAGTCACAAATGTCCTTTAGCCGTCCCCAAATCCCCCATAATTCAGCGGTCTTCAGCACTTGAAAACCGTCTCTATCAATTTTTCCCATTTATCCCAAACATTTTCTCCGCCTCTCATGATATCATCCAATTTTTTGTCCATAGCAAAGTCCTCCACGTCCTTCCCTGTAACCAATTCCATCCATTTACTTCCTTCGCTCCTATTTGCAGGTTTCTCAGTGGATACTAAGTTGTTGTTCAATCCTCGGGAAACCAGATTTTCCGGCTGTGGTAGAACTCCTATGCTCGGAGAGGAGAGGCGAGAAGTTGTTGATATTGATGCGATCGGGCTAGATTTAGCTTGGATTTTCCTATACAGTAGAACAAGCACATCTTGGCGAGGGTGACCATATGATCCGTGAGATATAGGAGGAGCAGAGCTAGAGTGAGTAAACTTTGATGACCCGGAACTGGCGTGGCCGACAGCGAATCCGCGGGCCAATATTTGAGTATTAAAGAATTTGTCCACGAGTGATCTTGATAATTTAGCATCAGCGTCTGAGGAAGCGCAAGAGCCGAGATACATCAGAAGGATGAAAATAGCGTGGTGAGGTTGTATAAGGCCAGGGATAATCCATCCAGATTGTGCTTCACCAGATTCATTGGATAGATAGAGGTAGTTTTGAAGAAATAAACATGCAGCTCTGGGTTAAATATGTTAGTGACGATACAAGGGAAAGCAATTTCGATAATAACAAACCGGACAATGTTTTGGCGCCACCTAGTGTCCTGCAATTGTCTCGCTTCACAGAAGTTCAAGCCCAGCAGGCAATATATTTCATCAATCAACAAATTCAGATATGCACGTAATCCTAGGGCTTCTGCGTCTCCTTCTGGCAATATATCTCGATGATTCTCCATCGTTTTGACAAAGTGAATCAAATCTTCTTGATTTGGCATCTTTCTAATCCAGTTGCGCATACGATGTACCCACCGACACTGACCTTGAAAGGCAACCATCATTGACAAATTCCGACTCTGGTTTGGGGCATGGCCGACGTTTTTGTCTATAGGTAAAGAAATACTGGCTGTGTACCCATTCCTGGGTATTAATGAACGTGCACCTGTCGCGATCGTTGATTGGAGATCTAAAAACAACAAGTGCCACCAAATTCTCTTCTCAACTTCGTTTTGAACTTCAAAACTATGGCATGGCTCCTCAGAATGGAGATATAATGAATGGGCGATTCGAATTGCAGGAGACAAAAATCCATATCCGAATGGTGAGGATAACGTGCGTGCTTGAAATGTATTCACAAGAAGGTACGCTTGCAGGAGCTTAATGGCCGGTGATCTTCGGTGTATCTGGTATGTTGGAAGAGTAACTATGTTCAACAGCTGCTCGTATAGATCGTGTAATGTCCTCGACTGTGAAATGTTTATGGTAGAATTGGCAGCCCCACAATATAAAACAGCCAATATGAGTAGTGCAGATTCGACGGGAGTGTCAGACGAAATATTGGTCCAGAAGTTGGTGTAGTCATCTATGACAGTGTCGATATGGCATATAGGCACTGCAGATTGTATTCCGAGAAAAATGTCCAAAAAATGGTCGCAAACTTCCCGTGCCGGGACTTGAGTCCGAAAATAGGAGATAAAATCGTCGCCCAATTCCTTAAGAGTAAGGCCTATACTTCTTGTGGGTCGATTGAAAATAGTATCGATGTCATTTATGGGAGTCCTTTTGGGGGAATGAGACGACGGTATTTGAGTCACTCCACGCACTGGCAGATTAGTTCCTTGTAGTTTGATTTCGAATTTTCTCTTGATGATTGGGTTCAATACATCAGGTGATGGTGTTTTAGCAGCCGAAATCCTCGGCACATTCACCTCAATGAACTCGAATTCTGGTATTTCACTGTTCAAATATTTACAGGATCGTCCTCCTTTCCTACACTGTTTGCAAGACGGCCTCTCACGGCTGCACTTCACCTAGAATTGTCAAATTAGCACAATGTATGACCGTGGTTGAGCATTAAATACTTACTCTTCTACCACGACATGTCGTACAGGCTGTTGTCCTCCGATATCGTCTGATGCCATTAGAGCCTAGAGTATGTGCAGTTCCTGGAGGACTGAGTGACATCTTCGATGTATGTGATCTTGGCTGAAAGCAGGTTGCAGATCTGGGTGGTCGAGGCCTAGCAGGAAGTTCGAGAGATATGAATGTCGAGTGGTGTACTTCCGTAGTATATCGATCATATTTGAAGAAGTGTGTTAGTTATCAATATAGTTCTTATGTCCAGTCGGAACCAGGGAAAAGGTACAAAATTTAGACTTCATTAGACAGGGATGATTTAAACGTCCGGAACGCAGCTGTCTACCCCATAGAGATTAAACCTTATCGGCAAGTAAAACACCAGGTAAAATCATATCATAATCCTACTGACGCGCATCTTCGCCTGAGCCACCATCCTTAACCTTGGATTAGTGGATGCATTCACGTTTAGCAGGCTCCAGAACATGAATATGGTACTCAAAACGGAGGAATTCTAGGTCCTACATAGGCCCACTATGATCATAACAGCGGGGATATGTTCCAGAAGATCACCTTTAGATAGCCTCGAACGAGTTTGGTTACCTGCTATGAATGATTGCCCGATCAAGGTATCTGTCCCGAAGTCTTAGTCCAACCTTAATCTCAAGCTCAAGCATAAAAATAGATATTGGTATCTTAGCTTTTGGCTTTGGTTGTTGCCAATTTTTCCGACGTTAGAACTATGAATGAAGCACAGATGGATCTTGCGTTTTTTTTTCATAAGAACCAACAAATTTTGTGCTGACTTTTCCGGCTGTGATCTTCGTAACACATGGATTTTGACACCTTTTGACTGTCATGTAGAAATTAACCCCATCTATCCATCTAGATGACGACCGAAATAAATGGACTGCGGCCAGGCACTTTCTGGATGATGCATTGGCAACATGGGTATGTGGCTATAGCTAGTAATTTTTGGAGTCATGCCTTTTAGGATGAGCACTAACGGGGTCCACGGTAAATACCCGATGGTCTGTGTTGGCACTTTGATTTTTATGTTCCAAGGATCCGAAAAAGAATCCATATATTGCTGGCGCTTATTCAAACACAAATGGGCTGCTAACCAAGAGAATTTTATCCTCCGTTGACTCCGTTGAGCGAAGTCCAACGCTGGTGAAGGGCTTACAATCTTGTACCTTTAGAACCTTATTTCAGGCCCTTAAACCGGCCACAATGTTTGAATGAGAGATGTGAATCGACGCGGGTAGCTTGCTGTGTTAGAGCAATAAGGCCAAAGGGCCCTTCAATGTTAAGCAACTGCGGGGTAGAGATGCTGCCTACCCACATTGCTGCTTAGGTGGATAAGTTTGCTGTTATTACCTATGCAATGAAAGAACACGGATTTATTAACCCAAGTGCTTCCGTCGAACGAGACCACGACCTCATGAAGACAAATACCATATGGCATAGTCAAACGCAGTTGCTGCATTCAATCTCCGCGGAAGAATCGATGGCGGGAGACAAAGATGTGATAGATGGGATAGTATCAAAGGATTAAATGCTCACTGTTATCAGTTTGTAGGGGCATTGATATCGATGATGGGGGTCCGGTAAAGTTTCGGCAAGGGCAAAGTAGAAAAATCTTTCGGCACCATGGATATTGGGGTGAAATTTTAGTAGGCTAGCTTATTAATTGTAGCAAAATACCTGAATAGCGACTTTTCGATTGTGTGGAATATGAACACAGCCAATATGAGCAGAACCGGCGGTATGAGTTGAGCAGTGGGATATATTCGGCGAAAGTCAACCGCACACTCCTGAGACTCTAAATATCCTCAGAAATCCTCCGGGGAGTAAACCTTCTTTGGTAATCATTCCTTCAACTTCAAAACAAATAAACTCGTCTAGCCTTATTGTCTGTGATCTTCGCCTCTAATCATTGGTATATATTTGATAAAAAGCTCCGACATCACATGATTGGCACTTTGGCGGAGTGGTTAACGCGATGCCCTGCTACTGTTCCACACAGAGTCAGGCATTTCCTTCGGGAGCGAGTGTTCGAATCACTCAGGTGTCGTTTTGAAGGTTAGATCTTATGTTATTAGTAATCACTTACTTTTTTCATTTTTCATTTTAATTTTGCTTCCTTCTTTTAATTTGACATAAACATCAAAACATCAAAACATTTACTTTTGTTAAATCCTTATAAGGCATTATTCCCGGATAAGTGGGGGAGATTTGCGGGACGAGTGAGCAACGGAGCGAGACCTGAATTCGCGTATAACAAGCGAAAACGAAAGAACAGACAGGGTGTCATGTCAGCACTAGGCATCTTCTTGGCTACGGGGCAGTGTTCCGTTATGTTTATTTGAACTTTGTCGATTCTTACTTCTCACTTCCATTCAACATTGCTCCGTCCCTACCAGTCTTTCCAGATTCAAGAAGCTTGGAAGTTAGAAGATAAGCAATAATTTACGACCCCCGAGCTGAAGTTTAGGGGTCATGACATACGTCGATCTAATGCCCACTAATTCACGGAGTGTATCAGCACTCCGCGAACGAAATGCAAGTCTCCTCCCCCAGGTGAATCGCCCGAGGCGAGATAGTGCTGTCTTCCGTATCACTTTATGCAGAAGAGGAGGAGGCTCTTTACCTCCCTTATCTCTGTTGGGTTAATACAAGCGATTCATCCAATCCATTTTCAATTTGCATGATATCCATTTTCCAAAATGGGTACCTGATGATACACATGTTCCCCCTTTTGGACTGCTCGCGCGAGGTTGCTGCGTCTTGGCGCATGGGGGCTAAAAATTGATGATCGTCATCTTACAGCCCAGTGGCTACTTACGACTCTTCTTATCCTCCTCTGTTGTGCGTCACTTTCAGGATTTATACAAGCAGACAAGCGTGTGTATGGTTGAAGCACGTGATACTTTATCACATGGTTCGTACGACAATTTTTAAGGCGTTCAAAATGTCCAGGATCCAATGTCTCGACGCAAGATGCTTGCTTTCTAAACATGTTTGAGAAGTGGAACTTGTTTTATATTTTTAGATTTCATTCAACTGTTGAGCGTATTTGATAGGTTAAAACTTTACCTGAAGTATCAGGTTAGCATGAACGACAAACAGTTTTTCAGACCTTAACGTTATGAACACGGTCTAGACAATTCGAAACCTTGGCGTCTTGTTCTCCTTGTTTCTCATAAAGTCTGCACAAGTGGATGCGCTAAGACTCCAATGTCTCAATCAACAAAATTCTAATGATGATATACATGTTCACCGCAGTCTGTCGAAATTCTCAGCTGTGATTTTGAGTTCGCTAATTACGGTACTTTCGGATGTCCGATTCATTCGTTCTGTGCCCTTGCCCCACCCAGCGTTATGCGTTCGGCGTGTCTAGAAAGGGAAGTTATTCGTATATTCGTATCCTTTAGTGAGTCATGTTGCGCTGGGTCATGATTTCGAATATATCGTCATATTCTTGTATAGAGATCAATCATAGAGTCGAGTGGCCGGCTGATGATCCCATAATCTTTCATTGGTACCAGAGAAACATTATAGCTGTTCCTACATACAATATCAGTGACTACATATAGAAACTTGCTGTACCAGCCAGTATAAAGCACAAAACCATATGAGGTCAGTTTACCCTGACACATACACTCAACTCCAATGTCCCATGACCTCCTAAACTATGAACTGAAGAAGGATAGTGTTCGGCGAGAAATATCAATTTGTTACAGCTAGTGACGTACTATAATATATCGGCTCCATAACCCTAATTCACTTTGAAATAAACCCCTTCCTTGATGACAAGTGAAAAACATGGGAATTTCCCGGAATGTACGCTAGGGAGATGGAGGTCCTGATCGGAGAATATTTCATTAAACTTTTCACCTTTCGGACGACAGAATTTCTATTTAACGGCCAAGAAATTGTAAGGCGAACTGGTGAAATCAATGAACCGGGTTTGTGTATCATGTATCAGTACACCTCCATCAATAGACTTTGGGTCGGCTGTTATCGATATGAAAAAGCTATGCATACGGATGCTGACTCGATTGTACGTAAGGGGTTCGAGCTCAGGGTCTAGGGACATAAAGGCGGACACATGAAAGAGGACTTATAGCCCGCTAAAATGGGGAGAGAGTCGACAAGTGGCTGGTGGAACCCATGGTTAAACTTGAGATTAGTTTTAGATTTTCCTGAAGGAGTATCGTGGGTAATAAGGAAGGAAAGACTTGGTGAATGTTGAGTGGTCAAATTATTCGTTTTCTTTTTGTATTTAATCCTCAAACCCATCAGGTTTTCCAGAGGGCTGAGAAATAATAAATCAACTATCTAAGCTGAAATATTCAATATTGTTATGCCTTCTTGAAGGTTTCTACTGTTTTGAGATGTAAATTCACTTCATGGATATGCAGCGCAGATTTGATCCGGTAATTTTCCACGGTAATGATACGAATCAATCAGCGCTTGCATTTCGTTTAGAATGACTTGTTATATTAAGATGTATGTGGCGCTGCTTAGATGTATCTTTCGTTCTTAAAGTCGTTGTAGGTAGGACAGGTTCTAGAGCCGGGAAGCTGGTAAATATCGGGACTCAGTAGATAGATGGTGCGTACTGAGGATTATCACTAAGAATATACTTGGGATCTATTGTACAAGATGGATCAATCGATTATCTTCTAGTAGACAAAGCGCTCGTCAAGATATCTATGGTTCTGCGGTGGACACGCAGGAGCTCGAGTCTAACCTTTACGCCGTATGCCACTGATTTTTCAAAACCATATCTTGATTACCAAGAATTTCCACATGGTCAAGGAGTTCATAGTACTTCTACCGCTTGTGGATTTACAGCTTTGGCCGGGATGCGTCGTATGTGTCGAATCACTCAGCGATTTTCAGATTATCTTCAAGAAAGCGACGCCGGAAAACATCCGTGGGTGAATGGACACAACAATTCAATACATCATAAGCTTTGACATATTTGCAAGCAGTTATTATGAGCGGTATATCATTCAGTCGTGATTTGAGGATGCTGAACGATAAGGAAAATCATGATGCATCGCCATATGACAGTCCTTGTGTCTGAGTTAGGTGCTCCGATGAACACTGTAAAGTATCTCTATATTAACCTAAGTTAAGCAGAATCAGATGTTAGCATAGTCTCAAAAAATCGCTAGGATACATGCGTACCATTGAGAAATCTGGGTTTTTGAAATTGATCGCCTCATACTTTATTCATGGTGCTGAGAAGTTTTCTACCCTCAGTAAATTCCAAACAGGTTGGCACATGAAACGAGGAACTGATCTATCCATCTCAGATCTATTTTCTACACTTCTTGCAGCACAGGATTAAGAGGCTGGAAACACTTTCGACAAACAAACAATGATTGTTGCAGATGGTGTTCTTATTACTGCCCATATGAATACCATTGCATCAGTATTAACAGCAAAAATTTCCTATCTCCTTCGGCGTTTGCGTGGTTGCATATGTTTGGAGGAAGAAATCAAAGAAAACTAGACTGATGTGGATGATATCGAAGTTGGGATTAAAATAAATCATTACAGATATCTTACTATATGCATTGACGAGTTAGTGCTACTTTTGATCGATATTGAAGCAAAAATACCACCGGATATCATGAATGCCGGAGGAATTATTGATGTTCAACACTTTTTTGCTAGAAAACACTCGAAGATTCATTTATTTTTTGGTCTGAAAGTGGGCTTCAGAAAAAGAGAGAAAAAATAACATTGATAGCTGCTGGCAAAAACCCCGAATCTGTGAATTCAACAGCGTTGCCTTGTTTGGCATAGAGATGATGAGTTTTGTAGGGAACGACTTGGTATATTAGGTGATGAAACCTGTGTGGTGCGGTTGATCTGGCAGTTTGATATGAGATTAAGTGGGTAGAAAAGGAATAACTGTAGGCTGGGTAAAGAGAGGAAGAAGGAGTTCCAAACTTAGGAAAGATTAATGAAAGTCTGACAGCTGATTTCAGAAGGAAAAGGTGAAATGACTTCTAGGAGGGAGAGGCATGGAAGCATTTAAACGGTGTTATATTTCCTGTCGGTTGCTATTCTTGGCAGATATATGTACTTCGGCTACCATCTTGGCCAATTCTACGGGTCCGTTCGGATTGATTTTCAAAAATATTAGAAATATTAAACTCAATAAAATATTTGAATATAGTTGAGTAAAAACTAATATATTTAGAAAACATTCGAAAAAGTAACAAAGGGATAATTATAAAAATAAAGATTTTTCAAATATTTTGTTCAACAACCCCTAAAAGCTATTATTGATCACCATATAGGAAAAAGTTCGAATATTTAATCAAATATATATTTGACCTAATATTTTTATTGAACTCAATATTACATTCAATAAACATAGATATTTGACTCAATATATATTGGGTGAAATATTATATTTGATTCGACCATATTGGGCCTAATATATTAGCCCAAATGTGATCAAATGTGAAAAAAATCGATCCGAACGCGCCCTAAGGCTTTCTTTGGCTTGGCTAGACGTAAATTGACCAGAAGGACGTCTCCAATACGATCTTGAAACGATCTTTTAGCATCTCCAGGGTACATACTTTATGACACTTCGAGTATATTGTATTTTGAAATCAAAATGTATCCTGAAGGATCGGTATGAAAGTATTCACATATTTAGAATCGCTCGTACGTAAATTCGTTCTGTGGCGATAAGATGTCATCGAGCCAGCGGACACATTATCACGTGATGATACGATCATTCAGGTCGAAATCTCCATGAGTTATCTCTTGTGTATCAATTTTCGGTTTTCAAGGCAGTTTTGCAGAATGTATTGAGTGATTCCCAATTGAGTGATATAAAAACGATCCGCCCTTTGTTCTGATCACGAGACCATTCCAAATTAGAATGCTAGAGTGGCATTAACCTAGCAGACGGCAGATTTAACCTTCTCGGTTTCAATTCCGCACGACTTTTAAAACTATAATCTTTACGCATGACAAACCCTTCAACTTCAGACTTCTGAGAACGAGACCAACTTTCTCCGAGGCAAGATAGATACTCCAATCTCTTAAGCCGGATCAAATCTTTCCCTTCATCTGTCATATCACACCAGATACGGCGTAGGGGCAATCACGTCCGAGATCTTGAACCTGGATTCAATGGCTAATGTCAATCACAATAGCGTACATAACACATCTCACGCGTGACAAGCCCAGCTGTTTGTCGTACATACTCTTATCTCTAATGACCGACTCATTTATACACGCTCGATTGCTACTCCTATCGAAGGTTGTAGCACAATCAGAAGTATCAATGGAGGCGGCGGCTAGCCCCTACTATCTTACGAGTGAGAGTGAATGCAAAGAATCCACGCCACCAGAGAGATGTCTTTGAAGCCAAATTTTGTCCCTTCCATACATAAAGATTTTGCACTACTAGCTAGCCATTCCCAGTATATTAAGGTACAACCTAGGGATATTAGCTTTCCACTGCTGGCTTTTGGGGGAAATTCCTTAGTCTAGGGATATAGTGCAGAAATGATCGCGTGGCTTTTGCGAACTGCACGGCATTCTACGATTCCCAATCGAAGCAAATTAAGAGAAAGTTAAGAAAAAGTTAAGACCTTGATGTGGTAAAAGTCTTGGTTTGAAGTTGCTCCACTGTCCATTCCCAGTATGGTATAAGTACAACATTTGAAAGTTCGACAGTTGTAAAGGAGTCTGGAAACACTGCAAAAATCACCAGAGGGCTTGAGGTCATGACATTAGCTCTTGCGGAGCATTCTTTTCAGCCAAATCACAATGTTTAGAAGAAACATCGAGGAGCCTTGTATCAACTGTTGCCACCTTAATGGTTTAACCTCCAGGAATTGGTATCCGGTGTCAGTCAATACCCATTTCCTTGCAGCTTTGTATTCCACTGCGCCTTCCCCGCGGCCAGTGGCAAACCACCCACATTTTCGGGTAACTCAAAGTTGGTTTAAGGTCCGCGTATCTTCCCCGCATTCTTGGCTTCTAGTATCAGCTGCACAATTTTATCTGGTACCGTATGTCTGTGCTTCCACTTGACCGGAAAGCTTATTTACTACGTATAACCCAGCATATACAAGCGCAACCGGGACAACTTTGCACATACCATACCTCCTTCGTATGAAAATGATTTCAACAAGGAGCACAATTCTTTCATTATTATCGCATCAGTCTCTGATGGAAAATCAAGCCCGCCTCACAAAGACAGAGTAGGTAGCAATCAGATGTTTGATACAAATTTCCGAATTGTATATTCTTATTTAGATACGCCATGTAAGTGGTTTGCTATGCTAATACGGATCTCAGCGCTCCTATCGTAAATACTCTACACCAATAATATCTTAGCTCAAGAAGTTCCTTTCCAATCTTGCCGTTCACTCGACACCCCCAAGGACTTTAGTGTTCACCCACTAGTCTGGATCTGGACATCTTCTCCCAAAGTCTACGAGAACTTTTAGGTGTGAGCCCTTCTGTACGCTGATCTTCAGAATTAAAGGTTATGGGGGCGAATGTGAAGCCTTCGACAAGTGCCGAGAAAACATAAGGTTATTAGTACAGGTTGTAATATGTACATAATACTCGACTCCCCATATTCACAATTACTTTTATACAGTCTCATTATCTTTGCTTGCATTTGTCAGTGTCATTTTACTATTAATTTTTCAATCAACACTCTTCTTTTATCATAAAACACTTTCATTATGGCAACCGAGTTGAACCGCCAGGCAAATTCAAATGGTGTTCCACTGGAAAAGGATTTTTCGCACACTAGCAATCACTATGGAGACGGCAGCAATCCGTATCATATGAATGATATTTCAATGGGTTCAGATGACGCATTGAAAAGGATCAGGACAGCTGGTAGTATCAGTATCAGTCCAGAATTGTTCGAAAAGATCTATCTTTCTCCACAAAACACCGTGAAAGGTGATTTAAGGAAAACCTTTGGAAACCCTACTCCAGTGTATGTCCATCTACTATGCTTTGAAGTCACCAGCCTAACGGAGTATGTAGCGCATTACTTGGGTTTTTAATCTCCCTCTCACCATTATCATGTGATCTTATGGGCTGGCGTGGAGCAGGTGGTAATGGTGCGGCTGGAATGTAGGTGTCTTGTTTATCTTACTGATCCTACTTTGTTATCTCAACTTACCCATCCTTAGTGGCTCCTATTACTTCTTTGGTGGACTCCTTATGATTGTTGGCGGCTTTCTCGAGTTTATTCTAGGCAACACTTTTCCCTTTGTGGTATTCATCTCCTTCGGTGCCTTCTGGCTTACATTTGCTTCCACACTACAGCCTTTCTATGGCGCATATGGTCTTTACGCTCCTCCCGGCGGTACTGCAGCTGATGGTCTCCAAACTGTTGGGTTCAACGCCTCTTTCGCATTCTTTCTTATTTTTATGGGTGTACTTTGTCTCATGTATCTCGTCTGTTCTTTACGCACAAATGTTGTTTTTGTAATAATCTTCTTTACATTGGTTGTCGCCTTTGCACTTTTGTCGGCAAAATATTGGCACATTGCAAATGGCGTCGGCAATACGGATGCAGGTAAATTGGCGTTGGCAGGCAGATTGCAAATTGCGGCTGGTGCGACTCTTTTTGTGACATCAATGGCGGGTTGGTGGATCTTTTTTGCTATCATGCTGGCGGCGTTAGACTTTCCATTCCAAATCCCAGTGGGTGACCTTAGCACTTTGATTAAAGGAGCAAGCGAGAGACAGAAATCCAAGGAACAAATGGCCTAGAAGTGGGTTTAAATTAAGTCCCACGTACTCGGATGAGGTCTGCTATGCTACTAGAAACAATATAAGACAAAACTAGCGAAAGGAATGGACCATCTGTGACTGTCTGGTAATTGGCGTTGGTGTTAAGGTAGTACATTAACACAGTTATCAATCGGTCCTGTCTCCTATTGTCATACCTTGAAAATTTCCTAGATAAGCTACTGAGTGAGCTGTTGGACTGATACTCTATTGGGAATGTACACTTAATATATCATACTTTTCCCCCGAACACGTTCGTTATAGTCCCGTATGTTATGCATATTACCCAGCAGCTTAAGAAGCTTTGCTCGAGTAAGTAGGATGCTACCGAATACACAATATCTTTTTCGTAAGTCCGTCTTGTGCTGTACACATACATTAAAGACACTGCTAAAATATCTCGAAAATTTCATTGATAAATAACTACGCAAACGGAATAATGAAGAATATACGGAGCAAAAGCACTATTATAGTTCCAATACCTCCTATGTGAGCAGTGATCCATATTATCAATATTAAATTTCCGATGCACAATCTTATTTATAAGATTACATCATAAGATACTTTCAATCTTACTACTTTTCCCTTATTTATCTATATTAGCTACACATGTACAAGAATCGGAAATTTAAAAAAATTGCTGGAATGATAAATACCCTTTTGGCGCGGCGTGTTGTTTGTGGGATGGGATGTGATGTGATGTGATGTATATGGGGTAGGCACAATGTGTGTTTAGTTGGACACGTGATATTTGGGTTTCTTCACTGGGAAAATTTGTGCGAGATGGGGAGTGTAGGGGGTTTTTTTTGGGAGGGGGGGTATTATGAGGTGGGATGGGGTGGAGGTTTTGTGTACGGATTTTTGGGGTGCTTGTGCTGGGGTTTTTGCTTTGAGAAGGAAGGGAAGGGAAGGGAGTGTGGCTATGGTGCTAGTGTACTCCCCTTCTTTTCTGGATTTGGGATATAAGATCAAAAATTAAATGTTATACATTTTTGTTCATTATATATCATCGACTACTGTCCCGGGAAAATCCTCTTACTCATTCTTGTCTTCTACCTATCTTTAAGATTCTCGGAGCTCTTTCTTGCTGCGCTGAGTTCCTCAGATATTTTGAGTGAAGTTTGGAGATATCGTACCGCTATGTATGTTCACGGATTATTTTACCGAAAGACTACTTACTCTTCCTTCCATTTCGTTGGCTAGTTTCATGCTTGCAGCTTCATCACTGAGTCACTTACATCGTTATTGAGATTTTCTGTCGCGATTAGAGAATTTTTGTCGAAATTTATAAATCACTGTGCACCAATTAAGGTTACTCATTCGGTCAAGAAGTATTGTTATCGAATATTACTCGCTTTATAATGTTCTGGCTGCGCCTGTATCGATTCATACAAGCAAAATTTCTGCTTATTCCGGCTGCCATCGTATTAAGCAAAAGTACTTTGTTATTGGCCTGGATAGAGAAAAATAAGCTAAGGTTTAAAAAAGTCGGCTGTATAAATTTCTGTCCCAATCAACATCACAAATTTTCAATACTTTGCTGAATGAAGTGGTCATTAAGTAATCATTATTTCTTAAGCGTACTATAAAGTCTCGCATTTACTAATCCGCCCCCTCTAGCTGAAGAACGCCTGCATTCGTCATACGTTAGAGATGCTCGAGTTTCCCATTCCCCTACAAAAACTACCTAGCACATACCCTTTCTCGCCGGATCACGGACAGGACCAGCCACCGATCTCTTCATCATCCTAACAAGAAAAAGTACAAACACATTCATCAAAACCATCACGAGAACCATACCCACAATGGTCTCTACCTTCTTGCTGAGTGCCATACGTGAAAAGGGGTTTTCCTCCTCCACCATATCCACAGGGATATGCACCAGTCAGATTCAGGGTTTCTCCAAAGAAGATTTAACCATAATGGGGCCTCTCTTCTCAGGTTGCTCCATTTGCGTTTCGAGTACGGTGCCCTTTTTGTCGTAGAGTGTTAGCTCCTTGGGTATTTCCATGGTACCGGGTTTAAGACCCGGTGAGCCTGATGGGAATACCATCCATATGCTGCATCGTTCTTGTTGATTAAGGCAGTACGTCTCGGAGCCGTTGACGGTGCAGATGAGGACGGAGAAGATGGTGAAAAGGGTGGTAGCGAATATTTGCATGATTGTTGGGTTGGATGTGAGGTTTGGGTGGAATGATTTTTGTGACTTGTCAATATATATACATTTATCTTCTTGGTTATCTTACTTACTGAAATTGTTTCTTGTTTTGTACGAGGTGAAGTTGCTTGGAGGTATATAGTGATACCCGAGATGTACGAATGTTTTTTCCGCTTGTGGTTTTTTTTGATATTTGAGATGTATGGTTTTTGTGGTTGTAGGATTTTGGAAGGTCGAAGCTGAATATCAAACAACTCTTATTCAGAAGGGGAGCCAAGTATGAATGAATCATTATAAACAGTGTGATGGTGATTCATATTTGGAATGTGATGATTCATGATGAGGAACTCTAATTCAAGTGACTGGAGAATGATTTTCTGTCCCATCTTCATACTTTTAGAACTTCAGATGGAAAATTCACTCGCTCTGCTTTGTTCTGTCTCATTCCCGGAATACAGCATATGATTCGTGAGAATTCCTTTCATCATTTTACATAATACGCCTTTTTACTCACTATCTCTTATTTCTTACTTGGACTTTGTATAAGCAGCATGGCTGGATTCAGAATCCCAGAGGCTTAGGCGCTGTTGAGGAAATTCTCTGACCGTCGTTGATTAACTTGATGCAAATGGTCTCAACCATTGATGGGCATCATTGGTCACTACTGATGACTGGTCAAATAGTCACGCAAAATCACCAATGGCAATTATTCATCGATGTATTCACATTATGAATCCTGAACCGAACAATCTTTTTTAATGGTCACTCGGTTTGGAAGTACTCTCTAGAATAAAATGGTTTCCATTCCACAGCTTGAGCACTTTAAGACACAAACCAAACAAGAAATATTTCATACCCTACAACATCTCGTACAACATAACATCTCGAATACTACGACCTGCCCTCAAAACAACTTATCTCCAAAGAAGAATAACGGCCCTCCGTATGTGGAATATCAATACTAAAAAGAGACACGGTAACTCACAATTCGCGCAGACCTCTCGAGTGTAAAAGACCTATCCCAACACAAGACAACAACGATGCGTTTCCTCTGCACGACAATTTTCTCAATCCTCTCTCTCAACTCTCGCTACAAGCGGACCAGTCCAACAATCCATGGGACGGAATAAAGCCCCTAAATGCTCCGACCACCAACCATCCTGGAATTTATACATGCGCTGGAACATCCCACCGAAAGATGACCTCCACCACTTTGGATATCCCATGGGAGAAATGCAGCAGCCAAATACCCTCACGCTCACCGACAGAGACTGCAATAACATTAAAACATCGATGAATCAACCTGTTCCCAAGGGGCCAATCACCGTTTACCTGGAAGGAGTAACTCCTGGTGATTTGACCATCCATCGAAATGCGTCGCGCGGCTGTCCGGTATTTTCATATGCTGGTACCGAGTATGGTGCTCGTAATGACTGTGGATGGGACCATGGAGATGATTATTCTGCGCTTATATCTTATTTTGGTTACGATCCGGCTCCGTCGAAGGTGCATTGATGAGGTTTGGAGTTGTGCTTGGGAAGTACAGTGGGTTTGCGTGTGGATGTGGTGGGAATCGGTCATTGGAGATATATGCTGGACAGAGTGAATGCTGTACAAAAACAATAAGAAACGCCTGACTTTAAAACATCAAATATTTCAGCTTGCAAATTTTGCCTGTCTCTCGTGAAGTGACTGTGATATGATATAATGGAAATAGTGGGTTTTGCTAACATGAATTGGACATGATTTCCTAGTCGACGAAACAGGTAATAAAATATTGGTTTCTAGGCAATAATGAAATGCATGAGTAACAGGTATACTGATGAATCGATTTATTCTATTGAACTACAGTATATCTAATACTTGCTCAGTCCAGTCAGTGTATCCGATAGAATGTGTCACCTTGTAAACTCATCAGAGAAATTTATTTGCATAACTAGAATCTAGATAGCAAAATTTTCGACTATACATCTGACGTGTACGAAGACATAAAAACTCGCCACGTAATAAGGTATATATTTGTCTTTGATAGCAAAATTCTAAAAATGAAATTATTGGCCTCTTTACAATAACTATCTTCACTATTCTACTCTACTAAGAGTGTTGGTTACGTTTAGTGGCGATGCAGAAAAAATTGAGAGCGTGCTTAATATTCCAACGATGGATAGACTTGGCACCATGAGGGAGTAGGATTAATAAAAATGGAGGACTCATAAACATTATACTGAAAAAGAGTGAAATATCTTCTCCGGAGGGAAAACAGTGAAAAGCTGTGAAGGATTAGAAATCTCGAATGTGAAAAAAGTGGATTATGAGTAATTTCGCAATCCTTGTAATGAGTCAAGAGACTATTCATAGACAGTCATGTATGACAAATATGAGTAACCGTTCTACCAATGACTCGAGCTATGTGCAAATAATTGTGTATACATACCTTCTTGATCAAAAGGATTACTACTGGAAATCCACTTCTAGAAATTATCAACATCACTACATCACTTCATCATAAACATCAGCCATACTTCTTCCACTAAGATCTGACACAAAGACACAATTGTGAATCAATAAACAATTACCTCGCACGAAAGAACTCTCACAGACAGACTCTAAGGAAAAAAGTCTCTCCAAGCAAGCTGTCAAATCAGTAAATATGAAGTACCTCGCCATCATATCCATTATAGTCACCTCAGCATTAATCTCCCACGCTATGCCAACAGCCGATACTGGACTCCCTACCAGAAGTCTTCACAACAAGTAGCTCGCATGTCACTATGGAACCAAGAAAAGACAAAAACAAAAGCAAAAAGAAACCAACACCACAACTCTGCGCCCAAAAAGACTTAGCATTCGGCGATAAAACCTGTACCTTCGTCTACCAATTCAACGGCGACAGCGCCACATCCTTCGTCGTTGACAAGGATTGTGTGTTTCGAGAACCGGACCAAGTTCCAAATACAGTAGCTAGATCGGATTGGTCCGATTAGTTCAGAACATGTAATATAGTGAAATTGAATGAGGTTATTCAGAGGACTTGGGAACCGACTAATATGGAGTATTTTATGCCTCTTTATCAGGCCGATGGACGAGCTTTGACAGAGGGTCAGCTTGGTCCCTCGGAGAATGATCGACAAAAGGCTGATCCGAGGGAGGCTTGTACTTTGAAGTACAATGATCTTCCAGATAAAGGGGCGTGGTATGTACGGATTTGTCCGTTTAAATGCGACTGTTAGATCAGGCGGGTGGGGGACTAGGAAAGCAGCTTGGGAGAAATGTTTCTTCTGGAAGTTTATTTGTTTCGTTTTTTTATGAGAATGGATTGGGTTTTTTCAGCGAAGGATGGATCTTCTGCAGGACAGAAGAAGGTGTTTTTAGGCGTTTTGGTATTGCATAAATGATACAGGGAGAATGTAATAGAAATTGGAATCGTTGCTTTACATCAAATTGCTACCCTGGCCATCGACCAAAATCCTCAGAAAAGAATTTCTGGGATGACCCTGATCTCACGGCTTGTGCAGAAAGTTTATTGTGTCTTACCTCTTTGACTAATTAATTATCGAAACACAGTTCAAAGCCTTTGTTCTACACGCCTAAGAAAAGGTGAAGAGACTGACCCGCAGGCCCAATCTTCAAATATCGAGGACATGTATAATGATCAAGAGTGTTCTATGTCCCGCACTCATGAATGTGATTATTCCTTTATGCAAAACAAGTGGCATAGTCAAAGTAAAAAGAAACCAAAAAGACAGACAAATAAAACAGAAAAAGCAATAACAACAAAGCTCACAACATTTATTCCAATCTTGGCGGTAACACTTGCCATCACCCTTCCAACAGAATTCCTCACCGGACGCAACAACAATCACGGCGTTACTCAAATTCCAGGGACCTATACCTCTGACTGACAAGAATAAACAAGAACGTTAGATTCTTATCCTTTCAGGCCAAGATTTACAATCACAACTGGCATCCAGAAAAGAGGCGGCCCACCCCAAGACTGTCTAATATATGACAGACAAATCGATATCTGAAGAGCCTTCCATGAGCGTCTGTTTACGGATAGGGCTTCGCCAACTCAATTTAATACCAGAGTAGTTTCAAATTCTGCCTCTATCGGTAAGACTTGTGGTGGAATCAATAGATATGGTTGTAATGCAGGAGTTGGGAGAGATTTCTAGGGTTGCAGATGCGCATTTTGCTATCCTAAAATTAGAATTGGACGAAAGATAAGATACCGCTTGGCTATCTCTTGAAAAGAGGAGGAAAAATATCCTCAGTAGATAGATTATTTTGGGGGGGGGACGGATTCTTTATCGTATGTTCGAGAAATCAGCTGTTGTGGAGTGAAGTGAATATAAAATATCTAATGCAGAATCAAGCCATACCATCTTGAGGTGCAAAAGAATAGCTGCCAAATCTATTTTTAGAATGATCGTTATTGAGCAAATTTGTCCGTTAAAATTAAATACGGTACATTCCCAGATAGCTTGACTTTTTATTGTCTGTAATGAAAGAGAAACTCCGATCATCGAGCGCTTCTTCGACGAAACGTGATAATAACAAAGGAGGGTGAGATTGTAATGAAAGAGTCAAGGCTTCTGTCTTCGAAGGCTTTGTTTATGAAGAAGAAGACATAGTAAAGAGTTTTTCGTCGTCGAATCTGTATATGTTGACCTCCTGGGATCTTGGCAGCATATGCATATATATTGCATGATGCATATCAGGAGCAAACAAAACTCAACTTTTAATTCATTCTTTCCTTTTTGGTATACTGTTTGTTTGCTTTCAATATTTTGATTTCAAAGCACTTTAATTCCGAAGGCTGAATACCTAACCTTATTCCTTCATTTTTTGAATATATACTCGCAGCTTAACTGCTTAGCTAGAGAATCAATCAATTCAATCTGATGCTCTTTCTGGTCTCAAGAAACCCAATAATATTCCTAAGAATATTCCCAAGGTAAATATGGACGGACTACTTCTGTGCTACATTTCTCCATACGAATAAAATCCTGACAATTTTCATATGAGTTTTATGGTAAATTAAAATAATAAAATTAAAAAGGTCGCCTACAAAATTTAAAACTTGATATCCGGCGTCTGACGCGACTAGACCAGCAAACCACACGCACCATCACCCACCTAATCCCTTGGTAACGATACTTCATCCGAATCACCAAATATCAAGCCACCGCTCCAATGAATATCTATTCCAGTTGGCCTTCGAGTATATCCACATCTTCCTTTTCGTGGGGCGGTAAAAATGATGTCGACTCATAATTTCTTCGTTCGTAGTCAAGATATTTGCAGAGAAGTGGCGAGATCTTGATGTCTTGTGGAGATATGCATACAAACGAACTTTGGCGTTTGATTGATACTGGGTCGGAGATATTTGATAGGTCGTCCAATTCTTGTGTGACTGGACTTCTACTCGGTAAACCTAGTTATATACACCTGCTTCGAAAGACAAACGACATTCTAAACCTCTTCCCTTTAAGGAAATCGAATTATCTGGCGCATAATCATCGAAATTGTTATAGATGTCTCAATCTTCAGTGATAAGTTAGGTACCACAAACTGCATTCATACTGGGGGGAACTCTGTCAAACGCCTTTCAATATTACCGATAGAGACTTCATTTCCTATCGATGGATTGATACAGGAAGGTTTGTGATATAAACTGCTAACGGCGTCCCATTTTCAGTTAAAGTCATTTCATCCGCCATTGTTTTATAAAAAAAAAAAAACGCTCTTATCTCTAGGCTTGCTAAGGAGCACTGCAACGGCGTAAGATTGTTGCGCATTGTATTCACGTTACTCACTGTGAGTCAAATGCGACTTTTACACCTCCAACCACGTGCAAGACTTTTCTAATTCGGTTCAATATTTAGAGACGGCTAATAATTTACTAATAAGCATTGCATATTGATGTATCCAGGCATGAAATTTCCATCAGTTATTGACAGCGGTAGCAACGGACAAGCTGGAAGAGAACATCTCACGGCATTTTTGGCTATCAAGATGCTAAACAAAATGGTATTCTCGCTGTTATGGTATGGGTCGAGAAAATTGCAATACTTTCTGACATCATGCTGCCGAATATTATGCCAGCGATATAAACCTGATGGTGGTGTATTGCGGCAGATACCTTTTTGTGGTTATTCAAGTCAAGCTGTGTATGATGGCGCAGGAGATGTCAATTTGCTAGAAAACTGGAGTTGCAAGCGGGTATGATTCTGAAATGATTTTTGTTTTAAAATTTGACTTATAGTTTGATGTTTTCCTGCGCCCCTTCCATCACACATTTATCACAACTTTTCATGCCAAAGTGGCAAGTGCAGCTTTGCACACCAAATATATAAATGATTTCTGGGTGCATTTCTTCTCCTCGACGCATTTAAAATACTGTTCCTTATCATTCCAAACAAGAAGATTATCATTACACTCGTGTTTATTTTATTCTTATTGTTATGCATTACAACCATGCCTTTTTACCCATTAAATGTATCAGAGCTCCCCATCACAACTCTAGAACCATCACCTCGTGTTGTCGACGTTAAAAAATACATCGAAAGTCGACCAGATGTGTACATAGCTCGAAAAACCATGGCACCGCTTGATGCGTTGGTCACTTGTCTGTGGTTGATAGATCCTCGGATCTTGCATCAATTCCTCAATCGTCGTTTACCACTTTTCAAATTCCAAATCCAGAGGAATGATCCTGAAGACGCGAATATGCGTTGGGAAACTTCAGTCTTGCGACAAAAGATATCAAATTCCTTGCATATAATACTCGTAAGTCAAACGAGTAACTTATTCCAGGAAATCATTCATTCTAATGATTTACAATTCTAGTTGGAAGTCACCTTGTTGGAAATGGACGAACATGAAAAATGGAATCCTACAACCACAAAGCTGCACTATATTACAGATGGACACATCCTCCGATTCGAACTGCATGATGAGAACTCAACTCAAATAGAAGATGAAATCCCCATGTCTCCCACAAAAGCCAATCCCAAATCTCGCCTCAATACTATGACCCAAGAAGAAAAAGTACTACTCTACATCACAACATCCATCATAGAAACCGAGTGTGGATATGAACCTCTCGAAGGTGATCCTCCCAAGTACTCTTTTATGTGGGATGGGAAATGGAAATTGCCCGAAAATACAATCATCTGTCCTCGGATTTACAGTAGGGATTCTAAACCTCTAATTGATTACTATAAAGAGGAGTATTTGAAGAGTAGGATAACGGCGATGAAAGCTTTGAGAATTTTCGATGTGCGGCTGTTGCCTTTGTCGCGTCGTTGTGTTTGTGAAGCTCCGGCTGTTAAATTCAGTATTGATATGCTGGAGACTACTAATGTGAAGATGAAGATGGAAAGTTTTGTGAAGTCGGACAGCTCTGAAGATGATTCTAGGTACAAGAGAGGGGTTTATCATTGTACTCGGTTGAAGTCCTTTGGTTGAGAAGAGGTTTATACATACTTTTTGTTCTTTGTATAGCTTTTTGATTTGGATGGAGCATACTCTTTTTGCACAGCGATATCATTAATGTGCAAATTTTTCCGTTTTATCTATGGGACCTTGATGTGATCAGCTACGGACATTGAAGTCGTTCTGTCTTTCTTGAAGCTGGACAGGGCTTGAAAGAAAATCATAAATTCCGACAAAACTCCCAAAGAAATCCTTGACCGTGCCATTGACCTCAGAGCCATCTTTTACACTGATGATTTGGGAAAGATTTATTGGATTGCATATTTGCAGAATTTTTATTCTGGGTTTCATCGATGGACGACTCAATGTATTCAAGTGTTTCCGTGGAGTCACTGTTGAATGACTCGATGGATTTAAGTGTTTCCAGTCAATTCATTTGCAGTATTAATGAAGTGATGAGTTCTATTAAGTGTTTCCAGTCATCCATTTTGGAAGGCTATCAAATGATGAATCTTCACTAAATTCAAATGCTCAGATTCATTAATGTCGGTCTGTGTGACGAGGTAGACAGACAGACTTTGGGAACATCGTCAGGATGACCTCTCTTAATTTTCCCACAAGCATTACTGGAGGATAGATAGCCACGGATATCCGAGTAGCGAAGAAACCGGAAGAAGTTCCAAGCTGTTATTATATCCCACCATCTGGGACTCAATATACATATCGAGCATAAGTAATGAGTCCTGTGAGTCAAATTTCGAGTCAAGTGTCAGAGTTAGATATTCGAATCATGTGCGAACCATGATTCATTCGTGGAAAAGGGTGGAAAAGTCACAAAGATTATTTTGTAACATTCATATGATAATCTTGGTGCTTTTCACACAGTCATGGCTGCTAAGAAACGACTACTTAGGGGTTCTCAGTCGCCCGCTTTTGGAATTTGATTCTCTTTCTCTTTAATATCAATATCCATCAACAATCGGAATCAACGTCAACACTTAAGCCAACAACAAAACTTCCCATCAATATCAAATATGTCGAACCAAAACTATCAGAACAACCCAAACAGTCAAAACGATCGAACGCCACGCTCGTCTACGTATGAAGACGACAATGCCCTTAAGAGTGCGTTTCAAAATGCTAGGCAAGGTATGCAAGCCACGGGTACACCATCTGATTCTTCTCATCGAAGCCACACCCATTACAATCATTGCTTTCCTCAAGGTAGCCTCACCAAGAACAGGGACCAACAAAAACAGAGTATCAAGAGTTTTTGTGCTCCGCGAACCAGTGGAAAGAATCCAAAAGGCATACATGAGCCAAAAAGTATGACAGCCAACCCCACTTCTTACCGAACACTACTAATACAGTCCAAAAGACGGTCAAAATTCTTCTCCGGCTCAACAAGCTTCTGGTAGTTCTGGCGCAGCAGCAAGCACCGGCGGAGCATCGACTAATTCGAACATAAAATTGCAAAATCCGAAAACCACTGCATGGGATAGCCAAAATCACCAGAACGGAGGAACAAGCAACGTAATCAGAAGGCAGGGTGAGTATAAATAATCAAGGAGATGGAAACATAACAGGAAGTTGAACGGCATTTGAAATGGGAGAAATATGAAGGGAGGGAATAAAGATATGGCATCCGAGATACCAGTAACTGCGGGCAGTTACATGGTTTCTTGTTGATATTTGATGGTTTTAGTAGATTCGACAAATAGTTGAATTGAATGCCTTACCATTGAGAGAGAAAGAGGGTTTCATTGCATGAATAATCGTGATTGCAGAACTTTAAGATGCCTCGTATCATACTTTGAAGGTGCATCGGTACGCCGGTCTGCACACCACACCTGAATTTCTCCCCAACTTTACCTCGCCATGCCCTCTTCATTTCTGTCTAGTCTTTAACTGACCTTACAACTTCCTTCCTCTACCAAATCTCCTTCCCTTGCTTTCCTCATTCCCCCACCCCCCCCCCCCCCCCCCCCCCCCTCCAACTTCAGCAAGATAACCTCAAAAGCACCAGCGTCCACGCCCTCAAGTTCCACAACAACCAATCTTAAACCCACTCATCACCAAAACTTCACAATAAGCCCACTGCACTGAATCCGAAAACGATCCAGAATTTATAGACAGCAGGATTGTCTTGAATGGTGACTATTGATTCGGAGATGTTTATGAAGCGGGAAGGGAGGGGTATGCTGTTGATAGTAAAGCGTGAATTTGCATTTCTCTAATCACAGCTCTATGAAAGTGGAAGATGCCTGCCCAATTGGTGGTATAATACGGCTGTAAAACTTACGATTAAATTTTCCTTTGCAATGGGGCGAAGAATGGAAATATTAGTGGGAGTACAGTGTGATTCTCACTATTCACTAATTCCTCTGCATGTTCAACTTTTTCTTTAGAGTTTTCGGATTATAATCTATTGCCAGATTCTTGATGGAGGAACTCTCTTACGGATCACAGAATGGAATGGTAGTATGATTGACGGATTTTACGTCTCTTATGGTGTATGAAATATCGCCATCATTCCAGAGCCATGTATATGATACATATACATGGCGAGGAGGTTTGGATGAGCTGATTTTGGGAGGTGACATAAGCATTTTAGAGCACTACTACTACTCACATTCGAAGTATCTGCCGTTATTAATTGATCTTAGCACTACCTACTGTTAGATGAGTTTGCCAATGCAACAATGGACGGGAAGTAAAATACTCAGTGATATAACCTTACTGATTAGATCATCGTATCGTTGACTACTGGGAAGTGACGGAGCGTAGCTCGCGTAAATCCCTGAATATGTCTATCGTAGAAGTAATTAGAACAGGCTGTTAAGGCTATAACAAGGTGTTGCATGAGCCTGTAGTCGGTGGAAGTGGATGAGAATGAAGTGTGTGGAAGCTCTAACCATATCGAGTTAGACAACCATGATGACAAATATTCTTTCGTTTGTCCTCCTCTTGATAGCAGACATCCACATACTCTTACAACTGTATTGGAATATCATCGAAACTCCAACATATCACTAAATTGATAGGCAATAAAGGAAGGTAATTATGAAGTTATTTGGAAATAAATATAAAGCCATTGATTTGAAGCGCTTTAACAGATTCCATTACACGGCATTTGGCGTACAGAGTTGTACAAACTCCTGTTATAATCATTTCATTATTCCTTTCTCAAAAGTTCTTTCTTCTTGGGTCCTTCTCTATGAAGGCATATTATCTTTCTTTGTCAAATGATCCAAGCTATATCTTCCTTTCACGAAAACTGTACAAAGCTTAGAGCATCTCTAAATAAAACAGGATGGTAAGATTTGCTTTGCAGTCGTTCAATCATCATTAATCATGGCGAACCGAAGTTCTGCGAGACCAAGCTCAGCAGCAAACCCAGAAGGTGATACCGCATTTAAAAAGAAATACGGGCCTTACCCAGGAAGACCAAACGATAGGCATAGTGGACTATCACCTATTCTATTGTTCATTTCAGCAGGTGGAGTTGCGAGAGCCGATAGGAATACTTTACGACGGGAACAGAAGCAGAGAGCCTCGTATTACAACTTTACAGCTAAAGAGTTACTTGATTTGGATGCGAATATAACGTCGGCAAGATCATTGAAACCAAGCGATTTGAATGTTCTAATTCAACCTTGTTTCAAAAGAAGTCATTGGCGCAAACCCGGTCGTAATCATGAACCATATTCTCTTGGTAAATTAGGTCCTGGGAAATGGTCTGCTGATAATGATGCTGTGTGGGAAATAATGCAACCAACTCTTCAGCTCGCCTCATTGTTGTTAAAAAACATCCAATCTGATTTCGTAAATCCACCTACCCCACTTTGGAATTTTCTGACAATAGACATATAGTTTGATTCTTTACTGCATGGCCCGCGAAGTCCAATTGATCCAGAAAGATTTCCTGCTAATCTGCCGGCATGGGTCCCCACAAGCAGTCTACCTTTGCTTCGCTCCTTCAGATCAAGAGGACTAGATCCACAGGATCCCGCTCTTGAAAAGAGCAGGAAGGATCTGTTATCAGAGCTGTCGAGTATTACCACATTTAAATTCAAAGAGACCTCCGATACTTTGTCTTACAACGGCTGCACTAATACCGCAATACAAAAAGATGCAAATGGCAATTTTTTTCTTAGAAATCAAATCGTTGTAAATCACAAAAATTACGAGCCTTTACTTCGTCCAAGCGCTACAGCGTCCGAAAGATTAGGGTATCAATGGAGGACTGCCGTAACCATCACTCATGAATGGTGAGAGTTAACCTGTTTCATGCTGCATTAATACATATTGAGGCCCGTTTTTAGTACGCACGCAATGGCAAATATAGCTGAATTCTCTCAAAGGACACAAGAGGGGACTTTAGCGACATGGGTTTCGACTTCAACCCCAGAGGTAAGCAACATGGACGTTCTTCGGATTGATCATCACTAAATAGCCAAGGTATATGTCGAAAATCACTCCATCCAGGAATGTGGTTTCTTAATGGAGCAATTTGATCTTGGGGGCGTAACGCGTGGAGAAAAAAATCGAAAAGGCTCCTTATTTCCCACAATAGCATTTTTCTGGACCGAGTGGCCATCGGGATATTGGGTGAACTACTTATCCAATGTTATTCTAAAAACTCCTATTCTGAGCACGCGCTACCACTTTTACCCAATGCCAGTAAAACATTTTGAAGATGTTCACCAGATGGATTTCTGGAATCATACAGTCAAAACCTTTGGTCCCTTGATGCTTGGGCTTAGGTCCCTTAACATAAGAATCCAGGTCACTCAGGTTCCACCCTTAGCAGTGGAATCACTCCTGAATGTAGATACTGGTCAATCCGAGGGATCTAAATGGAGAAGTGCGTACGCTACTTTAAAATTAAAACAGAATATGAGTGCAGAGGAACGAAGAGCTTGTCAAGCTGGCGATGAATTAATTGAGCGGGCGAAATTGAACGAAAAGTTTTTCCTCAGCAGCTCCAAACAAAACGAGCATCTTGATTGTATTCTCGATTATAAGGAAGGTCTTAAAGAAAAGCTTCAACTTATTGCTACTGCTGCCTACACTGGTGTAACTACCACAGGGCAGCCTACCATGAAATATCTGCTTCATACTAAAGCAGGAATCATCAAGACCCTCGAATTTATCGAGGCGACGAGAATAGCCACCAGATCATGGCATCTCAATAGAATGCATGAAGAAGAAGAGGAAGAAGGCGGAGAAGAAGGGGGGTGGACCGGAAGATTGTGATTGAATTGATCAATTATGGCCAATTTGGTCAATTTAGTCAATTTGGTCAATTTGGTCAATTTAGTCAATTTGGTCAATTTGGTCATTTTGGTCAATTTGGTCAATTTGGTCAACTTGGTCAATTTGGTCAATTTGGGCAATCACCCCAATGTCAAATTTCATTACATTTCATTTGTTATTCCTCTTACTTGAATACGAGAGTATCTGTAAGGCGGGCTTGGTTCCCTAGTATTAGTTTTCACTTCCCCCATTCAAACATTAGAAGATTGAGGCTTTCAATCTCCCCAACCTGTATTAGCTACGGTCGAATAAGGCCAGCCACCCTCCATTTACTATTGTTAGAAGCCTACAAAGCTCCTAGCCGTCTTAGATAGTCATAGACTCAGTGTAGACGTTAATTTAATCAATCAATCAATTCTTCTAAGGAGGAAAGTAGAAGTGATGGATTCCTTCTAAAGTGAGAGGATTGAAGTCTTTCTGAATTGAATTTTTGATCTTTTCGAGTTGAGTAGGTTTTAATTGCTTTCTTTGAGGGGTTGCAATTACATCTTGATTCTCCTTTTCTGTAGCCAGCTTTGTAGCTACTAAATTGATAGGATGAGAAGGCGAGATTTTCAATAATCTAAATGTGTATTGTTTGATTCCAGCATTTAGCCGTACTTCTGGAGGGCACAATGCGGCTTCTATTTCCATTGGTTTTATTGGTGAGGTTTTGAATACTTCTAGGATTTTTCGAAGGGCGAGGTTTTGCAAGGATTGAAGGATTTTCTTGAATTGGTTTTGCCCTTTCCACCATAAAATTGAATCGTAGTCAGCTATGCTGGTGACGCATGCTATATAGAGCTGTCTCATTGCCTTGGGATTAAGGCCTTTTTCAGAATTAGCAAATGTTGGGTTTCTTGAGACTAGAAAGAGCATCAGATTGAATTGATTGATTCTCTAGCTAAGCAGTTAAGCTGCGAGCATATATTCAAAAAAATGAAGGAATAGGTTGGGTATTCGGCCTTCGGAATTAAAGTGCTTTGAAATCAAAATATTGAAAGCAAACAAACAGTATACCAAAAAGGAAAGAATGAATTAAAAGTTGAGTTTTGTTTGCTCCTTATATGCATATGCTGCCAAGATCCCAGGAGGTCAACAGCAAATCTAGTTATTCGGTAGAATGAGGTTTTAGCCTGGGTAGCTCGGATTGTGACATGTTGTTTGAAACTGAGGCCAGGGTCGAACCATATGCCTAGCCATCTGACTAGTGTTGAGGGTTGAATTATCTCCTCGTTCGGAAGCTTGATTGAGGCTGTCTTCGTATCTTTGGATGTAGAGAAGTGTATTAGTTCTGTCTTCGCTAGATCAAATTGAATAGCATTTTCTTTGCCCAGAGCATATATTTGTTTAGTTGCTCTTTCGAGGGAGATGATGTTCTTTTTCCAGGATGTTGAAAATGTTGTTAAAGCTATATCATCTATATATGAGAGATATTTGATCGAATTTGCTGAGAATAGATCTCGAATATAAATTAAGAAGAGGATTGGCGAAATAGGGCTGCCTTGGGGGATCCCGGTATTGATCGGTTTGAAGGTTTCAATTTGGCCATCGAATGAGAGCTTGAGTAGTCTTTCCTTCAAAAAAGATGAGATCCAGGCGATTAGGCTGGTTGGGAGGTTTAGGTTCTTGCAGATATCTAATAATTTGTTCATAGATACATGATCAAAGGCGCCTTTAACATCCAGGAAGAGAGTTGAGGTTTTCTTCTTGGATCTTGAATTTCTTTCGATTTCGGTAGTGAGTAAGATTGCTGTATCGATGGCTGATTTCTTTTGTCTTCCACCCATTTGAGAGTAATGAAGTAATTGCGTAGTCTCCGCTAAGTAGCTAAGCCTTTGAGCCAGAATTCTTTCACTTATCTTGCCAAGGCAATTTAGCAGGGCGATAACTCTATAAGCTTTTGGGGCCGAGTAGTCTGGTTTTGAAGGTTTCTTGAGAATCGCTCCAGTGGCTTGTTTCCAGCAAGAAGGATGGTAACCAAGGTTGATAAGATGACTGAAGAGGGTGAAGAATGCTTTTGGTATTGCTTTGTACGCTTGAATAATGATATCTTGAGTGATCCCATCGGGGCCAGGGGTCTTTCCTTTGATTTTTGCAGAGCACGCGTTTAGGAGTTCGCTCTCTGTGAGATCAGGCCATTCCCATTTCTTAGATTGTTTATAGCTTTCCCAATTGGGCGGTGGGGTGAATGGAGGAGGAGGAAATAGGGTCGATCTAAATGCAGAGCATTTTCCCTCGAAAGAATTTTCTAGTTTAGAGGGATTGGATCAAATATTCGGGATTCGTTCGGTTTGTATATCTTTTGTGTATGACATTGCCTTGAATATGGATTGGGTATCCTCTTTTTCAAGGAACTCATTCCAATGGTTTTTCTTTGCTGTTTTAATAGCTTGGAAGTAATGATTCCTGGCTGACTGGTAGATTTTCTTGAACATATCGTCTTCCGGGTAAATCTTGGCGTTCTCAAATGCATTAGAGAGTCGTTTTCGAAGGGCTTTCAGCTCTGGGGACCACCAGGGTTTAGCTCTTTTTGTGGACTTGATTCTCGGTATACTGGTTTCAGCCGAATAAGTGATTATTCGGGTGAATTCTTTTGCAGCTTCATCCAATACTTGTATGTATTGGCTCTTGTCGAGAAGGGAATCAAGAGAGTTGGATTCTGAGGTAGCGATATTAAGGTATTCACTCGAATTTAAGGTGGTTGATATCGATATTTTCGATTTGAGGGTATTCGCGAATTTTTCCCAATCCGCAAGTTTTGTATTGAATCTTGCTGGCTGAGCTATATTCGTTGTACGGGATAAAGTGCCCTTTACTTCAAAGAGAATGCTTAAGTGATCTGATCCAAGATCCGGGAGGACTTGCCAATCAGTGATATAGGGAGATACTGAATCTGTGGCTAAAGTAAGGTCTAAGACACTTGGATTTGTCATATTTGTTCGATAAAAGGTGCTCGTGCCTGGTTCGTTAAATAGAATGAGATTGTGATCCTCAAACCATTCGGTGAGTAGGTCGGCATTTGAGCTTTTGTTAGAGAAGGGGTCCCACCAAGGGTGATGGGAGTTGAAATCTCCTACGAGGATGGTGTGATGAGTAAGAGGGGTATTGTAAAGGCATCTTTCGATGGTGTGGCCTTTTTCTTTGGCTTGGTCCGCTTCATTGTAGATATTGATGAGTTGTATTGTATGTTTTCCTTGAGTGATATCAATGATTTGAGTATCTGGATCATTAGGGGAGTTGGGAGCTAGGGCTACCAGCGGTTTGAATCCTTTTGAAATGTAGATCATAGTTCGGGGACGCAGGTTCGAAGGATTATTTGGGAGGAGTTGAGAGAAGCTAGAGTGGGCAATAGATCTGGTTGAGGAGAAGTCTTTCTCAGGATTCGAGAGGATCCAGGGTTCTTGAATGACTATGAGATCAATTTTGAGTTCTAAAGCAAGTTGGAGAGCACTTTCGGTTGCTTGAGGGCTCTTGTTTAGATTGATTTGAAGAATGCGAGTATTGTTGTACAGCATTAGTTGGATTTCTTGATGGTTGATAGATATACTTCGCATACTTTCGAGTTGGCTTTGTGTTCTTCTTTACAATTAACACATTTGACACTTAGATATTGATATGGTTTGCCTTTTGCTTGGCAGATTATATAGAAATGACCGACTGTAGCATGATTATTATTGCAAAGTCTGTAAGCTGGAGGTTTTTTGCAATATGATTCGTTATGGCCAAATCCCTGGCATCTGTTACATTGGGATAAAGGAGTAGATGGATAGAATCTTTCTATTCTAATATTAATGCCTGCAATATATAGCCTTTTCTAGATAGTTATATCTGCTTCTTTTTGTGTAGCAAATGCAATGACTATTGCTCCGTCTTGTTGTTTGGCTCTCTTGGAGGCATTAGTAAGCCAGTAAGGAGTACCCATGATACTGAGCCCTGGGTTGAAGGTATTGACTTCCTCTTTGATTAGGTCCATACCTTTCAGACCTGAGAATTCCTGAATTGGGATTTTGTGAATGATGACTTTATGCCAGGGTTTATCGATTTGTATTCTTTCGGCATCAAGGATTTTGTCCCAGATTTCCTTCTTTTCCATCAGGAATTGTGCATTGAAAGGGCTGTTAGTGGTTAGTATAAAATTGCCGCTCCTTGTAGTAGTGATAGCTGAGATGATTGGTCCATTGATTCCTGCTTTCTTGAAGGCTTCGTTGACTTTGTTCCTTGTATTTAATGGTGTAAAAGAGTGTGGTTGATAAATAAGGGGTTTGATGAGGATTAGTCGTTTGCTTGGGGCTTCTTCCTTTTGTTCTGTAGTTTTCTGTTTTGTGGGTTTTCCCTTTGTAACTAGGTTCCATTCTCCTGAGGTTTTGGTGATAGTGGCATAGCTGGCTTTGGTTCCAGGGGTGTTTATTGTAGGGGGAATTGTATGATTGGGAAGGTTTGAAAGGTGGTTGGCTTGCTTTTCGATCCGTTTGGTAGCATTTTCTAGATGGGAGATTTGTGATGTGATGATATTTGAGGCTTTTGTAAGTTTTCCTTTTTCAAGATATTCACGAAATATTTCGATTAAGTCTAGGACTTTCGATTGTTCTTCGGTATCCTCTTCCAGGGAGGCAGCTAGAATGAGTAGACTTCTAGCTTTTTGGATAGCTTCTTTTGGTGAGTTGATATGGGGTTCTGAATGGCTGGGTGGACGTCTTCGTTTATTATTGAATTGGAGCGTTGGGCGATTGATTGGTGATTTGAATGGATCATCAGAGCTCAAGGTATTGCACTGGGTTGGAAAGTGGAAGGGTTGGAAGGGGGTAGGACTGGAGAGGGATGAATGGCGGGCTATTGCTTCTTTCATGGGTTTGTTCAGTGTGGTTCACTTGGCATGGAGTGCCTAAGATCACTTTTGGGAAGTTCGATTGAGTGGTCCCCGTCATTGATGAAGGGGGTGAAAATTTCACGCGTTTTAGCGTGGTTTCACGTGTTTTGGGAGTCGACGACAGTATCACAACAACTACTGGTTCAATTTCTTTGGAGACAATTGCGTTCGATTGATGCTGATTTGTTTAGTGCAAATGAGATATAAAAAAGGTGTATTTCGAAAAATAATTTTTCTTCAAAATTTGTTGTGTGAAGGATTGTGATAATATCAATTTGATCTATATTTGTTAAATTGAGGGCGAGATCATATAAGATTCTTTTCTTACTTATATTGATTTGGGTTATCATAAATGATTTATAATTCATTAAATAGAATAAAGATTGGATTAGCGATTGCTGCAAATCGATTAACGGAGCGGGTGTTGAAGAGGGTTGTGGAGTAGGTGAAGTCGAATAGGTAGGTGAGGGTTCTTGGCCTAAGTTGGTCTGAGGGGGAGGGAGGGGTAGGGGAGTCGATCATTTGTGCATCGAATGGTGGTTTTGAGCATCCAGCCTTTATACAAACAGAGTTTCTGTTTTCGAGGTATATCTTCTTGATTGTCTGGTATTCTGATTTTGATTTCCTTTCTCTCTCTTATAGACGAAGGGGGCATTTGGGGTTATTTGCAAGATGGGGGTTGTTGTAGTGAAGGCATTTGGGTGGGTATATGTATTCAGTATTATAATTGATAATATGATTGTTTTCTATATGTTTTCCTGAATTGTATAGATAATAGATTTGTGATTTGAGGTATGTTTTTGTATTATGTTATTGTTGACCTCCTGGGATCTTGGCAGCATATGCATATATATTGCATGATGCATATCAGGAGCAAAAAAAACTCAACTTTTAATTCATTCTTTCCTTTTTGGTATACTGTTTGTTTGCTTTCAATATTTTGATTTCAAAGCAATTTAATTCCGAAGGCTGAATACCTAACCTTATTCCTTCATTTTTTTGAATATATACTCGCAGCTTAACTGCTTAGCTAGAGAATCAATCTGTGTGAACGAAGTGAATGACTTCAATTCAATTACTACTGTAATAAAGAACTAAGCGAACGCGAAAGAGACTAGCTCTTTTAGTAAGTCTATATAAGACTTACTACTTTCAATATGTAGCTAGCTCTTTAGACAGAATACAATTAGACATACAGGACCTACGTAATCCGTGGGTGCTACGTCTTCCGTATCCTTCTCGTACCAACACAATCAAATCAATCTGATACTCTTTCTGGTCTCAAGAAACCCACCTCTATCCGTTGAAAGCAATGGTTGTATTGAGTAATCTTTGGTTTT